CTGAAAATCTGATCAACCAAGTCTCACTCTATTTGAACCCCACTCAAGCAGAATAGTTAAGTACAGTTGGCATGACAACATATTATATATATCTTATATAGAATGGTTCCCTCAACTTCGGGATATATTTCAAATTTCGATTTGTTTTTTTAGTGACCAAACTCAAGCCTCAACCTCCATTTCACCCAAAAAAGAAAAAAGAGCAGACTCATAATTAGTGAATGTTTGGGTGGTTAAGTTCCACAAATATGGATGAACATAAGCACAGCACCAACTGTCTTTAATTCTAATGACAAAGAAATTACAAAATAAAAAGGAAAGTGATAAGATTAGATTAGGTAAGATAAGATAAGATAAGATGTCATTAGTGAGGAGGAGCATATTAACCATGTATTATCAGTAAAAATCAGCGGCCAGCAGAGCTTATGGCTGTCATTAACTATGAGCCACCACAACCTCATTGAACACGAAGGAGAAAATTGCTGTTCGTAACTTAATCCACAAAATTTAAGCTTCTTCACCTAACTTAATCCACAAATAAACAAGCAAAACTTCAAGTTCGTGCAGATTATAAAGCAAAATGATTAGAACTAGGGTTACGGTGTGAGCAGCTTGGGAAAAATTACAGTACCGCCGAAGTCGGCAAGAGTCTCGTCGGACTCATCGATCGGCGATTGGAACGGCCGCAGATTCTTCTTCCAGAAACGTGAGAAAGAGAAAGCATTGGCGGCAACTGTGACCGTAACCAGCAGTCCGGCGAGCTTCGTCGCCGAGACGAACAGAGCTACTGCCGCCATTTCTACTTGAAATCAGTGCCCAAACAATCGGACTGAGCATAAATTATTAATTTATTTCGTTTGAAATGATATAAAAAGGCCTATTGGGTAATCGTATGGACCCGTATAAGTCGTCCACGTGGCAGACACAGTTAACTACGTCGTAACGGAATTTAAATGGCGGGTGGCAGCTCGTGTAGAACTTGAGTGCACGCAAGTTGGCGATTGCGTCTACCAGTCGCTTGAAATGACGGATGGAGCGTGGAGGTGTTTTCATTGTTTCATTGGATTCTTGGTTGGGCCTTGAGGCCTTAAAATGAAGCTAATGGCCCAGTACAACCCAATTAAACTCAGGAAAAAGCCATGAAGGCCCAACCCGTGTAAACATGCCTAACCACCAAAAAGAGAAAAAAGCCGAATGCACCATATCCAGCTCAAGTATGGGTAAATGCTCTTAACCAGTTCATCTACAAGTCCATTGCCATATCACATTATTTATTCGTTATTTGAGTCATGATTTTTAGGTTTATTATGTGTGATTGAATTACTGCATTTGTCGGCAAATTTCCACTTAATGTGGTGAAATTAAAAAAAAAATAGCACTGAGTTTCTAATTGTCAATGAACTTGCATTAGGTTATAGCCCACCCTAGTCTAAGGATGGTTTTGCCATTGGATGGTTTCATTAGTATTCGTCTTGTCACTAATGATGTTGTTATGCTTTATATTACAAGAGACGTGTGCATTTAGTTTGATGAATCTCCTAATTTTATTTTGGGTGCTTTTTAAAATATTATAACCTATATGAAGCTTAAAATATTGCTCTTTTTTTAAGAAAAATATATAATAACAGGATCTAAATTGTTTCTCATTAAAAAAAAAAAGGATCTAAATTGTTTATTTATATTTATTATTAACGTGGTAAGAGGGATTCGAACTTGGAAAAGCATCAAACATAGAAGGGTCCACGTACGATGGAGCCAATCCTAATACCTAAACACAATTCAAGAAAGAGTTGTTCAGAAATGGAGGGGAGTGAGTGACTACGATGTATGAATGGCCATGACTTGCGCGTATGATCTGAGACTCTGAGAAAGGGTATGTGCCTTTATTTTTAGCACACTTGTTTCTCTTGAAGTGATTAAATAAGTCTTAAAAAGTTGGATAAAAGTTGTATCAAATCAGGTAATAATAACTCATCCACAACATGTTTTGTGATTAATATGCAACTATTAAGAGTTCCTCTTCCAATTTTCTTTCTGGATCAATACTTTATAAGGAATCTGCACAAGCAAACACTGTAAAAATGAAAACGAAATGGATGTCACTATTTTGCCTGCGAATTCTCAGTGGAGAGAAGTTCAAATAATTCACACGCACACTCTGTGTGTCTCTGCAGAATCTTTGCAGGGCTGGTTCTGCTTTGTTCCTGTCTATCTTCTCCTTTTACAAAGGACCAAAACCCATGCAAATGCATCCGTCTCTCTCTCTCTCTCTCTCTCTCTTCCCAAAGAAGCAAAGAAGAAAAAAAAACTATACCCAAATAGTTCCCCCTAGGACATGTCTTCAAGGCTCTGCTTTATCCCCAAATCGAACATGATTGGATTCCTCATTTGGTAATGAATAACTATCAAGTCACCTCATGGAACAAAAGCCTACTCTGCCTTCCACTATATAGCTATATAGTGTCAAGTGTTGTTGTGCATCTAGGTACTTGGTTCTTCATCCAACTTGTGTCTTAGTAGTCCTGTGATCTGTCTACATGGTACTTATATACAGTACTGATCTTCATCGTTTATAGATCGATATATACAGAAGGAAGCTTCAATCGAGAGATTCTTTAAATAAAACCACTCCACATTGCATTTCAATAATTCCATCATCTAATTTCAAGTTTTAATGGAATCATAAATCGTTCTAGTAAAAATAAAGAAAATCATAAATTGCTGAATCATGTGATTGCTTTGACATAAACATGTTGAAGAATATAAGTCCTACATCGGAAACTTAACTAAGTAAAATACAAGATATAATGAATGGTTCCACTATTAATATTACCGAGGCCTTTTGTGTTAAAACTCCACACGGTTTTTTCAAGCAACATCAAAATAACTACCGTGTAATATACAGCTTCAACCTAGTCATGCATAGGTCACATCACCTTCCCCATCTGCGCAAGGCAAACTGAGCTGTTCATGAAATATCTTGAAGTTCTATTGCATTTTGCAGCTGCTCCATTTATTCATTCATTCATTTTATATCAGTGCACATTAACCTGCTCTGTGCTACAACAATATCTATTTCTTGTACCAACTAATGTGCCTAATTTTAGAACCACTAATCATAAAATATTCAGACTGACGATATTAACTTTTTAAAGAAAAAAAAAACCCCCAATGAGAGGTATGGCAATGGATCATGAGGTGGGACAAAAGCCAAGACAGAAAATATATGGATATATGTTAACAAGAATTGAAGCAATGGTGGTGGAAGAGGTCAACCATATCCTGCAGCTGCCGCCCTTATAGACTAGTTTAGTCAATACAGCACACAAGAGAGAAAGAGAGAGAGAGAGAGAGAGAGAGAGAGAGAGAGAGAGAGAATTCACTGCAATAAGCAGAAGTTGAGCTCAGAATTTTAGGGCATATGCACTTGACTTCTGATCTCAAAATTAGATACGTGGGACTTGTGAGCAAATCAAATACATAGACTCATAGTTGCCGCCAGCTTTACAAAGAAACAAGCCAGTAAGGATCTCCCAAAGCTGGGAGGAGCCAAACCTCCTTGTGATTAAAACAAAATTTAAATTAATTAATTAATAATTCAATATTAACAAAATATTAGAGAACGCAGGCCAAGGAACACTGGGGAAGGTGATCTCGTCCCTTTACTTTGACCATATATATCTTGGGAGACTGTGATTCTAATGCTACCCCTTCCCCGCACGCCCTCGAGGCTCCATTTCCCACAACCCTCTATAATTTTCTATAGAAAAAAAATTGCATTTAGTTCATAAATATTAATTAGAGTGAGAAGTGAGCAAACATATATTTTTGAAGTCGAATAATAAAATATAGTGAATTTTAAGGTTTCTTGCAGTTAACAAGATTCCCTGTTCCCCCGTCTTTGTATTTGCTTTTATGCTTCGACCTAGAGATGGCACTTACGTCCAATATATTTCTGTGTCTATATAGAATCAGAGATTCTCTCTGTTTGCAGTTAAAAACACAAATGTGTTGGCAAATGACCATTAGTGTAGTGTTCTAGAGTAATTGTTCTTCTAAAAAAAGTCATAGTTCGAATCTTAGCATTCGTGTTGTGTATCTGAATTTAGTATATTATCGCTCATCTCGATAAAAAAATCTTTATGAAAAAAAGAGTACAAATGAGATTTGCTTTATGCGTCTTTCATATAAAAGTTACATGTAAAATTTGAAATGTGAAATTCATGCGCAAATTTTGTCGGCAACATGAATGTTCATACATATTTTTGTACACACACAAATGTGAAATGTAACTATAATATACATGCAATACAAACTCTCTGTGCATAGTTTTTACATTGTAAACAGGGATCATTGTCCTTGGTAAAATAACATTAATGTTTGATGATTTCATAGCTAAGCCAGCTGGCTTTCGTTAATAATAGTCAATGTTCCCGGCCTTTAAGCAGGCTGTTTTTTATTCTTTAAAAAATATTAAACAAATTATTAAATTTTGAGTCTGCCGTACTTGGGGGTTAAAAAAAACAAAAAACAAAAAACAAAAAGAAAGTTTATTAATCTATCGCCAAAGAAATCTCAAAATTTGAGAACCACACGAGGACTCGACCCCCATGGCCCAACGGTCCACAACCTGCCACGTGGACCACGAAGAGCTCAGAGATGGTCCCTGTTTGATGGTACGGACACGACTCTCCAGAGTGTGGGGGTAATAATAATATTTGGGCCAAGCACATTTTGGCTTATTGACTGACTGTTATTTACTTACCCCTTTTCATTATTTTTCACCCCCAGCGGTCGGCCGGGCAGCCCGGGCAGCCACACGGCGGGCAGAGGTCGCTCTAGGCTGACGTCACCCGCTCCGTTTACATTCTTTCTGGGCCTTGGACGTGTCGCTGTCAGCCCACTGCCAGTCCCACTGCTTTATAAACACTCGCCGTTTCCTCACTTTTTTTTCCACATAAATATTTTCCCTTTCTTCCCCCTCTCTTCATAATCTTTCGATGTGGGAGTTTTTCAACATCTCATCAAAGATGAAAGCCAGACACAAATTTCCACAGCGAGGTATGAAAAATCCAAACCAAAGCTCGTTTTAGAATGCGCCCTTTTTCATTTTCAAGTTTCAACCCTACCATTTTCATGTAACAATCTAAAATGTCATCACACGCGTTGATAATTCATATATGTTCTGTGTTTTGTATTTTTTTTTTCAGGAGGTCTGCTTGAAAGCAGAGGCCGAAATGGAAGCTCTGAAAGCGATCAGAGCTGGAGCTTTGTGATGTTGTTTGGTGATGGTTGATGTGGACTGGGTGCTATCCTTGCTGAGCTTTTTCATTCTTTTTTTTTCGTTTCGTTTCGTCTTTCGTCGAATTCTTTTCTTTCTTTCTTGACCTTGTAAGACCTTTTCTTGACCTTGTAAGATGTCACGCCGGGTCTGTTGTCTTTGTTTGTTGTTTTGGTCAAAGCTCTGTGTGAGAATTATCTCATGTAGAGCTTGGCCAGCGTTTCTCCTTGTTGCCGCCCAACTCATCTTCTCCTTCCTTGTCTATCCCTCCTGAGCTGTTCCACAATTATTTGATGAAGTTAATTATATGAAGCCCACCATAGCAAATTTCCATCAAACTCAAGGACCTGTTTGCAACAAACACTATCTCAACTCAAAGCTTGGTTCATGCAATTAAATTCGACTTGGGTCAGGGAAATGCTGATTGTGTGTGTGGTCCTCCATGTCATCATATAGAAAAAGAATAAAAATACAAATTACCCTAGTATATATTTATTATTATCACTTACTGCTACTAGCCTCCTCTGCTGTTACTATTATTCTGTTAAAAGAACCATCAATTTCAATATTGTATTATTGGATGTGCATAAATATGCTGTTGCAGACATAGAGAGAAGAGAGAGAATAGAGAGGAGAGAGAGAGAGGCATCAGTTTCGTTGTTTTATATGTTGTTGGCTGAGAAAGTAGGAGAATATATTTTCTCTCAGATCTCTGTAAGAAGAGTTGAACTCGTGACTGCTCTGCTCCAATGTACAAAATATATCTATCCACTGTATCATTATTATTATTGGAGAGTGGAGACCGCTTTCTCCTTTTTCTTCTCTAAACACTTTTCTGTACCACAGAAAGTTTCTGCTTCATACAAAAGCTGATGGCCCCTTATGTTACTCTCACCCAAATTTAGGGTTGCAGATGCTAAGCAATCTTCGCATTTGGGTTAGGTCAAGCGATTAGGGTTTTATTTCCTCCAATGTACTTTTAAAAAAGTTAATAAATTAATATTCAGAAATTCAAAAATAAAAATAAAATTTAATTGACCGAAGAATATGTTAAGTGCATGTCCTACCTACCAAGGTACAGCTAGAACTAACTAATGCTTAAATCATGACACTTGTTAGGTAAAAAGGTTTTTACCAACCTGTCTGTGGGGTGAAAATGGGGTTTTTTTTTAACTTGTCATATATTATTGATCAAGATTCCCATGCTAAATTTGGAACATATGTCAGCATCGTATTGAAATTTTTGCATGCCTTGTAGACCACATAATGGCTTAGGTTGCCAGACCTATTAGTCAATCATTCATGCGCAAGTGTTTGTGCTTTATTTCAATTTCATGTGTCGCGAAAATGATGTTTCTGTAGTTTGTGTCCAATTCTAGTTGTTATTTTTGCGCACATTGTGCAATATTTAGGGTGAAATTTCTAACTTGTACTTTTCAAACAAATTAGGTCCCTCAATTTCTACATTTTGGGTGAAAATAATAGAATAAAAGGTGGGTTGAATAACAATAGAAATGAAAACGTATGGCCTTTGGCAACTCTTACAAGATTTCCGACACTACTTATTATCTCATGCTTATAGAGAAACTAATCAAGTAACGGACGATTAAAAACAATCATACTATGTACTTTGAGATACTTGTATTTGATTTCAGAATTTTCCATCGAGTATTTTGATTTGTTGGTTTAAAGGTCCCTAGGGGGGCCTTCCTTGTAATGGCCAAGGTAGGGGTGCATTTAGGCAAAGTTTTGTACTAATTGAATTGTTGCCTGCCCTAGTTGTTATTTTATTTTAAATAAATAAATAAATTTACAGCTTTTGAGTACTAAAAGGAGGTCAGAAAGAAGGTGGTGGCGACTTGTAGCATAAAATGATGATGTTCACAAGTGGGCATTGAAAAGCTAAATTCCTTTTAACCTTCTCCATGACAACAAAAAATTAAAGTAGTGAGGAGAAGTTGATGGGGGAAAATCTCATGATTTCCCTCATATCCCACTATAGCTATTTTGTGTTGGGTATTGCCAGCACTGGCCCCATTTCTTCCACCCCTTTTTCCTGCTTTGGGTGACATGCTAACATGCATGGATGCCTCTTCTTCTCTTTGCTTAGGGTTGTTGCATTTTATTTTTATCCCTTCTTTTTTATATTCACTTTTTCCTTTCTCAAATTATTCCTTTGAAGACTAGTGAAAAGTTGGAGGGTGATTGACGTTTTCAATAATGATTTGTACCAAATTTCAGATGTGCTTTGCAATTTCATAAAAAGGGAGTGGTCAGGTAACCTGGCTTCAATTCCGTGTATGTGAGTTTTTTTCCCTTCATATTCTTAACTTTGACAAATAAAAAAGGTAAGAGCCCTGACCTGACTTTCTTGGAAAGTTTTTTTTCTTGTTTTTTTTTACCACACTGTTTGGTCGATGGTTTAAATGACTAGGCCTGAAAACAAAAAGGCCCAACTCAGCTAAATCCACAGAACTTTGGGCTGGAGTATTGGCATTGCTCTTATAGTAGAATTCTATAAGCCCCTTAAATGATGCTCTGTCTAAAGGCCTTATCTCTTAATTATTAAATCAAATTGACTAGCCGTTGGATTAAATTAGTTAGTTTGATCAAACGGTTAAGAGATATGGCCTCATCTAAGGGTCTTATATAATGCCCTCAGTATAGAATGACTCGTTATAATTATACAGAGATGAGTTGTGGATTAAGCCAGTTAGTCAAGACAGTGTGTCTGTTTCCTTATACTCTTTATAATTAAAATATTCCTTTTCAAAAAAATAAAAAATAGGCAGCTAATAATCCAATTGAAGATTGATTCGCTTAGGTTTGGGTTTAACTTTTAGATTTTAGAGAAAGACCTAAAATTCAAACTATAAACTTAAAAACGGCAATTTGACAGTTTCACACTTTAAAGTAGTTAACTATGTCAAAATCATAACATAAAAAACTACAAACATAGCATGAAACTTGGGTTGCAATCATCTGGAAGCAAAATTCTTAAGAACAGTTAGATGATTAAATCTAAGAATAGTTTATTATGTGAATAAATTATAAGAACATATCATATGCTGCATGTAATAATTTTCTTCCATTTATTTTACTAAGCAAGGTGTGGGATCCACGAGCCCGGGAAGCCCACAGGAAGATCTAGCCCGTCGTCTTGCCTTCGGGCTACTAACGTCAACGCTGCCAAAAACCAACAGCTACAAGTGGGCTTGCCTGGGCTCGTGGCAAGCTCCAATCCAACAGCTGCCCATTTTTCCGCTAAAAAAAATTGAAAAACAATCGAAATTTTCTGTGAAAAATATCAAAAAATTATGGAAAATTTTTCTATAAATGCCTACCAATATTATTCACTTTTCACACCAAATATTCATACAAATTCATCTCTTTCCAATATTTTTCACTTTCCACACCACATTTTCTACTACAAATTTCCATTTGTGTAAAAATACAAATGGCTTCTTCCATCGAAGTCGAAGGGTCGTGGACAAATGTTTGAAGAGGTCAAAATCTTGGCGACGAGGTAAAAAATAATAATTTCCGTTTAATTCAATTTAATGTCATTTTTTATGGGTAAACTGCCGAAAACCCCCATGAACTATAACGCTTGTCGAAATGTCCACCTTGAATATTTTTTCAACCAATTTAACCATCATACTATTTTAAATGACCAATTTAGCCCATGCCGTTAGTTTCCATGTAGTTTCATCCAATTTTCTGTTAAAAATAAAGTAAATTTAGGTTTTAGCAAAAAAAAAAAATTTCACTTTTGGAAAAAGCAAAAGCTTTTTAAAAAAAGATAGAAAAATCTCTCAACTTTCAAATCAAAGACATGCAAATGTAAAAGATTTCTTAGGAAATCCAAAAATAAATAAGGGTAATTTTGTCCATTTTGGCTTCTTTTACAAAATTTCTCTCTCCTTTTTTTCCAAAAATAATCTTTTAAAAATTAAATTTAAAAATAACTAAAAAAAAAAAAAAAAAAAAAAAAAAAAAAAAAAAAAAAAAAACAAAAAAACAAGCAATCAACGTCTTCCCCACCCCATCCCCCAAACCCTCTCTCTACAATCCCACATCCGTAAGGTTTTTTCAGTGAAAGAGCTGCGGATGTTTTTTCCAGTTAAAGAGCAACAACGGAGGTGGAGAAGAAGACCCACCTCTACAACACTGCCATGGACATTGCTATGTTTTTCTAAGCAAACCAATTTGCAATGTTCTCAAGCAAACCAATTTGGGTTTAGAGATTTCTTCTCCTTTCTCTTTCTGGGTGTTGAGTTTAGAAATTTACAAACCATGGCTTGATGGTCTGCGACAAAAATTGGGTGATTTGAGTTTCAAAAGTTTTGGGCTAAATTGAGTTTCTGGTAAATTGAGTTTTTGGAATTGACAAAAGGGCTTTTGATAAAATAAATCAAAAAGCTATTTGGAGTTCATCTCAGAATTTGGTGGCTTTGCTAAGAATTATTTGGGGATTTGCCAATTTGGTGGTGCGGCAAGCAATTGGGCCAAAGGTGCAGAGGCGTGGACGCATGGATCCGCTTCCGATTATTCCAGGTAGAGATACTGAATACCAATAGTAATATATCTTCTGGTCAGGTCAATGGTTGTCAAAATTTATAATAACAAGTTTAAATGTGTTGATGACAGGTACATGGATTGATCTGAAGCAACATTTGATTGGAGGTGCAGTGGACAATGGTTTGGGGCTGGGACGAAAATTTTCATATTGAACTGGCTGATGCTGTTGAATCTGGGGTGGGCGCACAAGGATATCAGAATATGGGTTGCACTTGAATCAGATTCTTGAAAGAAAGTGAGAGGGAGAGAAGAATAAGAAGGAAACATGAGAGAGAGAGAGAGAGAGATGGAGAGAGACGGGGAGAGAAGAAAGAAAAGAGAGGGAGGAAGAATAAGGAAAAGGAAAAAGAATTAAAAAAAAAAGAAGAGAGAAAGAGAGAAGAAATTATGATTTTACATTTTCTTTATTATTTTTTGGTATTGTCCTTATAAAATGACAAACATACCCTTATAATTACACAGAAAATTGAATGGAAGTCTAAAAACTTGACAGCATGGGCTAAATTGGCTGAAAAAATAATTCAAAATGGACATTTCGACAGTCGATATAGTTCAGGGGGGTATTCGGCAGTTTACCCTTTTTTAAATTTATATTTTCTTGCATTTCCAATTTCATTTTTTAAATAGATTATTCGAGGAAAACGATTACACATGACTCCTCAAGTGAACAATGCCTGCAATCGGTTCTCATAGTGCGTTCCGTGCCGGAAATAATGACACTATTACATCATCTGAAGGAAAATACTCCCCCACGTCGTGATTCGATAAAACCGCCTCCGCCAATGATTGAGTTGTTCTTGTACTTGATTGTGTTAGACTATGAGGGCTGAGAATATTTCAATTGTATGATGAGTGAGTAGGTATTTCAATTGTATGATGAGTGATATGTGAATTTTATAATAAATATGGACACGTGACAAACGAAAAACTTATCTGAAAATTTTTCTGAAATTTGAGATGTGAATTTTATAATAAATATGGACATGTGACAATCGAAAATCTTATCCTAAAATTTTACTTGAAATTTGAGATGAGAATTTTATAATAAATAGTGACACGTGGCAACCGAAAATCTTATTCGAAAATTTCATCAAAATTAATCATTTAAGTATAAAAAATAAAATAAAGTGAATAGTAATTGTCATTGCCCTTGCCTATAGGGGTGGAAACAAGAATAGTGGCAGCCCTTGACTTGTCCTTACTTTGCCCTTGTCCATAAGGATGGAAGTGCTTTAATAGGAATAGGAAAAAGAAAACAGAACATGTTGCATGTAGCGAACGACATTGTTTTTAGTGTCTGATGATACTTCGCCTTCGCCTATTGATTTTCTATTTATTTGATTCAATTTTTCCCTTTTATGGGTCTGAAAACTTTGTACCATATTATATCACACCTTCTACAAATTATAATTGAATTAACACATGAGTTGACTTTGAATATGAGTTGACCCGTGTTTGAAGAGTTTTTTTGACCGTGTGTGGATATTGTCTTGATAGTGTACACGGGCATTGATCGTTGGACACAAATGTCCAGGGAGTGTCTAAGAAGTGTTCAAGTGTCTAAGTATCCGTTTTGACATTGCTTATTTAGGGTGATAAGTGATTTTAAAAAAGATTTGAAAAGCCCAATCCGTTTGATAAACTATGAGAAAATTGTTGTGAGAGAAAGCTATAAAGGAAAGTAGCTAATGATGTGTTTTCATTTTCTGATTATACATGAATCAATTTCAAAGAGGCGTTAGGTTTAATGATTATGCGGGAATTAGTATAAAGAACACTTATAACAAAAAATTTACCAAATGCCAAACTGCTTTATTTCATAGTTGATTTCACTCACAGCAAATCTAAAAGTGATTATTTTCACAATACAACAATGTCAAACTGACCCTAAGTATCCGACACTTCGACACTCAGTCTTAGTGGAGTGTCCGTTGCAACATAGATCACACCACCTCCCTCTCCCGCCAAGTTCCCGTTACCTCCATTTTATAATATTATTCTCCCTCCCTCCTAGGGTTTCCAATTTCCCAATGTCGCAGACCCCTTTCAACAAGGGAGACCAAGTGGAGGTCACAAGGCCAGGCCATGGCTCCACCGGGCCCTACTACCCAGCCACGGTGCTCCGTCCTGTATTTAAGGACAAAGCCCACATGTTGGTCCAGCACCAAACGCTAACCAACCCCAACGCCGACGGCTCAAAAACCCTAACCGAGATTGTCGAATTGCGCAATGCCAGGCCTATGCCTCCCAAAGAGCTCTACGAGTTCTTCAAAGTCGGTGACGACGTCGACGCCTATAGAGATAAAGGGTGGTCTCGCGGGACTGTCAGGGATATTTTGGAGAATTCCAAGTACTTGGTTGCGTTCCAGGGTCAAGAATTTCAGTGTCAGCAGTTTAATTTGAGGCTGCATAGAGAGTGGGAAGATGACTCTTGGGTCCCTGTCTTTCAAGAAGAGGTTTATTTATTTATATAAAAAAATTTAAACTTGTTTTCTATGTTCTTGCTTGATGGGTTCTTGTTTTTGTTTTTTTTTTCCCTGGTGAAACTTTGGTGCTTTTAGTTTTATGTTTGTGCTTCTGGTGCTGGGTTTTAATTTCTTTATGAAAATTTTGAAGTTCACTCTGGAATTGATGCGTTTCAAGTCTATTTTAATTTCCTTTTTATATCCTTATGGTGTTTTCTGGTAGATAGAAATGCTATAATAAGAGTGCAATGACATTATATAATTTGTTATATGTGTATGTAGATTCTTGCTGCAAGTGGTTGTGGTTGACATTCAATTATTATTTTGTATATATATTTTCAAGCAAATATGTCTCAGGCAGGCAACTATGGAAAATGGTTTGAAATCATAACTCAATTTTAAATTGCACATGTTGTCAGCTGTTATGCTTTGCTTTGTTTCTTGATGTTTGTGCAACTTTGTAAAGTGGCTTATGGTATTTGATTTCTGATATTGACAATTTGACATTATGGTAATTCACTGGTTGCTAATGCCAGCCATGTGTGTATGGTCTAGTTATGCATTTCTGTGTGATCGTTCTTCTATAAATTTCTTGGTTTCGAATGTCTACTCAGTTTGTGAAATCTTGAGCTGCAGAAAACGTCACTGGTGAAGTCCAGAAAGTTGGTATTGAAAATTAAGTGCAGCAACAGAACATCGGGGGCAAGCTTCGAAAATGGGACTGTGGTGGAGGTTAGCAGTGATGAGGAAGGTTACAAGGGTGCTTGGTACACTGCTAAAATAATTGACCATATAGGAAGCGACAAGTTTCTGGTGGAATATGAGCACCTGGTAACCGATGATGGAACAGAGCTCTTGAGAGAAGAAACATGTGCAAGTTATATTAGACCTTGCCCCCCTCGGCTTCCACCAGTTGCTCAGTTCAAAGTGCTCCAGAAAGTCGATACTTTGTACAATGATGGATGGTGGGAGGGTACCATTTCCAAAGTTCTAAGCGGCTCAAAGTATGTTGTCTACTTCAGCACCACGAATGAGGAATTAGAGTTTAAACATTCCAATTTGAGGCCTCATCAGGACTGGATTAATGGACGATGGATCCATTGTTACATGGTATGACTTAAAGCTGTTTATTGTCCCTGTCAAAATCATGAAGCAATGTTTTTGACTTTCTTTCTTTCTTTTTTGTTTTCTTTTTTCTTTTTGTGTGTGTTTCCTTGAGATTATCATAAAATGAGAAAGCATTACTTATTGGAAGCTTTATGAAAAACAAGAAGCTATATTATTGAGGATCTCTAATTAATTGCTGCATATTTTTGTTTGGTGCAGGTCAATAAATATGGATATGATCACAAAGAGTTTGTTGACAAAAGGAAATAGATAAATAAGCAAAGGAGGCATCTCGATGATGTTGCTTTTTCCAATATGTGAATAATGTATAAAGTAGGTTTAGGGCCAGTAACAACTGTCGTATGAGGATATTCAGGAGAGTCCGTTATGCCACACTGAATGGTCCGCCATCATGATCACGAATTTCATTATTTGGTTGAAAACAAGCACTAATTCTTGAAAATGCAGGAAAATTCTCGTGAGGCGGTAGCTACATCAGTAAATTTCAACAGTAGATGCATAGCTGAAAGAAACTATGCCAAAGTTCAGTAGGGCAACAGAGGTAGAGGTCAATAGTGATGAAGGTTGTTTTCTTTTACATATTTCAGGCATCTTTGAATCTATAGTTGATCTTGTCACAAGTCTTGTGTGCTTGACTGATTGTAACCCCCGGATAGTACCAAAGTTCCCCATTCAGGATAATCTCAGTTCAGCATCATGTAATCATTTCTAGCAGTTTCTTTACATCATGTAGGCATTGTTGTTCTGGATCGGGACTTCCCTCTCAGATATTATCTCCTGCGACGAAACCTATTCTGTGGAGAAATGATCATCTGTAACGATCGAGGATTGTGTAGAGAAATTGAGGGTTAATCCTTAAGTAGTCCTAGTTAGTAGGTATAAATCGTTGTAACTTCTTGTTCTTCTGTTCTTTCTTAGTAGTGGTCAGTGGACGTCTTTATATGTAAGATAGCATCATATGTTACTTAAGGTTCCTCAGGCAACCTGAAGTTGGTCTGCAATCTTGGAAGTCCTTAACATCTATCAATATCCTTGTTATAATTTTTGTCCCTGTACAAGTCTCATACGGAACATTTTACCTCCATGCTAATGGCAAGAATATGAAGGTTGCCTCCTCCTTTATTGAATAAAAAGAATACGAACTCAACAAAAAATATAATGGGGACATTTTGAGTACTCGGAACGTACATAAATGTCTTCATTTCCTTTTTTTGTGTCTTCCAACTTCCAACTTCCAACAAATAAAGAAGTTTTTATTTTTTGTTGGAGCGAGAAAAGAAGTTGGGTTTCAAATTCAGTGACTTTATGTAATATCCACTTGGATTCAGCCTGCTATGCTCGGATGTAGCCCATTGTCATTGGCCAACTTGTTAAGAGCCCACCAAGCCTAAATTAGATCGCCACCGTTTATAAAACTTCATCCTGGCGCATGTGCTTGCTTTGTCCACGGATCTACTTCTCTCTTTCCGGATTGAATTCTATGGACAATCCTTAATTGTCTTCCAATCGCTATCTTTTATTATTATAATAATAATAATAATAATAATAATAATACTATTCCCCAAATTGAGATCACAGATGCTCCCTCCTTTTTGAAGGTGAAAGTGGTGAACTTGAAACTCAGAAGTGAAAGCCCACTTCATCTCTTTGCATCAAACGCAATTTGATCAAATACCCATCTCGAAATCACCATCTGGTAAGAAAATTCCATACCCTTTTCATGATTTAGGTAACTGGGTAATCTGAATTTTGTTCATGTTTATTGGAATTTGATAATGAATTCCCAAAGATGTGGTTCTTTTCCGGACGAAGTTGTCCTTCAAATTCTTTCAAGACTTCCCATTAAGTCACTTTTCAGGAGCAGAACTGTTTGTAAACTTTGGTATAGATTGGTTTCTGATAAGTATTTCATTCATCTGTACAATGAAGCGTCTGCTAAGAACCCCATGCTATTGGTTGAGGTTTCTGATTCATTGGGATCAAGATCAAATCTGATTGTTGTTGACAATCAGAGGGGTGTTTCTGAATTTTCCTTAGATTTCTTGAAGGACAGAGTTAAGGTTAGAGCCTCATGTAATGGTCTGTTGTGTTGCTCTAGCATACCTGATAAGGGTGTTTACTATGTATGCAATCCTATGACCCGTGAGTTCAAGTTGCTTCCAAAGAGTAGGGAAAGGCATGTGACTCGATTTTACCCTGATGGTGAGGCCACTCTAGTGGGATTGGCCTGCAATTTATCCACCCAGAAGTTTAATGTTGTTTTAGCTGGTTATCACCGTACTTTTGGTCATAGGCCCGATGGGACTTTTATTTGTATGGTATATGATTCTGAGTCAAACAAATGGAGGAAGTTCGTTTCGTTTCAGGATGATCAGTTCACCCACATGAACAAGAATCAAGTTGTGTATGTAAATGGTTCTCTTCATTGGTTGACAGGCAGTTGTTCTTGCATTCTTGTGCTTGATTTGGATTATGACATTTGGAGGAAGATGTCGTTGCCCGAAAAAGTGAGTTGCGGGTCTGGAAATAGGTTTTATTTGTTGGAGTCCGATGGTTGCTTGTCTGTGGTCCAGATTTCAGATGCTTGGATGAGAATTTGGGTGTTGAGAGAATATGAGAGAGAGGAATGGCATTTGGTGGATACAGTGAGTCTTAGATGTATCAAGGGACTTGTGCCAGGCATCTTCCCCATATGTCAAACTGGTGAATATGTTTTCCTAGCAACCCATAAGCAGATTTTGGTGTTTTATCGCAAGACTCGTGTGTGGAAGGAGATGTACTCTGTGAAGAACAGCTCTACACTCCCATTGTGGTACTCGGCACATGCATTTCGGAGCACGATTTTTTCCTGTCGTTAAGACGTGGACTGCGTGTAATGAACTTGTGTACATAAATTTCCTATGTTAAGTATCTCTATTCGTTTGGCCGATTGTTGTTTGTCAACAGTTATCAACATTTGAAGTATGAAATGTAAATTATGTTCTTATGTGTATGGCTTTGGCTTACCCTTTTACTTTACATCCTTTGTTTTCTTCAACTTTATTTTTAGCCTATCCATCTTCATATTGTGCTGGAATGTTGGGGCTTATCATAATTATTTCTTGCCCATATTTCTGTAACGAAAACTATTTAAGACTCGATGATTCATGAAGTTATGAATGGATTTTTTCAGAATGAAGTTGTTCATCAAAATCTGGCATGATTGCTTGTTTAGATATGGATATAGTTGAAAACTTTATCCTTCAGCTTTCTTCTGGATATTTGAGTTGGTCTTTGTGTCACATAGAGATTTTGACATCTTCTCTTGATATTTTAGTGCAGCTACTGTGGGGAGTATGGGAGCACGAATTTGGTGTCTCACTTTCTCTTAACTCTCTTTTTTGGACTAACTAGCTTAATGATAGCTCTCTTTCCTGTGTTGAAACATGCCATATCTTTGAATCCCCCTTGCTAAACAAAAATAAAAATAAAAACTCTCTTTTCTGGATATCTATTTAAGATGAGTATGTGCAAGCAATTGTATTGAGGAAGGTTTTGCGATTTACTATTTTGTTAATCAATTGTGATCCAAAAATCTGAAGAAGAATTTTTAAGTCGAGGAAGACCAGTTTAACTTGCTATCTTTTTCGACTGACCGTGTTTTAACCCCAAGTCTTAAAACAACTTTTGATTATATCATGTTTGCGCTGTATAAATTTTGTTCTGATTGCGACCATAACCACCACCACCATCCCTATGAGAGGGGCGCCTTAAGGAAAACTGGAATGTAGCTCACATTGATTGTATTGTATGTGCGTCCTAGCTAAAGTAGGGCGTTACATATACGGCTATGATGCATGTAACGTCTTTTAGAGAGTTGTGCTATTTATCATTTTAAAAGTAATTTATAAAAAGTAAAAGTGTAATTAGAATTAGATAATAATTAAAAAAGAAAAAAAAAGAAAAAAAAGAAGAAGCAGCAGAGTAATCAAAATGTACAAAATGAAAATTATTGATTTATTGACTGTCAAAGAAAACTAATGGGCTTAGAACAAAAAAAAACAAAAAAAGGACACGTGGGATTTCGAGCCCTGATGACTACTATAATCTGCGGCCCGGCCAAGCCCAATCCGGATTTGGAATAAGGAATTCTAGTCAGCCAAACAGACCTACATTCAACGTCTTGGATGAGGGACACAGAAAACTCCTTCGGCTTTAGAGCTTCATGAGTGTTTCTCTGTCTTTTTGCAGACCCAAAAACTCTGACATGTGTATTACATGCTGATGGTCAGCTCCTTCATTTCCAGAAGAACCCAATTGGTCAAGCCTGCCACTTTCATATCCTTTGGCTTCACTTTATTATCTCACTAATCCCTTTGTGTGCCTCTGTCTTTCATACAAAGAAATCTCTTCTTGCTCCAGGTATGGCCGTACAAAAATCTTAATGTTAAATACTTATCTACCATTGATTATAATTTGTGGGTTCTGCTCGATTTCATTGTTTTCATCGAATTTTATTTGCTATGTTGCGTTGCTGAATAGTTGGAAATGGGTTTTATTCCATCTTCTTTTTTTCAAATATTTGGGGCTTTAAATCTCAAATGGGGTTTTTCATTTTTCTCTTTTAATTCAATTCATGGATGATAACCATGGTGTTTATAATACAGTGTAATACATTTTCTTCGCAAGAATATTTTTTTTGGGTTCTTTTTGTTTCTTGCGAAATGAACAATGTAAGTCTCAGAAACTATTTTTGTGGGTTTATTTTGCATGAGCTTTTGGATATTTGTTGGCTTGAAATTCTTGAGTTTTTCTTATTGCTTCAGCAGTTATGCAGGTTACCCCAATACTGATATGTTTTCCATAACCAATCTATGGTGACCCTTTTTGCATGAGGATTTCATACTGTGTTATTACTACTTATACTCTTAGTAGAACTCCAACTCTAATTGAAGGCCCTATTATCAGCAAATGGGGGTAGCTTAGATCTTTACTGATATATGACTGTCATTACCATTTTTCAGTTTGATAATTAATTTATAAAAACAAATCCAAGTTTTATTTATTTAAATGATGTTTTGTAGTTCTATACAAAAACTTGATTTTATGTATATATGCATCCTTGTAATTGTATTTATTTTTTAATTGCAGATTGTATTTCTCACAGGGAATCTAGCATCCATGACATCACTGCTTTGAATCAACTACAGATCGTTTAGCTTGACTTCTTTTTAAAACAGTACGTCAAGGCCTTTTACCTTATGGCTCGGAAGGGTAATCAACAAAAGAATGGGGTAGATCGCCAGACATCGAAGCACAAAAAGAAGGGTACAGATTCAGGGTGTACGGTAGCGGAAACGAAAGGGCAAGGAAAAGCAAGTGAGGTGAAAGTGTTCCCCGGAGAAGAACTACCAAATGGTGACCAGCCAAGCAGTCCTCTTTCAGCCAGTGGGAGTAAAACCAATCATCCTGGAGATGAGAATAAAAGCAAACAAAAATCTGGAAAGCTTTTGAGGAAAGATAAGCAAGGTATGGATGCAATGCGGGGTCCAGAGGAGGCAATGTCTTTAGGGAGTGATTCAGGAGATTGCAATGGAAACAATGAAGCTCCAAGCACTAGAGAAGAAAATGGGGCATTACCTCGGAGTGACTTACGCCGTAAACAAACAAAAAGAAAATTTGGGTCCTCCCTCAAACGGTGGCATATGAAAACTTTGCTGAGTCGGGTAGAGTTTTCAGACAGCCTATTGGTTAGAAATTTGAAGGCATCAACATTGTCCTTCTTGAAGGTGGCTAGTGAATGGCTGCAGAGGCACGAGCCTATGTTTCTTACTGTCAAAAGTAACATACTGAATGCTCGCGATTATGTCAATACAAAGTTTGAGCAGGCATATCCCATTGTTCTGAAGTGGCTTATGCAGTTTGGGAGCATATTGTTTCTTTTATCAATGGCTTGGTTGGATTGTACCGTAAGGGGCATCGATAGCTTACTCCGGATGGGGACAACATCCTTCTTTTCCGTTATATGGTGCAGCATTCTCTCAGTAGTTGCTATGGTTGGGATGTTTAAGTTTCTGATTGTGTTGGTAAGCCCTAGTACTGCTAAGTTGCTGCTGACCACTGACTTCATTATAACCAGAAACTTTTTATACTTGTTTTTTTTTTCTTTTCATTATTGTAATTGAGATTATTCTTACTTATTTCTTTCAACAAAATGCACCCGTGTCTGGCCCCTTGTCCTTTTACACCTATTTGGTTCTTTCTGTTTGCTTATGACTTGTTGAGCTTCCAGACTTTCTGAATGTTCCTTTTGGAATAATTAATTTCTGCAAAGGGTGCATTGATGATTGAGGTTAAGATGATCTGTTAAGTTTTGTGTTAATATGCTCTCATAACTATTGTAAATACCTAGGTCTTCGCTGCTCTGATTGGACTTTTCATTGGCTTCATGCTTTCGATTTTGGTGGTTGCGATTTCTGGAGCTATTTTCTTGTGGTTCTATGGAAGCTTTTGGACAACAGCACTTGTAATCTTCTTGGCAGGTGATTCTTTTACCCTTGTACAACTGCAGATCATCTATTTCAATTATGCATACTTCCTCATCACTGCTTGCTGAGCTTTAACATTCTTCAACATTCAGGTTTGGCATTCACACTGAGCCATGAGCGTGTTGCCCTGTTCGTCGCCACTGTTTATTCCATTTATTGTGCTTGGACATATGTTGGATGGCTGGGTTTGCTTATAGGGTTGAATTTATCTTTTATCTCAAGTGATTGTCTGATTTATTTCTTAAAGAACAATGTAAATCAGCAGAGAAGACCCACCGGATTCCCTGAACAAGCATCTGGAATGCAAGGTCAACCAGGCTTTTTTAACGGTGAGCAGGAGCATGCTTCATCCTCTGAAAATGGGCCATGGTTTTCTGCTGATCGTAGCCCTGGAGTACCTTCAACCAGTGGGGCTGATTCTGAGATAACCTCTGAAGATGAAGTAGTTCGGCTGCTAAACTGTACTGATCACTATTCAGTGTTGGGATTGTCCCGGTTTGAGAATATAGATGTTTCTTTACTGAAGCGGGAGTATAGGAAAAAGGTATGGGCCATTTTTTGTTTGCTATAATTGGCATGAAAAGGGATATTTTCTGACTAATTTGTAATTTCTTGTTATGTTATTCTCTTCGAAGTTTCAAGATCTGTATTCTGTATGGCCAAGGCTGAGATCTAATTTTATTTTCGTTATATTAAATGATGACTTTTATCTTTCCTGAGATTGGTTTATTTACATAGAACTACTGTTTCTGGATAACATGCTGTATAATATGTTAAAATACTTTCTTTGAATGAGTTTGTTATATTTCTTATCAGGCAATGTTGGTCCATCCCGATAAAAATATGGGAAATGAAAAGGCTGCTGAAGCTTTCAAGAAACTTCAGAATGCATATGAGGTGATCTTTTGATACCCGTCGAGATTTTTTCTATGATCTATTTGATTTTTCATTCTGATTGTACCATTGGCCTTTTTTGTTTTTATCTTTTCTAGGTTTTACTTGATTCATTGAAGCGAAAAGCATATGATGACGAATTAAGGAGAGAGGAACTGCTGAACATTTTCCGTAGATTTCAAAGTGCTTCACAAAAGGTAATTTACATCCTTTTTGTATGCATTGTTGTAATTGGTGTGAGAAAATGAAATCTGCTGACCAATCTCTTCAATAACCATGAGGATTAAGCTTGAAAGTGACACGTGTCAGTTGGTTCCCCCCAAATCCAAGGGGGTCCTTCCATTCAACTTTGTCATTAACTTGGAATTGTTTGTAGAAAGTCGTGTAATTTTGGTCCCATCCCATAGATGTGGCTTCTGCCAGGAATTATATGCTCGTTTTAACTCAATATAATTCTAAGGGCTGTAAATCATTACTCGTTCTAAGTTTGTTTAAATATCCACCTTACCTAAGCTTTTACTGCAATGTGTTTCCTAGAATGGAGGACACGGTGTCTTTCCTTCTGGATTTGCACACCCGGAAGCTGATGGTGAGGACCCATTTGGAGATTCTAGGCGGATTGCCTGCAATAAGTGTGGCAACTTTCATGTCTGGGTACTCACTAGGAAGTCAAAATCTCAAGCACGATGGTGTCAGGTTGTCATTTACCTTTACAGCGTTTAATGATGTTCTTTGAGTTTGCATTCATCAAATCCTCCTTAAGCATGATGCTCCTTTTTCATAAAGATGAGAGATTTTGCACCTGGTTCTGATGTTTTCTTTGTGGAATTTCTCTTTTGAAAGGATTGCAAGGATTTGCATCAAGCAAAAGATGGTGATGGGTGGGTTGAACAATCTTCCCAACCCTTCTTCTTTGGATTTTTGCAGAAGGTATGTGTATTTATATATGTTGGAGAAAGCTTGTTATATATGTGCATTTGGATTGTCTGCTCTTACTAAGTTGTCATCTTCATGTGCTATTATGATTCATTGTTTGCTAGTGGAAAAAAAAAGCCCTTGAAGAAAATGATAAAGAACTGTTGTCCATTAGTATCTGAAATGCATCTAATACCAGATTATCCTTTTTGAATAATGTTGCACGTGCAGGTAGATGTTCCATCCGCATATGTTTGTGCAGATAGCAAGATATATAATGCTACCGAGTGGTATATATGCCAGGTAATTCAATTTTAACTTTTTTCTTCATTAGTTTTTCATTGATGTCTTTTCTCCTTTTTAAAAACACTCATGCCTGCTCCAACACCCACACAAAGTTCTTGTCATGTTGAAAGAAAATGTACATGAAGCTAATTTTTGTTGCAGGGAATGAGATGTCCAGCCAACACTCACAAGCCAAGTTTTCATGTGAACACTAGTGTGACCTCCAAGCATAATACTGGAAAGGGAGCAAGTTCAGGACAAAGAGGAGGCCGGATGCCGGCATCTATGGAAGAGAACATGACAGAGGAAGAATTCTTTGAGTGGTTACAGAATGCAGTGCAAACAGGCATGTTTGAAAATTTTAGTGCCGGCACCTCCACTGAGAGCCCATCTGCCAAATCTGGAAATGGTACCACCAAGAGTAGTAGTGGCAGCAACAGTGGCAGTGCTAACAAGAGGAAGAAAAAGGGAAAGAAGCAATGGTGAGTATCCAAGTTGTTCCCATTGTTTCTCACTAATCTTTGTAAGCATTAGTGAATCTGATAAAAACATATGTTTCAATGTTGGCCTATTGTCTTTTTTCAGAAAAAAGAAGGCCAGAGGAAAGTTTGACTTCATTAATCATAAGTATAGAATCCCCCATTAGCCTGCATACTACAGAGTTTGTATATCGTTTCATCATTCGCAATCATCTTAGAATGAACTGTGGACCGCTATACCTGTTCGAAATAGATTGCCAGAAGTTTAGGCAGTTACATTTGCGCAGCAGAGCAAGGCAGTAATGTTCTTGCACTGCCTATATTTTGCATTTGGTATGTGGAGGGATCTGAATTGGTTGGAAGGGTTGGACGCATGGAATGATGATAAAAAAAGAATGACGTCAGACAATGCATTGTTGTTATGTTCATGGAAATGGATGATATGTGAAGCCAACTTATTTTTATGAAACTTGATCTGGTGCATGTAATCTGATGGTTAGCCTTCATCTCATCAGATAAAACCCTGATGAATATAACCCACATCAAAATCCATTAAAACAAGATGATTATATCTTTGAACTTGTAGTGTTGGAATGTTTTTCCAATCTCCAATGGCTCAATTTGAGATTGATTCTCTGCAGGGCACCTAATTAAAGCGAGGAGAGTGACAATGGGAGTTGGGTCCATTATTAGTCAATTTCAATTTGGGTTGACACACAGCTTATATAAAGATTCCAGAAAATTAGTTTTATAAATCTAATTTTATTACCAAGCTATGAAATTGTCAAAAGTAGAAAATAAGGTTGCCATATTAAAATCGGATAATTCATGTTCAACACAAAACTCGATAAGGTTTATTATGTCATTTTCGTATTCATTTTAAGTGACACTCAACCTTTTTTCAGGAATAAGTGAAAATCAGTCTTAACCTATTTACGAGTTTTGTCTTTGATTTGTTTCATGTCTAAAATTATCATCCTTGTACATAATTGTCAAGAAGGAGAAAGACCCTCTGCATGTCTAATGCAAGGGCAAGGGCAAGGGGCAATGAACTAGGTGCTGTTTTAGCCTCTCAACATGGTACTGTATACAAATCTAGCCTCACAAATTTTTTGTGTGATTCTACTCGTGATGAGGGGCTAGGGACTACAACTCAAAACTTATTCTTTTAGTTTATTATTATTTTATTGGTGATAAAAACACTTATTTTTTCATCTTCATTGTGAAATGATAAGAAAATATATCCCAAGTGTTGGATTTTGAAGTATAAATATGAGTTTATGTGAGAAGAAAATGAAGATAAAAGTCTATTTATTGGGTTTGAATGTAGAAATATCATAAGGATAAACAAATAAAACTATTTGGAGTATATATTTATATATATATATATATATAAAAGGCTGGATTAGTCGTTGGATTGAAAAAAAAGGCTGAACTGAAGAAAAAAAATAAATAAATAAAAAGCCCGGCAACTAGCCTTTTCATTCCATTGTCATTGAGAGCGCCATGTGGCAGCTTCTCATAGGCCATTGCATTTGGAAAGTCACTTTTGCTGCTCCCTTTTTTTTATTAAAAAAAAACTGACCGTGTGCCCACTCTTGCCCGGGCCAACACTTGGGAAAATCCAACCCCTCATCTTGCCTTAAAACTGGACTGGTCCAAATACATACATTAGAAAATGTCTTTTTTGAACTGGGGCCAGATCAATCCTTTTTTTTTGGGTCTAAAATGCTGGGAAACTTTAATTTAAAAACGAATATCAAGGTTTACATCTTTTACGAGTATATCAAATAACCATTTCGTACCAACATGGTCCCAAACATGACTACCCCCCTTGCTTAGTTATGAATCTGGCAACAGCATGTGCTGCCTTATTGCAAAGACGAGGAGCAAAATTGAAGAGAACCTTGTTAAACTGGGTAACGCACTATTGAATATCAAAAAGGATACCTTCAATGTCTACATCAGGTTCACACTCACCATTTAGCATCGCAATACACCGTTGCGCATCAAATTCCACAACCACATCCCAAAAAGGCATACGATAACATACCGTCAAAGCAGCTCGGATTGCCAAAGCTTCCACCCTAAGTGCAGAGGAGCCGTGAAGTCCACCCTCACCACATGCTCCTATCAAGAGCCCAAAATTATCTCTAAGAACCCAGCCCACACCTCTTTATACCCGTGGTCCTATGTTTAAAATCCAGAAATCATTTGTGTCAAAGAAATCTAATATCATTATCCAATATCATTATACAGAAAGGACAAAAACGAGAGGAGAGAGTTTGCCCATACCCGATTATAAAAGGAAAAAAGAAAACAATTATGATTTAAAACAAATAGAAGAAAAGCCAATAACTTAGGCCGTTGGATCCCTACTATGAAGGAGTTGATGGATCGAACGGTGGACCAGGATTAACCATGATATATACCTCCGTCGAAATTACTAAACCACCCTTTTTCCTTCCAACTCTACCGCAAATCGCATATCCTAGCAGCAGTGTAGTCTGCTTCAAAGCTGGTTCAATGGGGGCACTCTTACACTCCTTCTCTGTAGCTTTTATCACTCCAAAAGCTTTAAAACTGGTCCATGGAAATGGGTCCTCCAGAAACCAAATTTCAAGCTTGGAATTCGCAAATGGGTACTCCTCGTTTTCTTCTCGTAGGCCAGTTACCTCTCAGAAGCTCTCTGTTGGACGTAGAAAGTCGGTGATTGTTGGTGCAAAGAAGAACAGTAACAAGGAGGAGAAGAAGAAGAACGACAATCATAGCTTCGTATCAAAACCGGATGAGGCCACTGGCCCTTTCCCTGAAGCTGTGCTGCTTAAAGAGGTTGCCTTTTGAATTTTGACACAACTCCATGCTTTTACTATTTTTTTCCTTTCTTTATTTGGTATTATGAGTTTTTAAATTTCCTTTCCTCTCTGCGAATTTCGGTTTCTGAAATATAAAGACTTTTTAGTGCGACCCTCTACTTTTCAGCCACCGCTGTAGAATGTTCATATTGGTTATCTGAGATTCAGCTATGTAAATTGTGGCTTAAGTACATTCATATTGTGGGTATCTGAGTTGTCCTTTCCTTTGTTCTGTTTCTTTGGACTATAATGTTTCACCATTAAAGTATGAACCTTGTGTACAAAGGGATCTTCTTTTTCTTGAAAAACTAAATGAAGTTGGATAAGATAAGGTTTTGGGTTGCTTAAGTTTAGGTGCATGTATTATTACAGTGATGAGATGACTCTAATTGTAATTGATTTTGAGATGAATTTTTGAGATGAATTGCAGAAGAAAGTTCAGGAAGATGGTAAACTTCTCCCTGAGTTTGCTGACGCAGAAGAAGGTGCGTTATTCTGATTCAAACTTGTTATAGGTGATTGCTATCTTTTTAAAAGGACGCAATATGAGTTTTCTTTGTTCTGAAGAAAGATTTTGGCCCTATGGGGATTGCTGTTATTGATTTTGTTTTCATCACTATGCAGAGAAGGTATATGAATATTTGAAGCTTCAGCTACAAAGCGATTTGAATGAGGAACGAAGTAAGTGTACTTCCTGCTTCTTCTTCTTGCTAGTAGGATTGTCATGTGGTTCCTTAGGGGGCAGGATAATGCACTTTTATGTTCTAGGCTGCATCTCCTTCTTTGCTAGTAGGATTTTTGAGATGCATTTGGCTTTACTATATTGAAATGGGGAATAAATTGCCTTTAATAATTCATAGAGCAAAGGGACAATGTTATGAGTTTTTAACTGCGTGATTTACGATATGTTGGCTTCTAGACTGACATGTTTTATGACTCACTGTTTTCCTTGTCACAGTGCGCCACTATGAGGTGGTTTATCTGATTAATGAGAAGCATGTGGAAGAGGTTGGGAGTGTCAAGGAGAAAATTGAAGGTTGACTTCTAATCTCTTAGTACTGTGTACGTTATTACTGAACCAAATATGATAGAATTCACCATGGATTTGATGTATTTAAATTTATTTTTCCTTTTGGCATGCTTCTTTGTTCTTCTATACTATCTTGTCTTATAGAACATAGGACAATAGTTGAAACACACTGTTCTTATTAGAATGGAGGAGAATAGTACATGGCTTTTGTAGGCTAGTTGGCCTCCTAGTGGTGTAGCTATTGGTTACCTATCTTCTAGATTTATGACTCTAGGCTATTGGCCCTTCATTCGTATAGCTATTGGCTGGTCACTCTTTGTTTTATAGAACAAGGCTCTTGGCCTCTATGTGACTATTGGTCACTCTTAACACTTGGCTCCCTTTGTTGGGAGATCCCTTGGCTTGACCACACCCCCTTAGATTGGGTAGCTCTCTTTCTAGCTCCCTTGTAACTTAGTTTTGGATAGCTCTTAGCTCCACCGCCATAGACATTTTTCTCTAGCTGCTTGCTTGTTGTGACTTCATTGAGAAAATTCTTACATATTCATTTTAGTTTGCCGACATTCCCATGAAGCTTATAGAATTTCTTCAAGCTTCTAGATTTTCCATATTTCTTTACCACAAATGTGCATTATTTTCAACAAGAATGAACTTCAAAAGAAGGGTAAAATTCTCTGATGTCTGAATTTCTCTCAAGGGTGCCACGTTTAGCTTGCATTTCTTAAATGGGAAATCTGTTTCTGAGTGCCCAACAGTTTGTAATATGTTTCTTTTTCAATGTTATTTCATAGAGAGAGCAGGCAATGTGTCTCTTTGGGCAAGGGGAAAAAAAAAAAAAAAAAAAAAAAAAAAAAAAAAAAAAAAAAAAAAAAAAAAAAAAAAAAAAAAAAAAAAAAAAAAAAAAAAAAAAAAAAAAAAAAAAAAAAAAAAAAAAAAAAAAAAAAAAAAAAAAAAAAAAAAAAAAAAAAAAAAAAAAAAAAAAAAAAAAAAAAAAAAAAAAAAAAAAAAAAAAAAAAAAAAAAAAAAAAAAAAAAAAAAAAAAAAAAAAAAAAAAAAAAAAAAAAAAAAAAAAAAAAAAAAAAAAAAAAAAAAAAAAAAAAAAAAAAAAAAAAAAAAAAAAAAAAAAAAAAAAAAAAAAAAAAAAAAAAAAAAAAAAAAAAAAAAAAAAAAAAAAAAAAAAAAAAAAAAAAAAAAAAAAAAAAAAAAAAAAAAAAGAGCCGAGCCCACACCCGTTAACCCGGTCATGTAAAATCCAGAATCAATTGTGTCCAAGAATCACTATCATTAATACCCAATAATCATTATACAAAGGACCAAAAACGAGAGGAGAAGTTGCCCATACAATTATAAAAGGAAAAAAAAAAACAATTAGGTTTCAACCAATAAGAAAACCAATATACTTAGGGCCGTTGGAATTCCCTACATGAAGGAGTTATGGATCGAACGGTGGCCAGATGAACCATGGAATACCTCCTCGAATACTAAACCACCCTTTTTCCTTCCAACTCTACCGCAAATCGCATATCCTAGCAGCAGGTAGTCTGCTTCACAGCTTTCAATGGGGGCACTCTTACACTCCTTCTCTGTAGCTTTTATCACTCCAAAGCTTTAAAATGGTCCATGGAAATGGGTCCTCCAGAAACCAAATTTCAAGCTTGGAATTCGCAAATGGGTACCCTCGTTTTCCTTCTCGTAGGCCAGTTACCTCTCAGAAGCTCTCTGTTGGACGTAGAAAGTCGTGATTGTTGGTGCAAAGAAGAACAATAACAAGGAGGAGAAGAAGAAGAACGACAATCATAGCTTCGTATCAAAACCGGATGAGGCCACTGGCCCTTTCCCTGAAGCTGTGCTGCTTAAAGAGGTTGCCTTTTGAATTTTGACACAACTCCATGCTTTACTATTTTTTTCCTTCTTTATTGGGATTATGAGTTTTTAAATTTCCTTTCCTCTCTGCGAATTTCGGTTTCTGAAATATAAAGACTTTTTAGTGCGACCCTCTACTTTTCAGCCACCGCTGTAGAATGTTCATATTGGTTATCTGAGATTCAAGCTATGTAAATTGTGGCTTAAGTACATTCCTATTGTGGGTATCTGAGTTGTCCTTTCCTTTGTTCTGTTTCTTTGGACTATAATGTTTCACCATTAAAGTATGACCTTGTGTACAAGGGATCTTCTTTTCTTGAAAAACTAAATGAAGTTGGATAAGATAAGGTTTTGGGTTGCTTAAGTTTAGGTGCATGTATTATTACAGTGATGAGATGACTCTAATTGTAATTGATTTTGAGATGAATTTTTGAGATGAATTGCAGAAGAAGTTCAGGAAGATGGTAAACTTCTCCCTGAGTTTGCTGACGCAGAAGAAGGTGCGTTATTCTGATTCAAACTTGTTATAGGTGATTGCTATCTTTTTAAAAGGACGCAATATGAGTTTTCTTTGTTCTGAGAAAGATTTTGGCCCTATGGGGATTGCTGTTATTGATTTTTTTTCATCACTATGCAGAGAAGGTATATGAAATTTGAAGCTTCAGCTACAAAGCGATTTGAATGAGGAACGAAGTAAGTGTACTTCCTGCTTCTTCTTCTTGCTAGTAGGATTGTCATGTGGTTCTTAGGGGGCAGGATAATGCACTTTTATGTTCTAGGCTGCATCTACTTCTTTGCTAGTAGGATTTTTGAGATGCAATTTGGCTTTACTATATTGAAATGGTGGAATAAATTGCCTTTAATAATTCATAGAGCAAAGGGACAATGTTATGAGTTTTTAACTGCGTGATTTACGATATGTTGGCTTCTAGACTGACATGTTTTATGACTCACTGTTTTCCTTGTCACAGTGCGCCACTATGAGGTGGTTTATCTGATTAATGAGAAGCATGTGGAAGAGGTTGGGAGTGTCAAGGAGAAAATTGAAGGTTGACTTCTAATCTCTTAGTACTGTGTACGTTATTACTGAACCAAATATGATAGAATTCACCATGGATTTTGATGTATTTAAATTTATTTTTCCTTTTGGCATGCTTCTTTGTTCTTCTATACTATCTTGTCTTATAGAACAATAGGACAATAGTTGAAACACACTGTTCTTATTAGAATGGAGGAGAATAGTACATGGCTTTTGTAGGCTAGTTGGCCTCCTAGTGGTGTAGCTATTGGTTACCTATCTTCTAGATTTATGACTCTAGGCTATTGGCCCTTCATTCGTATAGCTATTGGCTGGTCAACTCTTTGTTTTATAGAACAAGGCTCTTGGCCTCTATGTGACTATTGGTCACTCTTAACACTTGGCTCCCTTTGTTGGGAGATCCCTTGGCTTGACCACACCCCCTTAGATTGGGTAGCTCTCTTTCTAGCTCCCTTGTAACTTAGTTTTGGATAGCTCTTAGCTCCACCGCCATAGACATTTTTCTCTAGCTGCTTGCTTGTTGTGACTTCATTGAGAAAATTCTTACATATTCATTTAGTTTGCCGACATTCCCATGAAGCTTATAGAATTTCTTCAAGCTTCTAGATTTTTCCATATTTCTTTACCACAAATGTGCATTATTTTCAACAAGAATGAACTTCAAAAGAAGGGTAAAATTCTCTGATGTCTGAATTTCTCTCAAGGGTGCCACGTTTAGCTTGCATTTCTTAAATGGGAAATCTGTTTCTGAGTGCCCAACAGTTTGTAATATGTTTCTTTTCAAATGTTATTTCATAGAGAGAGCAGGCAATGTGTCTCTTTGGGCAAGAAGGTCAGCACTGGCCCTTCAAATAATCTTTAGCAGTTTTACTTTAGGTGTCATATATATTTGAAGAATTTAGGTGTCATATATATTTAATTAATTTTACTTAGAAAGCAGCTTGTAATTGCTCAGAAATGAAAACTCATCTACTTGCTTGTAATTTCTTTAGCTCCTCACAGAGTTTCCTCAACCCATAAATAACTTGACATTGCTTAGAATGAAAGTTCATCTAGGAACTTGCGAACGGTCTACTGATGCATGCATATACTTATCAGAATTCTTGTAGGACGAGTTTCCCTTTTTGAGTTGCAGTTGAAATGCCAAAGCTTTTTATTGATGTTTATCTGTGAATTACTTGTTGCAGGTTTTCTAAGGGAGAAGAAAGCCAGGATATGGAGAGTGAGTGATTGGGGAATGCGAAGACTAGCATACCAAATAAAGAAAGCCAAGAATGCTTACTACATTTTGATGAACTTTGAGATAGAAGCCAAATGGATAAATGACTTTAAGACCATGTTGGACAAGGATGAAAGAGTCATTAGGCATCTTGTGATGAAGAGGGATGAGGCAATCACAGAGGACTGCCCTCCTCCTCCTGAGTTTCACACCGTCGGTGCAGGTACGGATTCTGATGAGGAAGAGGAGGATATGGAATACGACGACGAAGAGTACGGAGATGAAGATGGGATTATTATTGTTGACGCTGACAATGCTGATATAGAAGATAGGAAACAAGGAATGGTAGAACAAGTAGCTTAGGAAAAACAGGAATGAGACAACTGAGGGCTGAAACAAGTGAGAAATCAGAAAGTTTTGCGTATTGGTTTTTGTATAAATTTGTGTGACGTTCAGAACAACAGATCATATTTAAGTATATAATGGCATATATGCTTGCTTTGATTTTATGTCCAAGTTGATTTAATATATTCCAGTGTTTCGACAGAAATGGTTGATTTGGTCCGCAATAAACCTGTTTAAGCCTTGATGGCCTTTAAGCGACAGGAATTGCTTAACGCTAAGATGAAGTGGTTTAAGAAATCTTTAAATCTGATTAATTAAGGTTACTGATTTTTCCACTCTCTTTTTATCCACTTACACCATTTTTTTGAAATTGTATGTTCTCACTCATCTTTTGTTCACATTAAAAAAACAAAAAGGAGTGTAGATGGATAAAAAGAGAATGGGAAAATCACCACCCTTAATTAAATTGATATTCATAAAACTTTAGATCCGATTAATTAAATTGAGTAATGTAATTTACGGATCCCAAGCCGAGCCTTTGGCATATCCAGAATCACTTACATGTTTCTCCATAGAAGTTATTTTTGGATAAGCCCTTGAGTTTCTTCTAGATTAAAGTATTATGGATGACAGTTGTTCTGGTTGATACTATTCCTGCAATATTTGGGACCGTGGCTTGAGTTGACGTAAGGATATTTTGGGTGAGGTTCATTTTGAGAGATTCCAGAGCCCTACTTCACGAGAAATACTTCTATTAAACGGAGATAGAATTATTTTGTTATTTTCGGTCAATAACGTTATGACATATGTGTTAATACTTCCACGTGACATAGTATTATTAGTCAGAAATAACAAAACAGTGTTATCCTAATTGAACTGAGTTTTTCTCCTTCTTCACATCCGGTCATAATCATAACCGCATCAGGTCTTCAAAGTGAACAACCTCTAGTTAACGGAACAATGTAAACAAGAAAAGTCGACAAAATAGATCTGTAACCTCGAAAAAAGGATTAACTCTGAAAGCAGAACACGGGGTCCCAATCTCAAACCCGTCGACTGTTCGGTGGATTGTTCAAACTCCTCCCGCGGTGAGAACAGATAGTTGCGTGATCGATTCATTACCATTGCATCACCACCTAATCCTACATTACATGGCTTCGAGTCAATTGCTCCTGATCCTGAAGTCTTACGTATTTAATGTCCGTCGACTGTTCGGTGGATTGTTCAAACTCCTCCCGCGGCGAGAACAGATAGTTGTGTGATCGATTCATTACCATTGCATCACCACCTAGTCCTACATTACATGGCTTCGAGTCAACCGCTCCTGATCCTGAAGTATTACGTATGACATATTTAATGTTTAAGAAATTTTGGATTGCAAGACAATTAAAGGGCCACGTGGCATGAGTAAAGCTTAGGTTTTCATTTGTTATCTAATATTTTGTAGTGAGCGGGTGAGAGTAACGTGTGGGAGTGTATTTTGTAAAAGTTGAGAAGTTGAGGCAGAACTCTCCTCATGTTGAAATAGAAGAACACCGAGAGTTCAAAGCGACGACTCTGTTTTTTGGCTAGTAACAATAAAATATTTAGAATAAAAATAAACTACTCTATCAGTTGACATGTCATTTTCTAAATCATTAGATTATTACAATAATTTAGATTAAGTGAAATACCAATAAATTCACGAACTTTAAATATAGAGGTTCGAGATCCGTAACTTACAAAGCCAAAATCAGGTGGGGTGTTCTTTGCTCATACTTTAGTTTAGATGGGCAGAGCAAAAAGGCCATAAAACCATTGTCTCCTTTTCAATACACTATGAGGAAAATGAGATAAAGTCAGTCTCATAAATATGTTAAATATGATTTTTTTCGTTTTTCCTTTTTGATAGGTATGGTAATGATGGCTTTGAGAAATAATTTATTATTATTATTATAGCAATTCTGGAAATACATTTCTTTGAGAAGAAAAAGGAAGCTTCCATCTCGTGCGGAAAACAATTTAATTATAAAAAATGACCCACAGTCATAGCAAACTTTTCCAAATGCAAACGCAAGTCTCTATTTTCAAGAATGAATTATGCCCCGATCATAGGATGCATGCAAAGACAAACGTGCATTAAGGATCCTAAATTCTCCCTCTTTGATTTTGATAAGTAACTGAATAATACGATACATTTAAATTAAAATGATTAAAAAAATAGGAAAAGAAATGGTAGCAATTGAGATCGAGACCCAGGTGGCCATTCCAAGTTTGACCGAGTATCCTCCTTCTGCCATCTCTATAAATGAGCAATGCCCTCAGTTTAGAGGACATGCACCACACCAGTAGTTATAGCAGAAACAAACAAACATGGCACAATTTGCTTATGTCACCACCGCCATTGTTGCCTTCTTCCTCATCCTCCTTCCACAATCTTATACTTCTGGATCTATTTTAAGCCATAACCCTCGCTCCTACTCACTTACACAATCAGATGTTGATCTTTTAGAATTTCCTCTGAATTTAGAGTATTTGGAAGCTGAGTTCTTTCTGTATGGCTCTTTGGGCTATGGCTTGGATGAAGCTAATCCAGGCCTAACTCAAGGAGGTCCATCTCCCATTGGTGCTAAAAAAGCCCACTTGGACAACTTCACTAGGGATGTTATCACGCAATTTGCATGGCAAGAAGTTGGACACCTGAGGTTCAATCTTCTTTCTTTCTTTTGTTTTAGTAGTTTTTTTATAGTATTTTTCTCATACCAAACTTTGTATTAATTATGTTATTTTATGCAGAGCTATTAAAAGTATAGTAAAGGGATTCCCAAGGCCATTGTTGAATTTGAGTACGGAATCATTTGCCAAGGTGTTTGATTCTGCATTTGGTCATCCCTTGGTTCCACCTTTTGACCCTATGCCAATTCAATCAACTATCTCCTTGCATCCTATGTGATTCCTTATGTTGGTCTCACTGGGTATGTTGGAACCGCCCCAAATCTCCAAGCTAATGTTTCCAAATCGGTAAGCTTCAAACACAATAACAAGAAACTGAAAATATAACCCGATTATTTGTTCACGTTCACCAAATGATCTGGCAGTGTTTCGTTATTTGAATCAAATCAAATCTGAGTTCGCTCTGAACTTCATTTATTATTAGTAGTATTGACAAATTCAAATTGCTTGGTGATTTGATATATATATATATATATATATATATGTAACAGCTAGCTCTAACATACTCATTATTAATTTATGTGGGTTATGTTCAGCTTGTTGCAGGGCTTTTGGCAGTGGAATCAGGTCAAGATGCAGTGATTCGAGCATTGCTATATGAGCGTGCCCCGGAGAAGGTGCAACCATATGGTATAACAGTGGCTGAGTTCACTAATCGCATTTCAGATCTAAGGAATAAGCTAGGACATGAAGGTTGGAAAGATGAAGGCCTTGTGGTTCCCAAATACAGAGGTGCTGAGGGAAAAATCAGTGGCAACGTTCTCGCCGGGGACGAGTTCTCACTCGGATATGCCAGGACACAACAGGAGATACTAAGAATTATATATGGAAGTGGTAATGAACGTGTCCCTGGAGGTTTCTATCCTAAAGGAGCTGATGGCCATATTGCTAAATCTTATTTACCCAATGCATAGAACTTGAACAAATTAATGGTACTAGTTAGGTTGCCATGGCGTTCAGGTTCCTTGTTTAGACAGTGTGTTTTCAGTAGTTGTAGACAGAATAAATGTTCTTAATAAAGATTGTGATCAAGGAATTGCTTCATGATTCAGTTTGCACACATTTCAATTCGATCACTAATGTAGTTTAAAAATAAATAAAGGTAAAAAGTCACTTTTTGTCTATGTGGTTTATCATTTTTACCACTAAGGTCTCTGTGGTTTCTATTTGAATATTTTTGTCCTTGTGGTTTCAATTTCAAGTAATTTAAAGACAACTCTTAATTTCTATTAAATTTTTTAAACTTCCGTTACTTGTGAAGGGGGCAATTTGGTCAAATTATTAAAAAATTCATTCTTTTTTAAAATAACAAATACAAAATGGAAAAATAACACAAATTCATTCCTTTTTAACTCTGGTGCCCTCCTCCTCCCACCATAACCACCATCTAACAAACCACTGCCCAATATCACCCACCCAGCAACCAACCCTTACCACCCTCTCATCACATAACTTCTCAAGACACCTCACCCTTTGCCTCTGTGTCTCAAGTCCAGCCCAAAAAATTGAATGCAAGCAAAAGACCACATTGCTCATAATTTATTACAATATGGCCAATAGATCTGCCAAAAAAAAAAACTAACAAACAAACAAACAAAAATTTAGCTCCAACCCAGCCCACCCACCAAGAACTACTCCTATTTCAATTTTATTCCCACTTATTATGGCTTATTTGATGGTATTTTTGAGGAGCAGAACTTGAAGTTGGGAAGGGTAAAATCTATAGCTATCGCCAAGTTATTAAAAATCGATTGATGAACAAAGCTGTATATTGGAGAATATCTAGTTTTAGGTTGTGGTGGTGGTGGAGAGATGATTAGCGGGCTGTGGTGGGTGAGGTGGAGAGCCAAATCGGAGAGAGATAGAGGGATGAAGGGGGTCGGTGAGCTGGTGTTGGGTTGTCGATAGGGATGGGGTTGGGGGGTGGGTCACGGCTAGGGGTAGGGGTGGGGCTGGGGATAGGATGCTATCAGGTGGTGGAGAAATGAAGAGGGAGAGATATAGCACAGAGGGACGAAGGCTTCTAGGGAGGGGAGAAGAAGATATATTTTTTATTTATTAATTTTTCCATTTTGTATTGTTTATTTTTAAAAGAATTAATTTGTTAATAACTTGTTGACTAGATTACCCCTCCACCAGTAACAGAAGTTAAAAGCGACGAACCACAGGGACCAAAAATGACGTTTTGCCATAAATAAATAAACAGAAAAACCAATCAGTAAGCTTAACTCACAGACTGGAGGTTCATAATATAAGGTTGCAAGTTAGACAATAAAGAAGATACAGTTAATGTTGCATCCCAAACTCTTCATTTATACACCCCATGAACATGATACATATTTAAGTCTGCACACCACACGGATCATTCTCGACCCAAAAAAGAGAAACAAAGGACGTAGGTTACATGAAAAAAGTAATCGCGTATCAAGACAAGAAGACATGAGAGGAAGGTTTTGATATACAGTGACCTGTTGCAGCACATGCATTCAGCATTTCTGGTGTCAATGGTTGTTGCACTTAAGCTCTTAACCGTCATCCATACGAATTTATGCAGAGCAGAACCAATAGCTGCTGCTGCAAGAACCATTTGTACATCAAGTTTCCACGTTGGTCATGAAGGGGCAAAATTGCAGTTACAAAGTCATCGTAAGGTAAGCAGCAGCTAAGCAAGGAATTAGCATATGAACTGCGCGATATTCGCAAGTAACAGGACATATAAGTGTAAGCAGCCAGGAGATCGCAGCATATGGAATGCGTTAAGTTTAGCATCTGTCACATTTATCAATGTTAGGCTAAGAATATATAAAACAGATGAATCTTCATATTAACATCAAGCTCATGTTTCTTATCCATTGCGAAGTATATCGTCCAGTATGTAGATTGGCTCCAACTGACCTAAACTGCTAAAGAAACACCGCACTAACACATTCCATGTGCCAATGTTGGGGCAGATCCCTTCCCTTATCATCTGATGAAGATAAACCATGGCTTCATCTAAACCTATCAAATTACAAATCCCAGACAGAAGACTGGTGTAAGCTATTACATCTGGCTGCCACTCCTTTGCCGCACCAATACTGTTGAAAATCTGAGTAGCGGTGCTTATCCTACCTTGCTTACAATAGGCATATATAATTATGTTATATGTGATGGCATCAGGCTTTGTTCCCCCTACCAGCATTTTGCCGAAAAGCTGCATACCGTCCATGGTCATTCCAGCTTGACAAAAACCATTCAAAATGGTATTGTAAGTTACCAAATTCAGTTCCATCCCTCTTTCTTGTATCCCCTTAACAAGTCCAAATGCTTCTTTGAATCTATTCACCTTGAAGAGACCATCCAATAGCTCATTATATGTTGTAATGTTAGGAAAACACCCATGCTTCTCCATCTTATCAAGCATCTTGACAGCCCAATCTACCTTTCCATCGCCACATAACCCTTTGATAAATGTATTAAATGTAACTGTATTTGGAGGACAACCTTCAGCGGTCATATTTTCCACAAGACATTGAGCTTGATGAAACATATAATTCCTACAAAGAACATCCACCATGCAGGTATATGCTATGACATTAGGACGGCAACCATGGTTCATCATATTGTTCCAAGTCTCAGATGCACCAACAAGGTTACCAGCTTTTGCAAAGCCATCAATAAGAGTGCCATATGTGGTCACATTTGGAGGGCAGCCATTTCTCTCCATCTCATGTAAAACAGATACAGCATCACCCATTTTCCCATTGGAGCAGAAACCATGTATCAGACTAGTATATGCAATAATATTGGGCACAAATCCCTCACGAATTATGCGTTTCCACAAGCCAAGAGCTTCATGGACTCTCCCTTCTAGAAAATAACCCTTTATCAAGGAAGTAAATGTGTGAATATTAGGACTACATCCTCTCACAAACATTTGAGCCAAAACTGCAAGAGCAGACTCAACGTTCCTCATATCAGAAAGAGAATTAATAATCGTTGAGTATGTGATAACATTAGGGTCTATTCCTTTATCCACCATTTCAACCAACAATTCCAAAGCCTCCTCAATTTTGCACTCTTTGCATACCCCATTTATCACAGCATTATAAACAGGCACAATGGGATCAAACCTAACAGCAAGCTCCCTGGCTTCTTCTACCTTTCCAACTCTACACAAAGCAGACACTACAGTCGTATAGCTCACCGCGTCTGGAGAACATCCCTTCTTCGACATTTCAACAAGCAACTTGTGAGCACCATCCACTCTATCATTTTTACACAACGCCTTCAAAAGAATGTTATATGTATACACATTTGGCTCCATCCCATCTTTCTTCATATTACTATATATCGGATTAATCATCTGAAACCTATTCTCACTAAGCAATGCATCCAAGAGGTGATTGTAAATCTTGACCGTTGGTTTGCATCCAAATTCTCTTATCCTATAGAACATTTTCAACGCCTGCTCAGCCAACCCAGCTCGCCTATAAGAGTTGATCACACTTATGAACAACTCCTCAGAGCAGCCAAGTCCCTCCAATTTCATTTGGTTCAATAGGTACTGCACACCATCCATTTCACATTGGCTCCCAAGCTTCACAATCATGGCCTCGTACGTTAATGGGGTGTGCTTGAAAGCTCTTGAATTGGAAATGGACCTAAAGTATTCTAATGCCGACGCTATGTGGTGCTCGTGTCTTAACCTCTGCAACACATCATACTCTTCAAGAAAGGCTTGGCTGGGTTCCATTTGGGGTTTAGGGTTTGAATTGAGAATTGGGTTTGTGTTGAGCACAAATGGTCTTGATGGTTTGTGAACTTTTAGCAGCAGGGAGCATCCTTCTTTCAAATACATGATAAGGACAAGCTCAAATTCAGCTCATCAAATAACAAAAACCCCCAAACCCCAGCTAACACAAAGTTTATGAATTCGAAAATGGTGACCAAAGCAAGAACCAAAAATGAAAGTTCGAAAATTTGAAGGTTTCTTAGAGTTGGGTTTGCAGTAAATGGTTCAAATTCTAGCTCAACGCCGGATTTTCATGTTCAGGAGAGGAGTACCATCGTCTTCTCAGAAGTTTGGGTTGTATATGTATGTAGAATAAAAATCTGGGGTGCTGATGTAAATATAAAAATATTTGGGGCGAAATATGAATTAATAAAAAGTCGGACACACACACACTCCGACTCGGACTCAGTTTTCTTCTAAGGACCCAAAAACCCAATTAGACAAAAACAAAGCTCATTCAGCAGCAGAGTGGAAGAGCAGGCCTCCGATCGCTCCTCAGTGTACGTACATCCATCTCTGGCAATCTTAATTTCCTCAATTTGTTTTCCGTTTTGGTTGTTTATGTTTTTGACGAATTTGATGTTATGTTGTCTTCAGTTCCCAAATAACAGATCTTACCGTTTGTTATCTATTCTATATTAACTGAATCGGGAACATGCGGAACCATATTCTGTGTTTTAATTTTTCTTTATAGGGACGTGGGTTTTAATTTTTTTTGCAAGAATTCATTGTAAACATTGGATTTTTGTGTGATTCTATCTCTGTCTCTGTATAATTTTCTTGGTGGTTAGATGTAGTTCTAAAAGGAAAAAAAAAAAAAACAAAAGAAAACCCAGTTTAACTGGTGCTGATGTGCTGAGTGAGAGATATCAAAGGTCTAATATGGACTTAAGGCGCCAGGATCGCCAATACTCATGACTGGTTTTAGCTGGTTAAGTGAGGTTTTTATGTTGAAATCTTGATAATTTAATTCATCTTAAACCCATTAAAGAGTCTTCTATGTGTTTGCAAAACTTAAAGCAAACCCATTTGACCCTTTTTCTCTCTAGTTTTTCTCCTCCGGTGGTGGAGTTTCAGATTTACCATGCCTGTGAATTTAGGAAGTACCTAGGAGTCCACCCATTGTGTTCTGAAATTTTTGTGTATATTTGCTTCCTTGGTAGTTTCACCTGTTCCAATTCCTTGTTTTTTTTTGTTCACTCTTACGCTATGATTTATGTTTTCGCAGACTAGGTGCTCTATGAACTTATATTAGTTATTCACTGATGGTTTGTACCAAACTAAGGGATGGTTTTTATTTTGTCTTTTTTCTTCAGAAATTATTTGTCAGCTCACAGAAAGCAGAAGGTATGGGTGGACATAATGACTCAAGTGCATCTGAGAAGAAACTGAGCGAGGCTGCAAATGTTGTGCCAACCCTCAATGCTGAGAATTTGCAAAGTAACATGAAAGTTATATATTACAGGTTTGTTTTGATAAATTCGTAGACCATGAATCTATTCTCTGTCCCCATATGTTCTTTACATTGACTTGTCAAGCCTCAAAAGGTTGGTTTCTATGTCAATCTTAGGAGGGAGGGCAATAAAACAAGGATTTTTTAATATAAATTTTAGCTCTTATAGTTTGTTCAGTTTTCTCCAGTAATTGATGATGAAATGTCTTGTTAAATGTTGGGAGGGATCGTGGTTCCAGATATTGCTCGTGTTGATTACTATATGCTATCAGGCTAGTGTAACAAAATAACCTTTTCGATTCATCGTAATAACATGTGGGAAGATCTCACTCCAAAGAATTTGATAACTTCAAACTTTGTCATGCTAGCTAATCCATTCTTACAACTTTCTGTGTCAATACTAAAAAATTCTGTATTTCCCCTTGTGCAGCCGAACATTTATGTCTATCATTGGTGGGGTCATTGCTGGAATTTTGGGATTCACAGGCCTTACTGGTTTTATCTTTTATTTTCTTGTTATGGCTGTCACTTCAGTTGGACTCATTGCCAAGGCGGGGTTTACAGTTCATTCATATTTTGATAGCTGGAACCAGATTATACTTGATGGCTTTCTCGGTGGGCTTTTGGTACGCTCTCTTTTATTTAACAGTTCTCTTTGATAGGCTACACTTTAAAATAGTTGTCATTGCTGATATATCTAATATAGTTATTAAACTAATGTAAAATTTGTGATGACACATCTAACATTATCAATACCTTCATCTTCTTGATTTCCTTCTTCTCTTTTACCTTTGACTAACAACTGTTTTCTTTTCATTTTGCAGTCATTTGTGCTGTTCTGGACGTATCCTTTAAACAAATGAGAGCATACTTAATAATAACAATATGTGTGTATGTGTGTGACCGATTTATGGTACTGAATTGATGTTGTTGGGTAAGGAAAGCTCTTTTGCCAGCAACATCATAATATACAGCCTAGGGGGAAATCAGTTGTTTTTGGAGCAGCCAGATCATGCCATACAGTTCTCAAATTTTGGGATAAATATCTGAAAACTAGTACTTTTTTGCCATGACAACTCTTATGGCATGACCATGGTGCCTCCAAGAGCATTGGTATTTCGCAAAATCATGTTAGACTGAATTTCTGTGAAAATCTGAAAACATGCGTTTTAGCTAATTCCTATGTCTCTGATGTTTACATGTTTTCCTTGACATAAAAAGATTTGCTTATGACATTGTGCATATATTCTGAGGAGTTATCTGCAACATCTCGAACTGATGGAACCCCGCGTTGCTGCTAACTCTTTACCATATCAAGAATGAAGTGAATCCGCTGCTGCTTTGGGGATGGCCAAGTTATTTGTGTTAAACGAATGTAATTGTGGGCTTTGTCCGCCTCTATTTTTCCCCATGAAAACACTTTGGCTACAAGGCTAGCATGCTTAGGCTTATTGACGTACCTGCAGAACTTTTTGTTTTAGGTCATTTGTTTTATGAAAGCTGCTTTGTTCGTTGGATTGTAATCAAAATAGTTTTCTTTTAACCAATTCAAATGTTAGATAAAGGTGATGAAATGAAATTTTATATATTGAGGCGGTAGCATTCGTGGATCAGAGAGCCCATCCAAAGATAAGTGACTAATATCTCTTCTACTTTTTTCTGGGTAAAATTCTTTAGGACTAAATATTTTGAAAACGAAAAGACCAAAAAGGAAGTACGAGATACGTTTGACAAACTCTTGGATCATTTTACCATAATGGTAGCAAAAGTTGAGTATAAGTATGGCAAAGGTATCCCCCTGGTTGGAGGTCATATTAATTACCCACCCTTCCCTATACAATTTATGTCGCAAAATCTAATACTAATACAATGCTCATTGCTGAGAAGAAAAGAAAAACTAATACAATGATCTGCATTTCCATTAATAACCCAGACGATCAGCAGCAGATGAATCCGTATCTCCAATGGGTTACGGAGGCAAAGAACTCTTGCAGTGGAATGGTATTCTCCGGTGTTCACGAATAACTTTTACAAGCAAGTGGCCTTGTGTACTATATCTTTTTTCGTATTTGAATTATCACACCTGCGGAGTTTTTTCAAGTATCAACCAAATTCCAGAGTGAGATGAGAAACCATATTAAAACTTTCAACTTTAAATTTCCAATGTGGTGTTCAAGTTAAATTTTTTTTACGGAACAAAATTTCAGCTTTACGTAGGGCCATCATTCCTTGGCACTTGACCTTCCTGATGAAAACCATAGTGTACATATCCCACCATCCCACTTTCTATTTAAAGAAATGCGATATTGAACATTAGGATGGAGGTTAGTACATGCATTTCCATGAGTAGGTTTTCAGCTTTTAAGGCCAATGAATGATTTGCACTCATACACATTTTGGACAGCGTGAAACGGACTGAGACTTGATTAACCAATTCAGAGGAGTAAAACTTACCAGCATTTGGGGGATTTTTAGGAAGACAAAAGAGATGAAGTATAATCCACATGATATTGCTGTGGCTGTAATTATGTTGTTGACTAGGCGCTTGTTATCTTTACTGGGTACAAATGCTACTTTCAACGTATTTGTCAGGTCAAAAAGCCTGTAAGAGATCTGCAAGCAAGCATGCAAAAATTGAAGCATGAAAAATAAAGGCCAGATATTTTCAGATTACAGCATATAACATCCTTTACTTACTGCAACGTAAATGGCGGAAGTGAGCATGAAGTTCAATAGCGGGTATTCTGGGATCATAGAGAGCAACAACTTAGGCTGAGCATCAGGGAGACCAGATCTGCAAGTTTTCATGCAAGTCAGAATAAGAAACGTAGGTAATGTAGGCATAAACATGTATACCATGCGAACTTCCATTAAAACCGAAATTAAAAGGGAAACTGAAGTTTGACCAATTCTCAGTGACTCATCAAGAAGATTTCATTTCTCATTTAAGATATTGATCCCTTTTTTACTATAGACTAACAGAAGGAACTACTGCTCCACCTTCTTTGTGTTTCTTTGGTGTAGGGGGAATTGATCAAAATAGAAGTTGAGAGGGGATATTTAAAATTACCCTAAGATTCACAGGGAATTTATGACAATTTTTCCTTTCTGCTAACATTAGTAAACACTTATGGACTATCTTTAGCAAATAACTGGAGTAAAAAGTGAGCTTCAGTGTACCTTAACCAGACGTGGAATTGCAAGATGTAGGTCTCCAGTGTTATCTTTCCAAGCCATCTGGTAAACCAAAAATAATGTTAGGGAAAAAAAACCCAGAAGTTTTAAAGATTACAAGCATCTTTATAATGGTGTAATTTTTTACTGAAAACAAAAAAGATAAAGCTACCATAATCTTTAAGAATTACACCCGATGGTGTCTGCAGCAAATGCTATGACCCTAATGTATGAGAAGAAACATATTAAAATCAGAGAGATCGCAAGATGAAACACTCACGCAAAAAGGGTCAAAGAGTAGCTGCGGAATTTCTGTGTGACATTGCGCAAACTTATGTAGACCCTGATCAGCAAGAACAAGATGCTATATTAGCAAAAAAAAATTTTAGGGGCGGTCAAAAATGTTAAAATACTCAGGGCAAGATACCATACGTTATAGGAATCCATGAGGTATATGGATGATATTTATTGTAAGTAAGCTTGTCCATCTTGTATATATACTCAAACCACAGATATCCCACCTATAAATTCAGAGACTGCATCAGAGATGAATGTTTAAGAAGCAGAATTTTCGTGATTATGAGAATTATAATACCATTACGGTTATCAGTGTAACAGCTGTTTTGATTGACATTTTACGCTTCCATTCTGCTTCCTCCAGTTTCTCCATCCACCTTTCAACCTATAAAGACTTACGCCAATTGGTTAGCTACTGAATCATAGGAATGACAAACCAAACAGATCCATATCGAACACACCAGTCAAATACGAAAGTTTACATGAAAGATAAAATTAGATCAGAAAATTGGGAAAAATGAACAGGATTTTTATCGAGTCTTACAGTTGGATGATAGTAAGCATATATCATTCCAATTATCCATATGTATCGATCAAGGCCTGAGCGGAAATGCCATTCATGCAAGAGGGGTAAACCTGGTTTCGCAGGATCTGTGTAGCCTGCAATTTTATTAGGAATTCGGTCAGTGATGTGCAATTTCTTGACATGGAAAATAATGCTCAACCAGTTACTTACCAAGAAGGAATGTGAGTGGGCTCCAGAGCAATTCAAACACTCCAGGTATTTCCCATACCAAGATAACAACCAAGAAACAACCAATTATTTTTACAGCTATCACTGACCCAATCTCATTATGTTTGTTCAAAATACCGAGTGCCCCATAAACCATAAGAGTGAACAGAGTGTGCATGGGACAGATGTAGTATAGCACGTAACTGTTGTTAAGGACAACACAGCAAAACAATACCAAGAAATTTAGCCGCCACATCATCTGCTCAACAACAAGGAATGAAATGCGTTAGATATACGCTAAATGTGACAAACTCACCCACACAATCTTATATAGATCTAGGGAACTGCATACCTGTGCAAACCTTGGTAGGCTGAAATCTTTGCGAACATAATAATAAGAAAAGTTTCCAAATCCAGTCATCCAGACATATGCAGCAATAAATACTCGGATTGCATTATAAATTTCTGTTGCAGCAAAATAGTGGTACAACAAAAATAACACCTGTAACATGGAGGAACAAAGGGTAAGACCTCAATGATGACAAGACTAACATGGATATATAATTATATAAGTCCTAATAGCACGTGTTTAGAAATCTTCCATGCACTCTAACACTGATGAACTTTTTGTGCTGGAAATGACAAAGTTAGACATGGAAAACCAGATGCCTTGTAGTATTGTAGATGTCAGAAGCATATGATTTGATGAACATACACCAAGAACTAATGGTTTTTATGTCGAACATGGGTGCCAAAATCAATTGACCAACATATAAGCATAATCAACAAGCATACGTCATAAATGAAAACAAATTGACCAACCTGCATCCAGCCTTTCCACTCCTCAGTTTGATGCCTATTCAGATAAAGAATGGATTTCCCAGTTAATGGAGACTTCTCATTATGTATCGTGAAAGAAGCCATTGCCGAAACTATGATGAGAAGGAAGTAAAGAAATATGAAAAGATCCCGGTTGTAACTCTGCACAAACAGATGACATTCAAATATATAAGGCTTGTCACAAAGAGATATTTTAAAAACAAAAGACAAAATGGGGAACATAGATGAATTTCACTAGTGCTTTTTTTTCTTTCTACAATTTAAATCAGCGTTTGTAATCAAATATTTGTTTAGAGACATTGCTTTATTGAAAACTGAACTGCCGAGTAGGAAGACTGAAATGCTTAACATACAAACGACTAAGTTATCAAAGTCACCTTAGTTGATGTGTTGAAGAAATCCGTACGATCACATAAGTAGAAGTATGCTAAAAGGACACTAAATTCAGATCTGTAGACGAGAGAGAAAGAAAGGCAAAGGTCAGCATTCCAATACAGCAGTAAAGAATACTCCTTAATTTGATCCATGAATAAATTGACTTACATTGCTCTAAGCGTCAACCGGTTTTCAAGCAAGAAGGCCTCATCCATCAAAATGAACCTACACCGATATAATAATCATAAGCACATGGTATGAGCATTTTAAATTGAAAACTTGTGCAATGACCGTAATTTAGAAACCTGAATATAGGCGACCAGGCAGATAAAGTTCGAGCTTTCGGTGAGGCGGATTGGAGACCTCCGCCCTCCAATAAAACAGCTCTGTCATCCTCTTTAACCGCCTCTTTTTCCACTTCAACCAAATTTACTTCAGAGTACCTACTAGTGTCAAAAACCAATCTTATTCAGCACAAACACAAAACGCTTATTCGATCAGTTACATACACATACAATGTAGTTCTAAATTGAATGGTTATATGCATAATAATACAATAAGCAATTGAACTACAGCGCAAAAAGTTTTGAACTCACAATTTTGAAGAGAGTGAATTCTTCTTGTACTCCAAGAACTCAGAATAAATCCAAGCTGTGATGAGAGGTATAACTCCAAGCAAAAACGAAACCTGCAATGCATGGAAGTAAAATCCTTACTTATCCTTGAACAAAAATCACCGACAAAACTACATCAATTCAAAAGCGCACACTCAAATCCGAGCAAGATCTGAAAGAAAACACTGGAAGCTGAGAAATTGAGTACCTGGCCAACAGTGACGGGGCTAAAGATCATCATCTTGGCAAGCCTCGGATCAAACACAGAGATCAACGAGCAAGCATTTCACGGATCCGATTCACTCGCTCAGAGAAGAAATGGAAACGAATCTAAGGATGAAATGCAATGTATTGTAATATACGCCGCGATACAGAGTATTAAATTGAGAGAGAGAGAGAGAGAGAGAGAGCGCGTCGGAGGGAAGGAGAAGGTGAAAAACGAGTGAGAAACAGACTCAGAGGGAGAGAGACGGTGAGTTAGTGAGTGACAACCATATATGATTATAATTGCCTTCTTTTTCCTTTTTTTAATATAATTTTTGTTTGTTTTACTTCGTTTATTTTCTTGGGATAGCGCCATTTCTTCTAACTATTATTTAAATTAAATCGTTTCCTTAATTTCCCTTGTTATGGTATGGGGATAGATAGAGTTAGGGCCCTTCGTTTGTGAGGCGTAGGATTCTAATCGGACGGTGTGGATGTGGATCCACGGTTCTCACTTGTGAGGATTGAGTGGGTTCTGACACCCGCACATTAACATGTTCATTTTTTCCAAATTTATTTCCTTTTTTTTTATTTTTATACATGCAACCGATGTTAAGTGATGGAGTTTTCTCACACACTGTCAAAGTATATGAGGATTTGGATATGAGAACATTTGCAAGTAAAAGTTATTTCCACTCGCTAGACCGTTGGCTATTTTCTTATCTTCTTGTTAAGGGAAAGTTTGGATAAATTTCAATGCCTAATTATAAATGGAGGGAGATAGAACAGCAAACTTGTCACATCTAACTTCAACTTTAGGGATATTGTTTTTTAAAGATTGAGATTGACACTTCAAACAAGTGAATGGAGTTGGTATCGAACCATATTACCTAAGTGAATGGAGTTGGTATCCAACTATATTGCCTATAATAAATGTTTTCAATTTTAGACACGTGTGAAGTATTAAAAAGGATGATGAATATAAACCTTGAGTTGGTAAGCAAAAATATTTCCATTTATATTATAATGTTTTGAAATTATTACCATAAATAATAACCATCTATACCAAATACTATTACAAAGGCGAAGTCTTTGTTTTATCAAAATTTTATTCGTTAAACTACTACTCCAATTATAAAACGCATGTTTGATTGCATAATAAGAACCACATCAATCAGTAATTATTTCAAAAACAGGTTAATACAACAAGTGCAAATGGATTTAACTTAAAGTAAAACTTTACATAAATCAAAATTCATTTCGAACACATTAAAATACATAGAATTCATTTTTAACACCCACTTATTCATCACATTTTCCATTGGAGATAGTGTAAGCACTATGTATTTGGAGAAAAAATTCTATGTCACCGGAATAACACTATTTTGTTATTCCCGACTAATAACGCTATGACAAACGTGATAACACTTTCATGAGGCATAATATTATAAGACAAAAAAAGCAAAACAATGTTATTCCATTTTAACTAAAAATTTCTCCTGCGTTTGCCTTCTTCGGATATTTTTATATATAATTTCCCTTCTTGTTAAAGCCTTTTCTCTGTGGAAAAGGATGGCCTGATAAAATTGTTGTCGGCAGACTTTGAATTGAAGAGCTTGCGTCAAATTTTCGGATCCAACCAAATGATATACTGTAAGACCAGGCCCAACTTGTCCATGGCTCTAAACGTAGTCCATGTTTGTTCCTGTTATTCATTATCAGTGTCGTCCCATCACTCCCCGACTACCCATCTGCTTTGACGAGACCTAAATAAAAATGGGTCATATCATCACTAATTATTCATTGACACAAATTTAAGTCTAAACCACAATTGAATAAAAGAGAAAAGGAAAACTTTAATGAATTAAACTTTAATATAAGCTAATAAACTAGAGGAGGAGGAAGTTTCTCTCACACACACTACTAAAATGTCGTAAAGATTCAAACTTAAAACTACTTGAGGAGGAGGAAGTTTCTCTCACACACACTACTAAAATGTCGTAAAGATTCAAACTTAAAACTACTTATCCGCATGTTAATGTCCTTTTGCAATGGACTAGGTCAATATAAACAAAAAAATGCCAGTTATTTTCTCAATAAATAAATGAAAATAGCTAAATGACAGCTACATACACTGAACGCTCATAGTCGTCGGCCCATCATTCAGTTATTAACCTATTGCTTTTTATCTTTTCTTTTTTTCTAAGGGCATTCGTCTCTCGCTCAATTGCACCATCCCAATTCGTTGGGAATTATATAATTTTCAATTATTATTTCACAGTAACTTTTTTGAAATTTCCAACCAAAAAAAAAATTCTTTTTAGTACAATCGATTGAAGGAGGTGAATTTACACAAATATTCATTGAGTGCACGAGAATTTCGAACCTCTACCAAAAAGCTACCAGCTACCAACTACCACACCCAGCAAATAAATACGATAAAATAAAAAGGAAAATATTAATAGATGATGGGAAGATGCGGATTGATTCTTCTTCCATAATATATCAAGAGATGAGATTTTACCAAACCTTCCAAGTTTCAATTCAACCAACCAAAAATTAAGAGCAAAAGGAAGGGGGTCCTACCTAAGGAAATCTGCAAATGAGAGAGCGAGGGAGAGAGAGAGTATTTAAAGCTACAAGCCTTAACCGAGTTCCTTAAACTTACATAACTTCTAAAACCACCTCTTTCAAATGCCCTACCACTACCACTACCACCACCACCACCACACAATTCACTGACTGACATAACTAAGCATTAACAAAATATTGTAAACCCTAAGAAATATACTGCACCATGACAATGATACTACAGCAACCAAAAAAAAAAGGGTAGCACAGAATTCAGGACGCATCGTATCCTTCTTTCTTTCTACAAACAGGACATGAGTTTAAGAGAGTGAGTGAGGAGAGAGATTGACCTATTTGTTAATGGTCAGTCCTCAAACCAAGGACAAGGGGCCCTGCCCTATCTCTTGGAGGGTCTCTCATCATCCTCTCCACCATCATCACCATCTGAATCATCCTTGTCTGATGATCTCTTTCTCTTTGGAGGAGCCTCCACCTTCCCGCCCGCATCATCGTCCTCATCTTCTTCTTCGTCCACATCTTCATCTTCTCCATTCTCTTCTGGCTCAAAATCGCTCGCATCTTCCTCATCCTCTGCACGCCCTACTGGCCGGACAAGGTACTCCGTTCCTATATCATCCTATGTAGTTTCAAAAGATGTCAGCGACGGTCTAACTGACAGCAGGTACCATTAAAATCACAGAAACAGATGCATATCATGAAATGAAAAATGGTACTGTCAAACAAGTGAACCACGTGGGAGGTGAAAAGACAAATATTTATTCAAACAAAGGAGAATTGAAACTCATATTCTTCAAATTAACCAAGCTGTCAATTCCATCAGACTGTCAGTTTCAAACTCAGATTGGGGATTAATTTCTTTGAAAACTTAAACCTTTACCGCAAAACTTCTCAGAAAGCAAAGTTTACAAAAAGATATAATTTAGGAAATCAGAGGTAAAATACCGAAATATATCAGTATTTTAGTCAACAAAGGGTACGGGCTGCAAGGAGCTTCCCAATTTAAACAAACCAAAAGTAAAAGCACCAAAAGCCGCAATAAACGAACTGCCAAATTTACAGAAGAAACAGAGAAAAGCAAATTCATAAAGATAATTTCAAAAGTTGTATGAGACATGAAAAGAAAAAAATGAAAGCTTAACGCAAAAAACAAAAAGTCCAAAACCTTAGCCATAACCATCAGTCACAGGCCAAAGTATTAAACGCAAGGAGGAGAATCTGGATGCAGGATTTCTCTATCATAGCAACAGAGAAAGATTCTTACAGGAGATAATTCAAAAATTAAATGCACAAATAATAAACCAGATGGAAAAGCTTCAAGATCTGTGATAATACTACCGTTCAATTTATTCCCGAAAATAAAAAATAAAAGAAAACCAGAAATTAATTAAATGTCTGGTCTTTAGGCAAAGCATATAACTATGGACTGCAAATGAGCTACAAATATAATACATAGTTCTCTGTTGACAAAGTCATGAAGCGATTGACTACAAACAGGGCCAATACTGTTTGCTAGAAATTCAGAAAAACAGATCTGACAAAAATCTTTGGAATCTACAAAAAGCCTACAAAATTAGGGGAAAACAAACTTTTACCTTGAGAAAGAAAAAATAAACAGAATAAAAATTCCTCAAATTAAATTTCAAGTGCAGGCTACTGGCAAAATCAGATCAAATAACATCTATCCACATAAACAGAACAAAATACATACAAAAAATACCAGATCTGATGAATTTAAACAAAAAACCAGAAGAAATAATAATATATTTTTTTAAATTTGAAAAACGAAAATAAAAAAGAGTTAGAGCTTATTACCTCCTCTTCAGCCTCGCCCTCGTCGTCATCGTCGTCGTCGTCTCCCTCGCCGTCATCATCATCGTCACCTCCTTCACCTTCTTCGTCGTCTTCATCCTCATCGTCTTCGTCATCGACCGACTGAACTGGAGGACCTCCAGAGGACTGTACGACCTCCTGCACATCGTCGTCATCGTCCTCGTCTTCATCCTCATCGTCGTCGTCGTCTTCGTCCACATCGTCGTCGTCCTCGTCGTCCTCGTCATCATCATCACCATCCTCTTCTTCGTCGTTTAGGCTGTCATCTGACTCAGACTCAGACTCCGACTCAAATCGCTCCAATTGCTCAGCAGTCAAAGGCTTAACTTCGTTTTCCTCCACAACTTCCTCCATAAACTTCATCTCTAAACAAACCTCACACAAGTTCCTAGAGAAAATCTCTTGGTTTTTGTCTGGAAAACGAATTGGGATTTGGATGAGAGAGAGGGACGAGAGAGGAGCTTCTTGGTTCGCTCTACCAGTAGCTCTGCAACCAGTGATCTCAGCCGCTGAAACGCGGGTTCACGCGGATAGGTGACGTGGCCATAAATCGGACGGTCCTCGTGAGCCAATTTGTACTTTTGTGTTTATGGGGTTTCCTGCGGCGCTTCATATTCGTTTGTAGTCAGCTGATCGTCACGTGCAAGGAGGGCGTGCTCGAGGTCTCTAGGGTTAGGGTTTCTTTTCGTGTTCTCCAGATTTTGGGCCCATATGTTTTGGGCTAGGCTCACTTCTGAGGCAAGCTATTTAACCGTTCCGGATCGAGGCTATCAATCAAAAGTTTAAAAACCAAAATATCTGGCCCATCGTTTTCTGAGGGGGCTTATGAAGCTATGCTGTGTTTTTTTTCCTTTTTGCTAGGATGGAGCTCATAAAAATAACAACTCAATATTAATCAAAACTTTCTTTCACAATGTTAAAAACTTTTTGGTAATTTCGTGTATTTCTTTTGTAATCATACTTAAAAACTAATGTTAATCTATGTTAGGGCTTGTTTGGTTTAAGGTTTAGACATAAGCTTGGGAATGAGTATGAAATTACATTTTATGTTTGGTAAGTGCACTATTGAGTATTGAGAATGTAATACCTGACTATTGGTTCTAAACTTCCCATGTTGGGGAATTTCATACCCTTGGCTCTTCTTAGTGCAGTTATTTTGGACTAATTTACCCCTATTCAAAATTTCAAATACCACTTTTTATTCATAACTTTTAATAAATGAAAATTGATATTATTTGAAACCTCAACAACTTTTCGTTCCCAATACTGCATAAACCAAACATGGGAATGAAAGAAAGTGACATTTCCTTATCCTCATTTTCCAGCGTTCCCAAACATGGGAATGAACATCTTCCATTTCCATCTCATAGGATTAGACATGGAGTTTCATTCTCAAGAAGTTCAACATGTTTTAGGGTCCGTTTGGAAGTGCTTCTGGAACAATTAAAAGCGCTTTCTAATAACCAAAAGCTCTTCTAACAGCGTTTGGTAGAAAAGTTTAGAAGCACTTTCTGGAGAAGCACCTCTCATGTGCTTCTTCTAACAGCGTTTGGTAGAAAAGTTTAGAAGCACTTTCTGGAGAAGCACCTCTCATGTGCTTTTCCAAGAAGCACTTCGATTTCTTATGAAAATTTCAACATCTTTATAATAAAAGTGCTTTTGGTAGAAGCGTTTATAAGTAGAAGTGTTTCTTAGAGAATCAGTCCCAAACGAGCCCTTAATCTCTTTACATGGTATACAAAAAATATCATTAATTGAAGTCACTCCTCTCTTTAGAGCATCTCCAATCGATGTGTCAAACGTGCCACGCAGATATTTAACGGCTAGAAATAACATCTCACATCACTCCAACCGAATTGTCAAAGCTGATGTGGAATGAAGGCTAGGGGTTCAACTGTTACTTTTGACATCCCAAAAGCAAGATGTCAAATGAATATTTTATTATTTTTTAAAGATAGTTGGCTGTTACTTTCATTTATTATTTTCCTTTTTTATTATTTTCTTCTTTATCTTAAATAATTTGACTGTTACAATAATTATTTATTTGACATATTGGGTGGAGTGTAAAACTGTGTAAATGAAAAATTACTACATCAGCCATCAAATTTAAATTTGATGTTTAGTATTTGACATCTCCCTTGGAGATGCTCTTATATGTGGGATATGCTAGTTTGCTATGACAAAATACCCGTCTTTTTACACCTCATTCTGTATCCCGTCTTTATAGATTCTAATAATTTATGATCATTTAATTTATACTATATCACGTGTATACCATATTTAGAAAAAAGTGTATCTCTTCCCTTAAATAAGAAAAAAGTTGTAAACTTTTGTGATATGGTTTATACGGTTATACCATGCACATTGCTACTCATACCATAAGAAACTTATTATTCTTTTGTGATATTGCCAAACCTTTTTGTTTACGCCTTACGGACACAGAGGCCCTACGATGCACATGCTGGTGTCTTTATCAGATCGCAAAATCAAGCACATTTAATAGCAGGCAAAGTCTGGCAGTTCTATGGAACATGGCCAAAATATTACTTCCTTGGTGCTTTTGTTATTATAGTGACAGTCACATAGACTAGAACCCTAAATTTAAAACAACCATAATATACCAAAATTTTCAAACCCGAAACACCCAAATTCTAAAACTCAATAAACTTGTATTTTCTTAAATATAAAAAATCTTTGTTACAATCAAAATCCGAAGGGTCTTCGATTACGGGCCCTTCGGATTTTGTCTTTGGTGATTTCACATAGTTTTGGTGCATATGCATGACTCTGTATAGTGTTGTGATTTGATTTTGGAAGGTAAGGTGCTGTGTTGGGTTCTAATTTTTTCCTAAAAAACAAGAAACCCCACACTTTCCTTGAGTGGGAGAAACATGCAAAAATTGTCCCCGGTCCATTCAAACCCATTAGGCGGAATTTTCAAATTTCATTGTCAGAAAAGGAAAATGAAAAGAAAAAAAAATAGTATACAGTGGAGATTGAGAATGACGGTATGGTTCAAATGGTTGTTGGGTCGAACGTATAGCGTTCAAAGACTTACTAAGTAAGGTAGGTAAAACAATAGAATAAACCAACACGATATTAACAACTCATTGCAAAAAATATATATTTTATATATAAAATAAATAATAATAAAAAACATTGGAGATATATTCACCTAAAAGTCAGCTGGGATGGCTCTCATCATCGTCTCGTGTGTCACGAATCCAAGAAACGACAATACCTGCTAGCGTTTCATGACACCTTCCCTTCAAACATAAAACTACTGTTCTGTTTGGATTGCATATGCCTTATCTATCCATGTATATATCCAACTATATCTTGATTTAACCTAATTGCTCTCCTCTCTATCACAATCCAACCTCTAATGTCTCAACAACAAGAAACTAAGAGTATATTTATCTCTAAACTTTGACCCAAATAACAATACTAATAATGTGTTGAAAGTTCCCGAAATGCCAAGTTTACTACTATGTGTTAATATATTGCCGTATGTCGTAATTACGGGTAAATTTTATAAGAACTTATAATTTAAAAGTGATTATTCACTTCATCTATATTCACAACAAGAATTCGACTTTTACTCGTGTTTGTCATATGCGGTTACGACTTTTTACATTCTCCATTCTAGGTAAGAAAAATAAAAGGACCATATTTAGTGCATACAGTAGAATCTGTGTCACTGTGTGTTTTAAATTGACATATGAGGAATCGTCCCCGCATGAATTACTCCATGCCTCAGGTCATCCATTCAAAGTACTCGACCACCACCCAATTGGCAGGGTCAAATTAATCATAGCTGGAACACGTGGATTTGGTACATAAATGCCTAATAAAGCCTAATAAATCCCACTTACTATTCCTCCACCAAGTCTACCTTTGATGTTATGCTAGAAACCTCTGCTCTGTCAAACATAAAAGAAGGAGAAAAGAAAACAAAAAGATTCAAGGAAGGAACACAACACACAGATCATATATATATATATCATCCTGTGCCCTGCAGCAACGTGGTAGTCCTCTGCTTTCAGCTGGCTGGACTTTGACTTCTCCATGCCTTCAGCAGGAATATTCCGGTGGGCGGCAATATTCGACTTCTCCTACTTCACTTCTGGGTGGAGCTTGAGCTTGAATTTGCAGAGCTTCAGATGGCCGCGGTTCTCAATACTTGATGATGTGCTGTGGACCTTGATAACTGTGGTAGAGTCCTTGGTCTTGGCTGCCATGCTTTGCTTCTTCTTTGTCTTCTGCGGTTGTACCCTCTGATCCTTATCATTTTCTTCATTTTTTTTAATCATAAAAATTGGATATATATATATATATATATAAAAATATAAATATGTAGATTGTGAATATGTTAGCATAATTTCTTGGGTTAATTAGTTGGCGAAATTAATTTGATCATACAATTTTATGATGGTGAGTTGAGTTGATTTTCGACTTCATTTTGTTTTAACGCATTTGTTTATGAATTGATGTCCCATTTTTTCGTTTTGGGATGGTTTATTCATGTTTAATTAGCTACTTTAGAAATTATTAATATTTTTCGTTATTAATAAGTCCAATGATGAGTTTTCTTTAAAGTTGTAATGCAAACCACCAAAGCTGCAATCGCCACAAGAAAAGAAGAACACTTTTCCCCAATTACTGGCCTTTCTGTCGGCGTGTTACCGCTAGGAGAATTGCAACGTCGTTTTTTGAGCTAGGCCATGCCCTCGAGTGCAACAAAAATTTAGATGATCAGTCAATTATATAACAAACACAATCTTCGATACGATCATCTTTATTTTCAAGTTTCCTTTTGTGAGACGCTTGATGGCTTGTTGCGACAGTCAGTATCAAAGTTGATTTTTACGTCTTGATTAATGCTAAAGATCGACTTTACTTTAAAAATTTGAAGGAAAACCTGAAAGTGGATCCATTTAGATCACCTTGATTATTCACTAGTAATTTTACTTGGGCTTTTGAGCTATTGTGACCATTGTATGATTTGGTTGTGGGTTTGTCCTTTAGCCCTTTGCCTTTGGGGTCCATGTTGGTTATTTACATCCTTACCGGATAGGTGTTAGAAATGAAAATGAGATTCATGCACTATCAGAGTGAAGGTAAAATTATGTTTTTGATACAAGCGATACTGGATTGGGAATTGAGCATAAAAGACCTCGGACACAAAGATAAATGTTTTTAACAAATCCCTTACAAAGAAAACTATGTTAAAACATACACAAAGGTGAAAACACTTTTGTTCACATTTAAGCTAGATTTGTGTTGAAAAGAAGGGTAAGAATTAGAAGAGAAAAATATTGCTTAAGCTAATATAGAACATACAATCAATTTTTACAAAACATTAAGCTACCATATCATATATGCCTCGAGTCAAGACACCGATATGCTCATGGAAATTTGTTCTCTCACTTTTTGTGTCAATCAATGAGCTTCTTAGAGCATCCACAATGGGGGGTATAAGGTATATGTTAAATATACATCATTTGTGATCGGAATCACCTGTAATAGGGAGGTGTAAACAAGTGTACATTTGCATAACCACCATGAGATGCAAATTTATATATACATATACATCTTTTTTACATCTCTTGCAGGTGGGACCCAGCTAAAAAAGATGAGATAAAGTGGAGAAAAGTCACAAAAAAGTGGCTGGACCAAAATTCATATGTGGGCCCATTTTTTGGTTGTCATCTCTCCCTCTTCCCAACGGCTACATTGCTGGACCAACAGCTTTAATTTCCAAAAACAGCTAGCTTTAATTTTTTTTTTTTGGATGAAATCATATCTTCTCTGAATTTAAATATTTTTAGGTCTATTTGTTTGAAAAAAAATAAAATTAACCTAATGCACAAAAAAATTAATTTTATAAAGTTAACACAAAATAAAAATGTAACACAAAAACGAATTAAGACAAAAAAAAATAATAATTATACATCTTTAGATTTATATATTTCCCATTGGAGAAAAAACTACATTTACAACCCCCGGATGTGTAAAGGGGATGTAAAAGTGGCTTTACCCCTTCCCCACCCCCTTAAAAAAAAAACAATGAATGCTCTTAGAGCCCCCCCCCCGCCCCCCCCCCCCCCCCCCCCCCCCGGGGGCAACATGCCTCACTAACCTCCTGCACTAAGAACTACAACCATGTTATGTTATAGAAGAGGATGTTTCACAAGCCTCTAAAGCTTTAAAGAATGGTGATCATGAGGCTGCCGAAGACCGCTTGAAGGATACTGCCCATGAGGCTGATTGGTGTGATGAACAATTTTAAGGCTCCTCTAACTAAGGGCATGTTTGGTATTCAACTTGAATCCAACTTTTTAAACTCAAAAACAAAATTTGAGTTCAAAACAAAGAAAACCTGTTTGGTAGCACTGTTTTTAAAAACTCAAACTCAAGAACAACTAAAAAACACCCAAATTATAAAAAACAAAAAATATATGTTTTTTCATTTTTTTCTAACAATCCACAGGTTCTCAAAATTTTAAGATTTGAAAATAGTTTTCAAGATGCATACCAAACAAGTTTTTGAATCTTAAAAATAGATTCAAAAACTCCTTATTTTTAAGAAAAATAAAAGTTTTTGAGTTCCTTATTTGAATAAGATACCAAACGCCCCCTAACCTTTTGAGGGATTTCAACCAAGCTGCCCATGATGCTGGGACTGTAGCTGCAGCAATTTCAGAGACGTTGGCTTGATATATATGTCAAGATCAAACCAAATTTTGTCAAGAATTATCACCACATATAATTATAATAAGCCATCCTTAACCTCTTGCAAGGACAAGTACAATGCAGTAGTTTCACAAGCTGATGTCCCACGAGGCAGAGCAGGGCATGAATGATGCAGCCAATGAGGTTGATTATCTATATTTCTTTCATTTGTAGCACCTTAGCAAATCAATAAATTGGTTTAGTTTCTAAAATGTTTTATAGTTATTGGATGATTTATACCTATGATGATAATAAGTTTGTGGAGGAGATGCTTTAGCTGTACTTGCATTCAAGCACAAAGACAGCAAAGATTTCTTCAAGACAGGGTATTGGCACTCCCATTGTCCCACATCGACCGGTTGATGAAAGGAGGAGAACGGAGCTATGTATAAAATAATCAGCCCAAGACAGGAATGAGCATACCTTTCTCGGCCTTTTGGCTAAGATCAAGTGTAGTATCTGTTCTTATCAGTTTAATATCTGATACGTGGGCCAATGGCCCACACGATATTAAATTAATTTCTTTAGGGGGAGGGCTCACAACAGTAGCTTGCTACTGGAGCTCTCAAGCGTCGCCCAAGCGTTGCACTATTGCATGGGCCTGGCGCACCCCACCAAAACAAGTATAAGCTTTATACGGCCTTGCCCAAAATGTCGTTCGTAATTTATATCGTTGCCCCCCGGCCCAAGCCCCTTAAACAATTAACGCTGTAATGCAAATCCCAAAAATTAAGGTTGATAAACTACCTGTAGGCCACAAAATTCTGGTCATTTTCTTTAAAGTTGTAAGAGCATTCACAGTGGGGGTGTAAATTCGGGAGTGTAAAGTCACTTTTACATTCCCTTTACACCTCCGGGGATGTAAATATGTTTTTTGCTCCAGTGGGCCGTGGGTCCCAGTCTTTTATGCTAACTTTTCTTCATTTTTCTTCTATTTTCTCGGGTGGGTCCCGCCTGTAAGGGATGTAAAAATAGATGTAAATATACATTTTATTTTACATCTTCATGGTGGTGATGTATATTTATATTCATTTACATTTCTCCATTGAAGACCATATATACACTCCCCCCATTGTGGATGCTCTAATGCAAATCATTTTATAAGATTACTTTTCCCCAAGTAGTGGCCTTTCTGTCAGCGTGTTAACGCTTAATATATTTGCCATGTCTATTGTCTCCTACAAAAAGAAATTTTAACCATATGGTTTATATATGGTAGATTTCGTTTAGCAGCAGGTCTTTTTTTTTTTTTTTTTTTTTTTTTTTTTTAATTTTTTTTTTTTTTTTTAAGCAGTAGAATTTTATTCAAATAATTGGAAAAGTGCAACGGGAGCCATCTTAATTAGCAATAAGACGGATATGTATTTGGGTAAATCTTCCCTAGTAATCTGAAGAAAAACGATCTCAAAAATTTCTTGACTCACCTTCATTGTTCGTCTAAGCAGCAGGTTTTGGAAGCATGCTATATATGCATTGCATTATTATGGTAACATAGACTTTACCTGCAGAAATATTTTTTACCTATGTGTAGAAAGCAATTAATGCATCATTATGGTAAGAAAATCAAGTTTCATAACCACTACTCATAATATAAAGACCTTAGCAGATGTTCAGAATTCTTCAGTTTCTCTTCATTTCAACAACCTTCTTGTTAGTACGAATTTTGTGTTGGCATTTCTTATATACCAGCATAAACTCTAGCATAGGCTGTAAACGTGCTTTCATAAAGTCTAAGGACATAATTGATCCTGGCAGGATTGATGCAGCTCAGCAATGTTCGAAACGCAAACTTGTGGTTTGACACGTGAAATGTATTTGATTCAAGTGTAAGTGATGTCATTATCATGCATGTATATTAGAGGATTGTTTTAAAGAACGATTCAATCATGTTTTATTGATTTACTGTTTTTAAAAGTGAATTGAAGTTTATTTAGGAGTGTTTTCTTTTTAAGCAATTTTGGCCCAAATCAATTTAATTCTCATACTTTCTTGTTTTAACATCCCTTTGATTTTCTATCACATTTTGGTTGCTTGGAAATCATGTTTCAATCATATCATAATATCAAGGAGTCAAGATACCCTTAATAGTTGACTAGGCATATAAGGATTCATTTGATATTGTGATTGATTAAAATCTTCCTTTCTTAAATATCTCATTTCCTATTAGTTGGACTACACGTGACTAATCTTTAGAATAGAAAAGATACTTTTGTGATTTTCTGTCAAGCCATAGAAATTGGAGATTTGGTTTTCAACATGTTTTCTTTCTTGTAAAGAAAAAGTCTATAAAATAAGACATTTGTCTTCTTTGTTTTTCGGAGCTTTCACGATCATATTTTATGTTCATAAACTTTGGAAAGCTGAGTTTTTATTTGAGATAAATCATCAAGTGTTTCATGTTTACTTCGTGATTTATCAAACACTTTTATCATTCATATTGCATTCATTTGCATTATTCGGTGACTCATATAGTTGAGGACACCAAGACCGTTGTGTTGGTTTTTCACCGGTGAGCTTGAATCGATCGTGACCAGTATCGGATTCAACATAAGGAGAGTTGGAAGAACTTTGACGAGCTTGAAGCAATTGTGACCAATATTGCGTTCAACATAAGGAGTGTTGAAATATCATTTCGTGACAAAATTTGAGTTAAGAAGAAGTTAGTAAACATTATCTAGAATGTGTCTAGGATAAGTGTGTGAGTACTTCTTGTAATCATCGTTTTATAGTAGATTTGTTTTGGACTGAGGAGTTTAGTGGATTTTTCCCAGAGGCATTCTTAGTCATCCTACAGGTAAATTCAATTCTCCCAACACATGCATCAACCAACTTCTCAAACCCTTTTTTCCTGCAAAGATGAAGAATTTGTTATAAAATTTATAGTTTTCCTCTTTCTATATAAACCAAACGCAAAACCCTTTATAATATAAATAATATATAAAACAAATTGGAAAGTCTTTTAAGGTGAAGTAAAACTAAATAAACAAATAATTGGTAAATAAAGGTAAAATAAATTAAGAATTTGAAAGCAAGCCTGGTATGGTGAAACACGTCAAAGACACTGTCCTAAAGCCTTTGTAACCTCCCTACGTGTAGGTACTGATGATCTACAAGACTTCAAGATATGACCTCCAATACACAAGCTCAATGTCTATTATGAGCACGTTCACAGTCGGATGTAGGTCTCCAAGTCACAGCACTGGTGCCCAAAAATAATAATATAAGTAGAGAAAGTATAAAAGGTAGAAGAGGAGAGAATCAGATTGTTATGGTAATTGTGGTATGTGATATTCTGATTGTATGTCAAATGTGAATGAGTGGCCTTTTATAGGCATCCAAGAACATGTAACCTTCATCACATTAAACCAGAAAATTAAGGCATTCAATATAGAAATAATACTTGAAAATTAAATATGTATAACCTCCACAATAAATAAAATAAAACAGCCAAAATAATTAAATAAATCAAAACCGTTAAATTTTTAAAACATTTTTAAAATTCCAACAGAATTTAGTGTCTCATTAAACTTGTTTGTCTAACCGTCTTTCTTCCAAGCCAGTGCAAGGTTGTCTTACCTGTGAGTAAGGCCCCGTTTGAGATTGCTTTTTTCTGCCAAAAACTTGCTTCGCTTTAAATTTAAGTAGTTTAAAGTGTTTGGTAAAAATAAAATATCCCAATTATTTTAAAAGCAATGGCCTATTGACATCAGCTTTTAAAAGCAGACTCTGAGTTGTTTTTCAAAGTTGCTTTCAAAAGAAGCAGAGATAAACCATTAATGAATTTTTTTAATTCCCAACGTACTATCATTTATTTTTAAAAATGACACCACCTCCACTTCCACATCTAACTCCACCACTTGCACCACCACATTCACTACCTCCACAACCACCGCCACCGTCACCGCCACCACTACCACAACCACCACCTCCTCCAATGTCTCCTCCACCTCCACCTCCACCACCACCACCAACACCATGCTGCCACTGCCACTGCCACCACCACCTCGACAACCGCCATCCCCACCACCACCACTACCACAACCACAACCACCAACTCCACCTTCATCACCACCACCACCTCCACTCCATCACCAACACTACCACCACATGATTAGTACATAACACTTTCAGCATCATGTCTATTTTAGTCATTATTCACAGTTACAACAATTTCATATTAAAATTTATCAAACGGTTTTGACACTGCACTTTAAAAATATTATTTACCAAATATGAAGCTGTTTTACTTTACAGCTAATTATTTTCAAAGCACAACAGAAGCAATTTTTTGCAATCCCAAACTAGGCCTAGGAATGACCTTATTGAACAGACTTGCAAACAAACACCAGATTACAGTCTTTGTGTCTTTTCTCTTAAACAAGATTCCCAGAGCTCCCGGGCAGAGTTTCGGGCTTAGGCCCCATAATGGTTGAGATAGTTCAGGCTAAGGCAACCGTTACTCTGTTCAAAGTCAGTGAGCTACGTGATCAGAGGCCAGGAGACAAATCCTTAAGCTCTTGCCCTGAATTTTACAGTAGAATTTCACAAGCTGATATCCCAAAAGCCAGTGAAGCTTTTAATAAAGGTAACCCCAAGGTTGCAGAGCAAGGCATGAATGAGGCTGATTCATGCGAACATGGTTTTTCAGGCAGTTCTCCTCTCACAGATTACAACAAATATGTCCATGGTGTTGCGGCTGTGGCTGCTGCAATTGCCAGGACATTGCTTTCATATAGTTGGTCAATAAAGGAAATCATTTCAGTATCTAAAACATTTATTTTAGTTCATCATTGCCATTACTTTTATATGAAGGTGTTAATGCCATTGGTAATCAATAACATTCCCTCTACTTGCAAAGCATGAGTACACGTTGTCCATTCGGCACAAGAATGCTTGCATATTGGTCTTCTTCATGCTTTACATATTTTGACAAGAAAATTAAAAAAATTCATCTTGAAACTGCTGGCTGCCTTTTAAGATAAATCAAAATATTTTGACAAGAGAAGCTTAAATTCTTCATTTTCTCCCAGAAAATCAAAATTTTACGTATGGGATCAAGCTGCTGGCTGCTTTTTTTTATTTATAAACATATCAACAGCAGCCCCTTGACTGTGCTCAGATGATGCATTACATCAGTCAATAGCTCCTCTTCTTAATCTGTATACAGCGGTTTTCGAAGGTATAAAATCTCTATTGTCTCCTTAAAAAGCAATTGATTTTCGGTTTTTTATTATTATACAGATATGGTACCAAAAGTAGCATATCTGAATGATCTCCCGCAGAACTAAGAAAATCAAGTTGGATTTGGATTTCCATATTAAGAAGGTTACTGAAACCATATTTGTTTTGTATAGTCAACCAAGCTTCACACAATTATATAAAGGGACTCACATCTTAGCAAGATGTGCAGTATTCAAGTTTCTTCATCTTTTCTTTTGCTTTAAAAGATGAAGAATTTAATCTCTCTAGCACTCATATTTCTCATTCAAGTTTCCCTACTTCCAGCAAGCCAATGCAGGGTTTACTTGCCAATGGATGCCAGTCTCATTGACAAAACCTGCAAACAAACACCCAATTATGATGTTTGTGTCTCTACTATTAACTCAGACCCTCGAAGCACCGGTGCAGATGTCAAAGGTTTAGGCCTCATCATGGTTGATGCAGTTAAGGATAAGGCAACCGGTGCTCTGAACAAAGCCAACGAGCTGCTTAAGCAGAGCCCAGGAGATCAAGCCTTACTCTCTTGCGTCAAAATATACAATGAGGTTTTACAAAATGATGTCCCACAAGGCAGTCAAGCTTTCACTCAAGGTGATTCTAAGTCGGCAGAGCAAGGCATGAATGATATTGCCACGGAAGCAGATTCATGTGAAAGTGGTTTTTCAAGCAGCTCTCCTTTGGTAGGTAACAACAAAGCTCTCCTTGATGTTGCGGCTGTGGCTGCAGCAATTGCCAGGACATTGCCTTGATATGTTTCTTGTTGTTGTTGGTTTGTTTAACTATGTTAGTTTCCTTGGTAAATCAATAAATCATTTCAGTATCTAAAATCCTTAAGCTCCATTTGGATGGAGGGATTCGAAAGGACTTGAGTTTGACAATAAGGCTAAATTTGCTATAAAAAAACAAGAACCGCATTAGATTAAATGTATTTGAAATAAGTAGATGCGATACATTTGAAATGGATTTGAAACAACTACATCCAAGGAATCATACGAAATCCGTTTGTTTTCTTCCTTTTTTTATTGTCCAAATCTTGACATACATGTATTACATCCACATATTTTAAACTCCTCCCTCCAAATGGAGCCTTACTTTATTTCATCGTAATCATTTACATAATGATGTTAATACACTCAAATTACTATAGACTAATTTGATAATCAATTGCATTCCTTGAGTGATACTGATATGAACTGAATTTACTGTGATTTCTTGTCCAAGTCACGCTTTTTAGTGCTGATGTAATATCTCGTCCACGCGGCACAAGAATGCTGACTTGTGTGTCTTCTTCATGCCTCACATCTTGACAGGAACGGCCTACCCCATCCAGGGTTTACTTTTGCTTCCAAGCTTTGTTTCTAGTTTCTGGTTTTTTCTGTTTGTTGTTTTTCCTTGTTCCCTGTTTCTTTCCATTGAGGCCACAAAGCTTAAGAGGGAAAAAAAATGATACTGATTGTTTGAAGCGTATGTTTCTTTCAATTTTCCCAATGTTTTTACTTGAGCACTTTGGCTTGAAAAAGGTTGGTGTGAGAATGATGATCAACTTTAAGACATGTGAACCAACACAAAATGTAGACGCAATTGAAACTCGCAGCACATGGTTACAAAAACCGCCTGCAAGACAAGAGTGAACATATGTGGCAATCTACCAATCCATCAAACTGAAACATGAGTATAAATTAATCCGCAACAGAACCAGAAAAACAAGCCCAACAAAGAGATCCATTTTCTTTTGCTGATATAAGAACCAAGAAGCAAAACCCCCCAATGAACAAGCTGGACAGCTCCTTAGCCCCATTCTTCTCTTCCCCTCCAATCTTTCACTCTCAGAAAATGAGTTGCTCAATTTCATTCCTTCTTCTTCTTCATTTTGTACTTCTACTCATGGTGCTACCAATTACCCAATCTTTTGTTTTTCCCTTAGATGAAGGCGGTGATCTCATAGTCAAGACGTGCAAGAAAACACCCCATTATGATCTCTGTGTGTCAACTCTACAATCAAACCCTCAAAGCTCAAACACAGATGTTCCAGGACTAGCCCACATAATATCTGATTTTCTTCTAGCAAAGGCAACTGATACACTGGATTACATCCATGGCCTGCTCAAGCAGGCTCCAGAGGCAGAGTTACAGAAAGCCTTGGCAAACTGTGCTGAATTGTACATCCCAGTGGTGAAGTTTAGTCTGCCACAAGCAATTGATGCACTGACCAATGGCCATTTTGGGTTTGCCAACTATGGCATTTCTGATGCTGCCAAGGAGGCTGATGCATGTGAGAAAGGGTTTTCAGGATCTACCACATCACCTCTGACTGATAGGAACAAACTGGTAGACAACCTCTCTGGTGTGGCTGTGGCCATTATCAATTTGTTAAAGGGCAGCTGAATTATTCTTTCTCCCTCTTATTGTAATGTCATGTACTATTATTGCTGTTCTGTAACTTTTGTTTGTGAAGCTTTCAGCTTTTTGTTTAGATATTTGTACTTGCAGCAGCAGTTTCAGCCAATGAAATTAGAATTTCTATTCTCTTTCATGTTCTTTTGTGGGCTACATGAGCAGAAAACTTGTATGAAACGGGAATAACACTATTTTAGCTGTGTTGTTGAATTTTGGAATTGGTTTGGGCCTGATCAAGTTTTTCATTGTCCAATAGCTTTAAGCCTCATGGTGCAGTGAACAGAAGGCTTCCAGGAGAGATCTAAAAATTCTGAAATTTTTGGTGCAAATACTAGTTCCAAGAATTCATTAAAGCGTTTAGATGACCAGATTATAGGGTAATTTACTGTTTAGCTTGATCCAGATTTTGCCTTAACCAAGCATTTAAGATTGCTTAATGTATGCATGTGAAGGCAAATGGTATCTTGTGACTAATTGGGGCCCTTCATATTTAAATTATAATAAATTTTCAAAGGAGGGAAGGCTCTAGAAGCACAGGTGTAGACAGAGAGGGGTCTATTCTCAATTCCCATGCAGCAATTATAGAGGAGAGCCGCTGACTAGAAGATGAAGCCAATACCATGTGAAATCACATGCCAACATTGCCAAGGCCAATGCCTCACAGCATGTCAAAAGAACAACCTGGTTCACAGGACTTCGATAAACAGAAGAGGGAAGAGGGAACCAAGGCGCACACAACATTTGGGATTGCCTTAAATGGTCCCACACAACCAGAAAAGAGAAATCAATGGATCCCTATTGCCAAGTTTGGAAAAGTCGTTTCCCTTTTCTTCAAAACCATTTGTGGCCAAAACCAATACACATTACATAACAAGAGTTCTAGACTTTCTAGCAAAACAACAGGAGATCAAAATTATCAACCCCTCGCGCTCATTGGGAAAACATACCTACATTCATGGCATTTACAGCCATAAAGGAAATCTTTGCATCTTGCGAAAGAAACCGTTGCATCATCCAAATCCAAACTTTATTTAGAAACCCCATCATAATAAACCCTGAATTTCATAAAAGGAAAATGGCATTTAGATCACATGCCTGCATAAACATTGCCAAGTGCCAATGGGATTCACTTATCACTTCCAATTTCAGCCAAAAGGATAATAAAAAAATGCAGTATTTGAACAGAAGAATTGGTGATTTTCTAGAATTTACAAGGGAAAAGAATTTCGATTCTAAATCTTGGAAAACTAAACTAGTAGGATAATTACCATAATTTTATTTGGACAGGTTGCAAAGAAGGCAACTCATCAGTATGCACTTGACATCACCTGCAGAACACTACTAAAAATTGTATTGTACGTAAACTCTCTCTCTCTGTACATACAGGGGATATATCAGCTTCAGTAGACCATTCAAACAAAAAAGTGGAAGTATCAATGGCTTGCATGAGGATTCAAAAGCATATGGAAATTTGTTCTTCCAGGTAGACTAGGCAACAAAATTGCAACATCATCCTGCCCATCTTTTCAGCTTCTCCTGCGGATCTGAACCAGCAACCTGCTCTACGATACTGCAAGGTGCAATAAAAGTGAAATATTTTATTTCAGACTGTGAAACTAATATTATTCCTCACGTTAAAGAAAAAAAATTCTAAGATACGAAGATTCCCAACAACAAAAAAACAGCAATTTTACCAGGATACATTTAAAGCTAAAAATGAACTAACGTACTTGGGGGACTCAGAACCAGGCCCATTTGGGGCAGTTGATGACAGATTTGGGTAGTACTGAACGGAGATCAAACTGCCCTCCATTCCTCCTCCAGACACAGGAGATCCCTCGAAGCTTACAGGTGAGCTTCTTCTAGAAGAAATTCCTGCACAGAAATGCCAATCGAATGTTACTGTCAAGTTATGAGTATAAGCAAAAAGGATATAAATGTCTAGTAATGAGTAGGGAAAAATGATCATAAACCCTTAATAGGAAAGGAAAAAAGCACCACAAAATTGTTCCAGAAAAAAAAAAATTTCCACTTCCATCAAAGTGTTTTCTAAAGCCTAACCTATTTTCAGTCAGATATAGCCTAGTCTCCCTATGTTGGTTGCTGACCCTATCTATAGAGGAAAAAGATGATAAAGAAACTAGTATTACACTTTTGAAGACAAAAGGCATATTTAATCAAATAAACAGAAATAAAAACCAAATAATAGGGGCAAGGAAAGGGCTTTAGGCATCTCTTTAAACAGTGTATGTAAAAATTAACCCATTTCTTTTTCAGGGATTAGCCAAAAGAAATGATAGAGTAAGCACTGATGAGATCCAAAAGTTTAACTATCAATCACATAAAGCAAAAATGATATGCACATCACAAGTTCACCAAAACAGTTTGGCCATGTATTTCATTGGGTTCCTAACTAGGAAAAAGTGTTCTGTCTTAAACTAAGCTATTTATTATCACCAGAAACAAGTTAAGAACTATCAAATACCGCAGATCTGGTTACTGAAACTCAAGTTCAATAAAAGAAATATTACCTTGAAAGATTAGCACAAGACAGAAGAGAATGGTGAACACCATGGCAAATATGCTGCTATTGGAAGATGATGCCTTAGCAGCTTTCATCTTCTTCAAGGCTTTCATCCGATCAATCCTTGCACGTTTCCACATGGCAATCTCAGAGAGTTCCTTGATCAACTTCTGGTCCGCTGCATCCAGAGATGGGCCTCTTGGAGGTCTGGGAGGTTTAGGAGGTTTTTTATTGCTCGTCTTCTTACGCTTATCCTTCATCCGTGTCTTCTCTACGTGATCTGTACCTTCATTTCCTTGCAACATCTTGTTTGTTGCCACTTTCAAATTCTCGGGGGACACTCCATTGCAATTGGACCCATTGCCACACAAACTGACCCTCTCTTCAACCTTAACTGATCCATCCAAAAGTCCACCACAAACCTTAGAAATTAATGTCTTTGCCTGCTTCTTAGCACTCGAAACAGCACTGTCGCTTGAATCTTCTTCACTAACTACCACCCCACTTTCAAGATCAACTTCAGAGTCTTTTTCCCTCGGACTCTTATGATCCATTACAACCAATTAACCCAACGTAATTGTTAACCTGCTCCCCACACTCCAAATGATCAAAGCCACGATATTTTCACCCCTCAAAAGGAAACAGCCAAATTTGAAACTTCGGAGTCAACCCATTATAAGGAATTACCTCTTTGCAACATATATATTAGTTTTACAGGTGAAACTTGATATCTAGCTTCATCAATTAAACAACACTTTCCAATTTAACTTGCAATCAAATGGAAGACAGCTTAATTGAATACAATTTAACTTGTTCGACACGGCTCATGCGCTTTCCCAAAGAACAATCAACCTTTAAAGTTTAAACAACAACCTCCCTTCTTTTTTTCCCCTTTCCTGTCAATCAACAAAACCCTTCCAACCATTACCAATAACACAAGCCAAAAACAATAAAACATACAAAAACTCGAATGTAATGTGCACAAAAACGTGCTGAGAATCAATAAATTAATAATAAAAACTTGAATGTGAATAACAGCTTTCAATTGCTTAAATGTACCAACATAGAGCTTCCAAAGCAATGCAAAATCGAAACAAACCTGATCAAACAAAACTAAAGACTGAAACTTTAAAGCAAAACCAATCAAAACTACATCAGGCAAAGATTTAAATGGACCTTATGAACATCCAATCAACCCCTTCACATCATCAGGAAAATAATATTGTAGTTCCCAAAAAACCCAAAACTCAAACATTGAGAAATGATTTGAATAATGAAATAAAAATTAATAAAAGACAAAAGAAAAGGGAAAGTAGAAACCTTCAAAAGAACGCGAAGAAACCCCAGATCCGATGCGGAGAAAGAGCTTCCAGCGAAGTTAGCGTCAAATATGGAGGCTCAAGTGCTAATTAAAGCGAGTCAGAGTGAAGGGGAGAGAGAGAGAGAGAGAAGGGAATGGACACGAGGGGTTTTAGGGGAATCACCGAGAAAGTGCTGTGCTTTATATAAATATTTTGATTTTCAGATTTTCATTATTGTGGCGCTATATCTTCGTCGGATAAACACCACCGCAAATGATGGGAATCTGATGTTTTCTTCTCTCCTCAAAACCTTCACCGACACTTGCATGGCATTTTGAGTCTTTGACTTTGTTTATTCAATTCTTTTTTCTTTTTTTTATAAATCCCTTTTGGCTACTTTTGATTACAGTTGGCTAATTGGGGTTGGCCTTTGTGATTAGTAACAAATACTTCTAATCCAATTTTCAAAGAAATTTTTCATTAGTCTCTTCAAATTCTTTTATAATAACAATGGGTATATGCCATACAATCTTGTGGGATATTCTTTGTTAGTTTTTTCAATTAAATTCAGGCTTTTGTTTTTATTTGTTTCAACTAACAATGTTTTTTTTATTTATGAAGTTTTAACTAACATTTCAACTACATAATCAACCGGAATGTCTAGTAATAGAAATTAATCAATCTTATAATGCTAAGTTTAGCAATAACTCAGTTATTTATCTTTATCCTCAATAAATCCGGGAGCATATATCTCTGTCCTCAAATTTGTGCTGTAATTCCAAAGATCACAATCATTCATTCATAACATATGGTATGAGGAAATAGGTTTACAATCTAGTTGAAGGATTAGGATTTTCTTCATAAAACAGATGTCACAAATCTTAACCAAGAGTAGTTTGGTCTCTTTTTTTTTAATAAGTAACAAACTATATGGTGACGTGGTATAACTAATTCACATGTAATAGTATAAGATGGATATTATAAACACACACAAAAAACATATAATAAATAATAAATAAAAAAACTAAACACATTCTTAATAAATTATTATTATTATATTTTTTGCAAAACAAAATATGAAGATAATTGACAAAACCCAAAAAGATACTGACAACAGGTAAATCGAATATGAATGATATAAATGCCGTACAGACAAAATTGGTCCAAAATTTTAAAATTCATAAGGACATTTGTAGGGACAAAAGAAAAGATAGTCATAGTCTTAGCTGGATTGTGACCTCCAATTACTGCTCCTCCATATAATTGAGAAAAATCTCTGTGTGACCAAAATCCATGAAAGAAAAAAGAAGATAAAAATGGATGGGTTATGGGGTAGGCCAACCCCCACTTCACTAATTCCACACTCTACATTCCACGTGAAATAAAAATGCAGATATCTTAAAGGTGATATTGGAATTTAATTGAAGGGCTTTTGATGTTGCGTAGGTGGGGGACTTGTTTGGAGCCCACCGACATACGTGTATATATGATCAAATACAAAGCTTGTTTTCTTTCTTTTTTGCTAATTAAGTTGATGTTGTTGTTGATAATTGAGTTTATGTCCCATCCTTTGATATGGAGGGCACATTCAGAGATATTGTGCTCCTGTGGTGCATGCATTGCTTAGGTGGGTAATTTCCCAAAATTAAGGAAACAACTAAATAATTGAAGTATTTTAAAATATTGTTTTAGAGTGTTAACGTAAGAAATGTCGATGCATTTGTAGGAGACGTTGGTTGAGTGTTTTGTTGTAGCAGTTGATTTGTAGCCTAGCAGCTGATAAGTTGTTTACAATGAAAGCACAGGAACTTCAACATTGAGCAGGTTCAAATTCAGATTTAAGAAAAAACTTAAAAAGAAAAGTGGTTATCTTCCACTTAAGCCAGCAAAGGCATAATAATTAATTATTATTATTTTTTTAATTGTTGCTCCTCGGCCACATATATCGATTTGGGACCACTTAAGATTCTGTTAAATCTGAGCTATCGAATGTAAACAATGATGCATATGAGCCTGGGTCCCTGGATAGGACACCCAACTATGCAAGCATGTTAGGTTTTCAAGAAAGTTGGTCCATTCTGTTGAAATACACACATTTTTTTTGGGTCAAATGTTGAAATACATACATAACAATATACGGACCTAAATCTGTTTTACAATCTTGTAATGGCATGTTTACACTTCCTCCTCATATGATTCCCATTCTTGACTTACTCTGCCATCAATTAGGGGAGATCTACTAGGGGAGTAGTTGATTAAATTATGTTATCTTTTTTTTTATTAAGTATAAGCGATAGTTTAAACTATAGGAAGGAGATTTCTTACACACACATAAACTATGATGACATGAGTGTTCGAATCTGAGACCTATACCTAACCTTGCTCCCTCCAACCCACCTCCAACATTTAATAAGGGAAAATTTTGCAACACAAAAATTAGTTTTTGTGATATATTTAATGACATTGTTTTAACTTTTAAATGTAAGGAAAGTGACACATGTCATGAGAAAAAATGCGAATGTCCAAAAAAGAAAGTTAGAAAGAAATAGGTGGTTTAGAGAGTCCATTGTAGATGCCCTTAGTCACTATGGCCTATGAATATAACGTGGGGCTTGAGGCAAGTAGGAAGGCTACCCTCTTGAACACAATGGTCCTACAGTCCATTGAAAGGCAAGCTAGCAGGAACGCACCAGGTTTAAAAACATTGGAGAGAACTCTGAATGGAACGCACCAGGTTTTATTAAATTAATGTAGAGATTCATATGGTTTATATCGACATACATTTAGTTAAGACAGAGTACTATATAGTTTGAAGCCGAAATCACAAATCACTGCACAAGTTGACATATGCTAAAGCTTGAAAATAGCAGCTCCACTCGATGGCTTGGAAGCGAAAACATATAGGCCGAGATCGTTATTGTTTATGACACCTCTGTCGATCCGTGACTGGTAGAACCGTTCCTAATACAGAATGAACAATAAAATGATATTTAGGTTCAACAACTCCAATAAATCAACAATGGAGAAAAAGTCCAATTAAGGATATAACCTTTAAGTTAAGGATAAACTCTGGGACAATACTATCCTTTACCAAAGCAACAGCACAGCCACCCCATCCAGCTCCTGTAAGCCTTGCCCCAAGAGCCCCATTCTCCCGACAAATATTTACGAGTTCTTCCAACTCCGGACAGCTAGTTGAGTGAAAAAATAAAAGACATTGTAAGTGGGTAAGGACCATCTCAAATTACAGATACATGTACGAAGGATCAAAAACTATTGCAACTGTGTCAGTATGCATCTAGATTCCAGGGAGCTGGAAAATAGAAATTTGTACCTGCACTCATATAACACACTACAGCTATAGTGGCTCCCATTCATAAGATCGCCAAGGTTCTTTAGCTTATCCTCATCACTGCAAAAATACTTCGAGTGTTATAATAAAACCTTTGGGAATGTTCCTACCTCTAACAAGCTCTGCAACGCAGACATATTAAAGACTGTCTATAATGCATGTGTATATGTTAAAACACCAGTGCATGTCCATGACAGAGCATGCACTGCAGTGACCTGTAATTACTATTGGCTACAGAATGAACATGATAGTATAAATTCCTCATTCAAACCAGACAGATCTAAGCTCACTTGAGTATCTCTAAGCTCAAATTTGGAATTCATCAATTTTCAGCATTTTCTAAATGGAACTGTTTGTTATTTATCTTAAAAAGAATGCACTTTTACTGCATCACAGGGAAAGGGGAAAATATCCCATATGAATTAATATAACACACCACTGGCTCTTGTAGCAAAAGTGGGGTATTTCTCTGTCTAATAAAGGGGTAGAATTTAAAACGGGAAGGCTATTCCCTTCTTGTGGCATACACAAATTGCCACTTCCTCAACTAATATGCGCACCTTAAATTTGATGATACAGCCTCCTTGAAAGCATGTACCCGCTTGGCTTCAGAGTAGACATGGGAGGCTCTCTGGTAAACAGGAGTTTGTCAAAATTAAAGAAAATTTCCAATTTGAAAGAAAAGAATCAACAGATTTAGTGATAACTTGATATAGGAGACAACAAAAGAAGTACCTGATATAACTTGAAGTGCTTAGCAGCATTCAACACATTCAAAGAAGATGGAGAAGTTGCGAAGATAGATGGTAGACTTTCCCCAAGGATTTTCTCTATTTCAGTAGATGTATAAGGTTCTTCTTTTAAATACTCCTGCAGTAAAGACAAAGCGTTATGTTAACTGATAAAGATACTGGAGTGATTAATATGAACCTAAAACGACAAAATGCATAAATTACATGTATCAACCACTGGCTGATAAAATGAAAATTTTGGCACACAATGAAGGAAACTACCTTTACAGCAAGGGCAGGATCTGAAGACCCGCGAGTACTAGCAAATGATATGCACAACCCTTCAACATCAGAAAGAGTTTTGGCTTTTGAAATTGCCTCTTGCGGTTTCATCCCCAAATTTATACCCAGCAAAATCTAAAAAAATTCCAAGACCACATTGTGAGTATATAATATTTCTGAAAATAGAAGACACCCACCACTGTATTAGGATCTCAGAAAATGGATCTAAGATTGATGTTTGGACCAATGCCTAAAATTATATTAAATCACATGTAAGATATATCTTACTACAGAGATTATCAAACTTACAGAAGCTAGACGACATTCAACAACTCTGTTATTGTAATTTATTGCTGCAGTTACTGCTTTCTGAGATTCTGCTAAGGAATGGGCTACAACAAAAGTTCCACCGTCTGGAAGTCGCACATCAGTAGCGCGTATAGGATTGAAATCAATTAGCTCTGCAAATCCAGTCTTCGCCATCACTGAGATTGCCTGATCCATTCCACCAGATTGTGTACCAATGTGTCGCTCACAGTTGCATGTAAGTTGGGCAACTTCTTTCTGCTCACAAGAAAGAATGTTAGCATTTGAAAGAGGTGATTCTAAAATCAGAAGGTCCCTTGAAGATTACCAAGAAACTTATTTATTCATCTACAGACTATTGGTAGACATGTGGTTTACCTTGGGAAAATTCACATCAAAAGCAGCCATTATAGCAATAGTAGAAGCACAAACTAATGCCGCAGAGCTTGATAGTCCAGACCCTATATGAAACAAACGAACCAGTATGTAACATCTCAGATTTTACTCCACTACATGAGAAAAACTTAACCTTAAAATTGGCAATATATAGATTTTCTATATGTATTAATTAATTTATGGGAACTATACCTGCAGGAACTGTTCCATCAACAAGAACATCAAGTCCAACTGGTGCGCCAAAATTTGCTACTTTGGATTTGGCGTACTCATAAAAACCTTTGTACCTGAAGAACATTAGCCATCAGTACCTCATAATTGATAGTTTTAACTTTTGAATATTCAAAAGTGTTCATCATCATTAAGGCGAATTAAGATAAATATAAAGTACCAACAACCCTTTATATTTTCTATCAGGCAAACTGCTTGATTAATTAACAAGCATTAACTGAGATGAAAGCAACAACTAAAGCATGGGTTTTTCTATGTCTCACCCACAAATGAAGTAATGGCCCCATTTGTGATTCTTCAAGTCAATTTCCTGCACCCAAAAAACAAAAAAAGAAAAGTCATGAACTTTGACCGAAATTGAAAATCGACTGGGGAACCACTGTAATTAAGCAAATGCGCAATTCAAACAATTATGGGTCGAAAAGATACAAAATTTCAGAAAAAAACAATGCAAAAAAAAAGGCAAATATTAAGGACCTGGTTAGGGTCAGCGGGATAAGTACATATTTGGTACTTATCGTTGACATTGGCAATTCTGAGAACCTTCTCGGCCTCTACCTCGTCGTGCCTCCGAATTGCGACAATGGTGTCCTGTCGTATCGCCATCGGCAACACCGAATAGCCCTCATAGTCTATATGCTCTCCGATCAAGTTCACTCTCCCTGCCACCGTCCGATCACACAAAATCAAAACCACATACACAGAATTGAAAACCAGAGACAGAGACAGAGACAGAGAGATACAGACCTGGAGAGCGAGCGAACAGTTGAGGGGCGTGACCGAAGACCTGTTGAAACTTGGACTTCAAAGTGTGGAAACGAAGCTGCGCCTCTTCGAGTTGGGAAGAGTCGCCATAGACAGGATCCAGGCTGTCGTGAATTGGGATCGGGAGCTCTTCGTGCTTGAAGATTTGAGCCATTCGATTGATTGATTTGCTTCCTCTGCAACACTAACTCTTCTCGTGGTGGAATAATAATACAAAGGAAATATAATAATCTACGGCACTATGATGACGAAGGTCATTGAATTGCACTTTGTATATATATCGAACGAGAGAAAATTGTAGTAGTTTAATTGGAGGTGGTTTGTCGTTGGGCTTTTCTTCTAGAGAGAGAGAGAGGAGTTTGGGCCAAAAACTGAAACGGTGGATGGGAGGAGTGTCGCACAGGACAGAAACCACTAATGGATAAAGTAAAAAATCATAGGATTAAGATTCCGATAAGTTAAAAAGGAAGGAGGACAAAAGATAATCCCGCTTTAATCAGTTTTCCTTTTCATCCACTTTTTTTCTTTTAGTCTTTAACGGATTACAGCGAAATCTAAATCTAGTTACGTGGGAAAATTCATAATTCGAATTCAAAAATAGGAGTTTTGTTCTTAATTGGTTAGGGATGATTTCACTATCCGACGTGGTTATGGATAACTTCAGTAAAATGAATGATGACATTGACACGGATTACTATGGTAGTTGCCATGTCAGGCTGGTAAAAAAGTTACGGACTGAATTATATGTGAGTTAGGCTAGTTAGAGTATTGAATTTGCTCTATTGCACCCGAAGTTTGGGTCATCTCATCGTATATTAGACTAATTTATAGTAATTTAATTTGTTGTTTGTATAAGAACATATTGATACTAAAGTTAGTGCATGTAGTATTCTTATTTTCTAAAACTATTTAACAATTATTTGAATTTCATCTTCAATTTTTTTTTAATTATAAAAAGTTATAGAAAGGGGGATTTAAACTGAGGAGCACATCCGTTCTAGTTAACTTGGCTAAATTATAAGAAATGGAATTTTATCTTCAGTTACAATAGGGGGGTGAACTGAAACTGGAAAAAAAAAAGTTTATATGGTAATTGGTGTGCTCTTTTAGAATATTTGGCTCATGACAAATTAGGGGAGTGCTTTTTACCCCTTATCTAATCTTGCCATCTATTAAAAACACTAACTAGGGATTAAGTTTTAGCATTTAATTCCAAAATACTAATCCTGAATAATTTCACTACGATATAAATATGACAATTGATTATAGGTTAAATGTTGTCTTATCTTGTATGGGGGGAGTTGGTGTCGTTGCAAGGAGAAAAATTTAGTTGTAACAGGATAGAACTATTTTGCTATTTTCGACCAACAATGTTATGTCACGTGTGTCATAGCGTTATTGGTTAGATATAGCAAAGTAGTATTATTCCCGTTTCATGGAAGTCTTTCTCCGTTGCAAAGGGTTTATAAGGGAACTTTTTAGAATATGCCCTTTATCAATAAAATTATATAGCTTATGATAAATGAAAAAGTTGCCTTGTCTCTAACGGAACAAATTGCTTTTATAACCCACTTCTTACATTAGCTACATTAATCAAATGATCTAGTGGCCCCCACGCTATGGAGAACAAATTCCTAAACTATTCTTGAAACGAAGATCATATTTTAAACGTTGTCTTGTCTCTAACGGAACAAATTGCTTTAGTAACCCATTCCTTTACCTTGGCTATATAAATCCAAAACATTGGCCACCAAGCTATGGAGAATAAATTTCGATCATTTTTTTCTTCTTCTTTTAATAGGAGTTTCATTTTGTACATGCAATATAATGGAAAAATTCAAACACAAAACTTCAAGGTATGAATAAATAATTATAGCTAATTGAGCTTCAAGTTCTTCGATAATGCACCTTCACTTTGATAATTACAAGCTGACACAACTAAAATACGCATGAATGAATTGTCAATTTTTTTGAACTTTTTAAGTTTATTTTAAAAATTAATGCGGGTTGAGGGATTTTGAATTTGAGACCTTTTTCAATATTATGAAAATACCACTAAACCAAAAGTTAGTTAGTCATTATCTTTGAAGTTGAACTTATACTTTTCAACAATTGATCATTGTAATAGTTTAGTTTCTTTTCTTTTGGTCTGAAAAAAAACAACAACAATATTATAAAATAAATTCACTTAGAAGACAAACACATATCAAATCTTTTAAGGTTAACTACATAAAAGTACCTAACTTTTGAGAGTCATTTCAAATTAGTATCTAATCTTGTAAATTTTTTGTGGGCATACTCAATTTGTCGAAAAACATACAAATTAGAGCCTCTGTTAGTTAGATTGTTAGTTAATCTATTAAGTGCTCTCGTGACCTTTTTTATGTGGTTTTTTTTTTTCGGCTGAAGTGGACTCCACGTGAACAAACAAATTAATAAAAATTCCATTGGAATTACCGAGATTAAACCCGAGCCGTTGGATTTAAATTAGAGTAAAGGGTAGGTTTAAATTAAAAAAACGATTTGAAATCAGACTTGCTTTTGAGCAGGGCCGTCTCCACATGAGTTGCTACGAGCTATATAGGTCCGGGCGGAAACCAGACTGAATTTCACCTGGCATTGTGGCATTTCCCAAATTTTGGCGAGACAAACAAAACAGGAAAAGAAGACAAATCAGTTTCATTCATATTAAACTAGGAAGGAATCCTCACTCATAAATTTTGACGGATCCTTTCAATCTCCTTCACAGAGTCCTTCAATTTGGGTCCTTTCTTATTCTATTATATAATTATACGAGTTTTTAATCGATTTTCAATCAATCTAATTCTCTATTTTTTTTTGTACTTTACTGTTTTGTTTTGTTTTTCTTTTTTAATAAGAAAGGACTTGATGTTCTAGTGCTCGAAGTTTTCCTGTTCTTGTTTATCCAGGAGACATTTGTATCACTTGAAAACATTACTACATGATGATGGTTTGGTACAAGTCTACCCAAATTGTTTTGGCCTATAAAAACCAGCCGGAAACAAATTAAATGAAACAATTAATAAAATAAAAAGAATAAATGTAGAGCATTATTAAACAAACTTGTGATCTTTGATCATCGCTTGAACTAAAAAAAAACAATGAAAGCTGACTTGATTGTTTTAGTTTGACCGGTTTAAAACCACTATATAAGATATAATTGGTATTAAAAAAAAAATCAATCTGTCTAAATTTATTATTTAAACTTGATTGAAATATATTTAGTGACTGAAACTATCCATGTTTTATACTGTGAGTTGGTTACTAGTAACCAATTTGTGAGCTATCTATCATGTTCATTCATTAAACCTTTAAACCAAGGATTATATATATGACATTCCTTGATGATGTTGTTGTCACATGTATATGGTGAGTGTATATAGGTAAAAATGTGATGACTATTAGCACATTTTTAAGATGAAAAATGAGAATAAACATTTGAGTAACATCAGTTGAGCACTTATGGTACAAATGCTTCAAGAACGTTTCAAGATATATTTGAGATATTGGAAGAAGCTAAAATATTAGTCAATAAAATGAGTTTATAATTATGCAACTTACGGTGGTTTGTTGTGAGATTTCGCCGTTGGATCCGTTTATGGTGGTTTTCGAGTTTGTATCTTCAACTTTGTAAGTGTCATGTGTTTTTATATTTTTTAGATCAAGTTTTAAAGTTGTTTCTATTTGTTTAATTAAATCAAATCTTTAATTGAATTAATCTTGCAGGAGCCTGTGGGTTGGGTTGGGCATCAAAACTGGAATATCGAAACCATCCCAAAACCATGCCAAATCGTGTCAATCTCGTGCCATCCCATTTGGTGTTGACGTGTAAAAGGGATGATACTGTGTCATCCCGTTATTGTTTGGCATAACACTGATTCCAGATTTGTGCTCCCATTTGGTGCCATACTGTATCGAATAGTACAAGTAAATAATAATCCTAATTTAATTTCAGTTCCTCCTCTCTCTCCCACAGATATTTCGACTCAGCTTTGTTTCTCCTCCATCCTTTCCTTTCCTTCCCTCTATCTATTATTCTCTTCTCTTCTCCTTTCTCCTTTCTCAATCATGATTTGAACACAATTCCCAAATCCTCCAACATTGATCGATCTCATCTTCTTCTTCTCCTCCTCACCTCTCTCTCTCTCTGTTCTTCTCCAAACTGATTGATCTCATGGAAGATATATCTTACTACAGAGATTATCAAACTTACAGAAGCTAGACGACATTCAACAACTCTGTTATTATAATTTATTGCTGCAGTTACTGTTTTCTGAGATTCTGCTAAGGAATGGGCTACAACAAAAGTTCCACCATCTGGAAGTCGCGCATCAGTAGCACGTATATGATTGAAATCAATTAGCTATGCAAATCTAGTCTTCGCCATCACTGAGATTGCCTGATCCATTCCACCAGATTGTGTACCAATGTGTCGCTCACAATCGCATGTAAGTTGGGCAACTTCTTTCTACTCAAAAGAAAGAATGTTAGCATTTGAAAGCGGTGATTCTAAAATCAGAAGGGCCCTTGAAGATTACCAAGAAACTTATTTATACATCTACAGACTATTGGTACACATGCGGTTTTTTTAAAAGTGACAGCAATCTCAAACTGGGCCTAAGATAGTATAGTAGCAGCCTAATCTACTCTCACACCCATGATGTGTGTTCCAATTGATTTTTTTTAGTCTTAGTTTTTACATTTTAAAATTAAGAAAGGTAACGTAGGTCTTGTTGTATTCGATAAAAACATAACTATATTCTCATTTTGTTTTTTATTTTTATTTTTTAATATGAAAAATTATTGATTTGCTATATTGTAGTTTCATTTTTCTTAAATATTTTTATTAATTAAGGGTATTTTCTGGTATTTTGAATGTTTCACCAATCTTTATATAAAAACAATTCATGTCTACAAGAGTCCTAGGTTCTTAGTTCCAGTAACTCAAGTGGTTAAAAGTATTCTACACCCGAGAATTCTTAAGATTAATTCCTCCCTCCCCCAATATCGCTTATGTATCAAAAAAATTATATATCATTCATGTCTCAACTAATTTTAAGGTCACTGAGTGGATTCCCAACTTGTTTTTTGGCATAACATAATTTTTAATGACTGATGTATGTACATTGTAAACAAAAAATAATACTAGGTCACCAAACTATCTCCTTTGATAGGACTCTCTAAACTAACTTACTTGACATACCTCTGCTCTGTTTGTATGTATATATACAATATATATATAGGGAGAGCTCAAGAGTTGCATATTGAAGAAGAAGAAGAAAACAATTAGAGCCATTCTAGAATCACTACAAGAGAAATCAACAATAATGGATGATGGTGAAGCTTTTCGTGCTGAAACTAGAATCAGAAGCACTGTTTTAATCCTACTACTTCTGCTATTATTTCTGGTGGCCCCTCATATATTGGCGGTTTGTTTTGAGATTTCGTTGTTGAAGGCAGTGATGTCATTGGTGCTGATTTTGGCGTCTCTAATTTTGTGCCTTAACCTTTGTAAGTGTCACCATGTTTTACACTGTTTAGATCTAATTTTAAGTTGTGTTTTTACATCATTAAGTGATTGTTTTTGTTCTTGTAACAATTAATCTTGCAGAGTTCTTGAGGCTCCTCTGGCTTTTGATTAGACTAAGGCTCAAGCATGACTCGTCACGCAGTTTTTTTGAGAAATGGCACACATGGCTCGATGAATTTGTGACGAAGCTGAACAAAGGGAGTGACAAGAATTTAGGACTTGAAAATAGAGGTTACAGTTTTTTCAAGTCTAAGAGGTTATAGTTTAATGTTCTAGAGCTTTAGGTTTTACTTTTCTTGTAGTATAAAGTTCATCTATCATTGTGAACAAACAAATATTGAATACAATTCAAGTTATTCAAGATTTTTATATAAAATAAACAGAAGAGATGAAGCATCAATATTACTACTTCTCCTTCATTCTCATCTATAACATCCTCCTCTTCATTAAATCTCATCTTCCTCCTCATCCGCCAAGATAAATGACAAGTATATTTCAAATCATTTGCACCCATGTCAACCGAAGTCGTATCATATTTAATAACCTCCTCATCAAGTGGCAATGGCTATATATGAATTGGAAAAGGTATTAATTCCAACTCTAGAATCATAAAAATGGGAAACATGAAATCAGGCTAATTTTCGAAGTAGAATCATTTGCGCACAAATGGAGGTGGCAATGCATGCATGTTTTTTTCTTTTTTTGGTTTTTTTGTTTTTTTGTTGATCAAAACTAGAATTATGAGTTTTTCAATCTAGCCTTCTCTAAATCCTCTTTGTTTTTTTCTGTTCAGTAGTCAATGTACTTGTTTTTATTTTATTTTATTAATAAGAAAGGAATATGTTCTAGTGCTCGAAGTTTTCCTGTTCTTGTTTACTACTTGATGATGCTTTGGCACAAGTCTACCCAAATTGTTTTTTGCCTATAAAAACCAGCCGGAAACAAATTAAATGAAACAATTAATAAAATAAAAAGAATAAATGTAGAGCACTATTAAACAAACTTGTGATTTTTGATCATTGCTTGAACTAAAAAAACAACAACTTGATTGTTTTAGTTTGACCGGTTTAAAACCACTATATAAGATATAATTGGTATTAAAAAAAAATCGATCTGTCTAAATTTATTATTTAAACTTGATTGAAATATATTTAGTGACTGAAACTATCCATGTTTTATATTGTGAGTTTGTTACTAGTAACCAATTTGTGAGCTATCTGTCATGTTCATTCATTAAACCTTTAAACTAAGGATTACATATATGACATTCCTTGATGATGTTGTTGTCACATGTATATGGTGAATGCATATAGGTAAAAATGTGATGACTATTAGAACATTTTTAAGATGAAAAATGAGAATAAACATTTGACTAACATCAGTTGAGCACTTATGGTACAAATGCTTCAAGAATTCTGTAACTACATATAGATGAGATATTGGAAGAAGCTAAAATAGTTTATAATTATGCAACTTGTGATCTTTGTCTCCATCCATGCCATTCTTGGTCAATTCTTAATGGAGTTCCTATCCCAAGAAAAACAGTGTGGTCAAGTGTTCCGGTCTCATATAATCTCATAAAAAACAGGCCAAGATTGTTATTTTAATAACCTCATCAATTGGCAATAGTTATTTTAATAACCTCATCAATTGGCAATATGTATACGAATTAGAAAAGGTATTCGAACTGTACAATCATAAAAATGGGAAACATGAAACCATGCTAATTTACAAAGTAGAATTCTTGGCAGTGGAATCAGTTCAACATAATATACCTCACATTGATTTATGTTCTGCTCACTGTTAGCACTAGAGTTTGGCATGACAGACTGCCCCATATAAACATTGTTTCCCCATTCTCTGTCGTTGCAAGACCGGTCTGTATTGCAGGTTTGAGTATATTTTGCTTCTTGTAGCTGAATTAGAGTTTTAGTTACTGTTTTGGTTGCTCATAATTTTCTACAAATCAATTCAACATATTGTTGTGTTTGGTCACTGGTCAATGAAATTTATTAATTGATAAACCGAAACTTAGTGGTCTTCATTGTGTACCAAAACTAACTTTTCATTTTATTTGGATATACAGACTATGAATTGCTAAACTAAAGGTTCTTCATTTATTTTAAAACCCGTTGATTAACGAATTTTGTTTTAGACAATCTTAATTATCTTTTGGATTATGTTATAAAGGGTATGGCAGCTATTCTGACAGAGATATCTCATATATGGATATTATGCCAATTGTCTTAGAGCACAACACTGAAAATATATGCTAGCTAGCCACCTATAGTTGGGATTTAGGAACATAATCTGGGAATGTCTTCCTTGACGAGGATGATTTCGACTCACTCATGAATACTAATTGTATTCATACTAGGATTTAGAAACATAATCCTTAACGAGGAGGATTATGCCGGTTGTGTTCATACTACTCTCCTACTAATAATGTTTCACCGTCGAACATCATTTAAGAAAATTCTTTTAATATTTAAACTGACCCCAAAAAAACAGAAAAAAGAAATTTCAATTTTTATTCATATTAAACTAGGAATCCTCGCTTTTGGTTTTTGATCTTCATATGAATTGCTAATCCTTTCAATCTTCAGACTCCTCACTTCGGTAGCACACCTAACTGTTATATATATAGAGGGCTAAAGAGTTGCATATTCAAACAAGAGAAGAAAAAAAAACCCCAATTAGAGAGATTAATTCTATATTCAACAATGGATTCTGAAGCTTTTGGTGCTGAAACTGGCAGCAGCAGGGTTTTGAGCCTACCCGTACTAATCACAGGGGCTCTGATATTGGTGGTTTGTTGCAAGATTTCGGTGTCATGGATGGTGATTTTAGTGTCTCCAATTTTGTTCTTTCACATATCAATGTTGCGGACGAGTTTAACGTTGATATATCTTGTAGCTCGTAAGTATATGTCATGTTTTAATTTTATAGATCAAAATTTTAAGTCCTTTCTGTTCGTTTAAATCACTAATTGAGTTTCGTTTTTCTAACATGGCGATTAATCTTGCAGGTTACGCGTGGCTCCTCACTCTTTTGGAGGGACTGATAGCCCCAGCGCCAACTAAATTACAGTATGGCTGGTTGAATTTGAGGCCGTCCATCGACCCTCGTACAGCCCGGCTTTATGCAAGGGCTATAGAGCTTTTGGAAATGAAAATCAGATTTGAGGATCTAGGGAACCAACTCAAGTCTACGAACCACCCTGCTTTGGCTTTTCTACTCGAATCTCATGACAAGGACCTCAAATGTCTTGACAAGGCCCTTTACAAGGAGTTGGAGTTGTGTGGGATTCCGACTTCAAAGAACATAAGACACAGAAAAGATAAATGACTGAAAAAGCTCATCACATGGTGGCAATGCATGCATGTTATGTTTGTTCAGGACTAGGTTTTAATTCTTTGCTTAGTTGTTTGTTTGTTCATTACATGGTAGTTGGTTTTTTCTATTCAGTAGTTCTTGTTTGTTAATTTTTGTTTTACTTTTTTAATGAGAAAGGACTTGTTAATTTGTTTTTCTTTTTTGGTTGGTAATTCTCAACTTGTTTTTTACATTGGTTAACTTTCAATGACTCATATATTTACAATAAAGCAAAACCAAATGGAATCTCTACTGGTTTCTGGCTTTGCTTAACTTTTAATGACTCATGTATGTACCAATCTACGGGTAAACAAACCATCCCAAAGAAAAAGAAAGAGAATATATATTTTTTTTTAACGTTAGCTTCCAACGAGTATCAAAAAATCTTGATAACCAGTTAGTTAATACTTACACAAAGTCTTGTTCCAAAAACATCTGCCATTAACGAAGCATCACTAAAAGGTGAACCTGCCAACCTCTTCATCTTCATCTTCATCTATAGCATCCTCATCTTCAGTAAACATCTCATCTTCCTCTTCTTCTTCAACTTCTTCCTCGTCCTCATCCATCATGGCTTTGCCCCTCTCATCTTTGTCCTTCAAACCAGTGCTCAATATCACAGTCTCTCCCCCGGATTTCTCCATATCTTTCCTCAACTTCTCCATGTTCTCCTTTCTGTGTTCCTCCTCTAAACGTTCCTTCTCTGCACGTCTCTTTTCCAGATCAGCCCTACACAAGTAACAAGAAGCAGCAAAATTATGAAAACCAGATTAATTATAAACATAATCATGATCTAGCATAAACATCCCCATTCAGTGGCACTGTAGTACAAAGTGAAGAAAGGTAGGTTCATTAAGTTCAGGCAATACTTATAGTTGCCCATGTACTCCTCAACACTTGCATCAATGGCCTTAAAGAAATCCTTCATTCCAGCACCAGAAACCGCAGACACTCCGACAGACCGCAAGTTCTTATAGAATTCATCCAACACAAGGGAGAGGCTCTGAGCTAAAGTTGAACTGTATGAACTATCTGTACTCACTGCTGCTTGAAATGCCTCAAAATCCTCCATCCACTGAACGAACAGAAGGTTTCAAGACAATGAATATAAAAAACCAAAGAATGCATATTACATATTTCACTTCACACTGATAATGGAGAAAATTTTGGAACCTAAGAGGGTGAAGGAGAAAGTAGAAACATCTGCTTTGGATCATCACAATCAAAATGGTTACGAAGAAGAAATCAAATATTCCAAAATAAGTTGATTCACAAATACATTCAACTACAATATACATATGTATTATTTCATCAAACTACTACAGTCTGGACATATACAAATTAGAAAAGGTATTCCAACTCTAGAATAAAAATGTCACATGAAATCAGGCTAATTTGCAAAGTAGAGTTCTTGGCAATATAATCAGTTATATAATTCTTCACATTGATTTTTGTTCTGCTCACTGTTACTACTAGAATTTGCCATGACAAACTGCCCCTCATAAACATTGTTTCCCCATTCTCTACAGCAGTTTTGTAATTTAATCTTGAGATGCACATCCTATGAAGCATCAACACCTTATGCAACACAGTTGAAGATTTATTAAGTCCACAACCAAATGAATGCATATAAACCATCCAAGTTTGAGACTGATTCTACTGGTTCCTTTCAGTATATTTCTGGAACCATCTATAGCTAGCTTGGTGGGTAACTCCTGGTTGGTCAACTTAACCTTACAAAACTTGGCTTTACCCTAAAAGCTTCCAGACTCACCATATTCAAGCATATTCCAGAATGCGCGTGCATGTCTCTTTATTGCTTATGCATGTTTATATACTTTGTTCTACATGCATTCACACACATATATAAAGCATACCTCTAAAGCAAACTGATGTTGGGCCACGTCAATCTTGTTGAATGCCAACACAAGAGGCAACCTTGTCTTGTAAAGGATACTGCAAGCGTAAAGCATATTGCTCATAAAAGTGACTGGGCTAGCTGAACGAGGTGTATCTACCACATAAGCGATCACAGTAGGAAATGTTGAAGCAAATGCTTCTGTGATGATAGCACCAGAAGCGGACCAAGTGAATATCTCAATCTGACCAGGAGTATCCACAAGAACATAATCAAGTTGATCTGCTCGCTTCTCAATGACTGAGACAACCTGAAATTGGAGAATTTTGTGATAATTTCATTTTGAATAAATGAGGGAAAATAAACAGAAGGCACAAAGCATGAGCTAAAAGAACACATTAAGAGCGCAATCAAATGGATAGAACCAATATGAAGCCAACACTACTGTACATGTGCAAACAAATCAAAAGGATAGAACCATTACTAAGCCCAATAATGCAATGCATGTTGAAAAAAAATTGAATGAAATTGCCACAAACAAAAGCTACATGCTATGTATACAAAACTCTTCTGAATGATTATAACACTGACTTACGATGGTAACAAATGGCATCATGTCTCATCCACAGGGCATTCCAAACATTATACAGTATGAAATGATTTAAGGCAAATATTCACAGCAAAGTTTTTACCTCATCAAACTTGGTAGCAAACAAGTTGAGTGAGGTCAAAATTCCCCCGTTTGGTCCAAGATTGAACTGTTTCATCACCTCCTTGTAGCGAACAGTATCCCTTATGTCAATGTTTGCACCAAATGGGAGAGTCATCACAGCTGGGTCGAGATTCATCACGTAGCCACGTATGTTGGACTCACGTGTGTGGGAAACCAACCGATGAAGAAAGGTTGTTTTACCACTCCCTAAGAAAATCCACAAAACAGTTCGATTTCAAGCAGTTGACAATAGCATAATTCTTCACAAAACTGGAAAAGAAATGTATCAATAATACAACCCTATTGCTATAATGAACAAAACAAAATCAGATTAAACTTGATGAAATTACCTGCCATGCCCACAACAATTATAATAACTGGTTTTTTCTTGAAGCTGGACCCTGCCTGCCCCGAAGATGACTCCTCAACTTGCAGTTTCTTCATTGAGTTAGTAAGTTCCTCATTTTCTTTACCCTTGTCATTCTTCGGAACAAAATCAAACACTCCAGCTTAATGAAAAACAATACAGGAAACAAAAGGAAAAACAAAAACAGAAACTAAAAGTAAGACTAATTTGATATTTTGCTAAAAAAAAATTAGGAAAATAATTCAATACCCAATAAAATAAAAATAAAATAAAATAAAACCCAATAAGTTGTTTTAACATATTGAGAGCTTGAAAAGCAAAACCCTGGTGCATGGTGAGAATGAGTACCTGAACGGTAGAAGAGCCTTCAGAGTCCATGGGTATCGTTGTGTCGCCTTCTTCTTGTGGTTTGATATTCATTTTATGGAAATCAGAATCAATCTCCATTTGAGTGAAGGAGAGTTGCTGGGTCGGCGCGTCGTGGTCGACGTTCAGAGTAGGGCTGCACCGCTTATGCTCTGCTACGAGATTATGGGGTTTATGGGAGAGAGGACTGGGAGTGTGGGCTGCGCGAAAGGGAAATGAGAGGACTGTGTGTGGACTTTGATCTATATGAGTTCTATATGACACTAATTCGTGAGACGAAAATGAATATCAGAGATTGAAATTCGAGGTTTTGAAGCAAGATGATTTGGCTTATTTGGGATATTAGGGTTTAACGGACTGAGAATGATCATCAAACGACGAACGTCGACACTATACTCTTTGAATTTGGGCCTTTTATTTGGTTATGTTGTATTTTGTGTGGGCTCAACTCTCTGCTCCCGTTTGGGTTTCAATTTTGGGCCCTTAACCATATTTGTGCTTTTTTATTTATTTATTTATTTATAATTTATTTGAATAGTGGTTGTCCTTGCAAAAAGTATTGTGTTTCTATCCGTTGTCATGGCAAATGAAAATTACTATTCATTTTTTTGTTTTTTTCACAAATTTTTTTATCTCAATAATTAATTTGGATAATATTTTTACAAATTTATAAATAAACCCAATCCTAGACATATATTTATAAAAAAACCCAAATACTATTTAAACATAGAAACACACCCAAAATCAACAATTGTATATTTTTTGGGTGTGTTTATAAATGAGTTTTGAGTGTGTGTAATGATGGGTTTTGGGTGTGTTTATAAAGTGTTTTGGGTGTTGGGTTTTTTTATAATTTTAGCCCCCATTTTGGGTGTTTTAGTGAAACTCCATAATATTTTCGGGTTCCTACATGTAAAGACTATTCATATCTCATAATCGGATAAAATTTCCGGATAAAGTTCAAATTTCGGATGAATTTCAAAATTCAAATTTCAGATAAATTTCAAATTTCAAATTTCTGATGAATTTCAAATTTCAGATAAGATTTTCATCCTATCAAATCAAGCCACGTGGTATCTCTATCTGGCCAAAATTTTCTATAAAACCAGAGGCTCAGCTCATACCTCTCACACCACATCTTTCTATATTTTCATTTCTCAAAATTTAGAATTCATACTTCATTCTCAATGGAAGATTTTAGGAGATGCTTGGAGAGGCAAGAGCGAGAAACAAATGAGAGAAGCCGTAGACAAGCTGAAAGGCAAATGTTGTAGAGAGAAGAAGATGAACAAGTTGTCATAGCAGTGGCTTTGCTTGATGAAGAGAACCAAGGTCGCCATCATGGTTCACAAGTCGGCCGTGGCCCGAATGTGGACAGACATAGGCATTCTCGGGGTAAGAATCTTTTGGAATATTATTTTATCCCATCTCATTTGTACTATGATGTTGATTTTCGAAGGCAATATAGAATGCAACCCCATTTGTTCAATAAAGTCATCCATGATATTTGCAATTATGATGCATACTTTGTTCAAAAGTGTGATGCTGCTGGGGCTTTTGGACTTCTTCTAGAGCAAAAGCTTACAGCTGTTATACGAATGTTGATGTATGGTTCATCTGCTGATCATGTGGATGAGATTGCCCGGATGGGGAAGTCCACTATGTTGGAGGCCTTGGTAAGATTTTGTGATGCAGTCTAAACTCTGTACACTATGGACTACCTACGCAGACCTACTCCCAAGGACCTCCAACTGCTTCTACAAAAAGCCGAAACTCGAGGATTTCCAAGAATGATTGGTAGCATTGACTGCACGCACTAGCAATGGAAGAATTGCCCAACTGCCTTTCAAGGAGATTACGGCAATAGAAAAGGCCAAAAAAGTATCATCCTTGAAGTCGTTGTTGGCTTCGATACATGAGTTTGGCATGCCTTCTTCGAAGTTGCAGGATCCCAAAATAACCTCAGCGTGCTGGGTCAATCCCCGGTCTTCAACGATGTTTTGAGAAGTGCAGCCCCGAATATCATCTATCAAATCAACAATACAGTGTACCAGACTGGGTATTATCTAGGTGACGGCATCTACCCGAGGTGGACCACGTTTGTCAAATCCATTCAGAATCCCCGATCCCAGAAGCAAAGATTATTTTCTTCCTATCAAGAATGATATAGGAAAGATGTCGAAAGGTGTTTTGGCATCCTCCAAGCTCAATGGTTGATTATTCGAGGTGCGGTGCGTAGGTTTGATGAGGAGGTCCTGAGAAGCATTATGATGACTTGCATCATCCTCCATAATATGATTGTGGAGGATGATTATGATTACGATGCTACAGAGGTCTACAAACCGGATCCCATGAACATGGCCTTGACACAAATTTATGAAAGGCCCATGAGGCCAAGTGGAGAACCGTTTAAGCCGGATCCGTTGGTTAGGGATGGTCGTTTCATGACCTGTATGGTAGATTGATATACAGAGATGCAATCTTCGTATATTCATGAAAGGCGTCAACTTGACTTGATGGAGCATTTATGACGGTGAAAGGCAATGAAGGTGAATGATGGAGCATAGATTCTTTGCTTAGGTTTTATTTAGTTATGGTTTGGTTGTGTTGTATTTTTTTTATTATGGTTTGGTTGTGGTTTGTTATTATTATTGTGCTTTGGTTGTTGTTTTTTTAATTTTTTATTATGCTTTGGTTGTGGTTTTTCCTTTTAATTATGTTTTGTTTGATGTATGGAATATGTTGAATAAAAAGGTATTTTATTGAATGCTTTGTTTATTAAATAAAGAAAGCCAATACAAGTCATTAAGAATTACTACTACTAAAATAAAATACATGAATTACAACAACTTTAATACAAAATATGAAAAATACAAATAAATAAAAGGTATGGTGACTAATTTAATGGTTTTCATCATTTAACCAATCAGTGTTGCTGGGTTCATTGTCACGGAAAAGTCTTCTTCTCATAACATCCCTTCATTCTAGCTTTCAAAATTGTTTTGTTTCAGGGGACATATGGCTTGTACCCATGGCCATGGTTTCCCGATCCGTCTTCTCAATGTGTTGTTTGCACAAATACTCATTTTCTTGTAAATATTCTACTCGAATTGCCATCTCATTCTCTTGGTGTTTCTTCTTCATTTCAATTCTTATGGCAGCATGCCTTGCAATTTCCTCCAAAAAAATTTATGTATTATTAGTGCTAGAATTATTCCTTTTCTTCGCCTTCGCAACCTTTCGGCCAATGGGCCTCGACTCTTTTTCGATGGGTGAGTTTTGACTCATAGGGGAATCTAAAGGTGAATCCGATGTCGTTAAATCATGGAGTGGCGTCTCGTTTAACATAACGGGGGGACCCGTGGGAATAATTCTGAAGCATTTGCAATTTTTCACCACCTCCCAACATTCATGATGGTTGAAAGTTTTTTGTCTTGCCCAATTGCACCAAACCACATCTTTGCTTGTATAATCTATTAACCAAAAAAAAAAATTAAGCAAGAAATATTTAAAATATATTGGAAATGCAAGTAATATAAAAAAAATAATGGAAATGCAATTAACCTTACAAATATATTGGAAATGCAACAAATATTCACAAAATATTATTTATACAAGAAATATTAAGACAAAATTGGAAATGCAAGAAATATTAACAAAATATTGAAAATGCAAGAAACATTAAATATTTACAAAATATATATATTAGGACATTAAACTTAATAAAATTAAAATTAAAAAATATTTACCTTGTTACTAAGATTTTACCCGCTTCTATGGTTGTCTCTCGCTTTTGCTAAGGCATCTCTCCATTTTGCCAACCCTTTATTAAGAATTTTCCACCTACTAGACAATGTCATTTACGTACAAGTCAACCCCGGAATTCTTTCAAAAAATTCGACATGAATTTTTTTCACATATGACAAAATTTCATCTCATTGCCTGACACGTGACAATGACTAACTTGGAGTCAAGACTCAGACAAGAAAACATCTTCCATGGTGCTCCACGCCCATCTGTTTCGATAAAAGAAGCCATAAATATAAGAAATAAAAATACAATTTGAAATATAATAAAATGTTGAGTAAGAGTGGATAATAGTAGAAGTAGAAGAAAATGTATGAGTATTGGTGTTCAAAGTGAAGGGTATTGATAGGTATTTATATAAGAAAAAAAAATTCAGAATTTTTTGGTATTTTTTTCATAATTTTATTGCCAAAAAAAGGTCAGCCGTTGGATTGGAGGAGGAGTAGCATATCGGAGCGCCCAGGTTGCGCCACGTGTCTTCTAGCAGTTGGAAACGAGCAAGGCTGACGTCAACGCACGTGATGACGTCACCCTCCCCTAGGGTTCGAGCTCGGGCGAAACTTGCCTTCGGGCCAGCCCATCTTCGTGGGTCCCACAGCCAGCCTGGGCAAGAGTGGCCCACTGGAACTGGGTTTTTCACCCAGCCAGCCCCCTCCCCCTAAACTCGAGCTTGGGCTCCTCGGTGGAATCGCTCTTAATGAATATTTTCATGACCATACATTCATAATTTGACATAAAAAATTATTCTAATTGATAGTCAGGATGATGAAACTATCTTTTATTCTAATTGACACCATTTGAAGAGAAAAAGGGAATAAACACTTAAATATGCAACCTATTTAAATTTAATGTCATCTCTGTATCAAAATGTTTCATCTTTAAGTGATGGAAGATTTATCAACTATTGTTTAAATGTTATGAAGTTTCAAATTCCTTTTGATATATGTATCAACAATTGTTCGATTTCTTTTGGACGAAAATATCAAACTACATCGGTAACTAAAACGAATCAATCTGAATGGTAATGTTTTTGTTAGTTTGGTATGCAATTTGAAGCCTACGTCCCTAAATCGTGCCCATCTCTATTTTCACCTCTCTTTTTTTCACCTATTTCTGCAAAACCACCACCATATCTATGGATTAATCCTTACTATTCATACTTTTCCATAAGGAAGGAAAAAAAAACTTGGCAATCATCTTCCAAATTTATCTCTTCTTGTTTATTTCCGTTTTTCTTTAAAAATTCGTGTTAGCTTTTTCTCTTGTTTTTTTTTGGATTGAAAATAAGTAAATTTCATTAACCGGAAGCATTGGTTACAATAAGGTCATCAATAATACAATTCATTAGCCACACATGGCCTTCTTCTAACCAATAATAAGGACCTGTTCGTGTAAAGCAAAATAGGCAATAGCATGAGCCATTTTGTTATACTCCCTAGGTCGAAATTGGACTTCCTTTAAAGAAAACTGCATGAGCAAGTCTCTCACAATCAAACAATATGAGTAGAATATTTTCAGATATATTTCATTCTCCGAAAGAATGTATTTATAATACAAGGTTACAAACCTTAGCAGGGTTATACTAGGAAATAAGAAAAGTCCTAATTACATAATATCTATACAAAAGGAAATAAATAAAATCCTACTAGAATAAAAAGGAAATATCCTAATAGGGCTAGGATATCTTGCCAACACTCCCCCTCAAGTTGGAGCAAAGATGTCATGCATGCTCAACTTATCAAGCAAGTTGAGGAAGATACTTGTAGAAACAGCTTTCATATGGACATCAGCTAACTGATACTCAGAATTGATGAATGGGAAGAAAACAATCTTTGCATCTAACTTCTTTTTAATGAAATTTCGATCAACCTCCACATGCTTTATATGATCATATTGTACAGGATTACGAGCAATTGCAATCACAGCCTTATTGTCACAATATAAATCCATAGGTTTCTTAGGTCCAAAGCCAAGATCTCTCAATAATCTTCTCAACCACAGTAACTCACATACGCCATGGGCCATCCCACGATACTCAGCCTCAACACTAGAACGAGACACCACATTTTGTTTCTTGCTTCTCCAAGTAACAAGATTACCACCAACAAACGTAAAATACCCAGACGTAGAACGCCTATCAGTAGTTGAACCTGCCCAATCAACATCTGTGTATCCTTCCACATCTGTATGACCATACTTGGAAAATATTAACCCCTTGCCATGAGTGAATTTGAAATATCTCAAAATACGCATTATAGCTCCTATATGGTCTTCACTAGGCGAGTGCATAAACTGACTCACTACACTCACTGCATACGCAATGTCAGGACGTGTATGAGCTAAATAAATTAATTTCCCTACAAGCCGTTGATAGCGCTCCTTATCAATAGGAACTTGATCTCAGGATATAACCCTAACTTGTGATTCTGTTCACTAGGAGTATCAATTGGTTTACAATCCAACATTCCAGTTTCTGCAAGTAAATCCAAAACATATTCCTTTAAGACAAGAAAATACCATGCTTAGATCTGACAACTTTAATCCTGAGAAAGTACTTCAAGTCACCTAACAATTTCATCTCAAATTCAAACGCCAGATATTTCTGGAGACTCTGTATTTCTGCCTAATCATCTCCTGTTACAATCATATCATCAACATAAATTATTAAAGCTGTCAATTTACCTTTGCGACGCTTCAGAAACAAAGTATTATTCGAATTACTTTGTACATACCCAAACTTCCTAATAGATGCAGCAAACCTCTCAAACCAAGCTCTTGGAGACTGCTTTAATCCATATAAGGATTTCCTTAGTTTGCACACCATACCCCCTTAGAGGTCACAGGGATACCCGGCTGGGGATCCATGTTTATTTCTTCCTTGAGGTCACCATGGAGGAATGTATTTTTTACATCAAATTGTAACAGATGCCAATCATGATTAGCAGCCAAGGACAAGAGTACGCGCACAGTATTGAGCTTTGCTACTGGAGCAAAGGCCTCCATGTAATCCACTCCATAGGTCTGAGTATAACTTTTGCTACCAACCTTGCCTTGTAACAGTCAATAGAACCATCAGCCTTGTGCTTCAAAGTAAACACTCATCTGCACCCAACTACCTTTTCCCATTTTGGTAAAGGAACTAGCTCCCAAGTGGCATTCTTGTTTAAGGCTTCCATCTCAACATGCATTGCATCTACCCATTTTGGATTAGATAGGGCATCCTGCAACCTAGTTGGCACGCATACACTAGATAATTAACACAAATATAATGCATATGATTTTGATAGATAATAAGTTGACACATAATGGTTAATGAGATATTTAGATTTGGCATGTATATCAGGAGAATATTTTACTTTAGGTTTACCACGAGTAGTGCGTGGGGGTAATGGATAAGTAGACACATCATTAGAAAGAACCTCATCATTATCACGAGTTGGTTGAAGTAGTGGCAGGGCAAATGAGGGTCTTATATTGATCTCATCTTCACAAGAGTCACCAGTATCACTGTCACGTTCTTCTGGCGAAGAGAAAATTTCGTCAAAGAATTCAACCGGCGACCGGTCGTTACATTCTGGGCGATTGGTCGGTTCCAGGCAGATTACTTGGTGACCAGTCATTTCCATGCAGTCATCACGCATTGAGCTGTGCAACCGGTCGTCACCCTCTACGCAACCGGTCGTCACCCTCTACGCAACCGGTCGGTTCCAGGCAGATTGCTTGTCGACCAGTCATTTCTTCTACGCGACCGGTCTGTTCCAAGCAGATTGCTTGGTGACCGGTCATTGGCACTTCGTTAGAAATCCCTTCACATGCCTCTGTACGTCCAAGGTTTTCCATTCCAAAACTCTTCAATTCACTCCCCCTCTCCTCCTAAATTGGAGATGAGGAAGAGACATAATACGGTATTTCTTCATGAAAGGTGACATCCAAAGTAACATGTACCTTTTATGAATGAGTGTGATAACACTTATAATCCTTCTGAGTGGTCGAATGGCCAATGAAGACACAGCGAAAAACACACGGGTCAAGTTTACTCCGTTGATGGGAGTAGACATGAACATAAGCAACACACCAAAACACATTCGAAGGTAGCTTAGAGACTGAAACCGAAGAAGTATGGGCACATAACACATCAAGCGGAGTTTTGAAATCAAGAACCCGACTAAGAGTACGGTTAATCAAATAAGCAACAACCAAAACACCATGTCCCCAAAGATGATAAGGAACACACATATCCAACATAAGGGAGTAGGCAACTTCAAGTAACTGACAATTCTTAAGTTCAAACACATCATTCTGTTGATGAGTGAATGGAGTGGTAGTTTGGTGAATGATACCTTGATCACGGAAGAACTGGATCAAGGTATGATTCACATATTCACCTCCGTTATCAGTCCGAAGTACTTTAACATGGACATGAAATTGAGTAGGCACCATAACACAAAAAACAGGAAGAATAGAGGCAACATCATGTTTATGCTTCATCAAATATACCCATGTTAAGCGAATGCAATCATCAATAAACGTGACAAACCAACGAAAATCATGAGAAGTCACACGGGCAGGGCCCCATACATCCGAATGTGCTAACGCAAAAGGCAATGCAGCTTTATTATTACTCAAAGGAAAAACTGTACGATGGCTCTTGGCCATTACACAAGTCTCACATTTGAAGCTAGACTCATCACACAAACTAAATAATGAAGGAAACAAATGTTTAAGATAACCAAATGACGGATGTCCTAAGCGACGATGCCACAGCCAAAGTTGTTGCTTGTCTTTGATACTGCCACTCTGGACTTTATTAGCGACACAACCACGAACTGCTGCAATCGGTAACTGTAAGTAATATAACTCCCATATCCGTTTACCATGCCCAATCTTCTCGTGAGTCTTGAGATCCTAGAAAAAACAATGGGTAGAATAAAAAGTAGCAAACGCGTTAAGTGTATCAAGTAAACGTCCAACAGATAACAAATTGCAATGAATATTTGGAACCAATAGTGCATAGGACAGAGGTATAGAAGGAGTGAGGTGGATGATGTCTTCACCGGTAATTGGGGAAGGTAAACCATTAACACTAGTAATATAAGGGTCACGAGGGTTATGAAACAACTCATCAAACATATTACCATCATAAGTCATATGATCAGAAGCACCAGTATCAATTATCCAAGTATTAAAACCCATACTTGGCATGGTATCGGAAGCACACAGATTTGCAAACGGGGCCGGAGGACGGGCTTTATCTTGAGTCACAGTGCAAGCGGTCTTGGGACCGTACATACGAGATTTGTAGTCAACAAACCAATCGAGATAACCATACTCCTTAAAACACTTCTCAGAGTAATGATTCCTATTACAATGATGACACTTAGGAGGACCGTCAAGAGAGTTAGGGGTAGAGCCAGAAGGATGAGACCCAGCTGGAGAAGAAAATTTTCTGGATAAGGAGCGACCGGTCGTGTTGTGTTGTGCGACTGATCATTGACGTGCTGGGTCAACTTTGAGGGCCATTGAACCTCTTCCAAGTATAGGGGACTGACGGGTGTCTTCCTCCATGACCATGACATAAGCTTCGAGAGAGGGCGAGACAGGACAAAGAGCAAGGATACGACTACAGACACCATCATACAGTGGATGAAGTTATTCAAGAAAATCATAAACTTGATCGGCTTCAATTTATTTCAAACGATGAGCCCCATCATCAACACACTTAAACTCATGTGGATGCATACAATCAATCTTCTGCCAGACAGCATGGAGTTTTTCATAGAACACTTTGACAGATTCATCATTCTGACATGTAAGTATGGATTGTCGTCGAAGTTGAAACAACCAAGAACTATTCTGAGTCACAGTATAGGTCTTCCGGGCGGCCTCCCATATATCAAAAGCAGTATCACCATGTTCAAATAAGGCACGAACTGGCTTAGTCATGGAATTGAGAAGCCATGACTGCACTAGGCAATTATCTTCTTTCCATTCGGCATAGGCAGCGGCATCTGAAGACGGAGCATGCTTCTTCCCATTTATCCAACTTGTCATACGACGACTAGTAATTGTAATACGCGCGCCACGATACCAAGAGGCATAATTGGAGCCATTCAATTTGTCAAAAGTAACCGAGGTAGAGTAATCACACGAGGGACGTTCCTCTTTTGTTGTAGACGCACTAGCACTCACCACGACTTTGGAATCATCACCCATTATAGCAGCGGAAAAAAAAACACAACACGAAGCAAATACATCAAACACAGCACAAGCACGGGCACAATAACCCTAAAATGAATTAGGGCACACAATAGAACACAAGTGGGCACAACACACATAGGTCACCAGAAACCTGGCTCTGATACCAAGTCAAACAATATGGGTAGAATATTTTCAAATATATGTCATTCTCCGAAAGGAGGTATTTATAATACAAGGTTACAAACCCTAGTAGGGTTATATTAGGAAATAAGAAAAGTCCTAATTACATAATATCTATACAAAAGGAAATTAATAAAATCCTAATAGAATAAGAAGGAAATATCCTAATGGGTCTAGGATATCTCGCCAACACATCATCCACAATGTTGTCGACAGTAGCCCAAATAATCTCCCTTGAATCAATCATCATGACAGCCTCAGAAGAGTCAATTTCTATGAGGAGAGGGAAAAACCAGCACCTGCAACAACAAAAAAACTCCTCTATAAATCGCTTGCAATTTTGTAGCTAGAATGGAAACCCCGCGAGGGCTTTGCATGGCTAGGGCACCCATAAAAACTCCAGAATCATTTCAAACAACTACACTTATACTACGCAAGCTTGTTGCGTTGTCAGTAGCTCCATCAATATTGAGTTTATAGAAACCTCTAGGAGGACAGCTCCAAATCTCATTATGATTAACCCTACAAGCTCGTGGTTGTTCTTGAGATTTATGAGATTCTTCATAAAGCTCAAAAGTCCTATCAAGAAGATGGGTAGGACTATGCACACCTTCACCATGAAAATTATCATTTTCGCTTTCAATAACATCCAACAAATGTAAGCAAATTGCTCCAACTCAATAGAAGACAAAACCATTTTAGCTTTCTCAAAAAAATCAATGAAGCTCAATGGATAAGAGATTCTGTTGGTGCTAAAAATTTGTAGAATAGAATAAGATGCAAACTGCCAAAATATGAGAACTATAAGAGAATATTTGTTTGTAGGAATTTTTTGTGTATTCCTCTAATTGTAGGAGGTCATATTTATATAAAACGGAGCCTTAGCCAAATTTCATATTTCTATTTATAGTAGGAAATCAGGAATTGAAATAAATCAAATATAATTATAATAGGAATTGTAAGGAAAGAAAGTCAATGGTCCACAAGTCACACCAACACAAACCTCTTTGAAAATTGAAAATGTAGAAGATTTGTTATAGGAAAAGGAAAACTCTTTTGTAAAAGTTTTAAAACCGTGAAGGATTGATACAACTTTTAAGCCCCTTTCACTTAATGCCATTGCACAAAGTCTATAATGATAAGATGTTAGTTCAGGCATAAAAGAGAGGGGTATGGAAATCCTTCATACGTGCTTCCCTTCTCATCTTAGATGGAGTAACGGCTGCCCCCGACATCATTTTTATCGCCTACGACATTTGAGTAATTTTCATCGGCCATGGAAATAGAATTTTGGATACGCTCCTTGCTTGGAAGCCTTGAGTCAGAGGATTTTCTTACCCCAAAAGTCCTGCCGCATCTTGTTAAAAATGATGGTAATAGAGCAGAAACCATAATTAAAAATATTCAAGTGTATAGAGCAGAAACCATGGCTTTTTAAATTTTCTTTTTTACTCTTTATTTGCCTGAAGTGGGATATGAAAGTGCATGAACATAAGCAATTAACTAAATTAATATGAAAATGTACAGTAAACTGCAATTAAATTATATATCCTGATACACATTGATTGTTATAAGCATGCTCCAAGTAAGAATTGAAATATTGAGAACGTTCAAAAGTGTGGAAACAAACAGTAGCCCTTATTGTATTGATAAGAAAGAAATATTGATGATATAGCTTCAATGAATGGTTTAGGCAAGTCCCAACTGACTGCGTACGACATGCATGTATTTGCACTTGATTACCGTGTGCCATGGCTCATAGTAAACTTATGTGATTGGGTTCGTCAAGTCTGATGGTAATAGGCCAAATAAGTTAATATAGATAACTCAAAATGACTAATGATAAGTGTTAGTATGAAATTGTGGCATTTCCTAGAAGTTAGTATGGGTTTGGAAGTGTCATTTACCTAGAAGGTTGAAGCAAAATTGCTGTCTCTCATTTTCAGAAACTGCTGGATTGAAACAGCTCAGCAATCTCCAATTCTAGAATTGTGAGTCCAACACGTATGAGACATTTGATTTGAAGGGTAAGACATGCCATTTTTCATGCACTCATAATAAGAACCTTTTTGGGAATCTAATATGATTTTATTTCCTTGATATTCCTTGATTTTAATCAATTAGAATCCATTTAGGAGTGCATTTCATTTAGGCATATTTTTCAATATCTTTTGTTTATTCCTTCTTTCCTTTTATTATTAAATTCCTACTTGTCTTTCAAATATTTTGATTGAAGATCACATTGGTATTTCCTTGGGCCTCAAGTCAAGGGTAACCTTGCTTTGTATTGGAAAGTATCTTTAATTGGCAATTACTTTTTTAATTAGATCAATGTGTCTAAAGGGTTGGGATATTCTTGGAATTAATTCTTAGGAATCTTGATAAAGTGATTGTGAATATCCTTCTTGGGGTACACATGAGTTTTATACATACTAGGAAACATATCTTTGGTTATTTGGTTAGCCTTCAATGAAATTGATTTTGTGTTGGACGTGGAATTTTCTTCTTAGAGAAGAAAAAGTTCTATAAAATACGACATTTGTCTTCTTTGCAGATAGTGCTTTAACGATCATATTTTCAGTCCATAAACTTTAGAAAGCTAAGTTTTTATTTGAGATAAATCATCAAGTGTTCCATGTTTACTTGGTGATTTATCAAACATTTTTATCATTCATTTTCATGTTCGGTGACTCATACGATTGAGGGCACCAAGACCGTTGTGACATTTTTTCTCCAATGAGCTTGTATCGATTGTGACCAATATTAAGTTCAACATAAGGAGTGTTGAAAGATCATCCTGTGACAGAAGTTGAGTTACGAAGAAGTCGATAAACATTATCTAGAATGTGTCTAGGATAAGTGTGTGAGTACTTCTTGTAATCATTGTGCTATAATAGATTTGTTTTGGATTGAGGAGTCCTGTGGATTTTCCCAAGAGGTGGGGTTTTACCACATAAAATAATTCTCTACGTGTTCCTTTATTTTATGCTCTGCACATTTCCAGGATTGATAAGTCATATCAATCTTACTACTAAAGTTTTATTTATTTATTGATTACAATTTTAAATTGGCCTATTTCACCCCCTCTAAGCATTTTTAGTCCTCCTACAGGTAATTTCAAAAAGGAAGTATGTAAGCTGGTCGATACAGTGGAGCTCTATTCGTTGTTGGCAACACAGACAATATCAGTGGGTGGGACTTTGCCTGTGTTCAGCTGCGAGCCCATGATCATGAATAGATAGATTGGACCATTTTTATTTGGATGGTTGAAGTCTTGGTGCCCCTATTCACTTCATGAATCACCCCCAACTTGATTAGTTAAGTACTAGCCAATTCAAAGATTTACTCAATGTTGAGTTTCCCTGCACCAAACGATTGCATCTCTACTAATAAAATAAAATAAATAATTGACACCAACATTTAGGAACTTGAAAATCGTGAAGGATTTTTAGAGGAAATTGTCTACTCAATAATTGATACTAAATATTTATTTTATTTATTTTATGTGCTATGCAAATAATCAAGTGAAAGCAAAACACCCTCCTTTGAAGGATTTAGTCTGGACCCCCAACCTAATTCAATCATTTTGTTATAGAATATATGCAATTGCAATAAAAATTTGGATAACGTCTGCATACAACTTGAAAATTGTGAAAACGTATTTCACTAAAACTCCAACACCTTGAAGGATTGTGGTGGTCCTCTTTCTTAGTTTATAATATGAAATGAAGAAGTGCAATGTTAAATTGCCACAATCTCATGCAAATTAGTGAAACCATAAAAGGTAGAGCATAGAAATTCTTATCTTTTTGGGGTCTTCATGCCCCCATTGTAGTTCGGATCAATGGATTGGTGTGCCCATTGGAGCATAAGTGAGCATTTGATTATATAGTGTTCATTGCTTCTTAATATGACCTTTTGTACGGTTCCCACGGACGGCGCCAAGTGTTGTTGCAGAAAATTTCAGGTCCTCTAACAAGTAATATGATTTTCATGTTGAGAAGTCGGACATCATTTCGATTGCCATCAGTGAAGGAAGGGGGTACTTGCAAGAAAACATCAAGTTGATAAGAGTGTAATCGCAGGAGAGTTTAGAATAGTATTAAACCTGATTTTCACCCTCTGGACTGTTAGGTTAATTGGCCTTTTATAAGCAGTGGAGTCTTGGGCTCTAACTCCCACATTCCTCATTTTTCTCCATGATTCAGGATAATAGATGTCATGTTGTTTGAATGTCTCCACTCCCCCAAATTTAGGATGCGTGGGTAGTGGGTTATTACTTGGGTAGTACATTTTTGCTCCCACAGATTTATTGGACTTGCCGCAACGAAATCAAATACCTTTTGGGATTACTTTCTTGCTCACCAAATTGACACAAGTGGGAAGGATATCATGAGAGGCACGTCACAATAAATGCTTAATTTTATTTGGAATATGGAGGCACCAAATCAATTTCCAATACAATGCCATTTGAGCACCACTGGAACCACCAACACCACTATTAAGATCACTAATTTTCTTCTGCACAACAACTTGATAACCGAATTGAACAAAATATTTTCCATTTTTAGTAAAGAACCAAATCTGCTGATCTGTACGTGGATTGCAACTCAAAGGGATGCTTTGAATTAACTCCACCTCCTTTGGAAAAAAAAACACGACTGTAAAAGACTAACATTCCAAGCAGGATGAGAGGAAATAAATTCACAAACCTTAGAACCCGCTGTCAGAGAAGAGGTGAATATAGTTTAAAAGTAGACGGCATGGGTATCCATTTATCCTTGTAAACATCAATCATCTTAACATCACCCACGCACCAATAAAGGTTTGCATCTAATACATCTCTTCCCCACAAAATAGAACTCCAAACAAAATAAGGAATTGAACCAAGAGTAGCATGCATGAAATCTGAGTTAGGGAAGTAACGCGCCTTAAGCATACGAAAGGCCACCATCCACCTTGTGCCTACGGATGCTTTGCCATTTTTTCCAATAGATCCCTCTTTTATTTCCTTTACTCCACCAACATTTTGCAACCAAAGAATTAAGATCTTTCCAAAGACACCAACAGGAAAACGAAAATCTGTGTTAGCTTTCAAATGTGGGTTAGGGCGATTTTTCATCGTCTATACAAATGCCAAAACACTTTATTGGAACAAGAATTAGTGGCACGAAATTTTGTTAGCATTCTTCTCGACGTTGTTAATGACCTTTATTAGTTTCAATATTTTTCTTTCATAATATCTGTTTAGACCTTCTGCCTTCAATATTTTATGGAAATGTAAAATTGGATGGTAAATAAACAAAATTATAATAAAACGATTTATTAATTTATCAAGGTAACATGATTCAAAACACCATCACAATCTGAACAAATACATCAAAGCAATGTCCTGGCAATTGCTGCAGCCACAGCCGCAATATCATGCACAGCCTTGTTGTTATCCGTCAGAGGAGACTTGCCAGAGAAACCATCTTCACACGTCTCGGCCTCACCGGCAGCGTCGTTCATGCCTTGCTCTGCAAACTTGGGGTTGCCTAAGCTAAAACCCTGTTGCGCTTCAGGCACCAAAGCTTCTACAACCGTGTCGTAAAACCGAGCGCAAGATTTCAAGGCCTGGTTTCCAGGTCTCTGCTTAAGCAGAGTATTGATTTTGTTCAGAGTATCGGTCGACTTGGCCTTCACTATATCCACCAGTATGACGCCTAAGCCCGATACGTCTGCGGTGGAGCTCCGAGGGTCCGATTTAAGAGAAGAGACGCAGAGAGCATAGTTTGGTGTCTGTTTGCAGGTTTGGTCGATGAGATTGGCGTCTGTTGGGAAGACAACTCTGCTGCAGAGGGCTACTGGAAGAAGAAAGACAAGTAGGGTACAACAAACAAGTTGAAGGAGAGATGTTGAGCTGTTCATCTTTTGAGAAATGAGAAGTTCAGGTTGCAAGCTCCATTTTTATAGAGATTTTGGATATGATTATCTCTAAACTCCTGGTGTGGAAACAATTAATGGTAAATGGATATGTATTGGTAACGTAAGTTTCTTTGTATGCTCTAATTACCAAAACAAATAAAAGTTATCAACGTATGTATGTGTGGACCTTCCACATGAACCTGTTTGTATATATTAGAGGGGGTCCAATCCAATCTCATCCAAGAATAACAATTTAATTTCCCATATTTTTATAGCAAAAGCAACTGAATGTCAAAAGGCCAGCCAGATTTTCTTAAAGGATAATTAAAACCCGATCGATAAGTCAAATCGTTTAAATAATTAGGTAATTATTTAATTCATCGACGCATCAAATTCAAAACTAATCGGTAATAAATAGAAATGCCCAAAATATTCCAAGCACGTATCCTAGGCTCCTATTTTGTAAACAAAGTCTTTTTGAGGAGATAGTATACATTTTATAACTTCTCAAATCAGTACACATATCTATACCAAATTGGTTGATGCAAACATAAATACCATACAAATATGCAAACTAAAAAGATTTTGGGTTTAGTGGCAATCTCCAAAGATGATGGTTGTATATATCTGATGTTGGTGTGAGTGGTGCAGTGGGAGTTGTCAGGGATTACTTGGGGGCGTGCATAGTGAGAGATTTTGTGTTTTTTGGCTTTTGACTTCTTTTAGTTTTTTTGAATGCAAGAAAAAGAGAGGTAAAATATTACTGAGGGTAAAATTGGAAATTTAACAAGTATAGGCCAAGGCGAGCCCACCGTTAGAGGCCCAATCACACCCCGTTGGCCCGTTAGTTTGGATCCCATTAGAGGTTAAGTCGGATCTCTTGCGAACGTTCGTCCCGACCCGGCCAGACTCGGACCTCCCTCCCAATCATTTATTATGTTTTTTCTGACTCGGAAGCCTCGACGCAGCAACAGAAATTGCTTTCTCTGCTTCTCAGTTTTACTCGTACTCACGACGAAGACTTCACTTGTCTTCAACCTCCAACTCCAAAATTCAAGCCCCAGTATTGCCTCTAGGGTTAGGGTTAGGGTATTCAAACTTCGCAAAGCTGGATAGGTACAGAGTAGACCGCTATGGCGACAACGACGACGACGACGACCACGAGGACTCCAACCCCTACCGTCGTCCTTCTCGCTTCTCCGATGCACCCATGAACTATCAAACTCACCACCCTCGCCGTAGCCCTCCCAGCTATCGCGGTGGTCCTCCTCCCCACCGTGCCTTCGACAGCCCGCCACGTCACTCTCCCGGCGGGTTCCGGCCATTGGGGGGTGCCGGTGGTGGAGGGTTTGGCCCCAACCACCAGGACCCGCCTCCTCTCTCGGGTCAGAAACGAGGCTTTTCTCGTGGAGGCTCTCCAGGTGCGTTGTTGTTTATTTGTTTGATATTTATTGTTAAAATTGCTTCTTCTTTTTTGTTTTTATGGTCTGAATTAAAATTGCATGTTGCTTTTACGAGTCTCTAAACACTTTAGAAGTAGGTGAAAATGAAAATTATATTTTACAGCGTTGGTGAAATTGGGTTGCATTAATATTCTGTTGTGCTTCAGCCAAGTTAATTACGTAATTTCAAGGTGCTTAATTCATGGACGGATTAATGTCAATAGCAATTAATGTTTGATTTTGCCATAAATCTTGCTGCAAGTAAGTTTTTTTTTGGGCTTATGGGTTGTAACCGCCGTATTTACTTTCTGCATTACTCATGAGTTTGAATACCTTTCAGATCGTTTTGGTAGAGGAAGTTTTGCTAAACTTTTTGTTGGATCAGTTCCCAGGACAACAACTGAGGAAGATGTAAGTCATTCTAATTTTTACAGTGTACAAATGCCTGATATATGTTGTTGTTGGACTTTTTTTATTAAGAAATGGTGCTACATCAACTTGAAACATTTACTTCACGATGTTTATGTATGTTACTTATGTCAGATTCGCCCTTTGTTTGAAGAACATGGAGATGTGATAGAGGTTGCTCTAATAAAAGATAGGAAAACAGGACAGCAGCAAGGTATGTGTGTGTGCTTATTTCTATGATATATTTGTGATCTGTAATATCTTATTTCAGGTACTCTGAGAGGCAGATGGGAGCAAGAGAAAGCTCATCTTTCATCTCAGTTTGTTTTTGCAACAAGTTTCACACTTGTTGGTTTTGCTTGCAACCTTTTTTTCATGTCCGTCCTCTCAAAGAAGAAGAAGGCAAGACATGTAAACCAACTAAAAACCAGTTTCCGAATAGCAGTTGGAATCTTGGAAGACACTTAGGTCCTGCCCTTCTGATAGCGGCTGCAGCAGTGGGGCCTCTGTTGCCATAACTTTAGATTGTTTATGTTAGGATATTAAGAAGTGCTACTGTTGTACAGAAAAATGACTCAAAAAATACATGGATTATTGCTTTTCAATAGTATTAATCACAATGTAATTTGGAGGATCTCTTTGGTCTGTTCTAATCTTGGTGACCACGGGAGTGGTTTGTTTGAATGACTTGGAATGCCATGTGTCACTTTATGAGATTGACTGAATGTGATAGATGTGAAGTTGGATGGTTAGTGAGAGATGGATGATTTTTGGGTGTGATGGTTTGCATGAGTTTGTTGGTTTTATGTCTTTCACTATCTGAGTTTCGGATATTATTGCGATGTGCTCGTGGATGGATATTTCTGTATGGTGATCGTATGGCCCCCTCTTTGTTTACATGTTTAAGTAAGTTGATAAGTCTGTTTTTGCTTGACTACGCTGCGGAACTAGCTCACTTTTTTCTGCTACACGGTCTCAGGATGGTTGTATTCAGGGCTAATGCTTCCTTTCTTTTAGAGCATAGACTCCGACTCGATTTAGATGTGTTATGTTGAAAAGTTGACCCATTTGCCTCTTTGTGATGCTGATGTGCGACCGTAAGGAAAATGTGGTTGTGTGTTGTAACTGGTCCTCTTAATTGAGTGGTTGTGATATGTGAACTTACTAGGGAAAGTATTTTGATTGTCCTTATGGATGTTTATATTAATTTGTCTTTGTTCGTAGTGCTTTCTTTTTCTTTGTAGAACTAAATGGAGACTTGAGTTATCTCAGTGTGAAGTTCAACAGAGTTGCTTAGGTTATGGAATTCCTTCTCAAGTAGGGGGGTTTACTACTCCTGAGCTGATCTCGTGCCCGACGATCCCATACGATAGGGGTCACTGACCAAGTATTTCGTATGTTTGAATCTTCACCAGTCAGTAACCTCTATAATTTCCTCATAGCGGCTTCTCTGTTATGTTGAAGTTTTACCCCTCTCATATATTTTTACAAGCGTCGAAAAAACTACCTTGTGAAGATTTGGGCCCTGGAATATTGCACCAAATCTTCTACACTTTCCGATGCTATGATTATTATAAGTCGAAAGTTTTTGTTCTCTGTTTATGTTATTTAAAGTGTGGGCATCAATCAGCCTTATTTTTTTATTTATGTGGTACTTCATGTCAAGATTTGCACTGGATACGTCAACTTATTGACAATGTGAAAATTTATCATGTATTTGGTGAATTTAGTCATGGTGCGTAGGCTGGCTGGTTTATTTCTTTGTCTAAGGTGTAGATGAACTCTTTTTCTGTGGGATTGGTGGTATGATTGAACAAAGCTTTTCTTCATGGCAAATAATGAGTTTTTTTTCTTACGATTATAGTTTTGCTTGACTGATCTTATCACCTTTTACTATTGCAAGGCTTATCTCCTTGTTGGCTTGTCTGAGAGATTTGACTGGTTACCTGACCTGGGAGGTTGGACTTAATCCAGCATCATAGAAACAGGGCAATACTCACTAGCTCTTGTGCAAGTTTATTTGATGTAACATTTAATTTCCATAGTTTGGCTTCTGAAGATTATATGTGTAGCCTCTAAGTTCCGCAGCTGCTGCTTCATAATTGTAGGTATCATCACGAACCGTCATGGTATGGACACATGTGCATGTTGAGACCTGTGATTGATTGTTCTAAACTATTCATAAGGAGAGTTCATGTCTTATTCTTTCTCAATGTGGTTTGTTGACGTGTTTCCGACCATGTCTGTTAGTTCATTGTAGTATTGTACACTAAGCAGCAGGGGCCTTTACAATGGTAAATGTTTCTGGTAGACTAAGCAGGGGCCAAGACATGGGCAGATAGTTTTCGGTAGACTAAGCAGGGGCCTTTACAGACTCTGCTTATAATGACTCAATAGAATGTTGAATAAGCATTGAAATTCACTTCTGAATTCAACTTTTTGCTGATTTGTTGAAATTTATTTAGATTTGACGTGGTGGTCTGATGAAAGTGCTTACTAGTGAGTGGCAGCCAAGCTAGTATGAGCTGGCATGTGTGGTTGGCTGTTTTTTCAGGATATTTCTTTCTAGGGATGTTATGTAAAGTGATATGCATGGGATATATATTTATCTATCTCCGTGATCCACAAAACTGTTGAGAAATGGTGTATTTCAATGGAATATAGATATTGGTTTGATGTGTGTATGTTTGTGATTTTATTCCAATTAGAGGCAATGATCCTGAAATCAAGGTTGAATTTTTGCCTTCTGTTTTGATGGTATGGTTTCTTTTGGCTCCTCAAGCTTCCTACTGTTATGAGCCAAATTTGGTATATGAGAAGCGTATGGAAAAATGTATGAAGCCTTGTGTTGTAGTTTTTCCATCTAGCTAATGCTCTCTCGGTTCAATCAATATGCCCTTGTGAATGAGCCAGCGACATTATTAAGATGGAAATCTTGTTTGCAGCCAAAGAATTGGTATTTTCTGTTATTTAGAAAGAAAGGTGATTCCTTACAAGTTTTGGGTTGTTGCTATATGTGTGGCTTAAGGTTATGGGTATTCAGAAGATTCTTCTATCAGATGCTCTCCCTTCTTATGTTGTGCTCACACTAAGGAATACATAGAGTGTGATTTATTATTTTACTTTTTAGTTGCTTCTCTGGAAATTGTTTGTTTTAATAGCTTATTACCTTGCAAATATAAGGTTTGACGTTTTTAATGTTAATTTTTTAGTGGGAATTTATTGTGGATGTGAACTAGCTGCCTATCTGTGGAATTTTTATAAGGGTGTAAGTTGCATATGCAGGCTGTTGTTTTATAAAATATGCAACCTCAGAAGAAGCTGATAGGGCCATTAGAGCTCTGCATAATCAACATACCCTTCCTGGGGTGAGTTTTTATTTTTTACTGTTTCATTTTCTACTGTTTCATTTTCAGTTCTGTTCTTAACTAACCTATAGTTGTTTCACACACTTTGTTTTCCAGGGATTAGGTCCTATCCAAGTCAGATATGCTGATGGGGAACGAGAACGCCTTGGTAATTATCATCTTGGCATGAATGTTAGATTGTTCCATTTTATTCGCAAGTTTTATTCATGAAATATCTGTAACCTTTTTAGGCACTTATTTTTCCAAAAGATTAGATACACTATCTCAAATAGTGGTGTCATTTCTGAAAGAACGTGATGCGTGAAAATGACCTCTTTCAACAGACAATACTCATGTGCTTGATTTATTTTTTTGCTCCCATAAAACCTTACTTCCATATAAGTGATCCTCAACTAATTATGTCCTTAACTTCCATTTTATATTTTGTCAACTTGACCATAGTGTGTGAACAGGATGGTATGCAGGAAATTTTGTATTTCATCTTTTTGTGTTTGCACACACATGCATGTTCAATTTTGGTTTTTTTGTTTTTTTGTTTTGTTTTATACAGTTTTTCGATTTTTGATGTCATTGCTTTAATGATAGGTGCAGTTGAGTACAAATTGTTTGTGGGATCACTGAACAAACAAGCTACGGAAAAGGAAGTTGAGGAAGTATGTTGTCCACTAATTATCTGTCATCTTCTAGGATTAGTATTTTCCACCATTCTTTTCTCATCTTGACACAAAATGAAGCTTTCTCTTTACTTTATAATGAAAACTCATTTTCCCTTGGCATAAAGATATGTACTTTTTCTAATCCAGCAGGGAATAATATGCTCTCAGCTTAATGCATGTTACTTTTAACTTCTGTTTATTTTGGTGTGGCGTAGTGGTACTTATGGAAGTTGTAAATGCTATCAGAAAAAGAAAAAACCAATAGCTGATTTCTCTTTGCAGATTTTTTCACCATATGGTCGAGTTGAAGATGTTTACCTCATGCGTGATGAATTGAAGCAGAGTCGCGGTTTGTTTTCTAGTCCTATTTAATTTTTTAAACACAAAGAAAGTCCTCTATATGAGATATTTACATCTTTGAATAAACAACAATTCATCTTTTAGGATGTGGATTTGTAAAGTACTCCCAAAGAGATATGGCGTTGGCAGCTATAAATGGTCTTAATGGGCGCTATACAATGAGAGTGAGTTTTTTATATTTTAAATCTATTTATTTCTATTGTTGCAAAATAACTTTAATATAATATTATGTTACAGTTTTTTCGTGTTATCAAAGGCTATTTAATTATATGAGACACATATGTTTCTTTTCCTGCACCTCAGGGATGTGATCAACCACTCACTGTGCGGTTTGCTGATCCTAAAAGGCCTAGGTCTACAGATTCAAGGTTTACTTCTCTTCGTGGCTTCTTTTCTTAACCGTTGCCTGAAGGCTTCTATTATTTTATTTGGTGACTGGTTAAATCTTCTTGAAGTGTAAATTTTGATGTTATTGTTTGTTGGAGTGGTTTAATTGATTCATTCCTCCCCCCTCACCCCCTTTCCCCCTCCACCCAAAAAAAAAATCCTAAATGTTTCTGGCATCTTTCTTGTTCAGGGTTCCGGCATTTGGAGGTCCAGGTTTTGGTCCTCGATTTCAAGCCCCTGGGGCGAGGTAATCCCCAACAATTCTCCGAATATTTTGGTAAAGCTATTGCGTTTTTTCCTCATTTTATTCGCTGTAGTTATTTACATACTTTGTTGTTAACTTACTCCAAACAGACCAGTCCCTAGCTTTGGTGATCCTATGAACGACCAAATTCCAACTCATGCTTGGCATCCAATGAGTCCACCAAACTTGGGACCATCCCCCAATGCTGGGATTCGTGGCTTTGGGGGCCATTTTCTTCCTAGGGCCGGAGACATGGCGTTGCCCTTGAATTCGGTAAGAATAATTCAATGATTTTCCTGCAACAATTTGCCATGAGAAACCATTATCTATTGTTACATGTTTCTTCTTCGTTCTCTTAGGACTTCCATCAAAGGCGTATAGTATTTGACTTATCTGTAATGATTGGGCTGCAAATTAAGTGATTTGTTGGCATTGAAATGGAGTCTTGATTGAATAGTATTACAATGACCTTGTCATGTTATCTTCAGCTGAAGCTATGAAAGGATGGCTGCTGCGGCATTGAATTTTTCTTTTTTATTTAATTTATAGTTTTCATGTTGTATATGATGCTAGTTTCTTTTATGATTTTAGTTATAAATTTGTGGTTTTATGCTTTTAAAAGTCTTATTACTTGCTCCCTAAATATTTAGGGTGGCCATGGTGGCTCTGCAGAGGGTCCTCTTCCTGGGATGCCAGTTTCGTCTTCTTTAACATCACAACAGGTATAAGGTGATCAAATTTTTTTTTAATTTACAACGGATTCAAAAATCAAAATAATGATCTTTTAGTTTTCGTGGTATTTCATAGTGAAAATGACATATTGAATCTTTTTCAGAGTTTTAACCAGTCTATGCCACATGTCGGCCAGAAAATATCTCCAGTACAGAAGCCTATTCAGTCACCTCAGCATTTGCCACCTTCCCTTCAACAGCACCCTCAAACTCCAGCATCATACTCTCACACACAAACAGTAAGGCAGCTTGGCCAGGCACAACTTTCTCATTCTTCTGGTCAAACACCATTTAGTCAAGCATTACCATCACAACAGTTTATTGGCTTGGGTGGACAGTTGTCTGTCCCTCAGCCTGAGGTCCCAAAGAATGCATCTTCTGCTACAACACTACCAGCTCCTTTGAATATTAACTTACAACGCCACTCCGTGTCCTCCACAACAAATCAGCAGCAGATTTCTTCTGCTCCTCCTGTCCAGCAACCACTGCTTCAGCCTCTTCAGCAGTCACCGTCTCAGTTAGCTCAGATGCTATCACAACAGACACAAACTCTGCAGGCAAGCTTTCAATCATCTCGGCAGGCGTTCTCCCAGCTCCAACAACAGTTGCAGCTAATGCAACCATCAAATCAGGGTTTGGCACTGCATCAGATTTCCCAGGCTACTAAACAGCAACAGGTATTCAAACGTTAGATGCTACAATATTGTGATCTTGTAGGAATATATGGTAATAGGATGTGTTAGATGTGATACCATGATGATTTAATCTTTAGCTATTATTTCATGGTCTTGCCTTAGTTGCTTAAACAAATCAAGTGCATGAGCTGTGGCTCTAGAACTGCAGAAGCAATGTTATATAGATTGGAAAAAATGTGACCAGTTAGTGAGAAGTAGATACGGAAGTTGAACTTAATGTACATTCACATTAGTGAGCTTTGGCTTGGGATGTATATGGTATCTGTAACTGGGGCTCATAAGTGGTGGATCTTAGCTCCTGCATGCATATGTCCGATTGATGGATGTTGGTTGCCTGTCAAATGGATAAAACATTTTGACCTGGCTGTTGTTGATATTAAGCTTCCTTTCTTCTTTGTCAAATTTAGAAGCTTTCGCCCTATAAAATCTTTGCATTTGTAGAAGGCTAATTGTCTGTGATGTTTTTTTACTTTTAATTGTTTTTATCAACTCTTAAACTCATAAGCTGAATTTTATTTTTGCTCCTGCAGTCCCAGTGGACTGGGGTTGTACCACAGACAGTGGCCAGCACTGCTGCTGCCACACCAGCTGCAGATGTGCCTTCAGCCACATCTGTTGCTCCTGTAACCCAAACTACGGCTCCTGCAAAATGTATTTGGACAGAGCACACCTCCCCGGATGGATACAAGTACTATTATAATAATGCTACTGGTGAAAGCAGGGTAAGGATTTTTTTCATTTCCTCTGGCTGGTTTCTTGACTTCAATGTGGCTAATGCTGCTTATATGAACTTGTAGTGGGAGAAACCTGCCGAGTTTATATTGTTTGAGCAACAGCAGCAGCAACAAAAGGCATCAGTTCAGCAGGCTCATACCCCATCACTCCCTCAAAATATCTCTGCGCAGCAAGTTTCTCATAATCAACAGCTGCATCTTCAATCTCAGCTTCAACCACATCTTCGAACTAACCTGCATTTACAACAGCCATCTTTCTCTTCATCGGTAAGTGTATTCCCATGGTTTCTGACTTATGAAAGACTTGGTTCTATCGTTAATAACTCATTAATTTGGAATTCCAGTACCAGGCTTCACAGGCTTCTGGAATTATAGGTCACCAAAATGTTCAGGTAAATTTCACTCACTGTTACCAGGATATTCACATTTGACAAGAAAATTGCAATTATATAATGATTCTCGCTAAACAATCCATATACAGGTTTTGTAATTAGTTGTTTTCATCATTTGGGTCTCCAGGAATTTGGTTATTCACAATTACCCACAACTAGTTCAGTTGGTGATCCTACACGCTTCCAACAGGTATTCAGATTTTAAATTTATTGCTCAGTTTTTTTTGTGTATCACAAATTAATTTTAGTTCTCTGTTTCTTTCCCAGGGGCTTCAAGCTGCTCAGGAGTGGATGTGGAAGAATAAGCGAACAGGTTCTGATCAATTCTTCTGGTTGAGATTATGATGTCCGTTTTTGGTTTACTAGCCGACCTAGCAAGATAAAGGGGTTTGTAAGGGTTAAAATGGAGGTTTCTGGGGCCTGGGGCTTTTATTGTGCCCGTAAGAATTCGTCTGTGTTGTATGTCATAAGATCCGCTTTTATTGGGCCACGTTAGAGCGGTTGATGTTTGATTTTGAAACATGGACCTTTAAGATGCTTCATGGTCTTCTGTGCCCTGCTTGATTGTGCTTTGCATAAAGCAAACTGAAACACTAGACCCGTGAGCATTGTCTATCTTTTATTACTGTTTATCCCTTTCTAAATCAGTGAACATTTTTTTCTGTTCAATCTCCAGGGGCATGAAGTGGTGGAGCAGAGCCTAAGGTGGCACACTGGCAAAAGTATTTATTCTCGGAGGAAGCTGAGCGCGGCGACAATGGCAGCCAGGGTCCTTATTAGAGGTTGAAGATGCTCAATGGGATGTGTAATGGGAACGTTTTCTTCAGCCCCGTAGTATCTTTTTTGTGAGATTTTACTGGCAACAGTTACTGGCTCACTGAATTGAGCACGTGTACCATTAGTACTGGGCAACCAAATGAGATGTAGCATATATATGTATAACATAAAATACAATAATGAGTAGATATTTAGCTTAGCCTATATTGAAACGAAAAGGTGGCCATGGTGTCACGTCATTTGAGTTATAATTGATGGGCTCCATGCCTTTTTATGTTACCAAATGATGGTGGGGAAGACGGTAGCTTTGTTACCAAATACCATTTGGAAAACATTTGGCTAAGAATGTTATTTCCATTATCACCATTAGTAGTACAAAGCTTCCTAATTTGAGTACACCACTGATATGCCTCTGCTGCGTCCCACTGTAGAAAGTGGTTTCCACAGTAGGCTAAAAAGATTAATTGACACTTCGACAGTTCCGACGAATCTCTCCATTTGTGCCAGTAACTGGTCCCAACCTTCCCAGTTTGATCATAGAATCTTTGAAGTCTTGGAAGAAGGTAGACATGTCCTGTGCATAGGTCTCTACCAATTCACGCGTTTGCTCATCTCCGGTCACGAGATTCTGATCGGATGGAAGCAAACCCTCCCCAGAAAGTAGGTTAACGTAGTATTGGTTATCAAATGTTTCTGGGGTTGCCAGGTCAAGGTTTGCCAGTGTGCTGCCGTCGGATACCGAGCATAGCTGCTGCAGTGACTGAATGAACTCCAGAGACGCCTCAGGGGCATTTGGGTTGGTGGAGTCTCGTAGGCGAGCAGCAAAGGTGGTGCACCGGGCTTTCCCCATTGTGTGTGCACCTGCCAAACAACAAGAGCAAAATGGTGATCTTGTTTTGTTTTCCAATCAAGAACAATGCAAGAGATCAATAAAGGAAAGTTGAGAGTACCAGAGAGTGCAACCATGTCCTTCAAGCTAAGGTTTACGTTCTGGAACTTGGCAACCAGGTTTCCAATGGTAGAATTCGGGCCTGGGATGATGTTATTTGCTAGTGCTTTGCTAGCAGTCAAGCTGTCCTTCCTTCCCATTTGGACATCCCAGCTTGGTCCACCGGACTGCAAATTGAAAGTTCAAATTATTAGTCAGAATCCCATGTTAACAGCGGTTGCAAGAATATCTAAATTCTAAACTCTCAGAGCACACACCACAACAACAGAGTCTCTGGCAGCAGTTGCAAGAATGTCAGCACAGGAAACTGTTTGAGGGCAAACAAATTCAAGTTCCTGTTTTATTGCATCAATCACTTCAAAACCTCTCAGAGAGTTCAAGTTTGGTGCTGCCGTTTTCTCACCAACAAAGTTGTCAGTGTCATCTAGTAACACAGAAGCATCACACCCCTGCACAATTCAGCACACAACATATTAATATTATTATTTATGTGCTCATTCAAATACTAATAATAACATAACACATATAAACAATGCAAACAAGAGATAACGTGCATTAACAAAGCAGTCATGGAAATGGAGACGAAGCAGAGAGGCTGCCATTCTCGTGTCCTCAAACACTGCCAATCTGACCCGAGCAAATATTATGGCCTCTGCCTCCGGGCAGATATCTTTGTACAAATCACTCCCCAAGAGGTCACCACAATCATCATCACCACCACCACCACCATATCCTTCACCCGTGGTTTTCGGAACGATTGCAAGAAAAATTGCAAGGTTCAGCAATAGTGAAAACAAGGCCAACTTCTTCATGGCCATTTTTGTATCCTATCTTCTACTCTCTTCTCTTGGTATGCAGTGAAAATGTGAGTCAGGGTGGTACAAGTTTCTGCGTTATATAGAAGTTGAATGAGAATCTGTTCAGTAACAAAAAGCAGACTTGGTCATTGAGGTTTGGTTTTCGAGAGGGTAAAAGAGGTTAAATGAGCAGAGGGGTAGTTAAGAAGACATAGTCAATCAACCTTTTTAGAAGAGGTCAATGTGCTTCTTCTTCATGCTGCTTTTCCCTTTTTCAGGCCTCTCTCTGATATCCTTAGATGTATCATGCATTAACTGAGGCAGTAGAGTTTCCTCAATCATCCAGTGTAGGTTTCCTAAAATTTATGTCATTATTTTGGGATGATGGAAATACCATATTCTGGGTTACAAATTAACAAATCTACGAATTTAAGTATAATCATTCCATTGCCGTTAAAAGCATATCATGAAGTGGAAACATGAACTCATGCCTTCCAATTGGATATTTTCAAAATTTCGTGGCAACATTTCTTAGCTAAACGAAACCCTACAAGGCAGGTTTAGAATAACCTTTTTTAGAAAGACATTTCTATTGAGAGATGCGATAATATACTAAACTCACATACACTGCATGGATATTAGGACTCGAATCCAGACCTTTCATGGATCCTTAGAGGAAGGAAAGTGGTTTCAATGAATAAGCAACTATGAAACATCAAATGACACTACCTAGCAGTAGTAGGTTTGGGCTGTATATTTTGTCTCTTCATTTGGTTGTGAATTTGGGCTTTTATTTTTTAGGACCTGCCCAAATTTGCAAAAAGAATGGTTGGTTGCCCATGAACTGTAGAAAAGCTTCACATATGTGCAAATGGAGTGAAAGCTGAACTCTTTGTTGCTATATAAAATAGAACTGATGGCAAATATATCGATCGCCTATTGGCCCTGCCCTTGTTTATTTTCAACAGTTAATAAAGTACAACGATGTATTTATATTTATGCAATAATTTGGCATAAGGAGGGGGATCTACTTTTGACTAATTGTAACTTGAAAAAAGCATTTGGTTTTCCTTTTCCAAATCAATATCAATAGAAGATGTCACGCATCAAGGCTATATGATATGATCGGTCCCCTGTGACATGAGTTTGTACTGTGCAGACGCACTCACAATAATTAGCTCAAATTCGAGAGGTTCTTCTAATTGGTTAAAGGTGGCATGCAGCAGTGAATTAATGGGCATCGAACTGAGATCAGACTTGAGCATATTCCAGTGGTGTTTGAATCAATTTACACAAAGAATCTCCAATGGGGCCTTTTTTTCTCAACATATACAGACGCCCCTTTTGGGGTTCCTTTAGGCATCTGATTATCTGGGTGGCATTTAGCTTGTCGTGCGGCTGCATGTGGAAGGAATTAAGGAACCAACTTTTCTAAGTATGATTTCTGTTTTTTTTCTGTAGTAAAAATTATAATCGTGCTGTATAATATTTGGTTGGTTTGGTAAGATGTTTCTTTCATTTCATACTGTATCTTTTTTTTATACGAACGATACCGGGGACGGGAGGGGGAATCGAATTCATACTATATCTTACACGTTAAGAAATTGCAAACACACTGAATATATAGTTGCTAGTCTTCAATGGTGACCATGCATATATGTGATCCACATTTTTTGACCCATGAAATCGCTGTACTGTATGAACTAACGGGTGCAGAAAATCTAAGGGGATATGTCCAATTCCGGATGAAACCAAAACTCAAAGACTTGGAAAATTGTATAAAAGCTATAGTAAATTTGACAAAAACTTTCACCAGTTGATTTCTTGGGTTTGAACACGTAGAAAAGTACGAGTGAGACATTTTTTCCCAAGACCTCTACAAGTTTTTCAACATATCCGTTTTGCTACACGTACGGTTCCCCAGCTGTATCCGAAGCAATGCCACTAAGAAAAGGTTAACTTCAGATCATGGTCTTCATAACCCAAATCTTCACTCTCTTTTTAATATGTATATTTTCCTATACTTTTCTCCGTGCGGCGGCATCTGGAGGAATATTGAGATAATGCATGCATGGTGCAATTAAAATAGTTTTTCATATAAAGCTCATCTCTCTTATATATATATAGCTGAGACATAAACACTGTGGCTTTAAGTCGTGTATGGCTTTAAGTAGCACAAGAATTCAATACCATCCCTGGCTAGCAAAGACAGCGCGATATGGACAAGGACTTGATGAACCAGAATTGGTATGAAAACCCCATATTATCTTCAGCAATCCTAAAAGCAACCCACACTGCGCACCAAAATCTCACACCATCCTCTCAAATCCTATTTTTTTGCCAAGAAGTTCACTCCTTTCTTAAATGACAATACCCATATCTATTACTCAAAGAGGAAGAGAATGTCATTGAATAACAAAGTTAGTATTCATGATGCATATACATACGTATATAATCACACATCCGTCATCCATCATCCATCATCTATCATCCATATCCATGCACGCTCGAAGGTATTAATTGCATTTACTTTGCGATCTAGACTGTGTTTTCATAACCATCCTAATACTACACCTTTAGGGTTTCCCACCATTAATGACCGAAAAGTAGGATCAAGTTCCCATGTTCATTCTAGATTCTACCTTTTTCCCATAATAAAGTCCTACAATAGTAGACATGGAATACAAGGTAAAAACTTCCAAACCTGATTGCTTCGCTTATATTAATAATAAAACCCTAACCTAGTTGTGATCGTGACAAATTTACCCCCTTGATTAATTGATTCTAAGAAGCGAAGTAGATGAAGATGAAGACAGATGAACAGCTAATGAGGAGAAACAAAAACAAAAACAAAAGGAAAAATGATATACAAAAGCCAATTAACAACTCCATGAAGATATATATCTCCAAGTACAAAGAATAATATCAAAAGCTCAAGTACGAATAAACCAGTCCCCCAACAGGCCAAAAGGCTAGCAGTAGTGATTTTACAAAGCGAATTAAAATCTGAAAGGTGCGCAGCTTAGGTACACTAGCTAAGCTAGCTATTCGATCCAAAATGGTGATGAAGTGAATTCTTCTTTTCTAACGATGAACCCAATTAAGTAGTAATCTAGTCAGTTAGAAAATTACATACCATGCCTGCAGCAGCACTTAACACATAAAACAATCAATATTATGATGGGGATCTATTGATGAAGATGATCTTCTTCTTTGGCCTCCTTTCGAATCTGTGGCACGATGTCCTGAAGAAGTCCATGGTCTCTAAGCAAATTAGAAGCCGCAGAGGAAGAAGAAGAAGGTGATCCAAAATTATATCTCTCTTGAAGTAAACCCGTAGAAAATGAGGAGGGGTTAAAAGCACCACCCCCATAAGCAGGTGAGCTAATATTCAAAGAAGGGGCTGAGCTATAAATATACGAATACTGCGGCTGCTGCTGCAGTTGTTGTTGTTGATAGTGATGATGAGGTAATAACTGTTGAACACCAAAAGGAGATGAGGAGAAGGCACAAGGCTGGTCAGGCAACGGTGCAATCCCCATGGTGCCACGTGGCGTAATGGGGCTTGGATGGGTGTGCTGGCCTTCGTATGTTGTGACCACAGTGGAAGGGTCGTCGGAGGACCTCTCCACCCTCTTCTTCACACCACAGGCCGCAGTGGTGCAACGATAATAGCTCCTGTTACACATGAAAATATAGATATTAACATTTTTAATTATAATTATTGCGTGCCCCATAAGAAATTAACGAAGAAAATTTGCATCGATATACAAGTTTTGTATTTATTATAAGTACATGAATGATTGATTGAATATGAATAGGAGGATGGGAATGAAGATGGGGTTTGGGAGTGTATGGATATTGACCTGGGATAAGGGCTGTTTTTGACAGCTTTTTGGCCGTACTTACGCCATCGGTAGCCATCATCTAGGTTATCAACCTCACTCTTGGTCATGAACGCAAATCTCGGCTCTCTTTGCCTTTTTTGGTTCTTCTTTTTGGGCTTCAATCTGTGATTCAATCACACAAAAAGCAAACGCAACTTGTTACTACTTTCTCCATCTCATCAACAAAAACAAAATTCATCAAAATCAGAAAAGGAAACAACAACATGAACTGACCCCATCAAAAAAGAAGAGAAAATCATCTTCCCATATGCTTAATTAGTTCACACACAAGATCACACAAAAAAGTTGATTCATCCATTTGATTTTCATAAAACCAAAAAAAGGACAAAAAATGACATAACAACTTAAAACCTTAGCTACTCTTACTGTTTCTGGGTTTTTTCGGGATCTTGGTTCTGCTCATCAGCTTCCTCATCCTGAGCCTTGGTCGTCGTCTGGTCCTCATTCTTATTGGCAGCAGCTTCATTGGACGACGAAGAGATTGAAGAGGAGTTGGGGGTCGTTGGAGCCGTACTACCGTTCAGCACTTCCGACGTCGTACTCTCCCTCTCCGGCAGAGCAACTGCAGTAGGGGTGGTGGCCGGAGAGGCAAGTGGTGGTTGTTGTTGCTGTTGGTGGTGAGGTGGCGTCATCACCATCATCATCGAGGAGGAGGACGACGTCGTTTGGGAAGAGGAGAAATCGAATAAAGAAGGGGGCATGTTGAAGTCTTGAAATCCAAGCAAGTCCATGAACCCAGAGCCTCTCTGATTATTATCAGACATGTCAAATATGCTGCCGCCTGATGATGCAAAAGAAGCAAAGCTGCTGCCTGGAATAATCTCATCCGAAAAAACAGTGGAATTCGCCATGCTAATTTGATCGATGGTCGTCTTTAGCTCTCCTGTTTCTCTACCATCCATGGATTTTTAAATCAAGAGCACATATTCCTCATTTGTGAACTTGTTCTCCAAGTCTGAGCGATGTGAGAGAGAGAGAGAGAGAGAGAGAGAGAGAGAGAGAGCAAGAGAGAGAGAAAGAGAAAGAGAAAGGAAGATGGAGAGAAAGTGAGTGATATTTTTTTTCTCTCTTTTTTCTGGTTTAATATATAAAACGAATGGAAATGTTTTTCGAAAGTGTGAATGGACTTGGGCTGGGATTTTGGAAAACAGCTTGGCTCAGAGGCGTTTCCCACCCAGAAGACGGAGACGACCGGCACGTGTCGGTTAGCTTTCATGGGTACGGAACCTGTCGACGGGACGGTGCCGAGCATTAATTGTTGTGCATGGATGGGCCCGGCGGGTGTGGGGGCCCACCCTCTCTTAACGCGGGTTTTTGACCGGTGAACCGGCTGAGTCTGTGTCTGTGTGTAGAATGTGGAATTTGGAATGTGGACGAGGGCTTTGGCTTCTACAAGTACACGTGGCCTACTAAAAAAGGTCCTGCTTCTCTGCATGCATGTGCATATATCTTTTCTCAATCCCTTACCCTTTTCAATTTTATTTCGCGGCTTTTGCCTTTTTAACTTTTCACGCCAAAGCCTTCGGATAGTTTTCTTGCTATCTTTTTTTGGTGATTCTATTTTATAGAGCACCTGCTTCGACAAAGAAAAAAATATATAATTTTAATTAAGTAGTATTTTTAAATTTAGGAATTCTTAACATGTTTGAATAATTTGGACTCAACGGTTGATGCATGCCTAATGACCTCTGAGAGTGAGGAGTGAGGACCATGAAATGAAAGTAAATAATATTATTATTTTTTTGCTGGTAATTAATAATAATTTGTTTTGTTAATTTTATGCATGTCTTTTTCGTTAATGACTTGTTTTCTATTTTATTTAATTTCCATGGATGTCTCTGTCCTCATGGCTCACGCCATCAATTCTTACGTTTTTATTTGTTTATAATTTGGCACATGAGCCATGTGTCTCTCACCTCACCTCTTCCCACAAATCAAAATGCGATCAAACCTAAACTTACAAACTTAAACTTTAAGGATATCCCTTCATACTCGGAGACTCGGGGTTAATTTTTGGCAAATAGATTATTTAATTATCACCCTGATTAATTTCTGAAATTATTTTTGGAGAAAATAATGCAAATTAATTATAATAAAAAATAAACTGTCAAGAATATAGATGACAAGGGGTTATTGTACGACGAACATCAATTTCCACCCTCAGTTTATATGACATTTATGATAATAAGAAAACTTGTACTTTTTTTGGTGTGAATCCATTTGTTGTCTTGTTTATTGATTAAAAGACAAAGTCCAAGATTTCTTTACTTTTTGTGCGCAAACTATTCTTTTCTTTTTTCTTTGAAGAAATTAATGCATGCATTGGTTGGTGGTAAGGTTAAATCCTTTTCCTCAGAGAACCGTGGCCCATTCATGCTATTTTCTTTTCCATTTGTTTCAATCACGAGATACATTTTCATCAAAACGTCTATAATTTAGATGTGTATATAGATTTTCTCATATACGGACGTCCGGACGTTAATTTACAGACTTGAAGAAGTGTCGTAATCTCAAACTATGTAGTCCTACTACATAAAATAAAATATTGCAGGAACTTCATCTTGAATTTAATTTAATGAAGGAAATGTATTATAGTCGTGAAAACAGCCTTACGACGACATAGGGCCCCTTTGTTCAGAAATCGATGTGAGACAATGAAGGCTGGTCCCTCTGCCTCCATACGCGTAAATAAATACATGAAAAAACTGAATAAAGCAAATACTTAGATTTCTCGGATTCTTTTCTTTAAAATATCACGGTGGAAAATAGTATAAATAAACATGGATTTTTCCTATAATTTATCTCCATAAAATCGCAATAAATAAATAAAAACAGATGCTTTGGGATCCCACGTGTCAAATCGGAAGGTTCACTTTTATCCGATCAGGCTTTTGAGTTTGAAAGCACATGCACTTTACGCGGTTTCAGTAATATATATTCTACGATTGCTTCCATTACACGCCCTCTAGTACCTCTCTAGATACAGCTTTTCCATTTTTCTTTACATTTGCTTTTTCCATATCAATCTAGTTTTCAGTATTTAATTATACATGTCACGCTTTCTAGAATATTTTTCTTAGTCTTCTGGGGAATTTCTTTTCCTTTTCGTTTCTTCCATACATGAATCATTATGTATGACAATCGGGGTTTCGTTTAAGTTCATCTAGACTATGCAAACATTAATGAATCTACCTCGAATGTGATTAATGATGTGTACCGTTCCCACATACTGACTATTAGTTAGAGTTTTGTTATTATTACGCAATGACGACTTCATGTTTATTCTAACGTGCATATGATGAGAAATTCTTGTAGGTGCGTACGAAAATTATTAGAATTTGAGCATTTGACTCAAAATTAATTGAAAACGGATAGAGATACTTTAAAATTTTAAAGTTTTATGTTTGACTCCCATTCTTCGAGTGAGCATAGAACTAAAAACCATGGGTGCAGCAGAGGCTTAAGATCTTTATCCAGAATCAATGCCATACGTGTATATATGCTTCTAACAAAATTGTTACAAGGAGGGCCATGCCAACTTTTTATTAGCCAAGTTAAAAAGTTATGACATAAGAGAGATCATAAAAAGTTGTGGTCCTTTGAGGCTTGGGATCAAGCAACAAAAAGGTAGATATTACGACTACTGAAAACATCATTTCATAAAGAGTAATAGCTAATATATTTACCCTCGTTATAGATCTCCTTTTACTTAACAAGGTTTCCAAACTTGCTTTTGTGTTTGTCTGGTAACTAAAACACTCCACACTTAATTATTTAACTTTCGTATTTAATACGTTTGAATTTACATCTTGTCTACGTGCTCGTCTTTTTAGCATTAAATAATTTTATAAACTGTTCACCGCGAAGAAGTTCGAAGTGAGAAGCTAAGGCCCTATTTGGCATCCTACTAAAAAAAAGTAAACTTAAAAACTACGATTCTTTTTAAAAACATGAATTTTCAAATAGTGATTTTAAGATCTAAAAACTTATTTGGTATTGAACTTCAAACCATTTTTAAGATTTAAAAAAATTGAAATTAAAAGCAGAAAATCAGAAACCGTAATCCCCAAATGGAAATTAAAAAAGAAAAGAAAAAAGATGTGAGACATAAACCCAAAAAAAGTGTTTAGGACAAATCTGTTTTTGAGTTTAAAAATGACCCAGTATATTTTGAGTTGAAGTTGACTGTGTTTTGCTTGGTGGGTAAGTTTGGGAGTACGTGAGAAAAAGCAGAGGTAAATTCCTAAATAACTTACAAGAGTAGGTTTGGTTTTTGTGCTTATATTCCTTTCACATGCAGCTCAATAAGGAAGGAAACATACCATATCCATCCTTGCTATTTGGAGAGCGTGCAGAGCACGAGATGCGTTGGGGCGTGGTGTTCATAAACTCCCTATCCCAGGACACATCGAAGAGGGGAAGGCGACCCATAATTTAAATTTTGACTAGAGAGAGAGAGAGAGTGAGGGTTTAGGGGTTTCCGAGTCTGGTGCTGTACCGGCCGATATGTCGGGTGTGGGGATCTGAAAATCTCAAAGAAAAAACGCAGAGGTCAATAGTCAAACCTTTGAATATTGTTAGTTCAACGACACAAAACAGCGTAGTCCCTTTTATCTTTGCCTTTCCTTTTCATTTCATTTTTTGTTTGTTACACACAAAACAGCTTCCTGGGGGTGTATCCTTGAGTTAAATGTGCTTCCTGGGTCGCTGGCATAAAAATTATTTGATTGCCTTTTACATCATGCTTCTCTATGTCATGCTCTGTCTATATATTTTTTTTTTGGTTTTCGGGTTTTTTTTCTCTGGTTCCTCCTGACGCAATGTGAATTGGCCAAATTTATTAGGAAAATGAAAGATATTGTCGTAAAAAAGAGCATGACTTGGCTCCTTAAAAAAAGGAGCTATATGATGTAACTGGTCCAAATACAAGTGCTCTTTAATTGGAAAGAGATATGTAGTTGGAGAATTTTCATAACAAATGCATAAGAACTTTTGCGTGTCGAAATAGTATTCATACGAAGTGTGTGTGTGTGTGTTGAAAACTGTCCTACCTCACAAAAAAGAGTGAAAAAGCTTTAAAACGTTTTACGATTTGATCATACAAATGTATGATATATTTGACTTTCCTTAATTCCAGAAGGTATAAATTCTCTTATTAATTAGGATGGATGTATAGAGGTATAATTCATTGTATCTCGAATGTGTGTACGTGATTAGCAACAATAAACAAGCTTTGTTTGCCCAAATTAAAAATAATTAATTTCATTATCTTCAACTACTTTACTTGTGAGGCATCAGATAACGCATGCAGTTAGCCGTTTGAATAAGAGGAGGATTCAGTAACCAGATTTATAAATAAATAAACAAAAAGGGCTGAGGCTGAGGCTGAGGCTGTCTTGCTTTTCTCAAGGGAGAATCGGTCTATCGAAGTCTAAAATTATAACTTCCAACTGCCCCATTTCAGCTCTATCAAAACGGCCAACATATATCTTATCACCGACCACTTTATTAAACTTCATATCTTTATATATATATATATATATATATATATGTATATATGTTTCAGTTGCTGCTAAGGTGTGAGCTTTCATAAGCTATGTATGTATGGCTTCAAATATTTCTTTTTCTGCCTGCAGATAGATTATTCGACTGAATTATTGACATGCATATGGGCGACCGTCAGTTTATATATATAATATTATAACATATTTTTTTGAATATATATGGAAATGAATGGTTCTGGTTTTTTCTGTGACAGTCAGTCAGTCACAGAACATATGTATTTCAAAATCCAAGTTTTGGAATCAGGTTATTAATTAGGTTAGTCTGTCGACGTCCATGAAATTAAATTACAATTTTCTTAATGCCCTTTTGATTCCCAATTTGACAGAATAAAAATATACCAAAGTAAATCATTGTGGTGCTTTAAATAAAATGTTTTATTATGACTAATGCCGATCATTTAGGCATAACCCAAATCATATTTTTTTGGTTTAGATGTCGCATTCTTGGATTCGTTTTCTAGATTAATGTTGACATCGACCACCAATATTACGCAGCAAACCAGACTTGGAGTTTAATTAGATTCTTGAGAACAACCATTGTTTATTTGTTTATTTTATTTTTTAAAGTTTAGGAGGAGGAGAGGCTATCATATCCCAGGACCAAGTCATACCAAGACCTCTTTCTTGGTTTTTATAGATTACCCATTAAGAAGAATTGTCGGAAGCGGAACTTGAACCTAGGCCTAGATAGCGAAAAGAACAATCTTTACTAATAACTCAACCAACCCTTGTTAGCGAAAAACCATTGTTTTTAATCATACAGTGAACTACCATTTATTCTTCCTTCATTATATATATTGCTTAGTTCAGTAGGATCCTGACAGATTTTCCTTTTATTAAACACATATATTAGATTAATCATTATGAATAATTAATATATAGTTGTAGACCCTGAACTTATCCTTTCACAAGGTCAATAGCTTCTTAGAACTCTCTTCCTCCCTCTCTCTCCTCCAAACCCCCGCAACACCACCAGAAGACTGTTGTCTTGAGGTCTTGATAGTCCACCTAACGACCCTTGACCAAACAATATCATAAATTCTGGTGATGTAGACATCCACAAAGTCATCTGCTTTTTCCTGGACCAATGATCAACCAGAGTTAAAGCCCTTAAAGAAAATGTCATTCCCATACCAAAAAACACATACATGTCATTCCTATACCTAAACCCGGGAGAGAATCGCTCCCAAAAATAACTTTTTAAAACCCCCTCCCCCTAAGAAATAGATTCAAACTTAACTGAAAAGAGGCAGACACACTATCCAAACCCTAACACACGAGCTTACAAAACCCTACTCCTTCAAATTTTCATATAAAATGAGAAAATTTTCCTTTTGATGAATAGTAGAAACACAATACTTAACTATTGATCGCAAATAAGCTTTTACAAAAACCCTAGTTTCTCTCTCCGACCTATTCCGATGATAAAAAAAAGAAAGCAAGATAAAAATATTATCGGTTAATAGTGTGGGTGGGAAGAGCCAAATCCAAGCCGTTGACTGTCGATCTATACTTCTAGACAGTCTGAAAGGGTGAACACTCCCAACGATGATTGCGGCAATTTGAAGTTACTCTAATCCCTCTCTGCAAATATTTTAATCACTCACTTTGAGACCCCCTAATTTTATATCGTATTTTTAGACTCATTTTAGGTTTTTGTATTTAAAAGATCTTGGCCGCACATGGGAGGTCAAAGTCAACATTTTTGTTTATTCAAATATAAGTATATGCTAAAACGCGTCTAGAGCAAAACGACAAAGGGACTTTTAATTACAAGGCAATAAGGACAAATCCGCCCCGGTTTGCGTGCACGCCTCTTGTTCAAATCAGGTGTGTAATTCCTTTCTTCTCCTTTTCGAGCCATGATTGCATTGCATATTATTATTACCCCTCCCTCCCCCTTGCCACGTAAAACCCCTCTTTCTTTTTCCCGCTCTTCTGCAATCTTAATTATTATTGTTTGTTTTTACACTCGTTCACCAAATCTCAATTACTAAATTTAATCCAGAAATAAATCAAACAGTTACAGGCCAAAACGTTACTGGAAAGGAAACTGTACATGTGGTGGGTGTGAAAGACCTTGGCCATCAAAATAAAAGAAAAAAGGAGAGAGAAATACAAAAACTAGGGTATGAAAGAGATATGTCACACTGTGTAGTGATGCTAAGACGATAGAAAAGCCATAGCATTTTATTGAGGAAAATGATGAGTAACAACAAGTAAAAAAAAATCGGGCTATGTCAATGGGAATTATTAGGCAAGTGTCTCTACACTAATGAGCTTGGTCGTCGGTCTAACTTTGCAACTTGATTTTAATTTTTCCAAATGGACAAAAGAAAGAAAAAAAGTAACCCATGCCAGACTGCGGATTTTCATGGAGTCAAACCTCCTCGTTCATAAGTCATCATCACACACAAGAGTAGCAAAGAATCAACCTGTGTTTAAGTCCAAATGGACCCTAATTAGTTTCCTATATTACAATTTACAAACATATAACTAAGCAGCGGGAAGAGAATGTTAGAATTAATGGGAGGAAGAAAGAATGTGAGATTTGTTGTTGGTTGGTTGGTGGACTATTCAAATCAACAATGGTAACGACCATTTATTTAATTTGGGTCCCTCACTTTGCAAGGTCAACTAAGCGTGAAAACTGACCCTCCATGAAATGAACCAATGCTTCCAACTTGGTTCTTTTCATGCTTAAATTGCCACAAATGAAAGATTAAATAAGAAGAAGAAAAAGAAAGCTTGGTTCATCATCCATGGACATGGAATCTTGACTTAGACTATCCTCAAGGTCCAACTTGGGAGATGTTTAATTTGCGTGGTAATGGTGGTTCACGGGAGCTTAACTGTGTGGCCCGCTGGAATTTATGTAGGTCCTCTGGGTTGTTATCCTAAGCTAATCAACAAGACCACACAAAGTTTTTTGTTTTTTTATAATTAGAAAACTCAGTATGCAAACGAAGAGAAAACTGAGATAGATAGGCAGCTAGGGATGGCAAAAATCCCTGCAGGGGTGGGTTCCCGTCGGGTCCCAGATCCTAACGGGGAGAGAATTCAAGGCCAAATGAGTATCGAATATGGGAATCTCCAAACTTGAAAAATTATTAACGAGTATAAAGAGGAGATAGTATTGGCGTCCCCATCCCCTACCCAACCCGCTGCCTATTTGTGTGGGCTTATCAGCCGACTCTTTGTACAAAATTCAAAATTGGATATCTCATGTATCAAATGAGCTATGATTCAGTTAGTCCTTCACGAGCGAATGATGAGCAATTTTCTAGACATTGATTGACGTATGTGAGTGAGTGAGACCTACTTACGCGTTACCGACTTCCCATTAGCAGTTTTCTTTATTAAAAATCGGTAATGCTTTTCACATTCGGTGTTCACTGACATGCTTGATTATGCTCAAACCAAGGTCGATAAGAACATCACTCTGACATCTGCCTGAATGCCTGCCAATTTCATGGTTCAACTCTCTGTCAAGCTACTAAACATTAAGTGCAAACCCACCAACTTAATCTAAGGATAGTCCACAATTAACATGAAAATTCAATTGGATGTGCACTGCCTGAAAATATGACTTTTTTCTATATTATACGAACGTTATTCATATAATCTAAATTAAAGAAAGAGAGATTCGAACTTGAATGCAGAATAGAAAATACATCCATTCTAGTTAACTTAACTGAACCATGTTTGCTGAAAAAGAAAACTTTTTCTATATTATTATACAAACAGTAGGATAAATTATCCTTGTTTAAAGGTAACATAGCACCTAGGTTTTGCTTCAAAAATTAAATCATTGCATTAGTTGACTTGATCACACATTAAGGTGTAACATCATGCCATTTCTGACTTGAGAAAGCATCCAGATCTGCGACCCTTTTGAGGAAGGATAAGATGGGCACTGACATCACCACAGACCCAGCAAATCCACACCTTTGTCACCCCATTTGGTTTAGATTTACCGACAAATTACTTTCACATCGAAGCTTCCGTGGGTCCATAAACATTTTTTTCTCCATCCCAAAAATTCAAATTTAAAACACACTTTAAGTTAGTAGGCTTTGCTTAGTGCCGGTGCCAGCCAACCGGTGATTTTAAACAAGTGATGTGATTTAGACAGGGAGGAAATGAAACTTAGACTTAAACAAGAAAATTCAATACCAATCTATTACACAGCAAAACACGCCCATCAACCTAAATTGGAGTGCGACCACACGTTACAGGATAAGCTGAAATAATTGACGTACCAAAACTGGTCCTCTAATAATATAACATTTTCTAACACAATAAATGTTCTCCGACAAAACAGACTATGGAACTGGAAGCACGAATTTGAAGAGAGCACATACAATTCTTGCAAACAAAAGGATGACGATCAATTCAGTCGTGAGAGAATTCAGAATTGAACCATACTCCGAACTGGGTGGTAGTGAAAATTCAATTCATGAGTCTTTAGGGGAAGCTTGTCGAAGTCTGCGCTGATGAACATCCCAGTTGTACACCCGAGCAATAGTTACCTGATTAATAGTAGTCAAAGCGTCAAGGACTTCCATGAATAAGAATATATAACGGTTCCTAAATCGAGACATCTAAACAATACAAGCACATTACAGACTAGGATTGTTAGATGCGCATTTCCAATGAGAACAAAGCAAATAAGTTACAAATTGAATGCTTTCAAGCTCTGGCATGCTGTTACAGACCTTACACATAAGCCCTTCAAATTTCATACTCTTTAATATCAACAATTACAAGATATATAGCACGCTTCTATGCATAGAAGACCCAGATTATGTGAAACTGATTCATTAAAAGACATTACCTGGGTTATTGTCACTTGATCCCTCAAGAACTGCAGATCAGCAAGAAGAACTTCTAAACTGGCTTTAGCATTATCTAGATTTCTTCGTAGAAGACCAGTAGCCTGCATCAAAATGTTACACAAAAAATGATGCTCATGTCCTTAACTCAAAAGTAATAACAGCTATTATAAGAAGAGGCATACCTCTTCACAAGAATACTCCAACATGACATTCGCTCCCAGCCATAAACACACTGAATCAGTATCCTCAATGCTAGCTCGCGAATATATCCCTTCAGATACCTCAAAATCTGTAATAAGTGCCTGTAACCCGAATATAGAGCCAAAAAAAAATTATCAAATTAAGAACACTTGCATTGATTGAACCAATATCTAATGAAGCATAAAAACCTCAAAATATTAATTTAATGCTGAAAAGTTTGATATTTCAGGATTTTATGTGTATGCTGCATTTTGTGATCGATTGACATCATTAACTTGTGGAAGGACTAGAAACCCAAATTTCATGTTTGATGACTCGTGACTACAGCTTCAACTGTTCTTATTGTAACCGCTAGAAATGACCAAGTGTCCCAATCGCAAGGCAGAATGCAAAGACATTCTGTAATTTCAGAAATAATTATCTTCGATTTCAGGAAGACCCAGAGAACCTACTATATTGAGATATTGATTTTACTACAGGTTACATATAGTACAGAAACATCATTCCTCTCCCATCCCCCCAACCCACCACCCATGCAAACCATTCCCCCAAAACACACAGAGACGCACACCCACTCTCTGTAAAGCACTTTTGTATAAGGGACACAACTCAGATCCTCAAAGATGTAATATTGACCTATAAGTTTCTCCTTACATAGCACAGATATTAGTTAGTTCCACAAGAACACCTATTTGGAGGGAATAAAGGCAAAAAGATTTAGGGATTTAAGTCATTTAGTCATGAAATAGATATTGCAAGGGAGATCCTCAATGAAAACCCAAAAAGGGAAAGGGAGAAAGATAAATAAGCATCAGTCATGAGCCCGTAATTTATTTTTTGCCTCAAATTTGCTCATGTATACGAGCAAAATTCAAGTCAGGAATTGAGTAAAACTGCAAGTGTTCTGAAGGAGCTTAAACATCTTAAATGGGGAACATTGCAGGGGAAAATCATACTGCTAAACATGTCATTCAAATAGAGATAGACCAAGTATAGTGTGCTTACTAATTAAACATACTTCTAAGGGTGGAAAACCACAAAAAACGAACCTCACCAGTACCCTTCTTAGCTTGCAAAGTAGCAACAACATCTAAGCACTTCTCAATATCGGGGATCTTTGCCTGATAATCAACATGAGGAAAAATCATACTCCAAAATCAAACCATAGGCATCCAAAAGTTGGAAAAACAGTACAAATTGATATGAAATGCAGTTGAGGCAATCCACTTCGTCAGATACTTAAGTCACAGGAGCCATCATGAGTGAAACAATTCCATGACATGTATAGGTAGGTACTGAGAATATGATGACAGAATCATTACAACCATTTTGCTCTCACATCTAGTATTTAGCCTAAAAGAGATTGGTGAAAAGGAGTCAAATTAGCATGAATACGGGTCCTAGTCTAAATTCCATCCCATAGGTAAAAAACTTTAAATGCAAACTCCAATATGGGTACTATGCCAAGTAGCATCAAACTTCATAAGTATCAGCCGAAAGATGTAAATAGGCTGAAAAAATACTTCAGATGCAATGGTGTTGGGTACTGTTTGAAAGAAGACATGGAGCCACTCTAATTTATCAATAATAAAGAAAAGAATGTGCATGATCCAAAGAAAGGGATTTGCTGAGAAAACCTGAAGATCCCTTTGTTGAGCTTGAAGCTTCATTTCAACCAATTTGTATTGCTGAAGTCTGCAACCAATATTTGCCAACAAAAGGAATATATAAAAAAAACATTAACAAGCATCCATTTCAACTTCATGTCTTCTGTAAGAGCATTATCACTGTGCAAAACTAACTCATCATCTAATTAAGCTTCCTTAAAACAAAAACTTAACGTGGGGTTACCAAAAGATTCATTTTTTACCTAAATATTTGCAAAGTTCTGAATTTGTGAAATCAATTAAGAACATATGAATCGAAAACAAGGCGATTAAATTAAATCACTTCAAAGGTTTGAGAAGTAAATCGTAACGGGCATACCTTTCTTGGAGAAAGGCAAGGGCAGAGTTAACGTCGAGGCCTGCCTGAGTGAGATAGGTCTGCACGTCCTCTACGAACTGAGCTCCTGGTATTCCTCTCCGCTCTGTTACCATCCCAGACGACGACGATGATGATGCCGTAGCCATCCTCTCTCTCTTTCTCCTTCTCAGACCAATTCCACAGAGAAACGACTTGTAGTTGTTGATGCTTCAAGTTCAACTGAGCTCAGAGTGCAGAGGAGGAGGGAGACTCAAATGACGTCATTTCTGCTCTAGGGTATGAGTTATTGGGCTGTAACCTTTTCACCTTTTCAGTCTAAATTTGAGCCCATTCATTTTTAGGGTCCAACACAAAGCTAATGGATATTGGGCTTTATGCTGAAAACATTCCAAGTTTTGTACATATTGGTACACTTCTGTTTCTCTACAATCTGAAAAGCCCATAGTGCATAAGCCGTTGGGTTGGTCCAATTAGAAGAAAATGGTGGAAAATCGAATTGGAATTTGAGCAAATGAAGAGTTTCTTCAGCGATCGGGTCTAACCCAATAAAAAATGGCATTAACTTGAAGACTAGTGATTTTGGATTCAAACCCTCATGGTATATTGGCATTGTATGTGAGAAAACCAATCTCCCCTTCTTAACTTTGGCGCAAAAAAAAATAAAAAAAATAGCGGTTTCGTTCGTTCCTAATATAGCAAAGAAAGAACATAGCATTCTAAGTGAATCAATCAAAATAAAGAAAAAAATATTTGTCGACCGTGGTGGCAGTTTTTCTCCGGCAAGCTTGAAGCAATCGTGATCAGTATTGCGTTCAACATAAGGAGTGTAGAAGATTATCCCGTGACAGAAGTTGTGTTACGAAGAAGTCGGTAAACATTATCTAGAATGTGTCTAGGAAGTGTGAGTACTTCTTGTAATCATCGTTCTATAGTAGATTTGTATAGGACTGAGGAGTCCCATAGATTTTCTCATATGTGAGGTTTTACTACGTAAAATAATTCTTTACGTGTTCCTTTATTTTATGCTCAACACGTTTTAGGATTGATAAGCAATATCAATCCTACAATCGAAATTTATTTTTATTTATTGATTATAATTTTAAATTGGCCGATTCACCTCCTTTAGGTATTCTTAGTCATCCTACGGGTAATTTCAGTACTTGCTCATATTTGGTCAGTAAATGACACCCCTATATTTAATTTGCTTCACGTTTTTGTGATGTTTCTCATGATTCGTCAAGCATTCAACCCTTATCCTTATTGCCACTAGAACAAGATTGATTGCTCCTATCCTTTTCAAATTCAACCGAATATCGGGTATGAATGAAAATCTTAGATTAGATCCGTATGGTGGGGTTTGGTATATATATATATGGTCATGACAAATACAATTCTTTGCTTGTTCCTTCTTGTGTCCTTGTGTGTAACTTTCAGATAATATCTATGTTCAATTCATGGTGTGATCCTTGAAACTGGGGAAAAGCATCCTCTTCTCTTTGTCAATGGCCCACTGCTGTTCCTTTCTTGATTATTTTCTCTCCAAGCTTGATGTACGTTCGATGAACACGAAGACCTCATTACAACAAGTATACATATGGGGGTCAACGCGGCGGCTGGCCGAGGCACTTGGATAATGCAAGAGAATCTTCATCTTTTTTGCCATGGTTGAAAGCTATATATATAGGCTTGGTTTATGCATCATAGTTGAGTCCAAACGACACCCAAATTTCTGTTCAGATTGAATAAAGCAAATTTGCACTTGTTTCTTTCTTGGGCCTCTCAAATATTTGAGAAGGTATCCTAAAAGGTCAAAAAACAACGTTATAGTTCATTATGGGGGGAAAAGACCAGGCCGGCTACATTAAAAATTGATCAACTTGGCTAATCACATACTATCCACTTGTGGGAGGAGGAGTCTCTTGATTGAACACTTTAGTCCACGCAAGAAGATGAGTTTATAATTATGTATTTGCTTTGCATGACAACTAAAACCCATCAATTATGAGACCATTATCACAATTATTTGCATTTGACCATAATTACACCATGTGCAACATGTAAGTTTGAACACTAATAAGAAATCATCTGTGTTTTACACTTTTACCATTTGAATCGAGTTAGTTATATAATTCTCCTATACGGACATCTGAACATTATTATCCGTTGATCCTCTTAAATTATTTATGCATTGGCATCCTCTTTTACAAAATGTATGCCTTCTTCTAACAGACATCATCAGTAGTATCATCTGGCCTAAATTGCAAAGTTACATCCATATGTTAACCTACTACCTGTACTTCAAAGTTTGAAATATTTTGGTCATATATATATGTGTGTGTGTGTGGGGAGGGCTACTAGGGTTTAGCCTGGTCCCCATTTATCTGAATTACCTTGTTTCTTGTATTCAAGGGTAACAAACAATTTGGCAGATTTTTAAACCGTGCCTGCATCCATTAAGGAAAACAAGGACGTAAAATAATTACAGCCAATGACACTTCCCTGTCAGAAGAATCTGCAACATATGATATGGCTGCATGCGAGCTAGCTAGCTAGATGAAAATACCTCATCAGAGCTCGCTTTCCCTCCTCCCTACCTTTTCTTCAAGTCATCAATTACTCTGCTGGGAATTTTTGTTTGAGATTGTAATAATTAGCTAGTTAATTAATCTTGAAAGTTTGACACATTTATGAGCTTGATTATGATAAGATATAGGCCCTACTCCGGATTGTATTTCACTAATCCAAACCGTTTATTTTGTAGATACTCATTCAAAGATCATCTCTACAAAAAAATTACTTGAATCCGATATCATTTGACCACTCATTTGAGTTATTGAAATTTTAGTACTTTCTTGAAGTACTGTGTTCCTTGATTTTTGTAAGACACAATTGGATGTCGAAACGGTTTCCGATTTGTCTAATTTTTTGTAAAGATGATCTATGAATGAAGACCTAAAAAATAGATTGTTTGGATTATTGGGAAAAAAATTGTAGGGTGCCTTAAAGGGCGTTCTTCAAATAAAATTATTTGAGGGATCCCTCAATAGAAGGGGACTGTATATATATATATATATATGTGTGTGTGTGTGTGTGAAACAAGCGTCTTCATGTTCATCGATCAAATCATAAGCCATCAATTTTTGGGTTCTAGTAGAACACTGGATCAAACTTTGAAAGCTTCTGAAAAAACTTGTCACCCACCCACCCAAAACAAAAAAGAAAAAGAAAAAAGATTTGTCTAATCCTATTATAACCCAGCATCAAGGAAAAGAAGAGTACAACAAGCATCTCAACTTGACCTATTTCTTTATGGTAAATGTTAATGTGCCCACGCCTAATCTACAAGCTATGAAATTGCCCTCCATATTAATAATTGGAGTTACTATGTATGCATTTTAATAAATCATGTCTAGCTAGGCACCAAGAACATTCTTCTCTTCTTTTTTATACATTTTTAGTATCAAAGTGGCGATCCCAATAAACCCTAGCTCGAATAATATCATATGAAAAGGAATACCTATCCATAAATCCTGGTGCATGTCATATAATATAGGCTCTTCCACTAAGAAAAGAAGATCCCTAATTAATTGAGCTCAAATTGTTATGGTAAAACTATATGATTAAACTCATCGCATTAATATGTCACGTGACATTACCATCATATACAGTAGTTTTAATTGTCATACCCAAAAACCCTAATATTGCCTTCAATGGACAATTGTAAGAGATTTTGTCACCATGGAAGACGACGAACCTGATGTGCTACGCTACGACAAGCCAGTTGAATTATATATATATATCTAGATATGAATCAACAACATCCCTCTCTCTCTCTCTGTGAATAGATAGCTAGTGCTGACCATATGGGTTTGCCATCAATCTACACGACCTTTTTCCTTTTTCTCTTTTACTTTATTTGTTCTTGGAGTTTAATGGACAAAGCCGTGACCCCTCCATGTGGTCTAAAAACTTTTTAGTCTAAGAGAATGCGATTTTCAAATGCATGTCCTTTTCTTTTCCTGGCTTTTGTTGTACTCACATGGCGCAGCAGACCCATATGAAAAAAGTTGATAAATTATATAAAGGGTTGGATGGAGAGAGGGTTGCTTGCTTGCTTACACTACATTACATGTCGTGGCCAAGAAAATTAAAGGTGATATATGCAAATACCCATCTATATATTCTGTTGGAGTATGCCATGAGTCAGGACACATGCGACTAATCATTTTCCCTCATGTGTGCCACTATATATCTCTCTATTGCTTCATTTTGCTGATAATATATTAGCCTTCATAGATTAATTAGAATTATTCTCTCTTCTTTCTCTAATTTAAATTGTAGACAAATTGAGGGCTTACTATTCATTTGCAAGCAGTGCGCAATTCTCAACCGTTTATGTTGATGAAAACACGTATTCATCATTGACAATTACATAAGAACGACTCCCAATGACATATATCTTTATGATATTTATATCAAGAAGTGTAGAAATCTAATAACTATCATATCTCATCCTTTGAAATTATGTATTTGAACTGAGACGTGTGAAAGAAAGAAAGAAAAAAAAAATTTATTTTTCACTATTGATATATCATATATATGTATATATAATATATATATATATGGTAATTTGAAAACAACTAACCAAATCTTTTTAAACTTGATTTCATTTAGACAAAGTGAGCAAAATGAAGATACAATTAAATAAAAACGGTGGATAATTAATAATGTAATTTGCTCCTGTTTCCTAGCTGGAAGGAACAAAGATATATTTTTCTTTTTACCTAACTAGCTAGTATAGTTACTAGGATAGCTGGCTCAACTCAATCAAACTAATCTGCAATTATCGTTGAAAAGCAAATTGCTTTAATGTTGTTAAATGTGGTTATTGTTGATAAAGCACGAACATGCATGCTTGGCCCAAGTACAATATTTATATATAGACCACAAGACCACATGCTTGCGACTAATGATACGATGCTTTGTGGAGCCCGCATCAATAAATTTATGATTAGATTTTTCATGGAGTTTGGGCTAAGTTAAACATGTATTTTCTGTATCATTATTTTTGAGTGGGCCGGGACTAATTAATATGCACCATCTACAAGCTACTCATCTTTTGTTTTGTCATCATAGATTGATACAAAGATGATTGAATTGAATGAGATCTACATGTCGATGGTTAGTTTAGGCATGAACGGTTGTGGTTTAGAGTTGTAAATGTACAATGTACCGAGTTGTTTTACGGTCGGTTGTTGTTCATACATGTATTGGTGGTTTATGACAGCTGACACATGTGAAATCTAATTTCACCTACGAGAATCGTGTGAGTAATATGTGATAAGACGAGATATGATATTAATGATAATTTTAAATCAATATGAAACCCAAGATATGTTGATGTTGTCAAATGCATATGAGTAGATTGATGCATGCGGTCTGGTGGGTGGTGGGAAAAAACCTCTAAACTTTGTAGCAAAGGCAGTTTGCTGTTGAATGTCGGATTGATTACACAATGTCAATGTTTGCTTAGCACTCAATAAGCACCATGTTTTAAGGTTAATTAGGTTGATCCATCCATCAAGATATTTGAAGTCAGAAATACGTCATTATTATTTATTAATTGGAGAGTAATGGGGCTATGGATATTTATAGGCTTATAGCTAGCTAGGTTATTGAAAATTGCAAAACGCCACACAAAGAAAAAGGGTTTTCTACTCTTGACAGTTGCATGTCCTGTACATAAAATACCTGACCCTAGAAAACTAAGCATTTGGTTGTGGAAAATTTGTGGTGTAAAAATTGGACTAAATGAGTGAGGGATATATAGAGAGAAGACAGAGATAGAGAGAAAGGAATTAGGAGGAGAAAAACTTAGTTGTGGCTGATATAGCACCGTTTTACTATCCCGGTCAATAATATTATACTATATAAAAATATTATCACGTGCATTATAGCATTATTGACCGGAATACCGTATGACATCCTCATTTTATGGAAGTTTTGCTTAATTAGGAGAGAGTAGAAGGAGGAGGATTAAAGAAGGCACATGGGTTGCATGTGTAGTCTGGTGTTGGTATGTCAATTGAAATGAATGCCACCATGTGCATCTTCTGCTCTGCGCTCTCTCTCTCTGCGCTCCTCGTAACAAAAAAAACACCGTCACACGCTTCATTTTCAAAACACCATCTCTATGACTCTATTCAGCAAATTGTTATTGTTGTGGTCCTTTGTTATTATTTTTAAAACGATATCCAAGGACTTTAGCCCCAACCAATCCCATCCCATCAAAGTTTCTTTCTCTTCTCCCTCCAAAACCCAATCCCACTGACAGCGATGAAACCCAGGCAGGCACTCGTGTGTATGTCTTGAATTTGGGCCTCTCTGTGTCTCTGTGGAGAAGGAAGGCTCATACGTATTATTTCAAATGGGGAGGGAGGATGGAGACAAGGACACGTGGCAAGCCTTGAGAGTGACACTAATCAGTAGTTGAGTGTGTGGAAACTTTCTATGATATTGCAGGAGAGAATTTCTCACACACAAATTGTCAAGATATCACGATGATTCGAGATCACTCGCCTACAAATCAAGCCTTCAACTTTGGTGTGAGCAAAACCGTAATAACCAAAAAAAAACCCTGTGGAAGTAGAAGCAGGAACAGGGGAAAGCAGGTGAGAGAGCACAAAAGGGGGCACAGATATACTGGATGTGGGGACGACAAAGCCACATGATATTTGTAGTTTGTACCCCCTTTCTCTTCTCTTCTCTCACATTAATGTATTGGCGCTTTCGGCAACTTTCCTCACTCTTCTTTTTACACCCTCCACGGTCCTACAGTCGGCTACAGTGCTAAGCATTTTGCTGTTTCAGATATATATATCTAAATGTAATGTATGACCAAAATCCCCCCCCTCACACTCACAGTTTCCACCACTATATTCTTCATCATACATTTTTGTAACATTGTTGTTCGTATTGCCCCCACACCCACATTCAAAAAGCTCTTGTCATTCCAAGTGTTTTAGAATGTGTGTCCCCAAAACTTCCAAATGACCAATCATCTCATCTCATCTCATCTCGTCCCCATCTAATACCAATCCAATCACTGTGGACACACTTATAGCTTCAGCCTTCACTAATAAAATTTCAACGGCTATCCTTTTATTCTTTCTATTTTTTACACAAACAATATTGAAGAAAAGGAAAGCAAATCTAGGATTTCGAGTGTGTGGGTATATACAATTAACCACGTCAACTATAAGTCCCTTGGCAATGATAGCTCCCTTTTAACAAAACTGCTTATGAATAAGAGCATTGCTTCTAGCATAAGAACTTATATGAACACAAGTTATTAGGCATGTTAATACTTACCTAGTCATAGCAATAGTTTGATTCCCTTCCTCCCCTCTTTTAAATAAAATAAAAATAGTTATGAAAATATAATTATCCCAATAACAGTTGTATTTTTCTAATTCCTTCCATCGATTTTTCGGCCTTCAACATATGGAAACAAAACAACCAGTACAAATAAGTTATTCTAAACCCAAAAATCAAGGTACAATTTGTAATGATAAGATTATCCTCTCATGAATTCAGAATATTCTTTTCAATTGAAAATTGTAGTATTCACTCGGTAGCTGGAGGTCCAAAGAATTCAACCAGATCCGCCAAACCATAAACCCCCAAAAAAGAAGTACCTAACTGTAATTAATCCAATTCAGTAATTCTATTAGTTAGGGTGGGTTCTTCACTTCATTTTTTTTTTTTTTTTTTTTTTTTTTTTTTTTTTTCAAAGTAGCGTGTGAGATAGAAATAGAATTACTTGAAAAAGAAAAAGAGCTACTAGACATGTATTTAACAGGAGAAATGACAATTACTTGCACATGGAGCGAAAAAGAAAGAAAAAAGGAAGGGGAAAAAAAAGAAAAGAAGAAGAAACGATTGACAGACAGACACATGGCAACTTGCCAGGGGCGTCTAATCAAGTGGAGCCGGCGGCGCCAGAAGTTGAACCGGAGAGCAGCTGGGCGAGCCGGCTCATGGCCCGGACCTGCATCTCCAGAGCTGCGATGTAATCAGTGGCTTCTTCTAGAATGACCGGCAACGGTTGCTTTCGGCAACCGGGAACCAACCGGCCAAGAACCCGGACTTTCTTCTGCACAGCTGGCAACCCCTTGCCTTTCAGCCGGTAAACGCTGAACTTGGGCTTCCTGGGTCGGGTCGAACTGGTACCCGACGAGGCAGCGGCGGATCTCTGTCGTTTATGCTGCCGGAACTTGATTTTTAGGCGGCTGGTGAGAATGGCGCGGCTCCAGCGGGTCCTGCCCTTGGCTGCGACGGCGAGAACTCTGTCAGCGGCTTCGCGCACGGCTCGGCCGCGGCGCGGAGGAGAAGAAGAGGAGGGGTTGGTGTTGGTGTTAGCGGTGTTGGGTGGGTTAATGGAGACTTGACTGAGCGCTTGAAGGAGCTTGGAAGAGTAGAGCTGCTGCTGGGCCTCGGATTTCCATTTGGTGTGGCTCTGGGCTTCTTGCTGCTGGTGGTGGTCTTGTTTGGCTTGGATTTTCTTCTTCTTTTTCCTTCTAGAAGAGTCTCGAGCTCGATCGGAGTTTGTAATAGGAGTGGAAATCAGAGTGGACGCCATGGAGAGAAGACGCAGAGGTGCAGAGATTCACTCTCTTTAATTAGCAAGGATTCCGAATCAAACACATAAATGGAATTGGAATGTTTGGTGATGGGGTTTGTGAATCAATGGATTCTGGAGGGGGTTTTCGATTTTGCTGTTTGGAAAGGTTAAGCAAACAGAGAAATGGAATTGGAATGTTTAGAGAGAGAGAGAGAGAGAGAGAGAGAGAGAGAGGGGAGGGAGAGAAAGGATAAACGGAACGGAGGTGGTTGAGGTGTGGAGTTGATGAAGAGGAAGGACACTATTAAGAAGAGGAGGAACGGTGGGAAGATACTTATAAAGGAATCAAAAGACAGCACGCGTCATTTCCTTAAACACCCCTACTATTTATTGTTGGGAAATGTCATTTTTTAATTTAATGTTCTTTTTCTTTTTCTGATAAGGATTAAATGCTCTTATAACTCCCCCAAATTTAAATTTAAATCATTAAGTATTTTTATAATCTAATACCCCGTAAGACAATGGTTTCACCTTTATAAACGTCTGTGGACAATTTTGTACATTGAAACATTTTATGATTATTTTTATATATTAATTCATTAACTTGTATGGAAACATCGGAAATTTGAACTTTAAACTTATTTCAACATTTTGAGGGAGATATAACATTTTATATCGATATCAATGTTATATCGATATCAAAATAGAGATATCATGTTTTTTTTTTGGGACAAAAGAGAAATCATCATAAACCAACAAATTTGATCAGTTATGCATTGTCTTCAACCTTGCACTTTCTTTGTTTATGTCCATTTTATGTTCTTTTAAAGCTATTAGGCCATAAACATGACAAAAAAATTTCCTCAAAGTTGCACGACATATCACATGTCCTCCATTTGTTATGCTGTGACAAACAAAGTTTTGTATTGTCCTTTTACAATCAAGCTTTTTAGCGAAATGTAACATCTAAACCAGAAGAATATATGTTATAGAACTATACTCAATGGATTATATTTTTCTAATTAGTGATAAAGCTTGTCGACGCATAAATATCAAAATCCTAAGAAATTCTGGTGAAGATAATTCACCGAAATGAAAAGAAATAAGAGAATGGACAACAAAGCCAATCAGTTTAGACGCAACACCTGCCCATGAAAAGGAAAGCCATCCCAATAGCACAATTTAGCATTTGAAGAGGGGGTAAAATTAGAAGAATTAGAACAACAATCTCCACATGACATGAAAAGATTATTAGGGACTGGGGAGGCGAAGAACAGTTGCAACGTGATTGGATGGAGGAGGGTGTGGTGTTGGCCTCCACTAATTGACCAGATGGCGGGCCCCGCATAATATTTGTTTTCATTCCGTGCAATGATTATTGCGGGGTGATGATCCAGAAAAGAAATGATAAAGAAAAGAAAATGCATGTGCGATGTGGGTTGGTTTCTCTGGCACTTTTCTATCCCAGGCTTTGTTTTCTATTTGTTGGGGTTTTGGAGTTTTCCTCTTCTCTGAGGTGTGGACAGTTATGCTCCACCTCCACATTTCCTGCCAACGACGGGTCCCTCTCTCCTCTGCTCCCTCCTACCTCTCCTCCCCCTCCTCCCTTCCTCAATGTGTTAAAAAAGAACAAAATAATAATAATAATAAAAAGACAGAGATATTTATTCTACTATAATCGCAATTTGCAAAACATAATTATCAAGAGAGGTTGCTTTGGGCATAAGCTATTTTCCTTCAAAGAGAAGGAAAAAAACCTTCCTTTTCTCCCTAACAACTAGATCACCCTATTTTGCAAAAGACACATAGAGGGGAGTCATGCTTTCTTGTTTGATTTCGGTCATTTGTTTCTAATACAGACTACATTCTCTCCACTATACTTAACCTTTTTTTTTTCTTATTGTAACTTGTAATTTTTAAAGGTTTAGTCTTAATCTTACGATAACGTCGTTTTAACCATAAACAGTATTGAAGAAAAAAAAGAGGGTAAAATTTCCTATTTTATAATCCCGTCCGAAGTTTCATTGGGGAAAACTGGGAGGAAGGAGGAACCACTTGGGAACATCTTCCAATAGGGGGAAATCTATGAACAATTATTCGGTCCAAATCAATGATAAAGAAACGGTATTTTAAAACGACCAATAGTGCTGCTGACAACCTGACCATGAGATAAAAGAAGGTCCAGGTGCGCATATCACTTGTGATTTGGACTTAGTTTATGCTTAAAGTTTTGATAATCATGAACCTAATCCTCATTCTCACCAAAATCATGGTGGCATGTGTATATCCAAAACACCTTTCAAAGGAATTGTATTGAGAAACCTTAAAATAATATTTTGAAAGACTAAAGACACCACAAGGCATTATGATGCACCAGAGACATTGCCTCCCCTGTCACAGACACAATCAAACAACCAAGCACCCAAAAGTGGGAGGGCATTGAAAAGAACCAGAGAAATTAGAGAGATTCATACGAATGTTGAAGGATGAAGGGTGAAGAGTAATATGGGTTCAATCAATAATTCTGAATAAATCCTGACCAAAAATCATAAAAATCTTATCACTAAATATCTATCTATCTATCTATCTATCTATCTATCTATCTATCTCAGATTTCCATTAGCAAATACTGCAGAAAACAAAACAAGTCACCTTCAATTCAATCCAGATTGGTGACTTCAAATGCTAAGCAAAATAAAACCAAACTCTTATGATCTCTTTATTGGACCCCTAGCCTACTGCTACTATTTACTTAAACTAAATAAAGGTTTTGCTGGTTTTTTCATAGGTTAATGATTTTTTATTTTTTTTTTTTTTTTTTTTTTGTTTTTTTGGGGGGTTCTATGGGAAGATTGAAGAACAGAACCAATGATTGCACCACAGAATCTCTTCATCCATGGCACTTGGTTTTCCCTGATTATGCCAATCACTTCTTTAATGAACAACAAACTCTTCTTCCTTTGTGGTTTACCCACCAGAATCTTTGCTTTTAAGTACAGCTAGCTCTCCTTCTTTCCTTTCACTATGTCACTAAAATAAACTTTAATTCAAGACGAACAACAAGTCATTCACCTTTTGGTACAGACTCCCTCCCTCCTCCCTTTTAGTCGGCAAAATTTGATTGGCACCTCTGGTTCATAGTCAGACTACCGAGCTTTCAGGCTTTACTGAGCTGTGATAATATAATGGACCAATTAAATTTTGACGTATCCCCTTCACCAAATCGACCTTAAGTCTTCTTTTATTATATAAAACTAAGCAATTAGGACTTGCGGTCATTCTGTGAGGATAAAAGATAGAAGTTAACTACAAGGATATAATAAATAACTGTGAAGGACGGACGACAAGCTTTTGAAAAACCAACTTATAGCTGTCTAAACATTCATCTCCCTTCGACCCAAAAAAATAAAAATAAAAAATTCATCTCTGATCCATTAGTCTTTTCTTTAGGTTATTTTCTGCTGTAAGTTGGAACATTTCTTTGACTCTTAGGTTTGACCAGTTTTACTTCTTTTTGAAATTCAACTTACCATCCTAGTTTCTTTAGAAGAATGTCATTGCATTATTTAGGTCATCATCAACATCTCTACAAAAGCATTGACAGCCCTAACCTGGGTAATGAATGATCATTTAAACCATTCAAGAACGTGTTCCACCAAATTCAGGAAGAAAACAATGGCTCGTTTCGTGCTTAGGATTGGATAACTTGCTAAATGTAAGGCATATTGAAAGAAGAAATGAAGTAACTTCGTCTAACTTGAAGGTAGAGGATGGGTTACTCATGAAGAAAACTAATCTCTTCTAATCCCCACAAAATGATAGGATATCAACACCTTCTAACTTATCCCTCCTAATCCCCCAAAATGAACAATCATTCACATCTACATTCATTTCCTCCTTCAACATACTCCAAATTTAGTGAGTTATCCAATTCAATCCTAGGCACCAAACGAGTCTATATCATTAACAAAACCCGCCTATCAATAAGTGAATTTATTTATTTTTTTCTTCTTTGTCTAAATTTCAATATATAATATTTTACTACTGAGGCTCAGATTCAGTTATTTATTAAATCCCTAATTCAATATATCCTCCACCCTCTCTTTTCCAAATATGTTTAGACAGACAAAATGATGAGTATCATTACAGGGCCATTCTAATAGAATGACAAATTACGCAAACTAGTTGGTAGATAAACCTGAATGCTCAAGCAATCGGTTTTCACATGACCAATAATCTCCTGACATAAAAATCTATTTAGTATATTCATATGGTATGTTTTCAAGCACATATCATTAAATATATAATTGATAGATCTAATTTTCTATCCATAATAGGCTTCTATTGTTTGGAATTTCATATTGGGGCAAATATTTGTTTCTGGACAACAGACAGAATCAATCAACTTTAATCAATTAATTAATTCAATTAGGGATTTAATATTACAAATTTATAAATAAACCCAATCCTAGACATGTATTTATAAAAAAACCCAAGCACTATTTAAACATAGAAACACACCCAAAATCAACCTCAAAATCAACAATTGTATATTTTTTGGGTGTGTTTATAAATGGGTTTTGAGTGTGTGTAATGATGGGTTTTGGGTGTGTTTATAAAGTGTTTTGGGTGTTGGGTTTTTTTATAATTTCAACCCCCCATTTTGGGTGTTTTAGTGAAACTCCCATTTAATATTGTGTACATACTATTATGCTAACCAATCAGCACCCTGCTGTAACAGTGGCTTTAGAGCCTTTAACATCGGCTCACAGCTGGGAAAACTGGTTTTCAGACTCAGTTGCCAGACGAGGTCAACACCGAAAACCAGATGGTCATATTACTACTTACATGTAACGTAAGCATCAACCTATATTTGTTTCTTCTGTTTAAAGTAATACTTGCATCAGGGCCTCTATGTCCTCTTCCATGCATTGCTATGATTGCAAAAATGTGGGCCATCCGTACGTATGAACTCCAGATAAAACCCATGCAAGTTCTATAAACTCCCCTAAGTAGATGATCTGGACTTGACCACCGGATAAGTTCAATTTAAACTTGTAATATGGCCCCAAATCGGGGCCCAATCCAGTACACAGATCTGGACATGTTAACCTATTTCTATGGGCCAAAAAGAAGGGTAACTAACAGCATAGCAGAAGGCTCTGATTTTCTTTGATCTGAATGAAACAGTGACTTGAAGCGAATGGCTCAAGCATGTGCTTGTAAAAATGATGGAAGGGATTGAACAGAGTGACTACTAGATATTTATTAGAAAGTTAAAGAATACAAGATTCCTGAGGTGATAGAATGTAATGGGTGCAGCAAGATGGATAGTCCAATGAATTATCCCAGAAAACTGTAGATTATGAATGATGACCAAAGACAGCATTTTAAATAAGATAACTAGGAAAACGTCTTCTCAAAGTTTTGTAAATCAACCAAGTAGCCTATAGCTTGTCTGGAGCTGGACTAAATATATCATAGCTAGGGAGAGCAATTGGGGCCTACAACTCCAGTCCAGTGAAATATGGTAATCAAACAGTTTGTCCATGGAGTTGGCCTTGGCATAGATATGCAACATAGACTAGTCAACCACATAAACACCACAGAAGAATGCAGTACAATTTAGTACAATTTACTTTCATTTCATTTCTACACAAAACTAATCTTTCAGATTGATTTAGCCATTCCTTGCAAAATGAAATTCCACAGCCATGAGCATAATTCCAAGAAGAAGAGTATCATATCAGCTCAGAATTTGGAAAATATCTAATGGACGAGGAAAAGCAAACATACCAAGCACAAGAAAAAAGGCCTTACCGCTCAAGCTTGATCAGATAATTAATGCACATCTACATATGAGCTCAAGTAGGTAGAGGTCCACGAAAATTGCTTCGGCCTCCAGAGCTGAACATCAATACACCTAATGCAATGATCCAGAGCAAGAAACATACTATCATTATGTAAGATTTTGCTGACAGAAGCTCTGCAGCCCGGTCCCTCTTTACAGGCAAAGTGTGGAAGTCCTCTATGACAATCTCAAGCATTGCATCCAGAAGCTTCTTAGATTTGGTATCCAAGCCGGCATTCAAGACCTGAGTCCGAGCTTTCCTGAGAAAGCCCGCTACAATCTCAGCCTCTACAGAACCAAAGTTTGAGGCAACGAATTCGCTTGATTTTCCAATACTCAGGGAGACATGGTCTGGTTCGTCCTTATCGACATTGGCCTCTGGAGATGGAATGAGATCAGAGGAGAAGGAAGTCTCTGATGAAGCTGAGAGAGCTTGATCTGGCACCAGCATCAGACTCTGAAATTTTCGTCCAAGAAAAAAGCATCAGACTCTGAAAGAGTAAATATACAATTAAAATCCTCACAATCACAACAATCAAAGTCTAATCAACCAAACAGCATCACTCAGATACTTCATGTCATTCTTTCCGACATTTTCTCAGTAACCAAACAGTGAAAATTAAGATCGAATTAAAGCTTCACAACATCAAAACTCATCCAAAGCAAATCCATCTGAGCTAGATATACAAAATCAGGAACGGAGAAGTAAATCGAAGCTAAAACTCATGCATACTTGTAGAAAATAAATACACAAAATCGAAATAAATATCTGCATAAAATTTGAAACGAGAAATTCAAATCAAAATCGGATTGTAATTCAAGTCTACCTCGGCGATGTCTCCATCATCATTGACCTCGGAAATCTCAGAAACTGGAGTAGAATCCAGAGAATTTTTTGAAGTGTCCACTGTTACATCTTCGGAAACTGAGGAAAAAACAGTGTTTAAGCTCTTCTTTGGAATCTGCAAGGAAATCGAAGCTTATTAGAAATGGAAATCACTGAGATGAGAAAACTAGGGTTTCGAAATCATACGTTCTTCTTGGATACGCGATTCGCGAGCTTTGAAGGTCGCGCTTGGTCCTTGAGTGGTGTTTGGGTTTCTCTCATTTTGGCGGGGAGAGTGCAGAATTTTGATTTCTTTCTAGAGCTCGTTTAGGAAATAGAAGGTGTATATATATACGCGTGGGATGAGAATGAGAGGCAACTAGGGGCTGATATAAAGAGAGTCCATGACAGGCCGGCCCAATCAAACTAATAAACTAGAGGCCCAGTCCATTATGAGAGGGAACCCAACTCAAAATCAGATATTAGAGCTGATTAAAGATGCTAATATAAATGGTGGATAAAGGGGCGTTTGGTATTCTATTGGGAATTTAAGAACTTAATTTTTTTTTTTAAATAAGGAGTTCTCAAATCTATTTTTAAGATTCAAAAACTTGTTTGGTATGCAACTTGAAAACGGTTTTCAAATCTTAAAAATTTGAGAACTTGTTTGGTTGAATTCTTGAAAATATTTTCTTTTCAAATTACATTATTGTCCTTGAGGGTAGGGGTATTTTGGTCACTTTTTGTTCAGAAAGGAATTTGAGAAATTAAGTTGCATCGTTGCATGAAGCTTGTCGATGCAAGTTTGTAGACATGTGGTAGGCTCAATTCCGACTAGAAACGAAGAAGTTATGATCTATGGAAGTATAGCACAATCGTAATTTTTGCAAAGTGAAAATTTAAAAACATCAATTAGCTCTCTCTCTCTCTCTCTCTCTCTCTCTCTCTCTCTCGTATGTGAACAGTGGTGCCGCCATTTCTAGCCCATTTCCCGATGTCATCTGACCTCTGTGCCACCGCAACCTTCACGAAAAACTCTCCTCACATCCTCCTCTACAAAATCCCATGAAAGATTTGACCGGATTAGCCAAAGGATAGCTCAAATTTTCAATTGGAAAAACATCCCAAAAATTACCCCGTCGGTCCGGACTTTCTCAGTTCATTCCAACCATCTTCGGCCACCTTTGGCCGAGTTCCCTTCATGAAAAAGTTTCCCCAACCTCTCTTCTATCTTTTCCGCAAAGGTCTAGCCCATACGTTGCCAGAAAACCCAAACCAACATTGGAGAAATCAAGGGTTTTCTCTAGTCACTTTTGGTCGTCGACTCAGGTATAAAGAAAATCTCAAACCCAAACCGACTATCATTGCAATGTTGATTATGCTGGAAATGTAAGTGTGGAAATTATAGGCACAGAGAGAGAGAGAGAGAGAGAGAGAGAGAGAGAGAGAGAGCATGGAGAGAGGCAAAGAGGAAGAGAGAGGAGAGAGGCACGGTGGGTTGTTAGGAAAAAAAAACAAAAAAAAAACAGATATTTTTTGTTTTTAATAATTGGGTGTTTTTGAGTTGTTCTTGAGTTCAAGTTTTTAAAAATATGGCTACCAAATAGGTTTTCTTTGTTTTAGACTCAAATTTTATTTTTGAGTTTAAAAACTTGGATTCGAGTTAAATATCAAACAAGCCATAATATTCTATCTACTACAGAAAATAATTGATCATCAAAATCCATCCATTTCTCCTCACATACTCCATTATCTAGTGCAACGATATGAAGAAATATTTCAGTGCAACCATCACATGCTCACATGATGTTATAGTTCATTCGTGTTATAATATGTATATTTATTATTAATACTATATTAGATTAAATCTTGTCATCCACTATAAGAACATCACATGGAGATATGACGGTTATATATATCAAATTAATTTTTGTAGAGAAGTCTCTAATTCACTTGGTTGATTGATGTGTGCATGAATTGATCGAGATGGCCATGGTCATTTTCTAGCTTTTGCCATCCTAGCTTGGCATCGTAAAATATTATAGTAATTGCTCATATGTTTTAACCACGCAAATCCAATGCTTAATGGCGCATGACATTACCTTCCCCAAAAAAGGAAGTCTCCCATCACTCTCGCACACGAACTTTATTACATGAAGTAAAAATTGAAGGATCGATGTGCTCGTTATTATTGCATCTGGGAAAAAAAAAAAAAAAAAAAAAAAAAAAATTTTCACTTCATCAGCACCCAACCTGCGTATCTCCTCCAACGGGAGAACCGCAATGCACTATAAATTTATTATTAAATCATTGAAATTATGAGAAACCCGTAATTATCAAAGCTTAATACCATGATTACCTATTCGGTGGCCAATGATGATGACCACACCCTCGATCAACCCATATCGGTGGGCAACTTAACGTTTGTGTTATCTCCACTGGATATTGCTTTTATAGTGGTAATTAATCAACTGCTCATGAAGAATAGTAAGTCAAATAGTTTTATGTATAAATAGCCACCCTGCTCCCACAAGATATTTATCTCTGATTACCAAAACGTAGGTTATACTTTCCGCAACCCTAATTACTTCGCTGTGTTTTGTTTAACAATTTGATTAGAGAATAACTACAATTTTTATTTTATTTTTTTGTTTGTTCTCAGGGTGAATGAAACTAAGATTATAACATGAGGACCTCGTCATCATCACTTGTGCTGTTCTTTGCGTTCATCTTGGTTTTTGCATCCATGCAAGCCGACGCAAAACGGCTGACTTTGGAGGAGAAGCAGAGGCTGAAAGCCCACCATGATCGTAAGCTCACTACTGATCAGGAAGAAAGTAAACCAACTGCTGTCCCAACGGCTGTTGTTAATGGTGCTAGAGACACGAATGATAAGGATGCGATCACTGACCAAAACCAAGGGAAATCTGGAGACACGGAAAAGAATACTGGGGCGGATAACAATGACGAAAACGATGCAAACCCTACTTTTGGGCAATATGGAGCTGGTTCGAGTTCTGATTCATCGCCGGACACCCACCGTTACTATTCTACCGGTGATGATCGCAAGCCCGGGCACTAAGAGATTTCAAAGGAGATCAACCGATGTATTGTATTGTATGGAGCTTGTGTTTGTGTGTGTCTGTATGTATAAATGGTATGGCTAGCTTTTTAATTATAAGAAATAAAGTGGAACGAAGGTGTTAGACTCGTATGCATTTCACTGGCAGATGTTCAGTTTCACCACGTTTAAGTAATCAATTACGCCTTGGCTAGTAAGCCAACAGTCACTTCAAACTAAACTTTTCATATGGCGGTTTGTTGACTTATGACAGATGCCATAATTCGACTCATTATCGTACAGAATGCATTAAAGTGATTGGTTTATTTTGTAAAACCACACTAAGCACGCCCCCCTTAAAAAGAGTGTAAAAATGATTGAAGGCGAAATGTTGCCTACCAATGAATTTAACTGTCTTAATTTTAATGCGGTAACATTGGCCACTATATATCACTATAGCCTCGGTGATTTCTAGAAGTTAGTCCCAGTCAACTCACGAATTTGGCCATCTGTGGGGTATATAATCATTGATCATCAAAAGTTGGGTAAACCTTCGATCATCTGTTTAGCGCATAATTATGACGTAAAACCTTCTTAAGATATATTAATTATAAATAAAATGACGCAGACTAAACGCCATGTTATTTGGCTTGGGCATTATATATGCAGCAACGCCAACATATTTATTCAGAGGAGACAGATCTTGGTGAGAAGAAAAAACAGGAAATTGTTAGTAGACAAATTCAAATTTATCATGCTCGATCGGGATTCCTCACATATACATATTTAATTATTCATATTTCTGTTTAGGTTTATCAAAAGAACAACGTTTTTTTACACAATTTTTTTAAATCATAAAATAACTTCCAATCTAAATGATTTTTTGCAAGGATAATTCTTAACAAATAACTTAGGATATATATAGACGGTGGTTCTGATCATTAAAATACATTGTTGGGTTGCCCTAGAGAAACAATGCGTGCACTTCTCTTGACAAAAGAAAACTGGATAGGAGATCGAAGGCTTAATATTAGCATCCAATTCAGCGAATAATGACAGTACTGGCACTGCTATTGTTGGTTCCTTGCTGCTGAACGCTCAGAGAGGTCAAACTTACCACAGAGAATTGTGTATTGGAATTGAATGAATGGCATGCAGTGGTGTAAGTATTAATTTTCATGTACTAGTACTTGAGATGAAAGACGAAAGATTTTCATATACTCAATGTCAAACCATTATATTAAATAATTAAAAGTCAACAATGAAATTAATTAAACGCCTTAATTATCATTCATAATCATAATTGCTTCTTTGGTGGCCTCTCTCGACAGATATGGTGCCACACCCCGCACTGCGTATTTACTTTATTAGTGCTCACAGTTTTAATCATCTTAATTACCTTCTCATAATCCAAGCTATAACAGAGGCCAAAATCGCCTATAAAACGCAGCCTTTGAAATCCATTTTGTCATTGCCTCTTCAGACACTGATCCTTCACTCAGCAAAACGTGCAGGGTATCTTCTTCCAAACCCTAATTATTATTATTTTTGTTGGTTTGTTTGTTGATTGTCTTGTTAATTATTAACACTTTGATTAATTACTTACTCGCAGTACTTGCATGCACCTCTTGTGTTTAATTTATAATAAATTTCAGGGAGTTTGAGTTTCATCGCCATGAGGACCTTACTTGCACTATGTGTTGCCTTTTCCTTGATCTTTGCGTCTTTGCAAGCTGATGCTAAAAGGTACAATTTGCATGAACGTCACCTGGCTCAGCAGAAAAATGATCCAAATCTGCAGGGTCGAAGCACAGATGAGGCTGTTGCTAGTGACAAAAAGGATCAATCTCAGCCTCAAACCACAAACAACAACAACAACGAGGCCAAGCATGATGATCATGATGACGACGATGATGCGAACGAGAGTTATGGTAAATTCGGACATGGCTCTTCTGAAAGTGATTCTCACCGTTACTTTGTTGATGATCAATTTCACCCCCATTAATTAGAACTGATCCAAGCCTTGAGCTTGTAAAATGAAGCTTCAAGCCTTCAGCAATCAAGGTTGTGTGTAATAGGTAAAATATATGTTTGGCTTGTAATTTAATAATAAAGTGGAACTCATTAACATGTCGCCATATTATATCCAAAAGACATCTAAGGCACATGTGTTTGATTTCACCATATAGTATTCTTAGACAGACGGCAATCAGTTTGCTTATATATATATATATATATATATATATGTGTGTGTGTATGTGTGTGTGTGTTTGCAATTGATTGTATTGTCTAGGATGAATCATGTCGTGTATTGTAATTTTAAGCTATCATCTAATAAAATTCCATATATGAAGGTATAAATACATGTTAGTGTAGCATTTTTTGTGCAAAATAATATTGAATTTTTGAGAAATCTGAAGCCCTAATTTCAAGAAACGTTTTCATTATATTGTTTTTCAAAAATCATCATGTACTTTTGCGCATAATTAATATGTTTCCGTGCAGAGACAGGCAAATTATATATATTAAGCAAATCATAAAAGCATTTAAAAGAATAAGAATATACAGTCCATCTAATTACTCTAACAAAAATGAGTTCCTTTTTTGTGTGCAAAGAGATGCTATATGATTCCCCTCCATCTTTCCTAAGTTATTTTAGTCGTCTTAGAACTCGTTTGGAAGTGATTATGAAAAGGCCAATAATCAGTTTTGTGGAGAATCACTTCTAAGTGATTTTAATGGAGAAGGACCTCTCATGTACTTTTTCCTATAATCACTTAAAAAATCACTTAAAATGATTATATAGAGAAGAACGTGTATGGTAAGGGTCGTTTGTGTAATTCAAATGAGCCCTTGGATGATCTTGCTAGGACAAGGCAAGTGCCATTTGTATAATTCCATTTAGGCTTTGTGCCACCCTAATTACTTAATTAAAAAGTAGAGAAAATTATATTACAGGCTTCTGTTTCCAATTTTAGCAATGGGCTTGTTCTTTTGATCTGGACATGACTATGTGGACAAGACAATAGTGTGTATGAATAGGTTACCCTATACATGCCATGAGCATTATTTTGGACCACAAGAACGAGCGAATAAAACTGTCTGCATTGGGCTTTTTCCAATTGTAAACAAACAATTAGCTAAAGCCCAAAGTATATACATTTATGGCATAATACTTGCTCCCTAGTTTTTTTGAGAGAAAATGGTATTGCATTCAACCCAAAGAGAACATTACATGGTAAGAACGAGCATGTTAATAGTGACCTCGTTAAAACCTTCTCGGGGAAAATCACAAGGGATAAAACCCTAGGTTAGGAAAGAGCACCACCTATGCTAATGACTAAACAGAAGAGTCAACACCCCTATTACAAAGTCAGACAAAACGAGACCAATCCTCTCTAACGCCATCTAGGAGCCAGGGAGGTCCATCACCCAACCAATAACAAAGCTCCTCTGCTCGAAGACTATAACGTGTAATATGATGAGCCACAGTGTTGGCAGTACGGGGGACAAAACAAACGCAGGAGGATAATGCCAGAAGAGGATGCCAAATTTCAGTCACAAGCACTCCCTTTGGAGCTAAACATTCTTCCTCCTTTGATAGCAACTACACTGCAGCCAGGGAGTCATATTCAACTACCAAGGGCAGAAGCGATGCATCTAAGGCAAAAGAGAAACCCACTTTGAGAGCGTAAAGCTCGGTAGCCAACACATGCATGAGACTAGGTGCCCTCACTGCCACCGCCCTTATAAGAACGCTATGTGAGTCCCGAACAATTAGGCCTACTCCCTGAAGACCATCCCGTAAATCCAAAGTACCATCGACATTGAGCTTAAAAAAACCTGAAAATACCTGTAGGATGTCTATATATGCCTAGAGAAGGTTAAACAGGCTAATTCGAATTTTTTGTAATAAATAATAATAACCTTTTGACGCAGGATTGATATGGCCTATCAATCCTGTAATGTGCAGAGCTTAAATTAAAAGAACACACAGAGAATTATTTTACGTGGTAAAACCCCACCTCTGGGGAAAATCCACGGGACTTCTCAGTCCAACACAAATCCACTATAGAACGATGATTACAAGAAGTACTCACACACTTATCCTAGACACACTCTAGATAATGTTTACCGACTTCTTCATAACTCAACTTCTGTCACAGGATGATCTTCGACACTCCTTATGTTGAACGCAATACTGGCCACGATTGCTTCAAGCTCACCGGAGGAAAACCGCCACCACGGTCTTGGTGCCCTCAACCGTATGAGTCACCGACGTGCATATGAATGCAATATGAATGATAAAAGGATTTGATAAATCACAAAGTAGACAAGGAACACTTGATGATTTATCTAAGAAAAATAAGAACTGCAGCTTTCACAAAAACAGATTCAATATATTCAAAAACTCATGCGTTGAAAAAAGCTCATAATGAAAAGGAACAACAATCCTTTTTATTCAAAGCCAGTTTCTCTACCTGGAGAGAAACCCCACATCACTACACTTCCAATGCAACTATAAGACCCATTCAACTAAGACTTCTAACCTGATGCAATATGAACACCCAATTAACCTATTCAACTATGACTATTTGTTGTGAATCAATATGGGCACAAAATGAAGAACGTCAAAAACCATTTAGCCCACTAATACTATATAATTCGTCAACTTATACAAGGATTGTTATTCAAGATAACAATCTTTATCAAAGAGATCAAATAGGTATCAATGAAATGTCCTTTTCAAGTCAAGGATGAAAAATAGTATTTTAACTTAAATCAAAATAGAGTCCAACTAGGAAAGTAATCTCAAGAGATAAAATCTAATCCTATTAAAAATAAGATTAAGATAAAAATACTTTGAGTGAAAAAAAACTCCAACTAGGAATCCTATAATGAATGCATGATTATGTCATGATTTACCTGAAGTCAAGTTTCTCATATCGGTCAAGTCATGCCTCGGATGTATGAGGTTGAATGAGTTGTGCCAAAACATCCAGTAAACAAGTCTAGGAAATGACAATACAAATTTCGTACTAACAATCTCCCCCTTTGGTATTTCCTAGACAAAACACCTATTACAACTCAAAAGAAATTACATGGGATTTAACAAATGAATTCTTATTCTAAGCTTGAAGCCCTGAATCCCTGCACATTATGAAACAACAAAACCAGTGAAGCATGTGGGAGAAGAAATGTAATTCAAAGCAGAATTACAACACAACTCCCCCTTAATTTCATAACACAATCTCTCCCCCTTTTTGTCAGGAAATCCAAAGGGCAAAGAATGAACATAATGGAGCAAATATAAGAGGGAAAAAAAAAAAAAAATCAGATTGCATTCCCAACATATAAAGACATAGAGAATAACCAATAAAGCATGTAAGAGGCTTTATCTTGAAAACAAACAGAAAATTCTCTTCTTCTTTTTTGTTTTTTTTGTTTTTTTTTGTTTTGGGATAAGCGACAGGAAAATAGAGAACTAAAAAGAATAATGAGAAGTTGTTAAGAACCAAAACATACAAAAACAAAAGCAATACACTCAAGACAGAAAGCTCAAAACAATCAAGACATAAAACATACTGTAGATGCAGACCCAAAGTTCTCTTGAAAATATAATTATTTTCCATTCATAAACATGCCAAGTTTGTGAGTAAAGAATGAAAGAAGCAACAAACCCTTTGTTGTCTTGAACGCATGTGAAGCAAAGCATGTCAGGGACAAACACACGACAGCACACGAGACTCACAAACTCACAGAGAACAGTAGAGGCATACCACAGTCATGGTGAAAGATAAAAAGGCATCAAATGAGTCTACCATCAAGGAGCAAATGTGTTAAATGAACTCTTTTTCAATTAAGCACAAAAAATATGTCCACACAAGACGAATCCCACCAAAGATTGCACAAACACTAAGTGCATAGTAAGTATAAGAAGATCAATTTATATATATATTTTTAATACGAATTTTGTGGCTCACTTTATCTAGCTTTCGACATGATCCATGTAACGGATGGTCAATCAGTGTGCTTACGTCAGATGACTGGAGGCAACTGGGTGATGAAGCACCCCTGGGGAAATACTGATCCGAATCATGAAGGCTCCAAAGATAAGCAAGGATAGCAAACCATCACAACCTGTTGACTCGAACCTCGACGTTGGTTAGACAAGAGGCCCGGTTACTGAGCAATGAGTGGTTGACACCCTTTTTTTTTTTTTTTTTTTTAATTATTATTTTATTTTTATTTTTATAAACAGATCAAGAACTTACGCACAGTAGTGTTATGGCAATCCAAAGAGAGACAAGTGCATGATAAGAGATATTCAAAGGACTTCAAGGAAAAGAGTGTGGTGTGCAAAATAAAAATAAATAGATGGATAGATCATTTAATGAAGTTTATAATGCACCAAGACAATGGAAACCTTTGTGTGAAGCTGAGAGTGTAAGTTCTTAATATAGTGCAATGTCAGAGCCCAATCTAAGATCAACAAATACGTTCAGACAGTTACAGGATTGATACACCTTAACAATCCTTGCACGAGCTGGACAGATTTATAAACACAGAAATTAATTGAAATATCATAAAACATGAAAGAGGCTTTGGCATGCAATAGACTCCAAATTAATCTAAAGCACATATACCTAAAGACTTTCTAAGAGTGTCAAATCGAAGATTATCCAAGGGTTTTGCAGCAATACATTTAAGATCCAAACTTTCTAAAGCAACGGGTTCATGCACAACATTAGTGGAGGAAGACATACAATTATGATTTTCTTTTTTTCTCCAAACTAACTTTGTCTTAGTTGACGGCAAACAATGAAAAGAAGATAGTTTGGATAAGCGGTTTACCTCTTTCATAAGATGTGAAATCTTATGTTGGATACTTACTTTTCCATCCATGCCATGAGAATTTGAACGAACAAATTCGTTTCGAAGCTTATTGCATCTTGGTCTTATGTGCCCACGAGTTCCACAAAAGTGACAAATTGGAATAAATTTCTTGACTTCATGAGAGGCAGAAGGTTCAATAGGTGAAGTGGATTTGACAAACTTTGTTTTAGACACAGCGGAAGACTTATTACTTGGTTCAAATCCCAAGCCTCGTTTGTCACCATCTCTTCGTCCCATGCTAATCATCTTGTCAATTTTTTCTGCACCAATGGTTAAAGAAACAATCCTTTCTTTTGAATTTTTAAGTTCAAGTTCAAGGGCTTTGTTGTCAGAAGTTAGAGAAGCAATTAATTTATTCTGATCAGTCAATTTTTTCTGCAAAAACATCAATTTTTCGTTCATACCTGCACTTACCTTTTCGGAATCTGCATCAGGGGATTGAAACTCGTTTGCAATCCTGCAATTTTCCAGCTTCAGCACAGCAACTTCTTTGACGAGCTCACTATTTTGTTTACTGAGCTTCTGAGATGCAGCCAACAAATCATCATATTTGTTCATGATAAACTCAATATTTATACCTTTACAATCATCATCCTCACGTGATTCATCCAAGCTAACTGTGGTTATAAGTGCAACCGTCTTTTCATCATTCTCGCATTCCGATTCACTATCACTCCAAGTAGTATGCATTGCCTTATTCTTGCCATCCTTTTGTTTCTTTAAGGTGTTGGCACATTCCGAAGATATGTGTCCATAGCCTTCACATTCGAAACATTTGACCTTTTCTCTTGGATTCTTTCGTTCATTTAACCTGCGAAATTTAGATCCACCATCAGTATAGTTAACAAACCTATTTTTAGAATTTATACCTTTTGAATCTCGACTCCGTGGATCCTGATTCTTGAGAAAGTTCATGAATCGTCTTGTGAGAATCGTTAATTCCTCATCACTGCAATCTTCATTTGAATGCCCATCATCTTCTTCATTTACAACCTTGAACGCAACATTTTTGCTCTTTTTAAGAGGTAGATGTTTCATCTCATAGGTTTGTATGGACCCTATGAGTTCTTGAACTTTCAAGGTGTTCAAGTCACGGATCTCTTCAATAGCCGTGATCTTTGGTTGAAACCGTTGAGGCAAGGATCTCAAAATCTTTTTCACAACTCTATCTTCTGGAATTTTTTCACCTAAACCTGAACAAGCATTCACAATTACACAAAGTTTAGCATAAAATTCAGAAAAAGTTTCATTCTCATCCATCATAAGTGTCTCAAACTGTAAAGTGTGCATTTGAAGCTTGGCTCCCTTGACAGTATCTGTTCCTTCATGAGTAACCTGCAAAATATCCCAAGCTTCCTTAGAAGTATCACAAGCACATATATATTCAAATTGATCGGAAGAGACAGCAATAAATAAAGCATTTAACCCCTTTTGATTATTAGTGCTGTGTGTGACTTCTGCAGTGGTCCACTCCTCTCTAGTTTTGAGGACTGTGGTTTCTTCATCTCCTTTTCCGATCGTCTTTGTGGGTTTAGGAAATCCATGAACCACTGTGCTCCATACACGTTCATCTAAGGACCAAAGAAACGACTTCATTTTGGCCTTCCAAGCGCCATAGTTGTTGCCATCGAAATATGGTGGATGTGCAATTGAGCCCGAGGCACGATCCATCATAAGGTATGTTAGATCTTGCTGAGTATGTCCAGCAACCTGCTCTGATGCCAATTGAAAATACCTGTAGGATGTCTATATATGCCTAGAGAAGGTTAAACAGGCTAATTCGAATTTTTTGTAATAAATAATAATAACCTTTTGACGCATGATTGATATGGCCTATCAATCCTGTAATGTGCAGAGCTTAAATTAAAAGAACACACAGAGAATTATTTTACGTGGTAAAACCCCACCTCTGGGGAAAATCCACGGGACTTCTCAGTCCAACACAAATCCACTATAGAACGATGATTACAAGAAGTACTCACACACTTATCCTAGACACACTCTAGATAATGTTTACCGACTTCTTCATAACTCAACTTCTGTCACAGGATGATCTTCGACACTCCTTATGTTGAACGCAATACTGGCCACGATTGCTTCAAGCTCACCGGAGGAAAACCGCCACCACGGTCTTGGTGCCCTCAACCGTATGAGTCACCGACGTGCATATGAATGCAATATGAATGATGAAAGGATTTGATAAATCACAAAGTAGACAAGGAACACTTGATGATTTATCTAAGAAAAATAAGAACTACAGCTTTCACAAAAACAGATTCAATATATTCAAAAACTCATGCGTTGAAAAAAGCTCATAATGAAAAGGAACAACAATCCTTTTTATTCAAAGCCATTTTCTCTACCTGGAGAGAAACCCCACGTCACTACACTTCCAATGCAACTATAAGACCCATTCAACTAAGACTTCTAACCTGATGCAATATGAACACCCAATTAACCTATTCAACTATGACTATTTGTTGTGAATCAATATGGGCACAAAATGAAGAACGTCAAAAACCATTTAGCCCACTAATACTATATAATTCGTCAACTTATACAAGGATTGTTATTCAAGATAACAATCTTTATCAAAGAGATCAAATAGGTATCAATGAAATGTCCTTTTCAAGTCAAGGATGAAAAATAGTATTTTAACTTAAATCAAAATAGAGTCCAACTAGGAAAGTAATCTCAAGAGATAAAATCTAATCCTATTAAAAATAAGATTAAGATAAAAATACTTTGAGTGAAAAAAACTCCAACTAGGAATCCTATAATGAATGCATGATTATGTCATGATTTACCTGAAGTCAAGTTTCTCATATCGGTCAAGTCATGCCTCGGATGTATGAGGTTGAATGAGTTGTGCCAAAACATCCAGTAAACAAGTCTAGGAAATGACAATACAAATTTCGTACTAACAAAACCAACTTGAGAAGGACGCCAATGTTGGTTTGAAAGGGGCAAAGAAATACACCTATGAAGTAGTAACTGATATTGATGATATTTAGCAACATAGTTTTTTGCACATAAAAGGAGATGCTCTGCAGACATAGGATCAGAACCAAAAAGCATAGCATTCCGATCATTCCACAATAGCCACAACACAGTAATAAAAAAGGTTGCTGAGGAATTGGGATTAAATTCCATGCTGCCAACATCCAAGTAACAACGTCGTCCAGAGTCAAACCAAGAAAAACTGTCGGCAGTTCTGAAGACTCCCACACGGGACGAATATTTGGGCAATCTCTTAGGGCATGAACTACTATTTCACAGCCAGTGGTGCAACGAAAACAAATTGCGTCCATTGCGATCTTATTGTAAAAAAAATAAAACTTTTGTACTTACTCCCTAGTTGCGGAAAGGAAATTCAAATTTAGGTGCATCTCGTATTAATTTCTTCCGTGGAATTCACTTGCTCCCTAATATCAAAAAGTTAGCATCTCGTATCAATTTGTTATGTGGAGTTGACTTGCCGCCTACTTGTGAATTGAGCCATGGTGCTTAGTAAAGTTGGAAGGTTTAAGAAACTCATTTTCAAGTTCCAATTAATTAAAAAAAATGTAATATTTTTTCTATAAAATATATAGAAAATCTCTAGTGGGAAAAAAAAAAGTTCTACAATAAAGTGGTTTTACGGTGGCCCAGGTGGGGTGCCACGTCTTTTTATGGAAAACGTACAAGTGCTTGGTCCAAATTGCGATGGGGGTGAGGGTGACGATCGATCTCCATCTCCAAGCCTTCTATAAAAGGCAACATTTCATCCCTTTTTCTTCATTGTAGGCTCATTCATTCATAGCAAATTAGCATTCCTGTATCTTCTTTTTCTCAGGCGGGACACATCCCCAGTTTGTGCGTGAATCGAACCCCATCACAGCCGTCCATCTTTATGATCACGCTGTCAACTCAATCCAATGGTGTTAGATTCACGCACAAACTCGTGATATGTCTCCTCTTTATAACACTGCCGTATTTCTCTTATTTCCCTTTTTTTTTCTTTTTCTTTTTGTTTTCCAGTTACTTTTCGTTCCAAAAATTAAAAAAACCATTCCTTTTGGCGCCAATTCGGATTACATTTTCCCTCTCAATTAATCTGTTCACTCACAGTCACAGACTCACAGTAAGAGAAGACATTCGAATTAGCGAACAGAGGAAAAATCCCGGGAATTCTGATGGCTTCAGCTTCGGATTTAGGGTCAACGGATGATTACGAGGCGTTGATGTCGATGACCGATGTGGAGCTTTTGAAGAGCGCGTGGCGGCAAGAGAAGGCCGCTCCGGAGATTCTTCAGTTCGAGAGTCGTTTGATTAAGAGAGTCAGAGAGCAGATCCAACTGATGGTAAATTCCCCGAAACTCAAAAACAGGGAAGGAAAAAAAACCCTAATTCCCTTGTTTGGTTCCTCAGAAATTGATAGGAAAATTCAATTTCACGGTGGAAATTTCTAATCTAACTTTCCTGCTTATGTTGTATTGTATATGTACCGTAAAACAATCAGGATTTTAGTTGAAATGATGAGTACCTGAGAAAAATTACTAGTGCTTTTTTCTTATTTTTATTTTTATTTTTTATAATTCTGAAATTTGAAAAGAAAATGTTTAGTTTAGGATCTCAATTAGGTTGGAAAGGGTGCTAGATGCTATTATTGGGTGGCAAACAAGCTTTTGCAAGTAGATGAAATGCTTGTGCTAGTATTATTTGCGGTTGTGTTATTGCTCACTCCAATTAGATGCATATAATTACAGGAAGAAACCGTGGAGGAATTTACTGAAAGTGGTTTTGATCCACTTACTGTGTCACTCTACCAGATGGATTTGGACAGGACTCAGTTCTTGTTGAGATCTTATCTACGAATTCGTTTGCAGAAGGTGGCCATCTTCTCTCCTTGTTTTGTTAATGCGTGCATGCTTGTTTTTTCATTGCATTTGAAATCAACTGTCTGGTTCTTTGATTATATTTTTGGTATTAGAGAAACAGGAGCACTCACCATGTTTGATGATAATTTGATCAAAAGAAAGTCCAATAGTGAATTCTAAGTTGCTTGCTCTGAGTATTAGGAAATTGCCCGAAAATTTTCCTATGGTTTTAGATGTTAAATGCGACAAGGTTTCTCAAGAACATGTTGGTTGAACTTTGCTTTTCGTATTTCAAGTAACTTCCTTTTGCAGATTGAGAAATACATGTTTCACATCTTTGCTACTGCTGAACTTCTAACACGTCTATCTAAAGAGGAGAAGTGGTTTATTGAAAGGTGAGGACTCTAGCTGTTTTATTAGTTTGTGTTCGTTTAGTTACAGCACATAGTTTAGGTTTATTGTGGTTTAGAGTTGACATGGTTATTGCTTACAGGTGCTGTGTTGATTTGCAGACGCATCTTGAAAAGAGCGTCCTGTCGCAATTGCCTTATACTTATCAGTCTATATTTCAGCAATCTGTAATTAATGATGAGACTGACATGGGTACGGACTCACATTATTTTAATTAGTCACATTATCTTTTTTCAGATTTTGGTGATGCATCTCTGTTTTTTTTCCCTTGTATGTGAATGTGTTATGGGAACAGTTGTATCATTTTCTGCAAACTATTTATCCTTGACCCAAAATCAATTCAAAATAAGGTGCTCAGTGCTGTGGTTAATGTTTGAATTTTTCATTCCAAGATATCTAGTTGTGTGGTGACCTTTTGTACAATTTACCTGAGAGGTTTAGATTTTCTGATCTAGTTTGGCAGATTCATATAACTTGCAGCGGAACTATTTTAAAGTTTGATGTGATTAGTGTTTGGAATTGTGCTAATAGAAACTTGTAAAATGTGATACTGTGCATTTGCATGCTGTGAGGGAACCAGTGACAAGCTAGTGTATGGGGCTGAGAATTTGTTCCAAATTCTTCTGAACTATTTGCCTTCTAAACCCTAAACCCTTTTTATCAGAAAACAATGCAATAGTTTGTTTGACAACTTGAAATGCTTAGCTTCCCATGTAGTCTTGGTCTGTCTCTTCTTGGATGAGTTCTTAATGCTCTTGGTGTCTTGATCTAACTCCATAGAATTATCTTCACACCTCACATTGCTTCTTCTACAATGATTTTTGTTTACTATTTCTTCTAGACAGATGTTTTTCATTATGCATATGGTAGGCAATTTGTAGATTGGACATGTGAACTCAAATAGTGTTCTGTATATGTTTGACTTCCAGTGGCAAAACCGCAATTGGACACATTTGTTGTCTGCAAAACCAAGTATTATCTTGGACATATCCAGCTTGAGGACAATGCAGATGGAGAACCAGATGGCAGGTAACTTATTATTCATAAACATTTACTTTCATAGAAAATGTTTGTATTTCTTTTTTGCTTACTGGTTTCAGTTCACCATATGACAGTGGGAGCCAGAAACCACTGGAGGAGCCTTTTGAGATGGAGCCCAATGTTTTATACTTTGTACGTTATAAAGCAGTGAAGAAATTTGTAGAGGAAGGGAAGATTGATTTATACTGAGTATCCAGCATCTCGGGGTAAATAGCTTTGAGACCTCCTCTATCTCAAAATATGATGTCATTGTATCTCCCCACCTTTTGCCTTACCGGTTTCTTGAGAAACTATTAACATGGCAAGTCATGGGAGTGAGTTTCCGAGCAACATTGAATTGAATGGTTTTCTATGTACGTTTCTTTTAGGTAAAAGTCATTTTTGGTCTATGTAGTTTGTCAGTTTTACCACTTTGGTCTCCATAGTTTCAATTGTCAATTTTGTCCCCGTAATTTTTCAATTTTGTAAATTTTATCCGTGTAGTTTTCAATTCAAAGCAATTCAAGGACATGTTTGAGTTTCTATTAAAATTTCTCCAAATTCCATTAAGTTTTGACCACGTGCTCTTCATGTATAGGGGTATTTTGGTCCACTTGAGCCAAATTCGTCCCAGTTCAATCAAATTTTGACCCAGTGATGCAAAAAAATTTGAAACCCAAAACCCCAAAATGGCTCCTAAAGTGAATCGGAAGAGCTTCATCTTGTGTTTTACAGTTAGATGGGCTTGAGTAAATTGAAATACCCCTCCACCTCCACGTGAGGGGTACGTGGTCAAAATGTAATGAAATTTGGCGGAATTCAATAGAAATTGAAATGTGTCTTTGAATTGCTTCAAATAGAAACTACAAGGATAAAATTGAAACTATAGAGACTAAAGTAGTAAAGTTGGCAAACTACAGGGATCAAAAGTGAATTTTTGCTTTTTTCTGTTTTTTTTAATACAAGCGATAATTTAAAGAGGAAGACATCCTATCAGGTATCAAGTGCCATCTTTAGAAGAAAAGAACAAATATGCTAATATGCTGATATGGAATCTGTACTGTAGTATGTGCTTAATATGCCATGATGTCTTTAGAAGAAAATATCGCACACTCTGATAAAAGGAAATCCAAAAGATTCCCTGCATGTGATATGTGTCTATGGAGCCAAGTGCTAACAAACAAAACAAACACGTATTCAAACAAACCCGACGGAAACGAAACAGGACCCAATCCCATACAAATTTTTGCTCTGGCATCACTCACTTGATTCAAATTCAAACAAAACCATAATTTTGTTTCCCACCACCTCGGATTGCCTGGGAAATATCAAATAAAATCCTCCTTCTACCCTAGCTAGCTGGCGCGTTTTGCTCCATGTAAATAATTAAATACATTTATTATTGTTACATAAACGAATAATTAAGACCTGGCAACTGGTCTACGACTCAATGAGAGGACAAAGTCTCTAGCTAGCCGACATGATCAACGGCCAAGATCTTGAGCCAGCCAGCATAAGACACGCCTTGGTTGTCATCGCCGCCGCCCAATATAATCATGGCCTTGATGTCTTCATCAGTGGCGGCGAAGCCTGCCGCGCTCATGTAGCTCTTCAAATCCTCATGGCCAAGCTTCCCATCCCCGTCCTTGTCCATAACCTTAAACGCTTCCTCCATCACTCCCCCCGAGCTTCTTGCACCACCGCCGCCTCCCAAAACGCGCTCAAACTCGTCGTATTGGACGAAGCCGTCCTTGTTGGAATCGGCGGCCGACATCATCGATCCGATGAGATTTTCGTCGGGGCCGGAGCTGGAAAATCCGGCGTAGAAGGCTCGGAGATCGTCTTTGCTGATCTTGCCGTCGCGGTCGGAGTCGAGGACGTCGAAGGCTGGCTTGAAATCTGAGGTCATGGTCGTCGTCGTGGCGGTCTCTGCGCAGAGGGTGCGGCCAGAGGGACACATTGTGATGCTAATTGCGGCGTGTGGTTGGTGTTTAGAAACGAAGAATCGAGTCGTAGACCGGCTCGTATGGAGGAAAATTATTGATCGAGTTGCGGAAGAGAGGCCTTGTGGTATTTATAGGTGGAAGGGAGGGGGGCCCACAATGGCTTGTTTCACAAGGTTTTGATTGAGAGGCTACGTATGGAGTGACGTAGCTAAGTTTTTCTCGTATGGGGGACTGAGACTGACTGGTAGGTTAGTCATTGATTATTGGTCTTTGACACAGTCCATGGACCATGGCCAAAAGGTATGCAGAACCAGCCAAGAACAAGGTGTCTGCATCTCCTCCATAACCATTAGTGTGGTTCAGCATCAATTCTATTCCATGACAACTTATTCTTTACCAATTCAAAATTCTGTGCTGAGGCTGATGTTTTGGCTCACATGAGTCATGATATGGTTCCTGGCTTTCATTGGTTTCAGCTGGCGCCTCCTTGTGTTTGTGATAGCCTTGCTGCTGATGTTTGCAGCCTGGCTAGGCCTAGAGTAGTTGTTTACTCCTTTTTGTTCTGGCCTTCTTGGCCCCATCTCACCCCAACAACAAAAAAAAATAATAATAATAATATGTGCTGAGTTATTTTGGGGTGGGAGCAGTGTGGGTTGGTCCCATCTAGACCTCCAATGGTACACGACATCACTAATCAAGTATCAAGATTTGAATTAGCATTTGGCATTTCGATACCAAATGCAAATATCTTTTATGCATTCCAATGGTATCTAATTCTCTCCACTGCTTTCACTCTAGGCAAACGCTCATCGGATAATTTATATTGTTACTTGGAATTGATGCTACATGTCCAGATGCCAATCAAGTAATGAAAGTGTTAAATCTAATACACACTTGAAGAATTTAGAAATCTCTAGAAAAAAGTAGAAAATTCTAGAAAAGTTCTAATTACAATCTTGTAATAAGGTAATATTATATTGTAAAGTAGTGGCTATGAGAAGAAGCCAAGTCCACCGACTTGTACAATGGCGGCAGCCTTAATCTATAAATAGGTGTTGTCTCTTGTGCAAGTGAGCTAAGAGAGAGAAGAGGCCAATAAGCCATGTACTCATCTATTGTTGAATAAATAAAATCACTCTTTCGTTATCTAAAAACCCAACAAGTGGTATTAGAGAAAAGTTCGATTATTTTGGGCGTAAGAGTTTGATATGGTCCTCCATCATGTCTACCGCTAGCCAAACTTCTATCCCATTTCCAATTTTTACTGGAGAAAACTATGATTTCTGGAGCATCAAAATGAAGACCTATTTTATGTCTCAAGATTTATGGGATATAGTTGATAGTGGCTTCAATAATCCAGAAAATCCAACTGTGGAACAATTAAAACAACTAAAGAAAGATTAGCAGAAGGATGCAAAGGCTCTATTTGCGTTGCAACAAGCTTTGGATGACAGTATTTTTCCAAGGATTATAGGAGCCACAACATCAAAGGAAGCATGAGATACTTTGAAGGAGGAGTTTCAAGGAAATGCCAAGGTACATGTGCTGAGGCCCAAAAAATTCAGGTTTGGGTCCAAATAAACTCCCGGCCCAGTGCAACACCTTATTAAGACAAGACCCAGTTCGGAGCACGCGAAATTCATCATGCACACTTGTAAGAGCCACGATCACGTGCCATGCCAAATAAATATGCAATCTGTCACGCTAAGAATTGAAATAAGCCTATAAAAGGCACTGGCTCTACAAGCCCATGCTAATTATCCCGCCAAGCATCATATCCATTTTCAAAGACGATAAAATTCAAGCATGCCAATTGACATGCAATGCCAAGTAGAAAATCATTATTTTTATACATAGCCATGCTACAAGCTTAAGTGGGCCAAAGCTACGCAAATGCTCGAGGTTTGCAGAGTAGGTTGGGGTATGGATGGTAACGAGCATTCATGAAGCTCATTGATGAGCCTAGAAATGGAAGTTTTGGGCTGCTTGGGAGCCCCAAAACTCGAGCTCATTTCTTGAGCCCAAATATGTGGGAAATGATAAGGAGAGAAATAAGTAGCCAATTACTTTAGAAAATTGGCCCATCACCTTAATAAAAATGGTCCATCACTTTAGGAGGTTGACCCATTCCTTTAGTACACTAACCCACCACCTTAGGAAGGCCCAAATGATCAAGAAAATATCTGAAAGTCTCCAACACATGACTGGAGACAAAACAACGATAGAAGCCAAAAGCCACTCATGAAGGTAGACTGTTGGGAGGCTCCAACATGTGGCCAAAAGCAGACTTAAAATTAGATCGTCCAAAAACCAAAGGGTATTAGTGAGCACAGGATGCTAGGAGAAAAGACACCCTTCAAACCAAAGCCCCTACAATGTGCAGTTAAACTACAAACTTTGAGAAGAGATTTTGAAAACATTAAAAATGAAAGATTCTGAAACCACACAAGAGTACTATGCTAGAGTGAAAGAAATAATCAATCAATTAAGAGCCTATGGAGAAAAAATTTATGATTCAAGAATTGTAGAAAAAATACTTATCAGTCTCACTAATAAGTATGATCCACTAGTAGCTGCCATTGAACAGACAAAAAAGAAAGATTGTTGGTACCGAGGCATACCAAAATGCTAGAACTGCAAAAGATTTGGGCATATAGAAAAAGATTGTTGATTCAAGAAAAACTATCAAGCTAACTACATAAAAGAAAATGATAAGTACGAATATGTGTTCTATGCATGTCCAGCACTATCAGAAAAAGACAACACAAATTGGCATATCAATAGCAATGGCAATGACTGGAAGATAGAGACTGCAGCTCAATTATCAGCAGAAGCAAAAAATATGGCATCAACAAGATCATAATATCTAGCAATATAGCTCTAAGTGTGCATTAAGGAGGAGTGTTAAATTTAATACAACACTTGAAGAATTTAGAAATATCTAGAAAAAAAAAGTAGAAAACTCTAGAAAAGTTCTAATAAAAATCTTGTAATAAGGTAATATTATATTGTAAAGTAGTGGCTATGAGAAGAAGCCAAGTACAATGGCGGCAGCCTTAATCTATAAATAGGTGTTGTCTCTTGTACAAGTGAGCTAAGAGAGAGAAGAGGCCAATAAGCTTAGCAAACAGTTTCTAGTTGTTAAAAGGCCAATAAGCCTAGTCCTCTATAAAGCCTTGTACCCATCTATTGTTGAATAAATAAAAGGAAGTTTCACTAAAACACCTAAAATGGGGGCCGAAATTATAAAAAAACTCAATACCCAAAACACTTTATAAACACACCCAAAAACCATCATTACACACACTCAAAATCTATTTATAAACACACCCAAAAAATATACAATTGTTGATTTTGGGTGTGTTTCTATATTTAAATAGTGTTTGAATTTTTTTTTATAAATACATGTCTAGAATTGAGTTTATTTATAAATTTGTATAAATAAAATCATTCTTTTGTTCTCTAAAAACCCAACAGAAAGCATGCTGGTTCTGGGAAGAGAGTGTCTTTTGAATTTCTGTAACACTAAGTTACCCTTATGACTATGGTCAAGGGTTTCATAGCAGTTTGAAACTGAGCAAAAAGAGTCTACTGACTATGGGACGAGATACACTTGCACGAAAATAAGGATATTATTGTTTTGCTATCTCTGACTAATAACGCTATGATATACATAATAACTTTTTCATATGATATAACATTATTAACCGAGATTAACAAAATAGTGTTAATTTCCCATTGCAATCAAAATTTTCTACTATGGGACATGTAATGGCTTGGCCCTTAAGTGAGATGCCTATGCAGAACCATATTTGGGTTTTCTTCCCCCTTTTTCTCTTTGGGCCCATGAGGCCAGGGAAGTTTTGGTTTGTGGTTCATTCATTTGGGTTGTTCATGTTGGATGCAAACGAGCCGAAACAATGGCAAATTCGTAATATCATTGATATGAATGGGCTTCTCATAAACCTCAAATATTTCATGGGCGAAAACCCTAATTCTAAATTCCGGTATTTAAACACAACCACGCCTAACAAACACCAGTAGCCTTAGGTCGCAACCTCCCTCCATCTTCTTCCTCCCCGCTTCTTCTCTCTGTCCTCTTCTCTTTTTCTTCATTTAAAAGGAGAAATATCTGTGGTGATTGGTATAGTGCCTCTTGATGAAGCCTTGGGTCTTAATTAATTTGGAGCCAGGGTTTTATATTCTTATAAAGAATAGGAGGTAAATTTCGTGCAGGAATGTTGAGTCACTTCGCCTTTGAACAATTACCAGGCTCAGTGAATAACACCCTGCCACATCCTCCTCTATTTCTATTGAACTTGCCCATTTCAATTTTATTTTTGCGCGAGTTTGAATTTCTTTGTTGTTTTTGCAATTGATATTTTCAGTTTGATTGTAAAATATTCACTGCATAGGGGTTCCGATGATGGCATGAAATCTTTGAGACCTGATCATCCAATTGATGATAACTATAAGCATGGTTTCTGAGGATCCCTTATTAATGTTACTAAGAAATTTAAACTTTCCCATCAAAAACTCAGATGGGCATTTCGTATTTTGCTTTGAAAAATGTGTTGATTTTGGACTGATGATATGCAAGTATAGATGATGAAGTATGCACTGGGCTCTGAGCAGCTCTATGAGCTTCTTTTTGATGGACATTGCAGCCTAGAAAGCTAATCTGATATACTCTCTGTCTTGTTCAAAATTCATTTACCCTTTTCCGTACTTGAGCAAGCCAACCCAAGCCAACCCAATTTTATAAAAACTAATTATGATTTATATGCTTCATTGACAAACCCAGAGGAAGGCAGTAAATTGCACTGGAATCTGTGAACTCACGCGGAAAAAATGTTTCGGAGACAAATGAAGGTAAATTAACGTGGTTCCTTTAGAACACTAAAATAAATGAAACGAAAGAGACAACTTGTACCCAAAAAAGAGGAGGAAAAATGTAGTAGGATCCTAATATTGATCCGGTAGGGGAATATTTCAGAATGAGAAATAGCAGAATGATTACATACCGCAAGCAAATATGCAGCATTGACGTCTTGAGTTCCATTTAAAGTTATGGTTGTTTGTCATCGGGGCGATCCTAAATTATCAAGTCGACAGAAATCCTTTTGGAAACTTAGAGCCCAAAATTCTGCACTTTGAAGTTTTGAATGAACTAGACAGATTAGGATCGAAAAAACAAATAGAGAAAAAAAAATAACTTCTAGTAAATATTAAAGGGAAAAAAAATTAATGCTACTTTTATTACATTTGTTTTTCTAATTTTCTTAATTAAAATATTACTTCAATTATTTAATTGATATGGCATATTATGACATGGCATAGAAATGTAGGATAAAAATATGGTAAGTGTAGAATTACTATAAAAATAAAATGATGAAACACAGTACTCAGTTATGTTTTTGGGAGAAAAATCAATATTCTTAGTTCCAGACTTTAGTTCAATGGAATCAAGAAAGCTATCGCAAGCAGTATATTTGAACCCAAAGATCAAAACTAGAAATCCCTGATGCGTATTTAAAATCAAGTTTTAAAAGGTGAGTACAGATAGAGTCTGGTCAGTCATAATTCCAAGGCTACAAGCTTCATGCTCTAATCTGTTCTAGTTAACTAACTTGGCTAGAACAACGCAGTGACACAGCGTGCTGCAAAATTTTCTAAGTTTCTGTGTCTAACATTTTGCTCCTGCATTTCTTCAGTGCAAGAGACATATGTGCCTCGGGAATCAGGGTTGATGGGTATATCCGTTTTGCCATAAAATATCTAAACTAGAGTCAGCGCACGGGAGATGAAAAGAAAATGACAACAAAATATACAACGAATCCAGCAATAAGAATCCCCCCATAGATATAAGTTTGAGATGCCTGCACAGGATATTTGTACTCAATGTCGCAGCATTTCATCTTGTCCCTCTCATTGGCCAGAACATGGTCTACGTACCTGCATCGTGCAAATGATTATTAGCAATTAAAATGAGAGAAACCCTGCTCCACTGATCTTCAGGTTCCAAAAACCACTGATAGCCTTTTACTGCATGGGAAATCACAATACGAAACAAAACTAAACCCATACAATACAGCCACTTACTGCTGGGTAAATATGGAACTCTGGAGAATTTCTGAACTGTTCAAATGTGCATCTTGTAAGCGATGACCGTATAACGATGAAGACAAATCTACAAGCTGTTCCTCAAGTTTCTGTTGTTTAGATTGTCTTACATGTGTTAATAATCTTCAAGATGTTTGAGAAACACAGGAATTTTAAAAGTAGGAATGACTTACATCCAAGTAGTTCTCCAATCTATCAACTAATTCGTGTGGGAATGGTTCAGGCAAGTTAGTTGTCTTTTTGTAGAACTTCTCCACCCATAGTTCAGTGGTTGTTTTGTTCCTCTTTCCCTTCACTGGTTCACCAAGCGGAGTTTTTAGATACTGTGCTGCAAAAGTTTGTACAGCCTGCAGAAAATAGTGGAAACCATATAAGCATAAAATCATACAACTAATTTCTAATAAATGACCAAATGAAAGACCAAATTACCTCTGACGTCTCACGAATTCTGTGGAGAGCAGAATCTACACGTGCATATATTGTGTTCCTCTGCCAAAAAGATTAACAATTACTTTAGATATCACAATCTTAAAAGAATGTATCTATACATTTTTACGTCTGTCTGTGTGTGCCAACTTGCAAATATATGGTCATCATGAAGCAAATGCTGAAGTGTCATTTATGATAGTTGTGCAGAATTTGGCATTGTAAGACTGGCCTTACCAATGCAACATCTTGAAGCATTTGACTGACTTGAGAAGTATTAGAGAACGGTCCAAATGGATGACAACCAGCTGCCCAAAGCCAATTCACAACTGACCTTTCATGTACATGAGAAGCCTTTTCATATGGTGCACTCAACCCGCCAACAGCGGAAGCAAGTCCTGCCAATATATGGCGCTGTGCCTGAGATGGAAAGGCATGCCTTCTCTGAGTTTCTGAAACATAACTGCGCACCAAGACATTTCAACAAAACAGTTAAAAAAATCTTATGGAACAGGAGGGGGAGAAGCACATCAAAATCAACTCTAAATGAAAGCCACAGAAACATGAGTGGCGTAGTCAATCAGAGACCATAATGTAAAACATAAAACTTGTATTTTGCAATGAAGGAACTGCTGTAGTTGGTTCTTAAGAAAAATCACATAGATCCTAGAAATGTAATAAATTATACAATACTTCAGAGTTCAGACAATTTCACTGGTTGAATGATGTCCTAATTTTACCAGAAGTATAAACTAAATGCTAGGAGGGCTTGACATTGCCTAAGTTAAAGGTGTTACAGAATATGACAAGATAGTTTCAAGTAGTTAGAAAAGCCACAATGTACTATGCTGAACCCTGCACAGACTTCAAAATAAAACAGATTTGACTCAATACTCTTCTTTGATGTTTACCCACCCACATGACATATGTTGTAACTAGGGAAAGTTAGCAAAATAGCTGTGACTAACCAATACATTATAGTGATTGAAAAACAAACAGTACATGTTCAATGATGCTACAATGCTGGAAGCCTGGCAATAAATCACTGTTTCCTCACCTAAGAGGTATCTTTTCATTTTGATGCTCAAGTACAATCACTACATCCTTGCTTGTCCATACAAGACTTTCGTCTTCCATCATAAGGTGTGGATCCACATCAGCCAATGATAGCACAAAACTGTGGGAAAAAGAAAGAAAGATATCAAACAATTATTTACAGCAATCATTACAGATTAATTTGATGAGTGATGCAAGCTATATGTTGCTAGCACTGTAGTAAAAAACAGGTAAGGACACCCAGAATTACCTCCAAACTTCTAGTTACCAGAGATAGGTGACAGTACATGTCATTAAAAATTGGAAGCAAGCCTTGAAAAGTTATATGCAACAGAAATCTGAATAATTAACTATAAAATTCAATGATCATATCTTCATGCTAAATTTCTTGGTAGCAGGCTATACATAAAAATGCGGAAATGGTTAAACAAGACGGACTCAACAAAAGCATGTTACATGTAATCATATGAAAGAAGAATGAAGACACCATTATGAGAATAGTACTAAAATTACACTGCAGGGGAACTCAAGGTGGGATGCTCACACAGGAATCACTCTTGTTCCATAAGTTCGGTAAAACTCTCCTTGTTTCCTTTCTACTCTTTTTTTTTCTTTCCGTGCTTTGATTCATAAGTGGACCAAAGAGGTTTATGCTTTAGAATAGAATCACTTGAAGCCTCGGATTCATCTGCCCAATGCTGGGGAACAAAAAGTACAAAAATTAGGACAATGAAGACAAGAAGGGAAGAAAAATCTACTTAGAGCTTAATAACAGAAGAAAGAAGTCTCAGAGAACAAAAATCAATGTGAACATTTGTTGCACCACATGCAAAACATGTACAACTGTATCAGATTTGACCAACCTGGCGGAGGAAAAATTTACTTGAAAGATTTGGGTCAGCCACCTCAAGCAAACCAGCAGCAAGCACATCAGCAGAACGTTCCATCTCCTGGAATGAGCACTTCTCAGTGAGAAAAGAAAAATAGAACGTACATATAATCTCACTAATTCAAATGCCATCTAGGAAAGAAGCATGAATTTTTAACTCAAAATATGATGACATCTAAATGTAAGGCCAAAAGTACACAGAAATGCATATAGAAAGACATTCATGACACAATTTTTCACCAAGAACGTCGCAAATGGTATATAAAATAGAAATGAATAATTTGGCACCAAAAACACCGGGTAACGAAATTTGCTGACATTAGGATAAATAAAGAAGTACCCACTTCTTTAAGAATAGCTCCATCCAGATATGTCTTGGTATGAACATGGAAGCGCCCATCATTCTTAGTTTCTTGCAGGGAATGGCTTCTCATAGCTTTTGAAACAGCAATTGACAACTTCTCATGGCGATGTAACGAATGTGAACCCCCAACAATCACAACTTCTTGCCCAGCATGAACCATTTTCTTCACCTGAAAAGGACATATCAAACAAAAATGGAAGTGATTTTGGGCTTATGTATTTCAAATCACAAATATGGAATTACTCATAGGCGAGGGTTGCTGAGACTGCATGATCCTAAAAGTGAAAGAGTTATTCTTTCTTTACTCTGGCACTCGTTAACATAGGCAATCATGAAGATGTTGAGTTATCCCAGAGGAAACAACCCACCTCTGCCTCAATTGCTTCAATATTTATACTGTAGTTGTGGCCTTTATCTATAATGTTGTAGCGATTATGATTTTGGAGGACAATTATTGGTAAAAGCAGCCTTGTTGTCAGGTCAACAGTTTCAAATCTGAGTTAAGACCATAAACACATGATTAACAACCACAAATAAAAAGTGCATAATTGTTATAAACAACACCATGCTTGGTGTCAAATCAACATGCCATAAGATAGACTGAGTACCTAACATCTGGAGCTATAACATGCTCGACTGTGGTTGATACTAAAGAGGCAAGTTGTCCAACAAATACATCATGTGTAGGATGATCACTAGCTGCACCGAAACCTCTTGGAAACACCACATTCTTAAGTCGTGGCAATGTCCTGGAACTGACAGTTCCCTCTTCAGTTTCAATCTTTCCATATGTGCATGGGCCTGCTGAGAGATCAATCACAACAAATCTGAACAGCACAGGCAGGAAATTAGATTTTTAATTTCATTTTAAAAAGAAAAAAATGCACAGACAGATGGTTAGAGAGAGTAACATAACATAGTCATAAAACACAGCATATAATCTATCAACCCCTTCAATGTGATACGGAACAAATGAATGTTTCTAACCACCATTGTAAACTGCAAAGTATAATGCTATCTTTTATTCACGTGCTATCCCCAATGTAAAAAATTTATAATTAAAAAAAACACAAAATAACAACTCTCCCACAAATAACTACACCACCTATATAGAGACAAAAATAACACACCAACCATAACTCAGAACAACCTAAAAGACTTCGAGAAAATCTTTGTAACAGACAACCCAATACTTCACATGTTCAAGCACATCATTCCACATACTTGAAGTATTATTGCAACATGTTTGCATGTTCATCAGTCCACATTACTCTATGTACTAAGCTTGCCCCTCTTTCTACTCCAACAAAGAGCACAATAGATAGGTGCATAACGAAATGGATTACTTACACCCTAAAGTAGTATGCAACTGATTTGGTATACCAAAATCAGACTTCTTCTACAAATAAAACTGTGTTAACTATACCTGCCAGAGCCAAGCCAAACTTGAGATGCACCGCCTCCATTGTATCGATAGCGATAAATGTAGTCTCCCTCTTGTTTTTTCATATCTTCCTCAGTGAGCTGTGTAAGTTTGCCATACATTAAGCTGTCAAGATTAATGTCCTTATTCCTCGGATCCATCCTGACCTGCAAAACAAGTGAACACATAGAAATAATAAGTACAGTTGAGTGAGACTATTAACGAATGGTTTGAGAAATACTTCATAAGCACATTCCCCTCTTTCTTCTTTTGCGGTAATAATTTGCACTTCACATGTGCAAAATCATATGGTAAAGTAACACATGAATTGAAGGATTAATGTGGTAGACAAAGCGAGACCATTAACTATGATGATTGCAGACCATACCTTATCAAAATTGACTATAAATATTGCACTTGGAACTTGCCGATCCATATCATCAGCAGTGGAATAAGCAGCACTCTCTGTGTCAAATATGTAGGAATATAACCTCTGAAATACAGGCTCCACTACAGTTGCATCCACTTCAAACAGAGGTACTTCCCTTCCAAAATCAGCCTAAATATTGAACAACAATTTAAAACTTCATTCTCCAAAAGACAAAATAATACTCATAACTTTCTCCAGAAGACAAGGTACAGCAGGCAAACAATGGGAGTCACCTCTCTTGCATTTCCTGCAGGAACCATAGCCTCTTTCAGTGCCTTCTCAAGAGCTATTAGTTCTGGCTGCCCGGCCTGTAATTAGAACAAATACAAGATCCAAACACTGGATGAAATATATAGTTAATGTACATATCATATCATATGCATCCATATATCGAATATTATGTGAATAATATCTAAACGAGAATGCTACAGTCGGATATGAAGCTTACGGGAAAGGCATTATAGACAATTTGATGCTCGATGTCGAGAGGCTGTCCTGTCTCCAGGCAGGAAGGCCTATGCAATGGGAAGCTGATTTTCAGAAACTCTTCCAATTTGTGCGCATCGACCGAGTACCTATAGCCTCCATCAGCATTGAAACCAATAAGCACCACATTCACTTCGAGCGGAACCTGGAACGGAACCTACATACACATACAGGAGAATCACTCACAGTCACAGTCATGAGGGAACATGTTGAATTTCTCAAAAATTAAAACCTAATTTCAAAATTGTGTGAGTTTCCTATTTGTTTTCCAATTGCTGTTGAGAAAGAAATAGATTAAGCGGATGATAAAATCACCTCAGCGCGAGAATGGAGCATGCGGCGAACATCGGATCGAACGCCATCTCGGACGTCGTGGAAGGCACTGTGGTGCCACTGAGGGTGACCTGGATCTCTCCGAAAAGCCTGAGGCGCCGACTCGGATTGTAACACAAACAGGCTCAGTGCGAAAACAAAGGCGTGTATCATTGGCGTTGATATTGGATTTGATTTGGCAGCCATAGCTGCGGTAGCTCAGTCGAAGAATTAGCTAAACCAGAAGGGCAATTGAAATGTAGGCGAACAGTATGAGAAATTACAGATACTAATGGTTGAAGATGGACTTTGTCATGGCTGGGTCAGCTGGGCGAGACTCAGAACGAGACTCTCAGACTGAGGAGATGAGCAAGAGAAGAAAATGCTAAATTGTTATTCTCAAATTTGCCCCTACATTTGCACTTTAATACAATAATGGACTCGCGAATTGGGTTTGGCGGGGTTTTAATGAGTTTTTGGAGCAACCCTTGCGTGCAACAATGCAATACCCCCGAATGCAATGAGGGCTCTTTTTAAGCCCACTAATTTGAAGGACCAAATAATGCGGTTCTTTTGTGAGACGGTCGTAAATGGGAGAAGAGAGATGTGCAACGTGCATTTTGAAATTTCAATCATGTACAAATGCTCTTAAGCTAGGCCTTAAATTTGGGTCAGAGAGAAGGAAGGCATCTATGTGCTATATTGGTAGAAGGGAGAATCAAACACACGCTCGGTCTTGAACTGAAGCAAAGATTGAAAATTATATGAAACAGTTTTGTGTGCTTACAAATTACTCATTCTTGCAAAATTCTTGTTAAAGATTATGTTTTGTTTTTTGGGATCTATGATTTTGAATCTCCCGGATACAAATTTCCAGGGAAGCTAGTTGGATAAATTAAACAAGGGGCATCTGCACTTGGTGGTTTTAAAAATGACAAAAATAAATAGAACATTGCGGCTCTCACATTCTGTATTTGGGAGGCAACCAACTACAACAGGCATTATTAAAGTAATCTTCTAACATTTAAAACTTTCAAGCCTCTTCACTCGAGCATGATCGCAGGATCCGGGTGGTTTGCATAATAAAAATTCTTTCCGAGTGCAGTACGATCTTTGAAGCATGGACCAAAATCGGGGGTGGTGGACACACGTTTGGTTCCAGAAAAGTATCAGTGGTCAACAGCACTTCTTATCGAGACTGGAGGTTCTTCCACTGTGCCTCTGGATATTAAGTCATGGTTTAAGAATAAAACAATGACAGTTATATCATCATGAAAATGGCGTCGGACTTTCTTGTCAATTTTCCGAAGATCTGAATATCTCATTTCTCTTTTTCTTGCAGCTTCTTGGAGAGCCGTCTTTACAAGCCTTTTGGCACTTCCCTATATTAAGAGAAATAGTCAGAACTAGAGATCAAGAATGGAATAATAATCACGTTAAAACAGAAATATGAATAAAGCATCATATACCAGCAAATGTTTGAAACTTTATGTCCATGTCATTGCATTGACTGTGGCTCAAAACAACTATGCTTATTTTTCCATCTTCTTTTTAACCCTAGTTGCAAATTAAGAAGACAAGTGTTATCCTTAAGTTCATATTTCCTTGGATGGTAGTCTTCCAGAAAGAGTTGTTCAAAAGATTCTGTTAACTCGTTCTAGATCCTATAAACTCAAGTAAGCACAATCATCATCAACCTCTTGCTATCAGATAAATTATGGCAGCAAGGAATAAAGAATAACAATTTCAAGAATATTGAAATGTTTAGGTTTTCGTCCGAGTATCCAGTAAAAAAATCAAATACTTAATATATTGTACTAATAGTTTAAGTTCATTTGATGTCTACATCAAGGCATCAAGGTAGGAATGAAATTATGAAACAAATGTGCATGCAAATGCGAGTTACTAAACACGAATAAAATGAAAGGCCAGAATCTTACCGCATGTGGATGCTTGTGGACAATCTCAACAGCTTTTTCATTACTCAAGTGTTCCCATAGACCATCAGATGCAAATATAAGGAAAGAATCATTTGGATGGAGAGGATGAGAAAGAATAGTCGGATTGGCAGACAAGATAGGCATGTGCATTGGTTCAGGAAGTCTGAATTTTGCATTAATTGGCTCCCTGTTAAACTGTGCATGTTTCATATATACGTCACCAATAGATTTCGATACCTGCACTAAATACAATAAAGGAGTTATTCACAAGAAATCCCCATTTAAGAAAAAACAAAATTATGAAAGTTTGCAGAGAAGCATTTCAGAGCCCAAAAATCCTTTCCCCCAAAAAATAAAATGGGGGCATTAGTCACGTTAACCCCAATACAGAGCTAAGCTAACAGATAAATCAGAAGCTGGATCCTATGGGCAGAGGCTACCAATGCTCGGACTAAACACTACTTGCTTAAAAAAAAAATTTAGAGAATACCCAGGAGGCTAGGACTAGTGTCCTTGCACCATTGCCCTGCATGTTGGCTTCAAAATCAACAGGTACGAAAACAAAAACACCCATGACAGAACTTTAAGCAGTTATAATTTAATGCACACCTTAATCAATGAGCTCTTACATGAACAATAGCATTGACAATTACCTGGATAATCCCTTTTACTCTCCAAACTCCATGCTTTAAAACAACAATTTGAGGATCATGTGGGTGCAAATCTTTCAGTTCGTGCCTAACCTCCTCAAGATTTGCATTGTGTTCAGTGGATAACTGAATCGCAGCAACTTCCCCAGTGTTTCCCACTTTCTTCCCCAACACAACACGGGAATCTCCAAGGTTTGCCACAAATAAGGTCTGCTGACATATCACTCCAACCAGACAACATGACCCAACAGTTGCTACATTGGGTCTAGTACTCCACAACTCTGAAACAAGAGCAGTAAACCCTTCCTCTGTTCGGAGAAAAGCATTTCTAATGGTCTCTGCTGTCACAACCCCATCTGACTCTGCTGATATTGCTGCATAAACACAATGCCTAAGATAGCCAACATAAGAGCGGCTCATTCTTCAATAGTCAAACAAGAAACCCAACCCCAAAATCAACCACAAAGAAATAAAAGAGGAAATGAAAACACTGCATTACAATGAGTGTCCCCAAAAAAAAAAATTTCTAAAGGGCTCAAAGTCTATTAAGCAAATTGTTGGTGGAAGTATAAATTCAATTCCCATAGGCATTGTATGCAAAGATACTACGTGATCCAAACTCAATGACCAATCAAAATCACAACTTTAACAAAAGCACACGAAAAATGAACCAGAAAACATCACGGTTGACAATTCAAATCCACAAATTAACAATCACATATTATCCACGAAACATGGCCAAATTCAAAACCACGCCAATCAAACACACACCCCAAACATATTTAAGAAGAATGTAAGAGCTTTCGCTACAGATTGGGAGGGTCGGGGATCACGAACCTTGGAAATGTCTGAATAAATTATCGCAAACGTATCGAGCAGCCTCGGGGCCACCATGGCCATCATAAACGCCGACGAAGGTCCCAAAGGGTCCAGACTCGATCTGACTCTGGTCCTCGAGCACCTGGTTGGCTTGAACCACAGCCATGGAGAAATCGCCCCACGCGTACTTTCCGAAATCTCGGAACCAAAGTAAGCTATCTTTGCCATCTCGTCCACCGCCTCGGAAATTTGCACCGACAATTCCGACAGAGTCGAGTCCCTCACCGTTGCCTCGCCCAAATGGCCTCCAGCACAGAGAGAGCAGATTCATCAATGCCTGAAGCATCCCACATCTCTCAAAAACCCTAACCCTAAACCCAAAGACCCTGGAGGACTCCGAATTTGGGGGAAGAGGCTGGGAGGGGAACCCTAGGTCTTAATGGAATTGGGGTCGGGGAAGGTATAGATAGATAGGGGAAAGGGGGTGCGTAGGTTAAGGGATGGGGCGTAGGGTAAGAGGGGACGCGTTTGTTAGCGAAAAGTGATGGGAGGGTTGTGTTCGGTGGTAGAGGAACAGGGAAGGCCTCGTTCTCGGCTGTCTTGTGGGCAGAAGATGGTGTGGGGAAGCATTTTGTTGGGTGTCACCCTTCAATGTCTTTTCATTTTTCATTAATTTGTTTTAAAAATATGCTAAGTATATGTCCCTCTTCTTTTCTTTTTTTTTTTCCTTCTCAATTTTGGTTATAAAGGTGTTAAGGCTTGGGAAGAGGATGATAATATCAAACTCATCTTCGACATTTGGTAATTTAATTTTTGTAGTATGATTGTGAATATGAATGAAAATGTCTACTACTAATAATGTGCCCCTCAAAACATTAATCGAACAAAATTGCGTTAAACATTATTTAAATTTCGTCATATTCATATTCCTATCTTAAATTTTTTATATGAAAGCATGTTAGAAGTTTTTAGGATACGGATGAAGGATGTTTTTTTTGTTTTTTTTTTTTTTTTTTTTTTTTGTTTGTTTGTTGTTTTTTGTTTTCAATGTGTTTTTTCTTTTTTTTTTTTCTTTTTTTTTTTACCTTGTGAATTGTTTATGTGATCAGTTGCCGGGCTTCTTCCAGGGAACGTATGGTACAAATTCAGCCCAACATATTGGATTTAAGCCCATCATTAATTACAATTGTACAACTATGAACTTGGAGCATGGCTTACTGCGCAGGGCACTCAAAATTTCAGCTTCAACTCATCAGAGAAGAAAGAAACAAGACATCTTGCTGCTGTGGATTTTCAAGTGGGGTCGGATGATTTAACCCAGAAAATCGTCATCAGCTTTCCCTCTCTATTGGTCTAACTGTGGCAGAATAGGGAACATGATAACCAATTTTAAGCTCCACCATTTATAATGTTCCAAAAAAGCTAGCGTGCTTCGGTTATTCTAAATTTCTAGATAGGAATTTTGCAAGTTGCAAGTAGCAACAAACGCACAACATAGCCATGCGGAAAATGGGTCCGATTTGATGACATTTACGGTAGCAAAGTGTCAATCAGAAACAAAATCTGCCGGATCAGTTCGTCGTGGCCGGAGGGATATACATTTCTAATGTGGCTTGCTTGTTTGGTCTGGTATCCATGGGAGCCCCTATCTTCTAGCATGTTAGATTTTTACCAAAATATGAGACACTACTAGGCCCGCTGTCAATTCCTGCACAAGAGACCAAGCTTTTATACATGTAGTGTACATATATCTTGCAGTCAACTTGGCCCCAAATCTTTTCTTGCAGTACACATCAAGGCCAAAAAAACTTTCATTTGATCTATAAGCTTCTACCAATCCAAAGTTGTATATGAGATCCCATATTGGTTTGGTTGTGTTTGGAGAATCTTAGATCTGCAATCAAATGAATCTCTGATCCTGCAATAAAAAATCATAGAGTAAGCGACAAAAGAAAGAAATCGAGGAGAAAACTGGATTGAATAATGCAGCTTGTTTCCAGGTTTGGGCTGATGATCTTGGTCGCTTCGGTTTCAGATGTTAAAAACACAAATACGTCGATGCCGATCAATTAGCAAAAGATAAAGATAAAAAGTAGTATAATTTGGCAAATGCTTGACTAATTATGAAATGGCAAAAATCTTGAAAGAGAATAAGATCCATGCTAACATTTCAGAAATTTCTGCTTCAGTATGGTAGAAAATCAGAGTACGTACTGTCCCGAAGTTGATGTGATTGCAATACTTATGATAAATGTGGTTGAATTCAGCACTGGCCCATTTGATCATTCATTAGGACCCCACACTGGTTGCTGTTCAATCCAAATTGCCTCTGACTGAACATGTCAATGCTTGTCAGTTTTACTGCCTCATGTTATAGCTTTTGAATATCTCCACTAGCTTCCTTTTTTTTATTTATAGAATTATTCATTTGGTTCTGAATTTTTTTTTTCTGCGCATGCATCACCAATTTCTTGTTTCATTTTGTTCATTCATAAGTCTATATGGCTCCCCTCCTCCTAACGTAATCTCTAAGATCCTTCCTATCGCCAAATCTAGATTTTCTTTGTCCCTCAATAGTAATCTTTCTTTGGATATGGCATAACACTTCTCTCTGATCTGATGTCCTAAGAATGTAAGAGTGTCTGCTTGCTCTTCAAATCTTCATAACACTGACATACACGTTGAAATTCGTTAATGCAAACTCAGAGACGGCTCCTTTCTTGGTTTGCAAGTAATAGGATTCTGAACTCAATTGGGAAGCTAGCATATCGTAAATTCTTGAGAATTTTCCGGTTCAAGACGTGGTGGTCAACAATGTGGGTTGGTTCAAATGGTTATGATATACAAAGGAGACACCAAGTTGATCCTTCTACAAGTCCCTGAGTTAAACTCTTATGCTCTCATCCTTGCCGTAATAGAAGGCAGCTTTCGGCCGGCGATTCATCCAGGGGAGAACAAATACGTCATTCCATGCGTTGAGAGTAGCTCCACAGAAGTAAAAAGGCCTTCTGTTAAGACCTTTTGTGGAAAATGCACACCCTCCACTCCACCAAAAGATTTTTTTTTTATCATAGATGATTTGGATGGCAAAGCATAAACATGGAACATGAAAACCCAATTGAGGATTCTAAGGATCTCACTGGTCTTGGGTCACAACAAGTGCTTTGCAGAGGCTCTACCAGTTGAAAGAAAATCAGAAGTTCTCCAAGTAACAAGCAGGCACCATGCTGAGACCAGATGCACCAAAATTTGATCCACAAAAGCATGACAAAACGTTTCAAGAAATCGTAGAGTTGGCAAAGCAAAAGAAAAAACTCAAAGAGGAGACTGGGGATTGCTCCAAATTACCAGAGAGATCAACTGCAGAGTATCTAAGAGAAAAGGATGGGCAGTGATTGGATGTCATGTTATAATCAAAACTTTGCTCAATGTAAGGTAAATCAGTGGTGAGAGTAGCCAATTTCTTCATAAACTTTTTCTCATTAAAAATATAAAAAAATTCACTAATAAATGAGTATGTCTAATCTCGTTTACTTATCTTTGTTTTTTATGCTTTTAATATACTTATGTACGTGTTAATTACGCAATATAATCATCTTCGCAAGCAACTTGTTAAAGATAAGTATATTTTAAAGCCAAAAAAAAAGAAAAAAAAGACAATAAAGTGGAGAAAAGTTCACGTTTGTTTACGTCCCATTGCATTCAGTATATGTGTGTTTTTTTTAACTTCAAATTCAAGTCTTAAATCCTAACGTCCTGTACCGGCGTAACGTAACCATTCATCACACCAGCAAAGCAAAATTAAAGAAGCCGATCCTAAATCCTATCAATAAATCCCCTATTACTTTTATTTACCCAAAAATACCCCTGGAACCAAACCTAAATCTCGAATGTGTCCCTGCAGCTCCCAATCCAATCTCAATCAGCTGCTGCAGCAGCAGCAGCCACCCCAGCTTTGCCTTTCGTGCCATTGTCATTCTTCTTGTTACTATTCTCATTCTCCTCCCCCTCCTTCGTCTTCTTCTTCGATCCCCCCAATCCCAAAATTGTTTTAAATCTGTCAAACGCCCTTTTCACAATACACTCCCCCCGCGGCTTAGACGGCGTCGGATAACGAGTCTCCACCGTCAGGTGCTCGAGCAAACCCTCCAAAGAAGCGCCTGTTCCTTGAAATGCCTTAAACAGTTGCGGGTACAACTCCACTATCGACGCCACGAATTTCCGCTTAACCTTCGTAACCGCAACACCAGCATCTTCATCCTTGTAGTGTCCCACCACCACGCGCCCGTTTGCGTAGGCCCTGCACGCTCTCAGTATCACGCCCGCTCTCTGCCTATAGAACGCGGCGGTGAAAGCCTTGAAATTCAGCGGCGCCCTCGAGAGCAAATACAGCGTCGTTTTGCAAGTCAAAATGAAGACTTTCTCGTTGTAGGCTCGAGACGCTTCGCATCCGAACCGGTTCCCGGTTCCCGGTTCGTTGAAGTAGGGCTCCTTGTTGAGAACCAGGCCTTGGATCGACACCAGAACCTGGAGGATCGTCGACTGAGATGGGTCCCACTTCTCCTTCCCCTTCCCTGGCCAGGTGTTCAGCAGGCTGAGGCAGACGTACCCGCTCGCGTAGAGGTTCGGGTTGGGCCTCAGCCCGAAGGAGCGGTAGTGGACCTCGGGCGGGTGGGTCGGGTAATCAGAGGGGAACGCGATGTCGAAGAAGAAGAGCGCGTCGTGGTAGGGCGTGCCGGAGGCTCCGACGATGACGGCCCTGAGCAGGTCGATGCGGGTCTCGTAGGCGCGCACGTAGATGGAGTCCGGGAGGTGCTTCTCCAGAATCTTCCACTCCTGCATGATCTTCTTCTGAACCCGGCCGCCGCCGCAGCAGCCGTTTTTGTTGTTGACGTAGTGGTGGTCTGAGTGGTCCGAAACGACGTCGAATCGCTTGAACCCGTTGGGCTTCGACGTCGTCGTCTTTGGCGTCACAGAAGAAGAAGAAGAGGGGGCCATTATCGTTCCGTTTTCTTTCAAGACTCTTTGGTGATTGGACTGTGGACTGTTGTGACTATGCTTTCAATATATTTTTTTTGTTGCGACTGTGCTTTCATTGATACCAAAAACAAAATAAAAATAAATAGTCAAGGCTGCGGGGCCCACTCGGATTATGGCGTAATAGGCGGTGATTAGAGCTTTTCGTCTGATTTAGGGTGAACAAGTGATGAGTTATTGGTGTAGGAGTAGGACTTGATAATGGATTAGGTTGGGCTGGCCTAGTGCCGAGTGACTTGTGGTGAGTGGCTTTGGCTTATACTTTCGTGCGTGTTTTTTACGTGGGGAAGAATTTAAGCAAATTCCTTACAAGTATTGCTTATGTTGTAAATTAATTACTACTCCTTAGATACTAATTTTGATCAGGAGATCCCTTACTTCAACATGTAACAAAGTGAGAAAAAGTGAAGAAACAAATTTAGAGTTTTAATCAATGACTTGCAATTTGACAAGTTTTTGAAATATGCAAAATCTTTGGATGAATCTTTAATCCAAAAGAAAAAAGGAGAATATGGAAAGTAGAAGCAGCCAACTTGGCAAAGAAGAGCGACATAAAACAAAGATTAACACAATCTTAACAAACTTTTATCCTATCGTATGATGAGAAATTCTTCAATGTAATCGTCACACTGCCGCATAATATTACAATTCATTCATATTATAAAGCGTGTATTTATTTATCAATATTATATCATAGGGCCCTAAAGCATGAGCTCTCTCTTTAACCAAATATTAAAATGAGTTTTCTATTGATTGATAAGGGATAAAACATTTACTTTCGGGTTTGGTAATTTGAATTTCTATTGACAAGCCTAAAACCCCATAGTTTTTTAGAACACAAGTACATGAAAAACACCAAAAAGATACCAGCATTCCTCAAAGTCAAAAGGGTGGATTGTTTTGTTGGTAAAAGGGAGAAAAAACCATTATTCACAACACGCTAAAATTAAACAATGCCTTCATATCTTATTAATTATTTTTCACTAGTGAGCCTCTTTAGCATGTTCGTATACTCCGTCTTCTGTTCCTTGACACGTTGTCATCATGTGCGTTTTTAACCACCAGAGGCTTATTTGGTTGAGTGCCTGCGGCCATTTTGACCTATTAATAGGAACCAGTAAATACAGTCACCATCAGCATTGACTTTTCATCAGTGACACTGTAAAGCAAAGGCAAATCTCTAGTTTTGTAGTAAATTATGTTTGCAGACGCAAATCAATAATAAGATCATATCGCTCTTTATTACAATAAAAACAAATCCATCAAAGTAGAGGTAAGTTTGTCAAATTATCAGGGCAGCGAGCCCGCTCCTTTGCACTATAGTTCGAGTTCTCCACGCCGTAGCAAACCCATCATAATTGGTACTATTCCTTCATTTCATATCTTGTTCTTGTTTCACATCTGAATTCTAATTTGTAAGAAAGCTCAAAGTAGCAACTACTAAATTATTAAGGGTGAGCAAGAGCCAAGAAGGCCTCCAATACCATTTCCATTTGCAGAAAGACGTCACAAGAACAACAGAACGTCCTAATTTGAACACAGACGACATAATAAATAAAGTGACAGGAAATGGAAAGTCGTATTCATTAACCCTTAAGATGAACTGTGAAGACAAAGCTCGATGGTTAACTTACATCAAACAAAGCAGCTCTTGTCCAATGCAACAAATCACTTCAAAATTGTAACAAAATGGTAACCAGCTCCACCATTTTCCATGTACCATTTACCATAATTCATGAATTGGCCATGCTTCTGGACTTCAAGAAAGCTGATAAAACTCGAACAAAATTTCGAATTGTAATTTGAACAAAGGAAAATGTGTTATTAACAAGAGTTACATGTATGCCCAATAACTTAAAACAGCTCAACATGTTGATTGCTGGCCACTTGAGGGGCAAATTAAGCTCATTCCTACGTTTTCGATTTCGAGAGCTTAACATAACATTCTTGTGCTTACAGCAGTAAATTCTACAACTTGGAAGAAGGCTTTTTCGAACCCCGACCTGTTATAAACTCTTGCATCTTCTTAAACTGCTCTTTGGTCATTCCACTGTAATAGTCATGACCTCTCTCCTGAAAATTACAATCACATACATACTCTGTCATGAAGAAGAAGAAGAGCAGCCACTGCAGAAACACTTGCATGAAACGGGAAAGTGCAGCAGTTACAGCCAGTGCTATACCCGTTTCATACAAGTTTTTCTGCTAAACAACATGATCAATAGCTGGGTCAAATGGTCAAAATCATCTGAGCATATGTTCTGTAATAATTTAAACCCAACACTTTCAATAAAAAGTAAATCAATAGCCGGGTGGGCCAAATGGTCAAAATCATCTGAGATTTTGAATTGGAACTTATGGCTACCTTTTCTAGTGCAAGAGCATGGCCCAGGTCCAGTTTAAGCCCGTCATTAATAACAGCCTTGTACCTCAACACCAGCTCCTGGTTATTTTTCGCAATGGCCTCAGCTACTTCACGAGCTTTCTTCAGCAACTCACCCTCTTCAACAACATGGTTCACGAACCCCAACCTTTCACCCAGCTCCGCCGTTAACGGCGTCGCTGTCAGCGACACTTCACGCGCTTTGTTGGCCCCTATAATCCTCGAAAGCTTCTGAGACAAACCCCATGTCGGAAATATCCCAAACCTGTTAAAAAACAGTTAAAAGATTTCGGATCGGATCGGGTCGTACCGATTCTGATGGATCTGGATCCGAAATAAAAAATGAAATCGGACAAAATTACATACCTGGCATGAGTGTCCACGAATTTAGCTCCTTTTGCGGCGACGATTATATCACAAGCGAGCGCCATTTCGAACCCGGCAGTGACCGCGAACCCATTAATGGCTCCGATGATGGGCTTTCGGCACCGCTCCATTTGCGCCACCGTGTCGGTCTCCATGTCCTTCACGTCCCCTTTGAAAACGTCCTCCGCGGCCGTGAGATCGACTCCGGAGCAAAAGGCGCGACCCGACCCGGAAAGAATGATGACCCGGACCGACTCGTCTTGACTGAGGGCCTTGAAGGCCTTGGCGAGGTCTATAATCATGGGCCGGGTCAGCGAGTTAAGCGACTTGGGACGGTTGATCGTAACAAATGCGATTCCGCTGGGTTCGCGGTTTACGAGTATGAGATTTTCCGGCGAGGATTGGTGGCTGGCCATCTTGGGAGCCAAGACGTCGACGTTTTAGCAGAAAATGATCAACTTCGATTTGGGATTCGGATTGGAGAGGGATCGGATGAGAACGGATATTTGAATGCGTCGTTTCTGCGTTGGAATGCGTGGATGGGTTATCAGTGACGTTCAGGTGCCACTTGCCGCCAGGATAAAATAGACTATTGAGTGTGGGGTTGGGGTACGGTGGCCCCACCACATAATGGAGCATGGTCTTCACAGGCCTGAAAATAAAATCACAGGCTTCATAGGCCTGAATATTGCATAAAAGGCCCAGCCCAACTGTGCTTTTATTATTATGTGGTGCATTTTCAGGGTCTAACTTAGTGGAAAATGATTTTGACTTGCTGACCATTGGTTTTAGGTTCGGACCCAGACACCTTGGTAGTGTATGAGAAACTCTTGTTCCCCTTGTAGTTTAGACTATCGTTTGTGTTGAAAAAATAATAATTCCTCCCCAATTCGAGTCCCAGCAGTTGCAACACCTGTTGACCAGCAGTATGCTCAATTCCATGAGTGGGGATTAGTTAAGGTGTGCGCAAGCTGGCCTGAACACCTCATAGTACTTACCAAAAATAATAATAATAATAATAATAATTCAAACTGATGGTGGATGTGATTGATATGCCATAGATTTTAAAGGTTACAAGAAAAGAGGAAATTTGAACTCGTGATCTCTTTCAACATTGGGAAGAGAAGTAATACTAGACTAATAGCTAGTTGAGGATTCAACACCTTGTTTATTTGTTCAAGTTACTAAATGAAAAAAGGCTGTAATGAAATTCAAAAGCCTTGAATGGTTTTTGGTTAAATAAAGGCATAATGAAAGCTTATTACAGTACCCCTAATCAATAATTAGCAGGCTCTTCTGGGCATGCCTTACAAGATTAAGATTGATAAAGTTGCACAACATTCATTGGTGAAATATCATTAGTGTCACCATACAAGAGACGCCTTGCTATGATCACATTAGCAGCATCGGATGGATGGTAGGGGTCCCAGAATATATACTTGGATCTGTCCCTACAAACTATGGATGGAGGACCGCATGGAATCAGACCCCCAAACCGCCCAGCAACATAGCAGCATGCAGAATTTGCATATTCAAAACCTGCAGTTAACAAAACATAATCACTCTGATTTTAATTACAATTCTAAGATCAACTCATATAGCTAGAATGAATTAAATTTAAATCTCACCATATGATATGTGGTTCTGGATAATGTCATCTACGATACGATAAACATCTGCATAAACAAATTTGGACCCCTCAAGATTGGTGCTAAGCTCCTTCACCAGGCTCTTCAATTGGATGTTGAACAATCGTGCTAACTGATTCGGTTTTTCAACGCAGAAATCTCCTGCAGCTAGAGTTGTTTCCCTCTCGAAAGGTATGCACCCAATAGGTCCTACATTTGTCACAATAATTTTCCTCGCACCCAAATTGTACAGCCTCTGCAAACATCATGGATTTGTTCATAAGAACAAATCAAAAAGAAAAAAAAAAAAGAGAGAGAGAAAAAAAAAAAAAAAAAAAAAAAAAAAAAAATAACTGTAAGTTGCAGCCTGTATCTTGAAATCAAAATGGCCACAAACACTTCTGGAGATATCAACTTCTGCTCAGGAATTGAGATAACCGGCGCCAAGTAGTTGTTGATGAAATCGTTGGAGCCCATTGTTACAGAGAAGAGAGCCCTGCTGAATAGCTTCAGAGCTGCAGGAAGGCCAATCCTGGAGACAATGTCTTGCCTGGTATTAGCAAAGTTATCTATCTGTGCATCCAAGTTTATTCGACCCACCTAACGATCACATGAGATTTTTCATCACATCAAGGCACACAATAGTATCAATTTATTTGAAGTATCAAAGCTCCATTTGTAAGCTTACAAATATTTTTCCTGTGTCATTAAGAATTCCACCTCCACCTGAAGCATAATTGACACCCTGCAGAATTCGAGGTCCAGTTGTTGAGGGAGACAAGTAAGGAGGAGGAAAAACTTTAAAACCCAGCTGCTGACCTGTTGAGGCTAAAATTAATCAGCCATCCTTGTTTGTTGAATCTGTGAAAGAAGAAGAAGCATTCAATTGGGAAAATGGAGAACTTGCCTATAATGTCAACAATTGTTCTCCCATTTGTGTATCGTCCCGTTGGCTTTCCGAAATCAATTCCATTAGGGACATAGTTGGCCTTGGAGAGTGACACAATGTAGTTGTTGTTTCCCACATCAACCAGAGAATCCCCAAACACAAAATTGGCAGGAACATCTTGTGCCAAGCATATTTTCCAAAGTACAAAAGAAATTGTTGATATTTGGAAAACAAGGCCAAGGCTAATGGTTGCTCTATCTGATAGGCCACCCATTACAAAAAGAATGTAAGGAAACAATGTAGAATATCAGATCAGACCTTGTTAATATTACTTGGCCACTTTATATCACAGTCGTAAGGAGGTAACAACAGCTATTCAGATATGAAAGAATGTGACAAATCTTAAATAAACAGCAGCGCCTAGCTAGAAGTGAGATGTTTCTGATTTATCAAATAAAAACTCTGAATTTGGTGTAGGAAAGCAACATATAACGGTACTTTTTGCCCATTCCTATTTTCCATTTAGATAATCAGAGTATAAACAGCATTAGTGAGAGGGATTAGTTTCGGGCGCTGCTAAGTTCGAGTACTTTGATCACCAGCTGTTTTCTTCACCAGAAAATTACACAAGAAGATTAACCCAGTTTTGATATTGTGATCATGATCATTAAGACTTTAAGTAGAAGAAGAGTTTAGGGTAAATAAAACATACCCTTTTTAAGTTTTTATGCATGGAGCACCTTTGTTTGTAAAATTTTCAAAGCATGGCATAAGGTGAAGTATACAACATTGATGTTGGCGAGTCCTTACTTAGTTAGGATTTGGATTCCTTATTTAGTTAGAATTTTGGTTACTTACCAATTATTAGTTAGTTATATTGTAATAGAGATTTATTTTCTATTGTAATTTAGATATATTTCCTATTTTATTTAGAGTTGTACTTCTTTATAAATACCTCTATATTGGAGATAAACTAATATGAACATATATATGAGCATATTTGAATATCTTCCTTACTTTGTTTGACTATTGATTGCCCTGCAAATTCAGCAACCCCTCGTGAGGAGAAATCTGGTTTAGAGTTTCAAGTGGCCAAAAGAAGCAGATTCAAGCGGCTAACAGTTGCAACCCAAATGTACTAGATTCCGTGCACTGCTTGAAAAATAAAAAGACTAGGACGTCTTTTCTTTCTTTCTTCAACTACCAACGAACCTAAAGGCCTGAGGAGGTCAGGCCTGTACAAATTTGAAACCAGTAAGTAACCTATCGTATGGACGAAATTTAACGCAGTAGAGGAAACCATTCTGCTTATAATTTCTAATTCCTCAAATAGCAACCCCAACCAAAACTTACAGCTAGAGCACTAGAAAAGTTTGTTCTTGCGTGCACGACAGGCAACAAGGAAAAACCATTCAGCTAGCCTAGGTCTTAAGTTCCACAGAAGAAAGAAAGTCTTGAAATTCTTCAAAACCCACTCACACATGCAGCTTGGATTAGGTTCCATATAATTTATCTCATGAAAAATGGTCAAATATGTGGAAAAGGATTAAAGTACTAAAGATATTAATGTGTTTCTTCCGATACATATATACATATATGTTTTATGAACAAGACCTTTATTTTTTATTAAAGGACGGACTGTTGATATGATATTAATAAAACCTTGATATTATTATCGATAATATGTGAATAACAAAACATACCGATACAAAACTCGTCATGTAACAAAGGAAGACGGATGTTCTAGCTGCACAAATAATATGTTTGTACTGTAGTTAATTGAGTTTGACCTCAAGTGCTAATTTGAGTCTTGAAATTAAAGTCCAAAAAAGCTTCATCTGACATAGCCCAGGGTGATAATATCCCCCTAAACATTATATCGTTAGAGCCAATTACAACTGCAGAAATTGCTTTTCTCAACAATTTCTGAGCTGCAGGAACGCCAATCCTCGACAGTTGTCTCATGATTACTGATTTGCATGTCAAAATTGATTCGATCACCCTATGCATATATGTATGTACTATATATCAATTATTCACATAATTTTGTTTTATAAATATGGAACTTCATGGGAATTTTAAAAGGGAAACAAATAAACAAGAAACTTCATGAGGAGAAATCTTCCTTAGCACAAAACACTTACAAAGATAAATCCACAGGAATTGGAAATCCCAGCGGCACAGGAAACATAATTGACAACCTTTTTCTTTTCTTTTCTTTTCTTTTTGGTAGGAGGCCTTATGTAATATATTCAACTTTTTAAATCTATGGGAAACTTGTGGCCTAACTCTCTATGCCAGGAACAGCTTGATTTGTTCCATATTCTAAGTTCTAACACATGTTTTTAGTACCTATTAGCTAGATTAACTTAATTAAATTTGCAGGACCACCACAAGCAGAAGATCAGATTTTGAACTTTAATTATTCAGTAAATGGCATGGAATGGAAAGGCTTATAAGGAGTTGGGTTACTCCGTCCATTGCCAATTAGTTTTGGGGTGGAACCTCAACTTTTTTCATGGGGATTGCCTACGTGTGAAAGCCCAACGGCCACATGTACTCCATGTCACCCAATATATGTTGTTCACGTGTTAGACTTAAAAATTCGACGCACGTGCGAGGGCGTGTGAGAATGTGAAGGTAAAAATGTCTTACATTGGAAAGTTGAAAAACCTAACAAGGGCTTATAAGATATTGAGCTACCCCCTCAATTGTCAATTAGTTTTGGGGTGGAACCTCAACTTCCTTTAGAAAGGCCATTAAATATTCATAGCAAAATTTGATATATAGGTTTAAAGACTGAGAACCAATAATTATTTCGGAGGTGCTACCAAATAAGGAGGGTGGAAGACCAACAAAACAGAACTACACTGGAATTAATCATACTGGGCCTAGATGACACAGCGCAACAAGGCTTAAAATACTTCAAAACCCACTCACATGCAGCTTGGATTCCATCATTTATTTCATTAATGAACCATCTTGTTTTTTTTTGAATTACAAACAGGGTCGTCCTACATCATATTCAGCTCATTTCAGGTTCATGGATTGCTAGCTCAAGATTGCACAAGCTGTCTCAAATTCATAGGTGACATATAAGTTAAGTCGCCATCCATAATATGCCTTGTTGCAACAACACAAGCAGCATCCGTCAAGTGAAATGGATCCCAGAATACATACTTTGATCTGTCGGGACAAACTTTAGATAAAGGATTGCAGGGTACCAGTCCCCCTCGTCTCCCGGCAATCGCACAGCATGCAGAAGTTGCAACCTCAAATCCTATCAAACATAACAGAGGTTACTAATATTGTTAGTTGTTACATGACTATAACTGCAAATCATAGAATATACAGACCATATGAAGCATAATTTTGGGTGAGATCTTGCAATATTCGATAATTATCTGCGTAAACAAACTTTGCCCCTTGAAGCTCTTTGTTAAGCTCTGCAAGCATGCCCTTCAACTTGTTGTTGTATATCTGGGCCATCTTATTTAGCACACGAGCACAACTTCCCTTCTCAACTGGATGTATGTCTTTCTCAAATGGGATACAGCCAACAAGTGCAGCGTTGCTTACCACAATCTTTCTAGCATCCAAGTTGTAGAGTGTCTGCAAAGGAATTTTCTTAGTGTGTGTGCTTCTAACTTTCTTATTGCAGCCAACATATGTAAGTCTTAAAGAAGGAAATTTAACCGTAAGTGCTAATTTGAGTCTTGAAATCAAGAAATCCATATAAGCTTCTTCTGACATAGCAATGGGTGCAGACTCCTTGAACATTATGTCGTTAGAGCCAATTACAACCACATAAATTGCTTTTCTCAATAATTTTTGAGCTGCTGGAATGCCGATCCTTGACATGATAGCTAGCGCAGTTGTCCCATGGTCACTGATTTGCGTGTCAAAACTGATTCGATCACCCTACATAGACATAGACATATATACATAATTCTTCAGACTCATGCATGATGCATGCATTGCAGATAGCTTCCCTAAATCCAAAAACTTCTAGGAGGTTAGTTTAGCAGAAAACTTACAAAGAAAAATCCAGTGAAATTGGAAATTCCAGAGGCAGAGGAAGCATAATTGACACCTTGTAGAAGATTGTCTCCAGCAGCAGTTGGAGCCAAGTAAGGTGGAGTAAAATTTTTCAAACCCACTTCCTGTTCTGTCATAAGAAAATAAGAAAATTGTAAAAACTTTGAGTCCATACTCGAATACGTTTCTGCAACCAGTAGATATATATTAAGTTGCCAGAATTGAATTCGCAAAGAGAAAGAGGCAGCTATATATATATATATCCATTGAAACGTTACGTACGAATAATGTCAATAATTGTTCTCCCATTTGAAAATCTTCCTGTTGGGTTATTCCCAAAATCAATTCCATGTGGGAAATAATTTGCCTTAGCTATAGTTTGAAGGTTGTTGTTGTTCCCCACATCAACCAAGGAATCGCCAAAAGTGAAAACAGCAGGAACATTATTTTGGGCTGAGGAGCTAACCAACAAAAACAAGTAAACTACAAAAATTTGGAATATAATTATCCCCATTAATTTTAAGATAGAAATAATAATAACCTTTCTTTTCGTTTTTTATAAGGGGGTTGTTATCCTTATATACAACTTTCCATATCTGTGGGAAACTTTGTGCCTAACTGGTCTATGAAATTCCCTCTTAGTATATATTGGTTGAATTTGTGCCTAACTCTCTCTAGGCCGGCAGGCCACAGTTGGATTTGTTATGTTTGCCTCTATTATGATCCACATTGTAGGCCGGCCGGTGATATTGGAACGCCATTATGTCTGAGCTAAGTTTCATAGCTTCCCAGGAAAAGAGGGATCGGAGAACCCATTTAAGAGCTTAATTCACTTCCACTTTATGTGGTATCTAGCTAGGAATTGGATTTCATACCTTAATTCACTCCACCTCATTAGAATGTACTTTTCTTAACCAACCTCTTTTGCTTTGAATACATAAGTGGGCTGCTAGCTTATACATATAGGGATGCTAAGTCTGCAACTTGGCTTTGGACAAGTCGGTTGCACAGTAACCGACTTTCCCAAAGTCATTTTCAGTCATAAGTCGTCTTCTAATTTTAGATTTCTCTAGTTATAATACATTATATAATTAGTATGATGTTTCTAGTGACTTTAAACTTGTCAACTTCTCTTAATTTTTCTAGATTATTCTATATTATTCAAGACACAAATGTGCATTAATTTTAACACTAACCAACAAAAACAAGTAGACTACAAAAATTTGGAATATAATATTTATCCCCATTAATTTTAAGATAGAAATAATAATAACCATTCTTTCTTTTTTATAAGGGCTTGGTTTATATACAACTTTTGATATCTATGGGAAAACTTGTGTCTAACTGGTCTGTGAAATTCCCTCTCAATTCACCATTGAATTTGTGCCCGACTCTCTCTAGGCCGGCCACAGGCCACAGTTGGATTTGTTCCTCTATTATACAGTCTAGGCCGGCCGCAGTGACATTGGAACTCCATTATTTCTGAGCTAAGTTTCTTAGGTGCCAAAGAAAAGAGGGATCGGAGAATCCATTTAAGAGCTTAATACACTCTCTTTATGTTGTATTTAGGTAGGAATTGGATTTCTTAGCTGTGTGGCCTGACCCTAAGACCCAAGGTTCTGTATGGAATTTACTGCCTTAAGACCACCTATTGTCTCCCAAATTAAATTAAATGTTAAGGTTCTGTATGTGTGTAAAAAAAAAAAAAAAAAAAAAAAAAAAAAAAAAATTAAACTTTTGTCCAACGGATCATGACAGCATACATATTTCTCAACTAGTTTGGCGTCTCCACACCTACCAATCGATTGCACCTTTTAATCTCAACAAATTTGTACTAAGTAATGAGGAGTAAATGTTTTTCCTTATAATCTCAATTTTTTTTACTTGTTTTCTTTCTTGCAATCCTTTACCTGCAATTTGCAAAGTCCCAGTCTTTCTAGTAAATTACTCTTCTTTGAAACAATCGAACCGAATGGTACTCAGCCTAAATCAAGTCTGAGTTTTCATCAGTTACTTGAGTAGCCTCTATGATGATAAAGATGGTCGTACTAGACCTAGACTGGGTGTTGCTTAATTCGTTTTTTTTTGGGCGGTAGCCCTCCGTTCAACCAGAAAATAAATACATAAAAAAAAGTCCAACCAAATGCCCTAAATGTAAATTTGACTTAAAATTAGAAGTCAGAAACCGATAGTATATCACTGGTTGATTGAGTAGAGAGCATAAGATTATTTTCTTTTTCTTTTTCATACAAGCGATATGGGGGGAGGGGGGAATCGAAACTAGGATCTCAGGTGCATGGATAAATGCTCTTGAGCTACAAGCCCCTTGCAGAGCGTAAGATACTTACGTTCTTATTATAATTCCCATAATGTTCTAATGCCATGTTTATGAAGAGTATGTTTTGAACTTAGGATGAGGTTTGAATGTTCTTGGGGTTATTAGTGAAAAACTTATAAACTTCAAATAATGACATTGAAATGTGAAATTCCTCAAAACCCATAATAGCTAGCTAGCTTGGATTTGGTTCCAAAGTCTATTTCATCACAGAACCATCTTGATTTTTTGAAAAACAAACATGGGCGTCTCATTGCAGTTTATTCAGGGACTGCTATGCTAGCTCAAGACTGAACAAGTTGCCTAAAATTCATTGGTGATGTATAATTTAAGCCACCATCCATTATATGCCTTGCTGCAATAACATTAGCAGCGTCTGTTAAGTGAAACACATCCCAGAATATATATTTGGATCTGTCGGGACAAACTTTAGATAAAGGATTGCATGGCACCAGTCCCCCTCGGCCCACGGCAGACCAGCAGCATGCAGAAGTTGCATTCTCAAAGCCTGCATACAGTGAAACACAACAACAACAACAGCAGCAGCAGCAGAGGTTAATATTGTTATAGTTATTACATTATAAATAAACAAATAAATGCCGCAAAAGATAGAATATACACGCACCATATGACACATAATTGTTTGTGAGATCTAGTATTATTCGGTAAATATCTACGTAAACAAACTTTGCCCCTTGAAGATCTTTGTTAAGCTCGGCAAGCATGCCCTTCAACTTGTCGTTATATGTACGAGCCATACGATTTATCAGACGAACACAACTTCCCTTTGGAACTGGATGTATATCTTTCTCAAATGGAATACACCCACAAGCTCCAGCGTTGGTGACGATGATCTTTCTAGCATTCAAGTGTGTAGAGTGTCAAATGGACAAAAAAAAAAAAAAAAAAAAAATCGTAAATAATAGTACAAAACTACTACTAAAGATTAATGTGATTAGTTTACATGAGTCAATAGTCTTAATTATTAAGGAATTTTACTTACGGTGAGTGCTGATTTGAGTCTTGAAATCAAGAAATCCAAATAAGCTTCTTCGGACATGGCCACGGGTGCAGAGTCCTTGAACATTATATCGTTAGAGCCAATTGCAACCCCATAAATGGCTCTTCTCAACAATTTCTGAGCTGCAGGAATGCCTATCCTCGACATGATAGCAAGCACGGTTCTTCCATGGTAACTCATTTGCGTGTCAAAATTGATTCGGTCACCCTATTATATACGTACATAATATTCTGACTTACAATTAATAAAAGTAAATTGCATACCGTGGTATGGTATGTATTAAAGTTAAAATTAGCTAATTTGAAAGCATAATAACACAACTCGTTTAGTTCTGAATTAAGACTGCTAACTTCCTTAAATCCAAAAACTTGTAGGTTTGGGAGAAAACTTACAAACATATATCCAGTAGAATTGAAAATTCCAGAGCCAGAGGAAGCATAATTGACACCCTGCAGAAGTGCGTCTCCAACAGTAGTTGGTGCCAAGTAAGGAGGAGTAAAATGTGCGAAACCCAATTCCTGTTCTGTCATAACAAAATGAGAAAGTAGTGAAGTTAATTTAAGTACATATCTCTACATTGTTGCAAAAATAGTGTACATATATAAATTGTAATACTAATTTGCCAGAATTGAAATCACAAAGACTTGTCGTATGAATATCATCAAAACATATCTTACGAAGAATGTCAAAAGTTGTTCTCCCATTTGAAAATCGTCCTGTTGGATTATTCCCAAAATCAATTCCAAAGGGAAAATAATTTCCCTTTGCTATGGTTTGAAGGTAGTTGTTGTTTCCCACATCAACCAAGGAATCGCCAAAAGTGAAAAAGGCAGGAACATTTTCGTTGGCTGAGCAGCTAACCAACAACAAGAAGTAGACTACAAGAATTTGGAATATAATCCCCATTTCATGAAATAATATTAACCTTTCTTTCTTTTTGATAAGGGGGTTGGTTATATATATATATATAGTTTCCTTCTATTGAAGGACACAATTTAGGGTACCATACGAATTTATTTTCAACGATTCAAACCATTTATTGATCATCCTTGCAAAAAATTAAACAAATCGGAAACCGTTTCAACATTCAATTGTGTCCTACAAAATCAATAAACACGGTGCTTCAAGAAAGTACTAAAATTTCAAGAACTCAATTGAGTGATCAAATGATATCAGATTCAAGTGATTTTTTGTAGAGATGATCTTTGAATGAGTATCTACAAAATAGCCGGTTTGGATTAGTGAAATACAATCCGGAGTGGACCTTACAAAGGGTGTCCCTCAAATAAACTTATTTGAGGGATCCCTCAATGGAAGTTATCCTTTCTATGAAATTCCCTCCTTTCTGTAATTGATTAAATTTGTGCCTAACTCTCCGCCGGCCACAGTTCCATTTGTTATTTTTGCCTCTATTATTCTAACACGTGTTATTACCTTTAGATTGAATTCATTAAATTTCCGTGACCATTAGTAGCAGCGTCAGACTTTAATGTACGGGCGCCATTACTCTGATTTCTGAGCTCAGTTTCATAGGTTCAAAGGAAGGAAGAAGGCAGCAGAAGAACCCATATTTGGGGATTTCACTCATCTTTCAGTTGGGCTTTGGCTAGGAATTGGTGTTCATCGCTTTTGGCCTGTGCCTAATGTCATGAAATTTACTCGTTCTGGGTCAAATGTTTTAATCAACACGAACAAGAGAGGAGAATACAAATTAGGGTATTTCACACATAAGCTCATATAAATGGGTCTCAAAATATAGAAAAATCTTACAATACTCAAACTCTAAGAAAAATCCATTTGACGTTTCAAAACGACCAAATATACAATACAAGCCTTTAGAAACCTAAAAATTACAACAATCCATGAAAGGTTTTTTTTTTTCCTTTTAAAAATCATAATGCAAGGATAATAATGGTATTTCACACATCATTCAAATTAAAAATTGGTACATCTGGTCCTTTTTGGGTTTTTTTTCTTCAATTTATAAGTCTTAGTGTTTATATATAAAATCAATGGAAGAAATGAGGTTTATTATAAATTTCTCTACAAAGTAGGGCATCTTCCAGGATTATGAGTATTTAGGTTGTCTGCATTTTCATGAATTTAGGCTAATCCTCATCCTTTAATTAATTTAAGGGATGTCTCAAGTAGCCCAACTCACCTTTATGAACTTTGTTCATGTTCATCATTTTCTTCTTTGGTCTCTCTTCTCTTATGAACCAAAAACCTCATTCTAGTTTATGTTATCTTTCTCCTCTAATATGTCAGCCTCCCTTTGCATCCATTCCAATCACGTTTGGTCTTGGAAATAGGGCTGTGATTATCATTGTTGTTCATAATCTTAGGTGTATATAGTTAACCCAACAAATTCATTGACATATACTACTGTGGGAGCAAATTTCTAAGAGAAGAATTTCTAACTCTTTATCTCTCACAATTCAACGATGGATGAAAATATTGCATTCTATGATTGCACTTCTTCATACACTCTGGAAGATTTATGTGGGCATTATCAAAGTCTTTTATTAAGATTGCTTATTGCATCATGTAACAAACGGATTGAATTGGGGGGCACATGCTAAATCCTTCGAACGAGAATATTTCATTCCCACTTGATTATCTACATAGTGAAATATATTGTGGGTGCTAGATTTTAATCTCTCTGTTATTATCTCAAAAACATTAATCATCACAACACAAGAGTATATTCAATTGTCATTCTCACGGTCGTACTCATGACAACCCAATTCTTTCGTTGTGATGGGATGGGGCATGCGGTTAAATGCTTCAAATGACACTTTTTGTTTCTCACTTGATTTCCTACTAAAAACCAGGACAAAATTAACATGTTTTGGCTGCCCAGATTCTTTATTATCTCAAAATACAGGATACAATTGTTGGTTGAAATGTTGTCCTCATATGTGCACACTTGTCCGACTACAATGGGGTGTTGTGATTTCTAAACGATCAAGGACGCCAGGAGAACAGGGAAACTCAAAGGGAGAGGGGCAGACTAAACTGCATCTCTTGAAAATGAGGAGCCAGAATGCCAAATTGATACTTGGATGTGGACTACACAGATAAGAACCATCTCATTCATTTTGATCGGTTTAGAATTAAATGGACTTCCTAGTTCCTCTTTGACAAAAAGAGAAAAACGTTGAGCCACTAATTTGCATGTTCTTATTGATGCAGACCCAAAAGGAAGGAAAATCATTTCAACCCTGAATGATTTGAACGAAGCAGCCACTACTATAACCGATGCAAGCCACTCACTCAACTTCTCTCAAAGCAAGATAAGAAATCATGGAGGTTATATCCTAATAATTCTTGGTTATCTTTTCAATATAGTTAGCTTATACTGTCTACACATATGGACTAGCTCAACTATTATTTTTCTTGAAATTCTTAGTGTAGTGTTTTTCTATACTAATTTGATAATCGTATACTGATCAAGTGCTTATGCACCCAATTTGAGTCTTGCAAGAATTAATTGTTCATCTCGTGGAAGACCTTTTATATGTCTTTTTTATATTCATTTGGTTAACCCTAAGTTCAATTTCCAATTTGCTTGAAAAATGATTACATATCTAAGAAAATTGTACTCTATGCCTCTTTAGTCACCACGATTTATGATTTTGATAATTGACAAAAATATATATATACAATTTGAAACTCAGCGTGACATAGGCAAGTGTAATGAGAATGTCAAACAAAGGTTTGCAAGCAGGGAGCATATCCAAATTATATTTCAAAAGCCAACAAAAATCAACTAAGTTGATGATAAATTGAAGATAAGGAGAAGTGTGTGTGTCAAGGCCAAGACACTCCACGAGCTGATGCCTCAGAACTCCACAAACTATTTTGGTTCATATCAATTACCTAACAATATTATCGGATCCATGCCAATCCCTACATCACCCCGGGAGTTACCAATTTTCTGGGGGCGATCAATTGGGTCCATGCCGATCCCTACACCACCCCAGGGGTTACCAATCCTCTGGGGGGGATCAATTGGGTCCATGCCAATCCCTACACCACCCCGGGGGTTACCAATCCCCTGGGGGTAATCAATTGGATCCATGCCAATCTAAACATCACCATGAGGTTACCAATCCTCTAGGGGCGATCAATTGGGTCCATGCTGATCCCTACATCACATCGGGGGTTACCAATGCCCTAGAGGCAATCAATTGGATCCATGCCAATCCCAACATCACCCTGAGGTTACCAATCCTAACATCACCTTGAGGTTACCAATCCTCTAGGGGCGATCAATTGGGTCTATGCCGATCCCTACATCACCCCGGGGGTTACCAATCCTCTGGGGGCAATCAATTGGATCCATATCGATCCCAACATCAACCTAAGGTTACCAATCCTCTAAGGGCGATCAATTGAGTCCATGCCGATCCTTACATCACCCCGGGGGTTACCAATCCCCTAGCGATAATCAATTGGATCCATGTCGATCCCTACATCACCCCGGAGGTTACCAATCCCATGACGATAATCAATTGGATCCATGTCGATCCCTACATCACCTTAGGGTTATCAATCCTCTGGGAACCATCAATCGGATCCAAGCCAATACTTACATCATCTCAAAGTTATCAATCCTCTCGAGCCCATCAATTGGAGTTAATCCTAATCAATTGGATTCTTTGCCGATCCAAACCAAGGTTCACCAAATTTGACTATACATATCATAACTCAAGGACTTGTGGATCAAGGATTTCTTAGGGCGGTGCTTTACTCATGAATCGTTGTTTAGCTGTGGTCAAGCGGTAACAAATTTAGTTTGCTTCTAAATTCCAAGATATTTTCTCATGTTCCTTAGTTAACAAATGTATTTATTATATTACTTGACATCTCTTGAAATCTCACATTGAACAAATTCCAAAAATAAATATTTTCTCTCTTCACACCCGAGAACAAAGCGTATCTGAAGAGAGAAAAGGGGGCATGTGTGGGAGCAAATTTTACTCCGTAAACAATAACCCACTACTCATACATCCTAAACTTGGGGGAATGGAGAAAATCAAGTAACATGACATCCATTATCCTGAATCATGGGGGAAAATAAGGAATGTGGGAGTTGGAGCCTAAGACTCCACTGCCTATAAAAGGCCAATTAACACAACATCTTGGGGGAAAAAAATGAGGTACAATACTATTCTAAACTCTCCTACAATTATACTCTTATTGACTTGAGCGTTGGAGTGTTTTCTTGCAGGTACCCCCCTCCTTCACTGATGGCAATCGAAATAGTGTCCGACTTCTCAACATGGAAATCAAATTACTTGTTGGAGGACCCGAAATTTTCTACTCCAACAACTACATACAATTTTCTTTTGAATTGATTAGAAGAGAATATATATATACACCAAATGTGACATTATAATTCTAACATTCTCTTGAAATTCTTCAAAAGTCATAGCTTGGGTTTAAGTTTCGCATTTGTTGACGCTGGAGTCTCATTACAGGATTAGGGAGAGACATAAAATTAAGTTGGGAAATTAGTCTGGCTTTAGTTAGGAAATGCTGGGTTTAGGTTGCTACTCAAATTTTAGTTTTGCTTTGTATAATTTTCCGTGCGTGGCCTTTGCTTTTGAGTTTCGGGCTTGTGTTCTTGTTTTAAGCATGTGCTGTTGGGCCTTTTATTGCTCATAGGCTTAATGGATCGTATTTTAATCAGAACAAAACAGAGGATTTGAACATGAAACGAGCCGAAAAGAAATAAATGTATGTATGTATTGAAAAATAAAAAGTAAATCTTCTTGATCCGAAGTTTGGAAAGCACTGAAAATTCGAATTCAACATGAACTGAATAATTTTGGTAACAACAATGGTATTGCAATTTAAATTAACAAACACCTCTGACTCTCAGTCCAATACATTGCATATCTTTCTAACAACACCTTGATTCCCACTCAGGACACCAGAGCTAGAGAACTTGACAAAGGCAGAAGAAAATGCCTGAAAGAAACCATCCTGATCGACAGCAAATCGCTTGACAGCGAGAGCTGTGCGCGGGTCCATCACCATTTCAGCATCAACTCTAAGTACCCCATGGCCTCTAATTACATTATTGTAGTAGTGGTTGTCGAATGTAAGTGTTGTAGGGTCATTAAGAACGAAGCTTGCATTTGATGTCAAAGAGCCTTGAGGACAGTTTATCCTTAGGAATGCTTCAAACATGGGCGCCATGCCTTCTACACGCCCACCTTGATCAAGTCCGCCTAGACGTTTTAGAATGTTCAAACAATGTGTCACCCCTAGTGTGTGCGCGCCTGCAAAATTGCAATAATATGTTTTTGGACATGTTAGTTTCATAAAACGAATTTTAATGCACACTGTTTTGAAGAAACCCAATAGAACAAGTTCATGTACTTGTTACCCATTATGGCCACAGATTCTTCGACTGTCATCCCTTTCTTTGCAAATAGTTGAAGCATGCCATCAACTCCAATGGTGGCAGAAGGAAGCAAAGAATCTGCAAGCTTATAGCTTGGAGGAACAGAAGAGTCTCTTCTTCCCAAAGGAACCTTTATCTGTGGCCCTCCTGACGCAGACACTGCCTCCCGAGCAGTTAAGACAAGAATGTCAGAGCAAGAAACCTGTTGGGGACATTCTAATTCAACCATTGACTTGAGAATATTGATTGACTCTCTCTTTCTGATACCAAAGTTTTTCCCTGAATCCATCTCCGATGACACAGTGTTCTCATTTGGATCCACAAGAATTGAAGCATCACAGCCCTGTTGTTACAAAATCAAACCATCATTTATTGAAAAAATATAACTAATAAAAAATAGACTGAAGAGTTTCTATTTTTAAGCCATGCACTTCACCCTCAATGTTTGGGCTTATATCTCAACTAACCCATGTCTCAAATTCCTAAACTGAGAGAGAGAGAGAAGACCTGTACTTGGCAATCATGGAACATGAGCCTCAACAGAGCTGCAGGAGCAGTGGGATCAATGAGAAAAATAGGTTGGAGGGCAGCTCTAACAATGGCCTCAACTTGTGGGCATGAGTTCTCATAGAAATTATAAGAAAGCCCTTGCCCTTCAGCTCCAATGCTGAACACAAACAGAGATATGCCTACTACTATAGCTCTCAGATCCATTGTGATGATTGGCTGGAGTGTTTAAACATAAAATCCTCTGTGAACTTCAATGCTGCTGCTATGACTCCCAGAAAACAGAGGACTCTGCCACCTCCAGTAGCAGTAGGTGAACTTAAAGGATGCCAGTCCAATTTACCTCCGGTGGAGGGATCAATTTTCTTTTATAATTGTAATGCAATTGTGAACTTGTACGGCTTTTAGTAATTGCTAATACAAAACAGCTGTTATTTGTGAAAAGAAAAAGGTACTGTAATAAGAACAGTGATGGAAATTAAACACATGGATGATTAAATATTTGATGTCGAATTGTTCTAGACAATGCCATGCAAAATAATTGCTTTCTATTCATGATTTATAATACATTGATTGATTGGCATCTATCTGATAAACAAGTTGTCCTTTTCCAGTGGCAGCTTATCCTGTGAAGTAAATGCTAGAATTCTACTTATAGTTTGCCACTAATATTCTGTTCTGCAAATTTTATTTTGCTTACACAAACCCAGTTGGTAAGTAATTATAACTAAACCCTACCCTAATTACAATTTACATCCTTCCCTTTTACCATGGTGAATGTCAAGTTCATCCTTCATGTTAAGGATACTGTTTGCCTCCTTTTCTAATCACGGTTTGATACATGTGCAAAAATAATTCATCAAAAACACAAAAAGAAAAACGGGTGAGAGCATATAGGCGTTGCTTAGCATGTGTCTGACTAATTCATAATGAGCAGTTGAGTCTGGCGGTGGACTGGACTTAAAATTCCAACCAGAATCTAAATAATGCAGCAGGCAAAAGTTCAAGGCTCATTTCCATTTCATTGTGAAAAAAATCAGACACGAGATTTTGTTAGGAAAAGAAAAAGATTGAAGCATACGAGCCACAAAACAAGAAAAACTTCGACGAGCACAGGAGCCCACTTATTAATAATATGCTGGTCTATATCAGGAAGTTAAGCTTTTCCACGGCTGATTGGTGGTGGTTCCCACAAACTTTGATTGGCATTTTGCATTGTCAAAATCAAATCTGCAATGCCTTTGATGGGTTGATCTTATCCAACCCCCCCACATTTTAAATGTTTATTGCATATTTATTCTTGTAACTTTAATTGGATTTGAGGCATTACTGCTCCCTGCATTTGAGTATTTCTGTCTTCGAGTTTGATCACACACTATACACGGTGTGTGAGTTTAGTATATCGCCCTTCTCAAATGCATACTGTATATGAGTTTAGTATATCGCTCCTCTCAAATGCACACTGCATATAGTTTGGTGCTTTGGTTTGGAAAATGACCTTCAACTGCCGAAGTAAACGAACACGGCATCATTCACATGTTCATGGCAAAGCCATGTTTTTTGTTTTGTTTTGTACAAAAGAAAAAGCAAGCATGGCTTTAAATTTTTAATCAAATATATATATTCAAATATCCAGAGGAGAAATGTAATGCCAAAAGTAGAGACACGTGTCGAGCGGAGAATTCTAGAGACTGATCACACACCGCTTTCATCAAGAATATCGTGAGGCTGTTTTCCAATTGTAGATCTTTTTTTTGTTAGTACCATTGTAGATCTTATGAGTTTCACTGATTTGGGTGGCTTGTTCTCATAGAGAATGCACGTCAACACCTCTGTGCAAAAGAATAGACCGATCACGGCAATGCAACTGTATTGTTTTGGACCCAACCCAACGCTCCTATCTTATTTATGAAGTCTGAGCTCTCTTAATCAGGCAGGCTCCACTTATACCAATTGACATTGAAATTAATTAATAAAAGCCGACTAGGTTCACAAGTTTGGTAATGCTTCTGAGTACCCATTTTAGGAATATCAAGGGTTGGGTCCTGTAAGGAACCTTTTAGGGAGAGCATTCCGTAAACAGCGACCGGACTCGAAGTGGTAGCCTACTTACTACTATTTTTTTTCATCAAAAAAATTATTAAGCTTTAGAATTTAAGTATTGCATATGTTTTTTACTACCGTGCAGATGTCCAAATGTTATTACCTCCACAATTATTGGGAAGACTATTGATGAGAGATCGTACATATATGAAATCGTAATGAAAAAAGAGGAGATTTTTTACCTCCACTTGACAAGCACACATGTTCAAAGGCTGGAAAGCGTAGAGCACTTTCAAAGTTTCTAGGGTTGACGTAAGATTTGTTAAAGCCTTTTGTATTTATACTTACCACTTTGAATTCTAACAAAATCGTGCAACTCATTAATTCCTTCAAAATAAATGACTTTTTGAATACACTTAAACTTTGTTTGACTTTTAAAAAGTCATAATTGAATACACCTAGATTTCGATGTATTTTTTTAAAGTCAATTGAAATCTAAATTGAATACACCCAAACTTTTACAAACTCTTTTAAAATCTTAAATGAATACACCACCACCCCCACCCCCCGCCACGAACCAATTAATAACAAGTGGCTAATTTTGGGTTTTTCTCTCCAAATAGGCTATATATGAGTTTTTGTATAATATGTCATGCTAAAATGAGTTTTTAAATAAATATCTGTATTTTTTCTACTACCCCTCCTTGCTCTCCTCTATATTTACAATGACGTCAGAGGCGGATCTACAGAGGCACAAGGAGGTGCATATGCACCTCCTCTTGCCGGAAAGAGCTCTGGAGGTTGTGCAATTTGCCCCTCAGCTCTGCCATGGAAGTGCCCACAATCTACTTGAAGAAATGCCTCTGCGAAATTGTCTTTTGTTTGCTATGGTGTTGCAGCGTTGGGCTGTTGCGCGCAGCACCACCGCATGGCCAAAACGGCTCGTTTTGGACAAGGGCAATGAACAAAAATAGGGATAAAGCCTTATATTATGCGGATAGAACCCACTGCCAAAGTACAATTAATATTATTAATAATTTAATATAAAGAGAGTCCTAAATTGAATTGAAGAAGCCAACAGACCCAAATCTCAAGGTCTATGTTTTTTTTCCCCTTTTGGTCTTTTTTTTCTGGTTTTTTATTTCTATTTTTTTATAATATGTTTTTTTTATTTATAATAATAATTTTTTTTGATGTGGCTCTCTCTGTATTTTTTAATTATAAAGTTATGAAACATTACTAGTAATCTTCAATCGAATATTGCCCCTTCTCTGAAAAATTCTTGGGTCCGCCACTGAATGACGTATGCACGATAATAATGTATGGACGTCCGTATAGGAGAATAACTGTATATGACTCCATAGATGGGGGAGGAGAAAAAACCGTCACTGCCCCTCCTCCCCCTCATCTCTTCTCGTTTTTTCCTTTTAGGTTAGTGAATAAATTCACTGAGACATTTTGAATAAAAAGCCCATTGTGGTGGTTTCTTCTGAGTCATTGTTAGGTTAAAGTTCCTCATCACCCCTTTTAGTCTATGTTCTCAATCAAATCCTTATCCCAAAACCTACTCTCTAACGTCACTCATGTTCTCTAAATTTGATTCTACATCATCGTTGAAGAAGGTTGCTACAAATCACCTAATTGTTCTTCGGCGATATTATTTTTATTTATTTGTTAGCTCTTATGCGCAGGTAAATCATTGGAAATCATATTTTCCCTAGATCTGTTACGAATGCGGTGGTGGTTGTGTCCACAACAACACTTCTTCAAGTGGTGGTGGTAGAGTTCATCCAGGCTCATGAGTTGTTTGAAGGCTTTGGTTATGTTGAGTTTGTGGGCTTTGTTTGGGCTTATAATTAATTGTGGTGATGTGGGCTAGTAGTTTTAGTGCGGCTTTTGTCATTTAGTTTTGCTTTTGGCATGCTAGTTGTTACCCTCTTGGAATTAGTATTTTAGATGTATTGTTGATGTATTTGATTGTACCGTTGAAGTTTATCTAATAAAATTTCTATTTGATTTATTATTATAAATAATAAATAAATAAAGGTAATATAAACCAATTGTTTCTCTACCTGGTAAACCTCAAACTTCCTGCAAATATTTATATTGTTTTTATGTTGAATGTTGAATGCACGACCCACAACATAGAATTAACGTTTCTTGCTATAGAAATTCTAGACAAACTATGAACCAAAACTGTATGCATCTTTTATTTATTTAACCACGTCATCATCTTAAGAATGCCATATAGACCGAGGGGTTCACCTCAGTGGTGAGGTCCCTCCCTCCCCCTTCTCCCCTTGGTCACCTGTTCGAATTTCAGGGTAAGTGCCCCCCTCTCCAATGCAATGTATCTTTCGCTAATTCTTAAAAAAAAAAAGAATGCCATATATTGTACGGTTACACACGGACGTGCTAAAACCTACCTACAACGGTGTTTGTACGCCAGTGTGTGTTTCTCTCCCCATTTTAGAACGTGTGCCTACCTGGCCACCCTCAATTGCTCATGAAAAACAAAGAAGTTGAAATTAAGCAAATCAAAAGAGAAAAACCAGACAAGAATCCAACGGAGGCCCTCTAAAATAGATGGAATTTCGTTTAGCCAACAATAAACCCCACTATATAAACTCCTGACCCAAATTGAAGATTTTGCTCTCCCTAAAACATGGCTGGGTCTGCATCCACAACATTCATTACCTTGGCAATCATTTTTTCCATCGCAGTAACTTTCACAAATGTCGTCGATGGATTGACTGCGGAAAAAGTAATTGACTCTCCCCTGTTGACCCAAAAGATTAACACCAACCGCACCATCAAGGTCGATGTCAATGGCAAGGGAGATTTCAAATCAGTTCAGGCTGCCATTGATTCTGTTCCTGAAGGAAATAATAAGTGGATCATCATTCATGTTAGGAAAGGGGTGTACAGGTAATTCACCATCAATTAGAGCCTCTTTTGGAATTAATTAATAAGTTTTTTTTTAGGTATTACATCATCTAATGCATTACATGTTTTGGCCGGCAGAGAAAAGGTGATCGTACCACGTAGTAAGCCCTATATATTCATGAGAGGAAATGGGAAGGGAAGGTCCGCCATTGTCTGGTCCCAAAGCTCTTCGGACAATGTCGAATCTGCTACTTTCAGCGTCGAAGCTCCCCACTTCATTGCCTTTGGGATTAGCTTCAAGGTTCATCATCGTTTCCTTCTTCTACATATATGATAATCTAAACGAAACTCTCAAGCAAGAAAAACTTAATCATTCTCTTATCGGAGTGTGAAACAAGCGAGGATTAAATTTCTGACTGTATATAATTGAATGATGAATTAATGTGCAGAATGAGGCTCCCACAGGCGTGGCTTACACCTCGCAGAACCAGTCAGTGGCAGCATTTGTGGCAGCAGACAAAGTAGCATTTTACCATTGTGCATTTTACAGTACCCATAACACCCTCTTCGATTATAGGGGCAGGCATTATTATGATAACTGCTACATCCAAGGCTCAATCGACTTCATCTTTGGACGTGGTAAATCTATCTTCCACGTAAGTATTAGTACTCCAATTTATTATTATTATTTTTATTATTATTATTTTTTGGGGTTTTCATATTGTTAATTTCACAAGAGTAAATTAATATCAATGTATACAATTAATGCAGGCCTGTGAGATCTTTGTGATTGGAGACAAAAGGGTGTCAATTAAGGGGTCTGTGACAGCTCAAAATAGGGAGAGCGAGAAGGAGAACAGTGGGTTTGTGTTCAACAAGGGCAAGCTGTATGGTGTTGGGGACACTGTGTATCTTGGCAGGGCCAAGGGTGCCTTTTCCAGAGTAGTTTATGCACAGATGTACCTCTCCAAGACCGTCGTGCCTCAAGGCTGGACCAATTGGAGCTATTCTGGCGGCATAGAGTAAGAACCAACTAACATGTCCTTGTGTTTTTTTTAATACAAGCGATCGTTTAAACTATGAGGGGGAGGGAAGTTTCTTACACACACTAATAAAGTGTTATTGGAGTTCGAACTTGAGATCACTTACGTTTCTCAAACACACGCTAACATGTTGTTTTTTGTTTCCTTGTATTGGTTGTTATTATGCCAAAGTTTTGGTCGACTAACACAGAATGTTGTGGGATGATTATGAAAATGTACAGGAACTTATACCACGCGGAATATAAATGCAAAGGGCCGGGAGCCGAGGCTGGAGGGCGAGCTGAATGGGCCAAACAACTCACTGAAAAAGAAGCTGCCCCCTTCTTGTCTATCGACTTCATCAATGGCCAGGAATGGCTCCCAGTGTGGCTATGAATTAATTGATGTCTGTTTGTTCATGAACCTCGATCATTAGATCATTAGCCAGGAGTTTACGACATTGATCGAACATGCAATGCAAGAGGCTCATATATGTTTGATTAATCCCTATAATATCTTTCCATACAAATGTAAAACTCTGTATTATAATCAAAACTTACATTATTCAGATATATGGTTCTATCCAATCCACTATCCCATCAATTGCTAGCTACAATCTAATTCATGTTAATTCTTTCAAGCTTATTACTCAATTCAGATTCTAGCTTGTACTACAAGTAATGTCAGCAGTAGCTTGTTCCAACTTTGGGTGTTGGTTTTCTATTTGAGTGTTAATAATTATTTTTGTTCTTGCCTTCTTACGTTTAGTTATGGTAGTCGTTTAGGCCAAAGCTTGGGATCACAACATGCTTGCATGGAAGATGTAAATAAAAGCTAATGGTGACGCACGTTACAGCTCTTCATTTATTCTCTATAGTTTAAGGGCAATACATTTTCATGCACGATAGCATACAACACACGACTTTTGCATGCCAACTAGGGCTATAGCTGAATTTGGGATTTAAAATCCACCGCCAATTCCTCCACCACCACCAGCACCGCCGCCAGCTCCTCCTCCTACACCGCCGCCTTTGCCACCCCCAAAGCCTCCACCAGCACCACCACCTGCACCACCTCCGCCGCTAACTCCTCCTCCAACACCACCACCTTTCCCACCCCCAAAGCCTCCACCAGCACCTCCACCTGCACCACCACCACCACCAACACCACCTCCACCGCCTTTGCCACCTCCAAAGCCTCCTCCCGCACCGCCACCAGCACCACCGCCTGCTCCTCCACCAACACCAGCACCGCCGCCAGTTCCTCCTCCTACACCGCCGCCTTTGCCACCCCCAAAGCCTCCACCAGCACCACCACCTGCACCACCTCCGCCGCTAACTCCTCCTCCAACACCACCACCTTTCCCACCCCCAAAGCCTCCACCAGCACCTCCACCTGCACCACCACCACCACCAACACCACCTCCACCGCCTTTGCCACCTCCAAAGCCTCCTCCCGCACCGCCACCAGCACCACCGCCTGCTCCTCCACCAACACCACCTCCACTTCCACCACCAACTCCGCCTCCTACACCACCCCCGGATCCACCTCCTACACCGCCGCCTTTGCCACCACCAAAGCCCCCACCAGCACCACCTCCGGCACCACCCCCGGCACCACCTCCTACACCGCCACCTTTGCCACCTCCAATTCCACCTCCTACACCGCCGCCTTTGCCACCACCACCAACTCCACCTCCAGCACCTCCCCCAGCACCACCTCCTACACCGCCACCTTTGCCACCTCCAATTCCACCACCTGCACCGCCTCCGCCTCCTACACCCCCACCGAATTCCCCGCCAGCACCACCACCTAAACCGCCGTCAGTGAATGTTTCTTTCTCAAGTTTGCGACACTCAGCTATTGCTAGCACCACTACAAACATCACAGCAAACAACCCAACAAGCTTGGAAAACTTCCCCATCTTTCCCCAATAAAGTGTATATAGAATAGAGAAAGCGGGACTGGTAATTGTTTGGTTTGATTAACTTTGGTAATGGGCATCGACTATTTATAGTGTGCTATAGCAAGTATTGATACTGTAGAAGTAAAGGTCAGAAGATGTCAATACATAAATGCGTGCAGTTGAGACGCTTACGATTGTCGACTTTTTACGAAACCTGATTAATGAAATGGTGCGAAATTCAACCCTGTTTGACAAAGAATCATTAATTAGCCGGCGCAACCATAATCTTGTAGTCCCTGACACCGTCTCAGTGGTGTCCCAGCTGTGCCTGTGCTCAACCACTAAGCATAGGCGTACGAAATAGTCCAACTCTACTTATTAGTGTTTCGAGAATTATAATAAAATATGTTCGTATCCAAGAATTTGGAGTTATAACCCAAGTGATGAAGGTGAGTTGGAAAGTAGAGCCTTAGAATTAAACTCAAGAAAATATGAGCATCCACGTTCATATATATTTTACCATAACTGAATGAGGCTTAATTTTTAAGCCTCTTCTTAAAAACAAAATCAAAAAACAAAATTGCAAAAATGGGTGAACAAATTTGACGATCTTTCCTAGCAAAAGAACGTGATGATCTCAATATGTGTGTTAACTTTTAACATTATTATAAGTTGAGTTTGAGTGTGCTTCTCAAAGGGCTAAAAGCACTTTCTGATAATCAAAAGCGTTTCTGACTGTGTTTGGCAGAAAAATGTATAAATACTTATGGGTCATATAAGCGCTTATACGTGTTTTTTAGGAAGCACTTAAACTTGACTTCTAACCAAACAACTTATTTTGAATTCGGAGTAGCAAAACTCTTTAGAATTTTCTTTATCTTTCAAGGAGATAATATTACGAATACCTAAATATTTACCAATAGATAATTTATGCGGAATATTTAAAATACTAGCAATTCTATCCTTTTGACCAGACGTTTGATTGAACTAATCCGAAACAAGCCCTCAGTTGTACTATCACTAATTAATGCCTTAAAAGTAAGTCCATGTGATTTTGCTAGCACAAAGAAAGAAATCCACGTCATTAGTTCAATCAAATTAATTATATGGGCCACCGACAACAATTTTGTAAGGTACAAAATTTCATGAAAAGGTGAGATTTGGCACGTAAACATCATCTAAAGCATTGAAGGTAGTGATAATACAATTGAAGGCTTGTTTGGGATTGCTTCTTTAGGATTAAATACTTCTATTTATAAGCACTTCTAACAAAAGCGATTTTATTATAAATACATTGAAATTTTCATATATATGTATATAAGGTAAGTCCATGTGGTTTTGCTAGCACAAAGAAAGAAATCCATGTGATTAGTTCAATCAAATTAATTATATAGACCACCGACAACAATTTTGTAATGGTACTGAAATTAGGTTTCGAGCCTCTGTTCGGCTCATGTAATTTGTGTTTGGTTAGGCCTAGTAAGGGAGGATACTGAAATTAGGTTGTGAACTTCTTTAGGTTCAGCCAAAAAATTAAGAGCTATTCATTCACTCTTATCCGCCCATTAGTCTAACACACATTCCTTAAAAGCACAAAAGTAAAAATTTATGTACAATTGCCACATTGTAGTTTGAGTGTAAGGAAAAACAAGTCATTGCATGTAAGAAGTCAAGTATTTTCCGGATAAAGAAGTACAAAACTCACCTTGAAACAATCCTACCTTATTTCACCTATTCTCTTGTCCCGAAAAAGAGACGATGACGTTAATTAAACTTGAAGAATTAAGGTTAAAATGATGTGTTTGGAATAGTACATCGACCGTTAGCGAAAGCAACTGATAAAGCTTATTGGCTTATTGGCCCTCTTTCTCTCTTAGCTTGGTGAGCTTATTGGCTCCTCAACATAGCTTTGTTTGGGTAAGCTCTTGGCTCCCTTAGTTTGGGAGTTGGCTTGTTTACTCCCCATTTAGTTTGGGAGATTATTGGTTCACTCCCCGTCTAGTTTGGGAGTTCTTTTTGTTGACTCCACTTTGCCAGATTACATTGCATGTCTATTTATAGTTGAGTCTTGCCGCCATGCTATAGTCCCACCGACTTGTTCTCTTTTCTATAGCCACAAGTGGCTTCATCTCCCAATATTCTTTGCATATTTTTTTGTGAGTTGCCGACGTTTCATCATCTAGTTTGTAGGTTCTTGAGTTTTCTAGAATTGTGTAGTTACAACACAAATATGCATTACTTTTTCAACAAATTTAAATGAAATAAATCTTGATGATTCTGTTGCTGATTACATCGTTCATAATCATTGGAATAAAGCTGAGCTGATGCAAGTCTTATCACACACCCATTAATTCACCTCTTCAAGATACTGAGGATAGTTTTGTCAGGGTCCTTCCCCAAATGGCAGGTTCAGCTACAAATTTTTTTTACGACATCAATTTTTAAACACATTGAGCCTTCGTGTTACAAGGCACTTGAAGATATTCAGGCCATGTTATCCTCATACCGGCGTATAAATGTTAAGAATTCTAAAAAGAAAAGGAAGCATCATAGGGTAATGTATGGTTGGGAACTGGTAAAGGGGCAGGTGGTTTTCTCATTAGAGATAGTCCTGCACGCGTTTTGTTAGCAGCTGCGATTCCGATTGGTTATTGTTCTGTGCTACAAGCTGAGGCTCTAACTCTTCGCCATGCAGTTTATTGGGCTCGACAGTGTAAGTTCAGGAAGATATTTATTGAAGGCGATTCTCAAACTCTTATTCATATCCTTTGTAAAAGGAGTCAATGTCCATGAAATGTTGCTACAATCATTAAAGATATGCCGTTAATTGCTGAAGATTTTGAAGAAGAGATCTTATTTCGACATGTTTTCAGAGCTGCAGATGGATTTGCTAATATTGAGCAAACTAGGAGTATGTGGCTTTCTAGTTTTTGTTAGAATTTAGGCGGTGTGTGATGTTATTGGCCTCTTTCTTATTTTCCGGCTTATTGGCCTCCTCTCTCTTAGCTCACTTATACAAGGGGCAACACCTATTTATAGACATAGGCTGCCGCCATTGTCCAAGTCGGTGGACTTGGCTTTCTTCTCATAGCCACTAGTTTACAAAAATTTTATTACGACTTTTTTAGAATGCCTACAACAATTATGTCTTAAAATTTGACTTTGTCGAAGTTGGTGGATATTTCTTGAAGTTTCTATTTTTTTTTCTAGATTTTTCTAAATTCTTCAAGACAAGTGTATATTAAACTTAACATTTTTCCTACGACTTTGTACTTTGTCATATTAGCCGATACAATTGGTGCAAGGACTCCAAGGGGGTCTAAGTTGTACCTTTGCTTGTTCAAAAAAAAAAAAGGCCGTTAGCGAGTAGAAACAAAAATAAAATCGATTAATTCTCTCAGTTGACCATTGCCACCCTCGTGGGCCATGCCTAGGCTTTACCAATGACTTTGCACACAAGTTAGGGCTGAGCAGGCTATGATTATAGCCCAATTTAAAACGGACTGATTGGGCCTTCTCTCATTCTAGCCCAGTAGTGACGGGCTCCTCAATCAATTCTCAATTTCTAAGCGGGCACTCACCCACCACTTCAAGTCTCAACAAAATCTAGGGTTTTAGGAAATTCCTTCAGAGAAAAAAAAAAGAGGCTTCTAATTCTCTTTATTTCTCTGAATTGTGTGAGAATCAGAAAGAAAACGCAATCAAAATCGAAAGCAGAATCAGAGAAGAGAAAAAAATGGAGGGAGGTGGAGAAGGAGAGGTAGAGAGGGTGGAGGACTCGAAGGACTTGCAGCAGCAGAGCAAAGCCTTCGATAAGCTCACCGACCGCGTCGAAGATCGCCAGCTCGACTCTACCCGCGTCCAGGAGGCCATGGCTTCCATTGCTGCCTCCTCCGAAGCGGATTGGAATGCTATGCGATTGAGGTCACTGTTCTTTTTTTTTTTTTTTTTTCTTTCCAATTTAGGGTTAACTTAATTGAGTTTGAATTACATATGCGATTAAAGCACAATTTTTTTTTTCATGAAATTTGCATAAAGTTGTTAACTTTGATTTGGGGTTTTGGCAGAACTGAAATTGAGGTAGCAATAATTATATATTTGTATTATAATGTGTAGCAAATTGTATATTTTGATGCCAAACATAAGCATAAGATGAGCTTGTTTAAGACTTGGGCCTGCCCATATTTAAAGTTTTCAGCTTTCTAAAAGAGCTCCATGGCTCTCCATGCTTCATCACAATTTACAGGGAGAAGGAATTGGCTGCAGTGAAGATCAATGCAGCTGATGTTGACATAATTGCAAATGAACTGGAGTTGGACAAGAAGGTAGCTGAGAGGACCTTGCGGGAGCACAAAGGTGATGCCGTTGCTGCCATTCGACACTTGCTTCACTAGAATCATGCCCTTGACAAAATGAAGATGACAAGAACTTGGGTTTCATCTTATTTTCATTGTTCAATGTTAAATCAGATGTTCACATTGTTGTATTCTGATTTGTGATGAGGATAGATTATTAAGAAACGTGCAGGGTTGTGAGTGTTACATGTTTGGCTTGGATTGACCCAGATTTGTTTCAGCATTTCATGGTAGATTATACCAAATAGAAGTGGCCGTCCTAATTCCTAAGATAAGATTCCATGACAAGAGGAAAGTGTTCATTTTCCTGCCTGTCCATATTGTCTGTTACCAATATGCGGTTGGCCTAACACCATCTTTAAAGATATTATTTGTCTCCCAAAACCTTTCTGCTGCAGTGGATATTATCAACTTATATGCATGTTGGACAAATTAGGGAATTCCTCTTACGGCATGCGATGGCCATCCAATCCAGGTGCTTTTATAACAACCAGTGCATGTGATAAAATATCAGCAAAGCGTAAGCACACAACAAGCACTTGAATTTTCAGGCTTTATTGCCGCAGAATTGCCTATGAGGGATCAATAATAATAAGGGAGTTTCACTAAAACACCCAAAATGGAGGTTGAAATTATAAAAAAACCCAACACCCAAAACACTTTATAAACACACCCAAAACCCATCATTACACACACTCAAAACCCATTTATAAACACACCCAAAAGTTGACTTTGGGGTTGATTTTGGGTGTGTTTCTATGTTTAAATAGTGCTTGGGTTTTTTTATAAATACATGTCTAGGATTGGGTTTATTTATAAATTGCTATAATAATAAATGGGATTCATTATTATATCCAATATAATGGTCTAAATTATAAAAATACCTTATATGAAATGGACTTTAGAAAAACATCCAAAGTCCATTTACAATATAAGAAAGAGGCTTTTAACTTCTTATAAATTACGGGAGCTTCTACAATGAGGAGTTAAAGTGAAGAGGTTATTTGAGGAGACCGATCCGACCGTCAAAACATTTAAAATATTTAAGTCCCATGATTTCTTTACATTTGTTGATGGTGAGATTTGACCTCCTCAAATAACCTCCTCACTTTAAGCCCTCATTATAGCCTTTCCGATAAATTACAAAACTACCATCGATTTTCTTAAACAAGCCCAATTCCAAAATCTCATAAAAAAAACCTCAAAACACTCAATAGGGTATCAACGTAATTTAATAATCAAAATTAAATTCAATAAGACCAGCCGTCATTTTTTGAATTTATTTATAAAAATTAAATGATGTAGACTCTATTTATATCATTAGTGATAAAAATGGGTATGACTAAATATCTCTAATAAAAACCCAGTAAATTGCAATGATAAAGCAAAGAGATTGGTAACTCTCTATTTACTCAAATGAATATAGACTCCTTTGTCCCCTTTGTTTTTTTTTTTCTTTTGTTCTGTTTTGTTTTATGGTAATGCTTGGAATTTTCCAATATAGAATCACAAAATGGGCGGCACGTGGCGCCCTGTTGCATGACACATCTTACTTTGAAGCCCATAATTTTACTTTTGTAGGATGTCATGTCAGTTGAGTGAATAAACAACCATCATCACACAACCAAACCCATCACCATCTAAAATTAGGCAGCTCCCTCTCAGCTACTATCTATCTGCCTTTCAACTTTGTGGTTGCAAATACCACTTGCCATTTGTGGCCATCTCTGGCTAATTACCATTTTTCCAGCAACAAGTGAAAAAGCATCTATCTGAGAGTGCCTTGCTTCTTCATCCAACAATGTGGTAGATGAAGAAACCCAATGCTATGCCACACAAAGCTGAGCTACAATTCCTTTTGGGAGCTATCACCCGCGGCAGAACGTGCTGCTTGAAACTGAAGAGCATATTGTCTCTGCATGTCTCTAAGCCTTTCCAGCAGTTCTTGAAATGTTGGCCGAGAAGCTGCATCACTGGTTTTGATGAAGTTGAAATCAGCACATTAGCCGCCGTTTTGCCAAAGTTGATTCATAACAGTTAGAAGAAATAACAAAATAGAATATTCTTGAATTATAGACACCAGACACTACAGGATAATACAATTAAGCTTGACCTTCGGATGCCATCAATGTCCCTATCAAATATCCATACGACCCAACAAACGCACGCCGAACTACCTTTACCACAAAAATCAAACTACACATCTTTTGAAGACAATAAAATATTCCTAGGATAATATGATCCTTATCCATATGCAAATAATATGATCATATATAACATATATACACCTACTTGCAGTTGGCTACAGTCCACAATATAGTGATGGTTAATGCAAAAGCCCTATTGATTAGGCTAATTCTGGCTAGAAAGGCAAGTTGGTAAAACAAGTGCAGCAAATGATATGAAGATATGCTTCTCGCAGCATGTCAAAACAAAGAAAGTGAGGGTCATGTACTTCGCAACTATCATACGGACTATTTTGTAAGCATACTGACCAACTACTGAGATGATTATCACATGTGAACTGATCCCAGTTGAGGGGTAGCATTTCATATACTAAATTTAATCCTTGGATCTAAAATATGAAATCAACTAAGAAGCATGGAAAGAATTACTACCTCTGCCAGCAGCTCTCAATCATAGAAGCCCACTGAGGGTCCACATCTTTTGGGATCTCTAGCCTTTGGTTCATAAACCCTACAGCTCCAATCACCTGCAAGTTTCCTAAAAAAATTGTTGTTCATATGTGCACACAATATGTTCTGGCCCCTTTTGTTATTATTATCAAAAGAAATGGCATATTGAAGAGATACTACTAAGAATGCTTGGTTCATTTCTCGCCATTGAAAAATAAGGTTTGTGGGAGAACTGAGGATATTGAGTTTAATATTACATCTCTAAAAGAAGGTAATAAACAATTACAAAAGAAATTAATTTATGTAAGTTTACAGAAATGTTGTGATATCTTTCGTTCTTGAATAGTGTCTGGATATTTTATCAAAGAAAACAATACCTGCATTGAGTTTAGATTGTCCCAAGGGATCTTCTCAGTAACAAGCTCCCACAATATCACCCCATAGCTGTATATATCAGACCTATATACATCCAAAGTTCCAAACAGCACAAAGAGATATAAATTTAGTTATAGAAACCATAGAAGGAACCAAGACACTGTTAAGGTAAATATTCCAGATGAACAATTACGTACTTCTCATCTGAGGGTTCATTACGTAGAACTTCTGGTGCCATCCATTGAGGCTGCAAAAAAGAAAATTGCCACATGTAAGTGAGAATTTCAAAATTTTATGCAGGCTCATATATAGTGACATTAGACTGATTGGTTTAATATAATTAGTAAAGACGAGTTAAAATACCGTCCCCTTCCCAGTCTTGGTTGTGAGAAATGTATCATGCTTGAGACGCGAAAGACCAAAATCACCAACCTGTTCAGATAACATTAAATGGGTCATTGTTTAACTTGATAGAACTGCTGTGTAACCCAAAGAAGAAAAAACTTATGGACCACAAAACATCAAATAGAGGAAATTTAAGAAATAGAAACATGACCAGCAACAGACCTTGACAGTCCAGTTCCTATCAACTAGGAGATTTGAAGACTTTAGATCCCTATGAATGATAGGTGGATTGAAATGATGAAGATAATTCATGCCTCGTGCCTGTGGAAAATTCAGTATTTCTTGATGAGGTTACTCTAATATATATCGTTTTTGTGCTATTACTCAATAATACTCACTATATCTATTGCCATATGAACACGTCGTCTCCAGTCTAGTTTTGATGTGTTCCTCTGTAGTAAGCGAAACAAACTTCCACTGCATTAAGAGAATATTGATATGAGTGGCACCAGTGAACTCGCGAAGTACTTTAAAAAGGATATATGAACTTCCAGAAATGATAAACATAAATTCAGACACTAGTAAATATAGAGCTTCCAGAAAGGGAAGTTCAGAACCAACCGTGGGAGGAACTCTGTTACAATGCAGAGACGTTGAGGTGAAGTCACAGCTCCCATAAAAAGCAGAACGTTTGGATGTCGAAGCCTTTTCATAAGAGACACCTTGATAAACAATACCATATTGTAACATCAGCATTTAACAAAATCAATAACTACAAAATTAACCATAAAGACAAACGACAAAAGGAATGCCATAGAAATATTTTTTGCAGTCTGGCATTGGGTGGTCAAGATTGTCACACCCACAAGTCCCTTCTAATATGGAATGTACATTACATAATCCCATACTCATCAAGAGAAATCTCCAAAAGGTATATTCAAACATTCCAGTCAAACTCTCATCTGCTTCCTAAGTACATAAGCAAGTGCAAATCATATGCAGCTAGAAAGCACACCTCTTGTCTGAAGGAAAGTATCAAATCTTCTGCATATTCTTGCTTGGAGAATACCTTGACAGCAACATCCTGTAACAGCAAAGATATCAGTCAAACACACATGAACATTATATGCTCGCAATACTTCTAATGCTTCTTCACCTTCCATATTCTAAACAATTAAAACAGAATAAACATCCCACATGCATCATCATCATACCACACCTAGTTCGCATGAATAAGAAGAGTTGTTCACTGATACTGCAAACACCCATATTTATAGACTTTTTCTCGAACAAAACCATATTATATAGACTTTGATATGTTTGACATTTCATCCAATTTTATGCTTTAGGCATAACATGTAGGCATGGAACACTATGGTCATCAAGACAGTTAACGAGCTTTTTTTTCTTCTGGGCAAGTGGTGTTACTGCTTGCAATTTGAACTGCATTTTGTCTTCGTTAGGTAATTGGAATTCTTTTTATTTATTTATTTGTTTGAAGAGAAAGGTAATTGGAAATCATCACTTGAACATATCACTTCGGTTAAATCTGGAAAAAAAAATTTAGCATCCACTTCAATTTGTAGTTAACTAAAGAAAGAGTCAGAGAACATACCGATCCATACCACAGACCATGGTATACAGTTCCACATGAACCTGCAGAAAGAGGAAACGGTAAATAGATATCAAAATGAAAATAAACCAAGAATAAAGTCACAAGAGAAATTGTGTTGGCCCTTAGATGGACATTTTGGCAATCAAGCATGTCCCATAATCAGAGTCACCAATGATTCAATGCAGTAGATGATTCAGGAACGATGAAATACATAATGGACAACCCGCTTAATCACCTTTGGTCCTTTGGGTGATTACAGACATGTTTTACCAGCATCAATCAAACAGTTTCGAGAAACGAAGAATATTAATTCTTCAAAAGCATGCACTGGTCACTTGAAAGATGATTACCTTGCCCAACCTGTTCTCCGATTATCAAGTCTTCCCATAGGATTTCGTAATCCAGGCAGTCACTGTCCACATCCACCTTATTCACAGCACTACTGCTGGTACTTCCACAGCTGCTGGCACTGCTTGTGCTGTTTACATTAAATGAGGAGGTCCACGATCCAGAAGCCTCATTATTTGCAGTCCGATTATTTTCATTCACCTGACTCTCTGGTTTTGAATCAAAATAACTCTTCTGATGAACCAAATCATTTTCTTGCTCATTATGCAACCAAGGCCAAACAAAACGAGTAGTCTTAGCATCTGACCCTTCTCGCTCATTCCCTTTCCATGGCCATGATAATCCTTTCTTACCCATCCATGCTTCTGCTTTTGTTGATATTATCTTTTGGATTGAAGGTTTTCCTTCACTCTCATCGCCAGAATCTCTGGAGGGTTTTCCTGGAGACTTCTCATCAATCTGGGAGAACACACCAAAAGGAGATGGGGGCATATCTCCTCTAGGTGTGCTAGCCCCACTTGAATTTGCATCCTCCCTCTGGTCAGAGAAAAGAGAATCTGAACCATGATCCGAATAATGACTATCTCCACTCCCACCTTCGCGATCCATGTTGTTTTCTCCTGCCCGAATTCTTGACTTCACTTTGTTGCTCACTTTGGATGCCTGTTTCATGACTCTAACAATCAGCATGCGCCATTCAAAACTAAATCAAAGGAAAAGGGGAACTATAAGACTAACCAAATTTGTTAATTTTGATGCAATTGCATTTTGTAGAGGCTGCTGAGGATCAAGGCCAAGTTTAGCTGTAACACTAGCTCTAGAACGGCTGTAGCTTGAATCTGATTCTGGGTGCTTCGCACCTGACAATGGAATCCTCGTTTCTTGAAAGGGCCGTATATCACTTGACACACTAATAATCCCAATAAAAGTGCCATCATCATCATAGAATGGAGTATTCGTTACAATGGCAGTAAACCTCTCCCCAAACTTGTTCTTGACAGGGAACTGCCCAGTCCAGCTCTCCCCCTTGGTGACACGGTGGATAATATTATTTGCTACAGCAACGTCCTGGGGTTCTACTAATAGCTCAATGGGACTCTTCCCAAGGGCCTCTGCCGCAGAAAAACCATATAGGTTTTCAGCACTTTTGTTCCTGCAAAATTAAATTTTCCCAAATGCACCAAACTGAAACTTTCTAACACAGAAACCAAACTTCAAAGCATAAATACTCAATCTCATTTTAACACCACAAATTAACAGTTGCAACGAGAAATCAAATGACCCCCCAATAATATAACAAATAATGAAAACAAAAAGAAAAATACAACCAATCCCAAAAAACAAATTTCTCCAAAACAAATTACACCAAACATAACAAAAAACCAAAAAAAAAAAAAAAAAAAAAAAAAAAAAAATCAAAAAAACAAGACCAAGACTTTAATTGAGCTACTCACCAGTAAATTATATGGCCATTAAGATCAAATATATGCACAGACTGCCCAATTGACTGCAATATGTTCAGATACTGCCTATCAGTAAAGTTCACAGCTGACGGCCCGCTGCCACTTCCACCGCCGCCGCTGCTAGCGCTGCCACCGACGCCACGGAAGGTGCCTCCAGTCGGAGGATCATGGCTGCGGCTCTCCCTCTGAAGCGGCGACGAATGCCGAAACGAAGTAGACCCTTTCTTCCAAGCCGCCGCATCGAAACCTCCACTACCACCACCACCGCCGCCAGCGCCGGCACCGACTCTCCTTTTAGGCACAGACGACAACCTTGAGCGCTGTGGCGAAACGGAGTGAGCCCTTTGGTGCTCTGATTTGACATCTTCAGAGTGCCTGAGCTTGGACATCTCTTGCTTGAGGTGGGCGTGACCTGCTTCAAGTACTTGGATCTTCTTGAGAAGCTCCTCTGGAGGTGGACTGTCCATTGAAAGAAGCTCCAAGTTTGAAGCAATACACAACCCAATTGAGAGTCTTCAATGAAATGAACAAGCTTGGCTTGAAAATGGTATTATACCAAGCTCGAGAAGAAGAAGATTCATGGGTCTGTCTCTCTCTCTCTTTGCTTCTCCAATAACCCGAAATGAGAAAATAATGGAGACCCAGTTGATGATCTTGAAAGCTACCTATAAGCAACTACTAAGCATGGGTTGAAATTGATAAGACAGAGTCAGAGAGATTGATGAATCTCTGTCCCTCTTTTCTCAAAATAACTGCATTCTTTCCTTTGCTTGCTTCCTATAATAAGTGCAGTCAAATTACTTGCTGATTTGAGAGGTCAATAGCATACTAAACATCTCTGTTTACTTTTTTGTTTTCTGCTTTTGATCTTCTTCACCTTCTTCTTCTTCTTCTCTCTCTTACTCTCTCTCTCTCTCTCTTTTAGGTTTTAGCGTATTATTTCTGCTGTCACCTCTCTCTCTCAGACTCTCTTGTTTTGGGCGGTTTTGCTGTTTTCTCTAATTTTTTATCCCATCATCATCATCATCTGAATCTTACTATTTAGACCATAAGTTATGTACATGCTTAATCTCTGCAAATGCTTTATCCACGCGCGGAATAAGCGAGTACATAGACTAACCAATCATTCTTCCTGATTTTCACCTTTTAACTCCAATCAGCAATGGGCGTCTTCACCGCCCGAGCAGCAGCGTTTATCTTCTGCAAGTAAGGCTTTTCCTTTTCCGCCAAAAGGCCCTCTTAGTTAGTCTATTTCCACTCCTCTTTTTGATCCTACCACTCCCATCTTTTCTTACTTTGCTTCTTTTTTTAGAGGCCATGCAAAATAATAATATTGTACGTCATAAATTCCAAGTGGGCAAGGCAATGTCCATTTTTGTCCATAAATTTCTTCTTCTTTTTTTTTGGAATTTAATTGGTCTATTATCAAAGTCATGTTTAAAATATGGGATTGGGTTAGCTTGAGGCTTTAGATTACTTAATTTGCAGTTGCACATAATATACATTGGACTGACTTGTAGTTCACCTATAATGAGTTTACAATTTTGCCCTCAGCTCTCTTATGGTATGAAAATTGTGTTCTATGAGAAACTATTTTATAAAGGGAGGGATAAGGTTAGGTTAACGAGCTCATGAGGTTCGTTCATACATATCATGAGAAAAGGGCAATTCTGTGCTCTAAAAGCTGTCTAATCAAAATGTTTTTGGACTTATTAGGAACCTGATTTACCAATGGTAGCATACCATAAATGGAGAAGAATTTGTGTTGGTTGGCTTCCTTTAAGGCCATGATATAGGTGGTTGAAAAGGGTCTTGACTCGCAGACTAGATATCTTGAATTTGAATTTTCACCTTATTATAGTTGTATGTGAGGAATTTCCCTTCCCGTTAATTTAAACTATCGCTTATATTATAAATAAATAAAAAAGATATTTAGTCAAATATCCATTCTTAGCACTAAAACTATAAATAAACCCTACACTATTTAATTTCTATAAACATACCCGAAAAAAACTCAAAAAATGACAGCTGGCCCTATTGAATTTAATTTTAATTATTAAATTACTTTGATGCCCCATTGAGTGTTTTGGGCTTTTTTATGAGGTTTTTGGGTTGAATTTGTTTTAAGAAATCAATGGCAGTTTTGTAATTTAAAAGAAGTTAAAAGCCTTTTTGCTATGTTGTAAATAGACTTTGGGTGTGTTTCTAAAGTCTATTTCATATAAAAAAATTTTATAATTTGGGCTCCTATATTGGGTATTATAGTAAATCTCCCATAAAAAAAATACCTTAATATGGGCCGGCTTAATTGAAGGAGAGGAGAAAGAGAAATTAAACTATATCACGTCATTATGTGATACTTCCACTCAAACATTGCCACTTGTCCAATTTAAAAAAGAAATGATTTGCTTTTTCACAACTGGACTTTTACTTAATTTGCATATTTTGAAATAGGATTAGAAAAAAAAACAAAAACAAATTAAAAAGTACCATAGCCGCCACCCCTCTCTCTTTCTCTTCCTCCCCTTCTCTCTTCCTTGTTCAAACAATGTAGTTATCTTCCATAATGCCCCTACACCTTTCTCTGATTTCTCTCTGACCTCGACCTTCCCCTTATTTTTATAAGGTTTTTTAGGTTTTAGATATAAAAAAAATTTCACTTTTAGAAAAAGCCAAAGTTTTTTCAAAAAAGACAAAAAAACCGCTCAACTTTCAAATCAAAGACATGCAAATGTATTGGATTCCTTAAAAAATCTAAAAATAAATAAGGGCATTTTTGTCCATTTTTGCTTCTTTTAAAATTTTTCTCTCTCCTTTTGCTTTTCCAAAATGTCCCTTTCTTATGAACCCATTTTTAATTATCAAGACTACTTCCCAACTATTAGCATCAATACCAGTTTAATCATCCTCCCTCTAAACCCAATCCCACTGCGTAAAATTAGCATAAGGGGCACAGAGAAAGAGGAAGGGAGAGGGGTTGGGTTGGGGTGCTGCTGCTGTTGGGGCAATGCTCCTTTTTTTAATATAAATTTATTATCAAGTCTTTTATTTTTCTAATTCTATTTCAAAATATAAAAATTGAAAAGTCCAGCTGTAAAAAAGTAAATTATTTAATTTAAAAAATAAACACATGATAATATTTGAATGGGAGTATTATAAGTTGAGTGATATATTTGTATTATTTTATAATTTTTCGAAAAGAAGACACATAACATAGGCACCAATTGGGGTTTGACTCGGTTATCCTCTTTGAGTTTTGCATTATTGGGTGGCTTTTTTTTGTTTACTCTTTCTCCTTCCTACCCTTTTCTGTCTTTTTGTATTTAGAGCTTTGCTTTCAACATTTGTATAGAGGAATGTCAGTTGGTAATATGTGTGTTGACAACTTGACAATCCTTTATAAGCACTAATAACGTTTAATATTTGTCTTATATTTATTCATTATTTATTTGCACATATACGGCTTATGTCAGCTTGTTAGGTCAATGCATCGGTCTTATTGTCCTCAAGTTCGAATCTTTCTATCTAGATTATAGTACTTAAAAAAATATTCCCCGGTAAAAAAAAAATTCATTATTTATGTGCATAAATAACGTTAACATTCGTCTCATATTTATTTTACACTTGTTTTTATCGTTCATGCATGTGAGAGATGGTTAACATTTTTCTTGTATTATTCAATCCTCTCTCTTTTCTGTATTTAAAGCTTTGCTTTCAACGTTGGTGTCTCATAATCGCTAGTATGCGCGAGAATCATGAATAATATTTGACATTTGTCTTATATTTATTTTGCGTGTGTCTCGTATTCGCTGGAATGCGCGAGAGTCGGTGAACATTTGCCTTCTATTTTTCACTCAAAACGTTTTCTTCCTTGTAATGGGATACTTTCAACTTTGGAAGCAAGCGGCAAGTTGCCCTGTCTCTCTGCCTCCAGAACAAAAGTGTTTACACTAAAACTAGAACTCAGTTTGCGTGCACAGCATTACAATGGGCGTGCAAGCACACAACTTTTGGAGTGAAAGAGACAAAGAGCAGCAGCCACTAAGCTTCTTGTTCTCTCTCCAAATATTATGGGATAATATTATCATTAACAAACGAAGCAAGTGACACTTCCATTATTACCATTTAAGTGCTAAACTTTACCATAAAATATCCTTATCTCATACCAAACCCAAGCATCTTGCAAGCTCATAGTGACCTATCAAGTTGACTTAGGCGCATTACATCCAATTCTACAAATTACATCCAATTCTACAATAAACTAAGTATGGGGACGATTTTGACAGATGAGAGACAAGACAACAAGCAAGTTCTAAAATCCATCCAGCTCTAAGAAAAATGGGCAATTGTAATGTATAATATTACTCTTGTAAACACCCACCTGCCCAAAGAAGTTACAATTCACAGCAAAAATGGGATTTTTTTTATTTAAATAATAATAAAAAACTAATATAATCAATGAGGCTGGTAAGGCACTCTGCTATACCAGAAAATTTTAGTTGCACTGACAATCCGCGTCTAATAATACTATGCTACATGGAAATGTTATCACGGGTGTCATAGCATCATTAGCTGAAATAGCAAAATAGTGCTATCTCTGTTTTATGGAAGTCTATCTTCGATGTTGACAGACAGAGGTGATCCAAAGTATATCTTCGCCAAGAAAAAAAACATATATTACTCAGACAAGTCATCCATGTTTCATCAAATCCAGCAACTAGAAGATGACTCAGTATCAGCTTTATTACACGGAAGAAGTATTATACATTATAAGGGAAAAGGCCAAAAAGCTTTCGCTGTGGGCACTTTGAGAACATGCAGCGGAAACGACTTAGTACAAGCAATCAAGTAGAAACATGCGAAAGAAAGATGTGAGTCAATCTAACAAGTCTCCTACAGGAAGAGCTTTTGATCGTGGAAGCCTCTCTACAATTACCTCAAATGGACCCACTTGGTCCTTTTCAATGAATAACACAGGGCAGCACACTAATGCATTAAGATTTGGCTTAACTGCACTAGAGAAATCTTAAGACTGCACGTAGACTATCGGCTACCTTACTCAAGCATGTTTGTCATTTGAACTTGTGTAGTCGAACAGCAATCTTGGATAACGCAAACATGTTTTGAGTTTTGTCAAGTACCCTTGAAACGAATCTGGTAGCTTTGGTGCCCGGTGCAGTTTGTTCTGGGAGAAGGAGCATCTCCTGCTGAGACTATAAAGTCCTGGATATCCAATGACCTAGTCCATACTCTTTGTACTCCGAGGCATAGGAAACTCAAGAATAATTAAGAAATAACATCTTTCTGACTCTCTGATATATTGGACTTCTCCATTCATAAGCTTTAAAATCTTCCTGCACATGCTCAGTCCTAGGCCCTCCTGAGTCATCCATTGACTGCTATGGAACATATCTTGAACTAATTGAGGAGGAAGACCGTCACCAGGACATACCAACCTTCACCATAAACACTGTATTAGTCATTTACATATAAAAACAATATCCATGCCAATAGGCAATAACAATATAAGAAGAAAAGCGCTGCTTTTGTGCATTGCAATTTGCAAGTGATGCCCAACAAGACTAGCCAAGGGATGTTTGAATGGACTATGAAAAAAGTTGGCAGACAGAGATTTTACAATTGTATGCCATTAAGCACATAATCATTCTGGTCAGACTATGCCAAGAGAACGCAAGAGTACAAAACAGATCTTTGCATTACTGACGCATAATCACCCAACCAAATTATTCAACAGACGTCGAGGCTCAGAGACCATGATTGCAATTTTGCTCCTACAAAACATAGCAGATAGTTTTCAAACCTATGGGTTCAACAAGACAGCCACAGTCCAACCCAACAACACCTCCTGGTTGGTTGAGGTTCTTAATTTGAGCCCACGGGACATCAGGTAAAGTCAGGTTGCAAGGACAACTTGCGTACATAATTATCTCGTCACCATCAACATCCAACTAATAATATATAAATACTGAGAAGCCAAAGTACCTGAATTCAGTATGAAGCAGAGTGACTCCATCAGGTACTTTCTTCAAGCTTGGAAGAACATGAATCTCCACCCAACCTTCTGGAGATGGTGCATAACGTACCATATTCAATAAGAAATCAGCTAAGACCTGCTGAATTCTCACTTGATCACCACAAACAGCCAATGTTTTGATTTCTTCAGGAATATCCCGAATCAATTGTAGATCCCTTTCCCTCAGCAATAACATTACTTGGCTAACAACAGCGTTTATGACACTCCCAAGAAAGAATTCTGACTTCTCAAGCTCCAGTGATCTAATTCACCAACCAAAAAAAAACTTAATTGTGTTTTTCCTATTTTCAATTATGAAGAAATTTGGATACAGGTATTAATAATGCAGTCCTAGCTGAAGATATTAAACTGGAGCATGTGAGAAGAATTTTGTTAAAAGCTACTTACCCATCTTCAATGCTATCCAGATCAACATCTTTTATAATCTTCAAAATTTGCTTCTCACAAGCAGCACTAGTCTCCAAAAACTGCTTTTGATCCTCAGTTAAATCTGTAGCCTCCAAAAGTGAGTTGGTAAAGCGTATACCACTTAAAGGATTTTTTATTTCCTGGCAAATGTAAGCCAATTCTTTCATCCTAGAAAAACATTCATTTTCCTGTTGCCTCTGAACTTTAAGAGCTTGCTGCAGTTCTGAACTTGCAATCTGCAAAAAGCAGAAAGCTCCAATAACCTGACCTTCTGCGTTCACCCTCTTATTGGCTGTCAAGAGAGCTTGTACATATTTCCCATTTCGGTCAAAGAATGAAAAGGGAAATTTGTCTGTGTCTAGCCCTCCAATGGCATTGTGTAGGACAATCATGAATTTTGTCATAGCATCCGGACCCTTGAGTCGACAGCAACTGCCAAAGACCTCTCCAACTAACATTTTTCCAAGGATTTCTCCATGGCTCCACCCAGTGAGCTTTGCCATGGCAGTGTTCCATTCCGAGCAACATGTGTTATCATCTGAAGCAAATATAGGAGGGATCAAAGGGTTTGGACTATGAACGATGGCCTTGTAATCACCTTGTATTTTTATGAACTTGTCCATTACTACTTTTTGACCAGTTACGTCCTGACCAACGAAGCAAACTCCAACTATATTACTGGCGTAATCCTTGCTACAGCAAGCATTAACCACCACAAAAACAGGCTTGTTGTCGTGCTCTGGGCCAAATGTCCTCATTTTTATTTCTACATTCTTATCTTCTTCTCCTGCATTGAAAATACTAATATAGTAAAATATTCAATTTTTACCAAAACAGACTTGCTTTCAAAATAAACATTAAACATGTGATCCAAATCATCAAAAATGAAACAAAAATGTATAAAAAATAAAAACTGTTTAGTCCCCTCTCTTGGGCATAATAAGCCAAACTGGCATCAATGTCATCTTCATTTTTTCTTTTTAAGGTAGCATTCAGAAACTTAAACCTACATGGTACATCAACACTCATGTTCTGTCCATGTTCCATTGCTACTAAGCAATCATCTAATTGATCATTTAATAGTCACACGAGAGAATAAGAAATGCATATATTAATACAACACAATACGAGCAATAACTACAATATGAGAATTGCATTGCTAATTCAAGAAAGGATAACATATGTAGATATTTACGGTAAAATTTAATCAAATAGAAGGTACCTAGGCATCACAATGAAACCGTCTCAGTGAACTTCACAACTTGAAGTAAGTCAACTATCAATAAGACAAATAAAGCGAATTTATTTATTTATTTTGGTTTGAAATGATTATATGGCCAAGGTTAGCTTGCGGTTTTACTTGAAATTGAGAATGAGCTGGAAACAATGTCAATAAGACCCCATTAATAAACTTCTCGAATTAAGTATAAATAAAGACATCAGGTCTAGAAAGACTACCTCTTAAAGCGCGGAAAAGAAGTCTGTCAACAATTTCTTCAGATTCTTTGTAAACAAGATCATGAACCAAGGACTTTCCGGTTGCTTCCTCGACTGAGAGACCTGTCAACTCTGCAACCTTTGCATTCCACCCATTTATACATCCATCAACATCTACAGCAAATATGGGAGCAGTTGCTGTCTCTATCAATCTAACCATTTCTCTTGCTACCGAGCTGAGCTCATTGATCCCTTGAAACTCCAGATCACCAAGCTGGGCCTGCGTAACAGCTTTTGAATTGTTTGTCTCTGCATCCTTAAATGAGTCTCTCAAAATAATCTGCAAGGAGTGTATTGCATCCATTTCTGCGTTCTCCCACGGCAAACTACGGCTTTTAACCACTTCCAAAAATGCCTTGAATGAAGAGCGTGGATGCATCCTCTGTCCATCATCCTTGTCCTCTGGATGATGCTTTGCTCCACCCCATTTGATCTCTTTTTCAGTGTGGGATCGGAACCAGAACAGAAAATCCCTCTTAGTGATATAAGCAGCAGCCATCCCACAAACAGCATCGCCCAGAGAGGCAGCTCCAGGGTACCCAGCATCACCCAAACTATCTGTGCTTAAACCTGTTGAACTTCCATGGAAAGCCAACAGCCACTCCACAATGTCCTTTATCTGCGCTTCAGTCGGGGTCACACCTATTGGGTAGTACTTCCCTTGGTAGTATAGTGCAGCCCCGTCACACTTCACAAGGTCCATAATACTAGGACTTTGAGTAACAATGCCAGCTGGGGTGTCACGAAGAAGCATATCACACAAGAGAGTCTGGGTCCTCAAAACATGTTTCTCAGACAATTGTGAAGCCAATTGCAATTCCATATTCAACTGAAGCCCAAAGGCCTGCATTAGGAACTCACAAGCATACCGAAGGGGAAACGGAATGCACCGAACAGAGGTATGGTGGCAAACAACCAGGCCCCATAGTCTCATTGAGTTCCTCCCGCCAATAGCTTCCTCATCATTTCCATTGATGATGACTGCCAAAGCTAGCGAGGCAATGGAGCCCATATTAGCCATATACTGGGAGTGACAACCATGGGGGGCACGAAGTGTGGATCCAACCAAGCACAGAGGCTGCATCAGCCCTTCATCCTGAATTACATGGACCGGCGTGGCATGACAGTCTACTATCATTCTGACCCGGTTCTGCTTGAACAAAAACCTCGACGCCTGAGGTATATCCGTGGCAGGATAGTGCAGCCCAAGATATGGCTCTAAGTCAGGCCTCTTGCTCTCAGCCACAACCTCACCATGCTCATCCTCGTGAAACTTATACACCATAACTCTATCATAACCAGTAAGCTCCCTTACACTCTCAACCGCAGTATCACACAAAATCTTAATGTCCCCACCAGGCAGTGACTGCAGCTGTGAAATTGCCCTCACTGCCAATTTCTGAGACTGAACCGCGCCGGCTATAGACAGCGCAGGGTCCTCTGTTCTAGCAGGCTCCAAATCAATCACAACCCCAACATCAATCCGATGCAGAATTGCGTAAAAGGGCTTTCCAGAAATCTTGGAGTGGATCCAAATTGGGTTCAAAAGTGTAATCTCCCGAGCTCCAAATGCTTTCTCGAGCAAAACTGCGCTGGAGGGCGTCAAGAGTGTACGGACATCAGTCCCAATTGTGAGGATCTCAGGTTTTTCGAGGTTCGGAACTGACTGCGGCGTTAGGTCGAGCAGGTCTCGGGCGTTTTCGCTGTACGCAATGACCCCAAAGGTGGCTTCGTCCACAGCCATCATGCACCCAAAGGGTTGAATATGGCCACCCCTTTGAATTTTGGACAGGTAAGCTGTAATCTGCTGCTCCGGGACTGAGTCTTTGGTGGTCCTCATGCTCTGTGAGTAGTCGAAGGACTTACCAGACTCGCCTGACTGCTCAAACACCGCGTGCAGCCGAGCATCGACGGTGTACTGAGCAATGGCTTTGCTTACAGACTCTGTATTGTTGTGAGCTTTGGCATGGCCTGTGCCCGACGACTGAAGCCACCTGAAGCCATTTGCTGACTTGTTTGTTTTCTTCCTCTGTCTTCACTCACATTTTTTTTTTTTTTTTTTTTTTTTTTTTTTTTGTTTGGTGTGTAAATTTGCAGCGAGTGAGGAAAAGAGGCTAATAAAAGCCGAGAACCCATCTGGCCATAAAAATTTGAGGTCGATCAGAAAATGGGTTGCTGTGAAGCTTGTGACTTGTTGGAGGTGGAGGCTGGTTTTTAGTTGTTTATGTGGTTTAATTGTGAGATGGGTAGAGAGCGAGAGAGGGAGGGGGGGGGGCCTATGAAGCAACGCTCTTTTGGTTTGGTCTTCTTTTTTGTTTTTGCTGTGCTCTGAGAGAACTGAGAAATGAGAATGACACTTCTCTCTCTCTCTCTTTTTCTCATTTGTTTTTTCGTTTGTCTGATTTATCCCTTTTTTTCTGGCCGTTTCTTGGATTTTCATTTTCATTTTCTTTCGGGGGTTATACTTGTGGGCATGGACAGAGCTACGGTGGTGGCGAGAATATAATGGAGGCCATCCGATTGGTGGTCGTGTCCGTTTGGGGAATTGGGCCAATGACAATAATTCTGATGCTGCAGATTTTGTTTTCCTCTTTATAATATTTCTGTCATCCAAGTCGACGTATTTAAATATTCTTGCAACTGACCGTCAAGTCAATTTCCTTCTTCACAAATATAATATAATAAGAAATCAGAAAGGAAGAAACCATTGTCCTTTCTAATTTCAGCGTAAGAAAGTCGTTTCTTTTTCTTCCTATTGCTTGTATTGATATTCCCGAAGTGGATAAGTTCACACCTGCTGCAACATTTATTATAGATTGTGTTACAAATGCTATAATTGACTTGGTTTGAGGTGTAAAAAAGAGATACAAGTATGTCTACTATTTTTGCCCATGGGCAATCCTTGGTTTTGGTTAGCTCAAGTTACTCATTGATATGGCAAGATTGGCTATGCACTAGTTTCAAAACCCCAATTAGTGCTTAAATCTCCCAAGTTATAGTTCATTATTGCCCAGTAGAAGTTAATCAAAACATTAGCCTCTGTTAAAATACAGACCGGCACACAAAATATGGACCAAAGAAACCGAATAAAAAGAAAACGGTATGTGAGGGACAAATTTCTATTTATTCATTGACCTTTCTTTTTTTGTTTTTGTTTTTTTTGGGAGAGGACAAAACATGCCCAAGAGAATATCCACTCTACTCTATTCTCTCCTAAAACCCCAGAAAGTGAAACCAAGAAATTTTATAGGAAAACATAACTTTGTTTAGTAAACTGATCGAGGGTTGTCCCTTTATGAACTTTGGATACAACTTACAAATGAAGATACTCAACTCCAGCATTTGCAATACAAACACTATTCTAACAACTGAACAACTCAAGGACCTTGAAGACAACAATGCTCGTCGAAAGCAGGTAAGTCGGCTTTGCACCTGCTATCTGAGAGCCTTTCACTTGGTGTAAAGAACATCCTCCCATGGGTGGCGGTATAGGGGCTGCTTCAATCTCTTCTGGTCAAAAGTGTGCCTGAGATGAAGGGCAGGGAGTAATCAGTCAGGTAAAAGGATATTTTACAGAAATTCTAAGGACTACATCATATATAAAGCAGAAAATGATGTCCTCTCTCCTATGTTTATCTGACCCACCACGGAACCTCATTGTCATCAAGGACAATCGTTTGTTTCGTATTACTCTCAATGACAAAGCTAGGGTATCTAAACCTATATATAAACCCAACAAATAAGAATTGACTACTTGAGTTATTAATAAGTCCTATCTGCATCAGCCACAACAGGACCGTAGGACCACCTAATCTGTTTAGCGACCTTTCAAGTCCAAATGCATTTTCCTTTGGTGTAAAGAAGCTATGTGCCTATGTAGAATCAATTCTTCAAGTGTCTATATCCAGAATTTGAGTCTACCTAGCCAATGAAATTTTTTTAATACTCACCCAATCAAACCGATGGAACGTGCCAGCACAAAAAGCCCATTCAGATAGCCAATATCAACAATCTCATCAATCTCTTGCTTGCTGAACATTCCACTGCCTGCAAGAAGATCCAAGAACAGGGTTCCAATAGCACCATCGACATTAAGGACCAGGTTGTTTGCCTTTGAGAGTGTGTAGGTTTCAACTTGTACTGCATATTCCATGTACTTGACAGAAGGGAAATGTGTGCGTGCGAACGCTTGTAGCAGCTCTACTCTCTTATCTCTGTTGTCCCCTCTCTTGATCCTTTTCCACAGCAAAGAAACAAGAACTTCCAACAATAAGATTTCTTATGCAACTACTAAATGCATTAAAGATTGAAACCCCAAGTTTATACTATTGCATAATATTGAAAACTCTCAATACCTGTGCCCAATCCCTGGCACACGAATGCCTTTCTTTTTCATACTCTCGACAAATTCATAAGGTGTAAGATTCTGATGAAACACAGCAGAGGGATAGCTTGTTAGAGTTAAAACATTATTTTAACATTTAAGCGTTGAGTTATTACACACAAAATGTCCAATAAAGCTCACCCTGTCATATGCATCCTTGAAGTATCGAGCAGCATCATCAACGGCACCACCAAATCGGGGACCAATTGTGAGCAAACCTGTTTCAAAGGCTCATATATAATTATTCCATAACCAAATCATCTCTGAGAAGCCCAGTCCTTAAAGTAGAAAATTTTATAACAAAGTATAGAACATTCAGTGGTAAAATATCTACCTGAGACAAGGCTGGAAACAAGGTCCTTGCCGGCCCTAGCAGTTACTATTGTGTTGTGAGCTCCAGAGACGCAAGGACCATGGTCAGCACATAACATGATGCATATCTGAAATGAATGTCATATGTATTAGTGAAAGAGGCTAGAATACACAATTTTGATCCTAGAGCAATCACAGCTAGATTTTTAGTAAACAAAAGTTAAACAGAAGGGTGAAGAAGTATGAATAAGAAGCTCCATAGTAATCAGGAATCTACCTCAATAAACTGAGTACAATAACGGGGAAGGCTGCGCTTGAACCACAAAAGAGAGATAACATCACCCACACCGTAACCCTGCTCAACAATGGAGGACATAGGTACACCAGCATAGCATGGTTCCTCACCTGCAAAGTGGATTAAAAGAAGTCAATGAAACTGATGTCTAAATATCAAACATGTGAGTAATATATAGGAATGTCGTTGGATTTAATACATACCTCTATCATCAGAGATTGTGGATATAATGTGAGTTGGAGCCCGAACTTTTCCACTCTTAATTGCAGAGTTAAGATCTTCAGGTATTTGTGGAGGCTTAAATTCCTTCACTGGTGTAATCTTCCCTTGTTCAACCTGTGGAAATCAACCAAATATGTAAGCTTAGACAGCCACGGACACTAATGGAATTAGAGAACTTTTCAAGCAATCTTTGTGGTGGTTATCCTCAAGGTATGCTGTAAATTACCAGTTTTTCAAAGGTTTCCTTGATAGCAGTTTCTAAAGCTTCATATGAAGTGGGAACAACAGCTCCAGCATCCCTCAAGGCTTGATTCTTTGCTTGTGCAGACTCCAACTCACCACCACTTTTTGCGCCCTGATTTAAACATTGTGAAGGACGATTTAGAATTTTTAACCCTTTTACTTTCTTGGGAAGAGATTAGTCAAGAGCAACTGAGATGACAACTTACAGCATGACCAAATTGTACTTCGGATTTGAAAAGCCTTGCGCAAGTTCCACTAACCCATGCAACGACTGGTTTGGAAACTTTCCCCTGTTTCAAAGCTTCAACTAGAGAATACTCATCGCTCCCACCAAGTTCCCCAAGTACAACAATAAGTTTAACCTGCATTAGATCAAGAAATCAGATTGCAAATTTCAGGATGCTGATGCCCCCAAACAAAATGCAAAAATGGACAGGCCCTGAAGAGAAGTAAATGAAAGCCAAATTTACCTGGGGGATATTGTTAAACCGCAGAACATGGTCAGAAAGAGTAGAACCTGGGAACACATCTCCTCCAATAGCAATACCTAAAGAGTTTCAAGAACATACCCAAATTTTACAACCTTGCTTAAATATTAAATCAGTTATGAAGACTAAATTAAGCAGACCAAACGTAGATACCTTCAAAAAGCCCATCTGTTACACGAGCCACAGTATTGTATAATTCATTAGACATCCCACCCTGCAATTGCAACATATTTTATTATTTTAAGAATTCTAAACAAAAATATGAGTTTCTTGACAATGCACACCGCAACGCAGTTTGAATAAATATGTGGAAACTCATGGCACATTGCAGAACTAGAACTATTCTCAGTAGTTTCTAAAACTAAGGGCATAGGACTTAAATGAATAAACTTGATCAGACATTAAATACAAAAGTATAATGTAATTTGCTAGATGTTTAATGTATATACATTTTGACATATACATTTACCAAAATTATACGAAAGTTTATGATATTGACTTCTGCGTGGGCATAAAGAATGCTCAACAATGGAACAAAACAGAATGCAAGAAAGAAAATGAAAAAAAAAAAGCACTGGAATAGCTACATACAGATTTGGAGACAAAACCAACAGATCCAGGCCTGTACAGCTTGCAGTGAATTATGTTATCAATTGTTCCAGCAGTGTCACCAATCTTAAAAGCACCAGCTTGAATTCCTCCAACAGTAGCTGGGCCAATAACAACCTGAAAATTATATGATCATTCGAGTGAGTACTGCCTGTTCATTTTCATAGTTAGTGCAATTCAGAAGACGTTGTATCTATTGTCTAACCTTGTTGTTTGCTCGTGCATACGCGATCAATTGCTTAGCGTCTGACTCAGGTACACCTTCAGCAATGATTGCAACAACTCTAATCGTTGGTTGCTTCAGAGCAGCCATGGAGGAAGCGGCAGCACTGCAGATAAGTCAACATATATTCAGGATCGAAATTCTGCACTCCAATAAACTTCTCACAAAATAAGCACTGACCTTCTAAAGGAAGCAAAGTTGATGAAGACATCGGCAGTAGGATGTGCTGCACAAGATGCTTCAATGCTGCAACAGTTATCAAAATGAAGGTCAGGCAATCTCAAACTCAGAAAGTAAAAAAAAAATCAATGACAACAGATCAACAATGAAATTTGATTAATAACTTAATTGGCATGCTTCAGTTATGTTAAGACTAACTGCACATATACATACGGTGGATTGCAGCTAAAAAAGACAAATGAAATCTAAGAAGAGAATGAAAGAATGGTGACTTACGTTGAGTGCACTGGTATGGCGATCTCCTCTTGACCGAAAAAGAGTTTCTGAAATCCCTCAGCACCGGGGTTAATGATTCCAGCAACGGACGGTGTTTCCCTCCCTATTACAAAGCTCAGTTACTACATTTACATTTTTATTCTAAAAGAATTCAAGTATGATATCAAAATTAGGAACTGATACACACCACAAAGGAAGTCAAAATCCAGCATGCGCTGGATTGGGAGCTGCTTGTAGTTGTAGAACAACGCTTGAGTGGTGCACGAGAAAAGTTGTCCGGTGGCCATGGTTTCGGGTCAAGGCAACCTCCGGTTTCTGAACATACAATAAGAAACCAAAACTGTCAACTAATGACACTGATGCATCACACATGAATACATGATTCATACAAATTCATAGCCCTTGTTTCAATAATTATGGGTTTAGGCAGAAGCATTTAGAATTAAGTAGATCAAAATGAAATCATCCAGTTAGGTAGATCTAGAGGCACAATATTGGTCAAATTTCTGTTAGCTAAAGCACACCTAAAGCCAACCAGATCGCAATTATAGTTACCTAACAGATCTCTACGCAATGCACCTAACAAACCAACCAACCCAAACAAACCCCAACCAACCCAATTGTCCAAGATGAGAGAAGCAGAAGCAGATCTTAAGCTTCCTCCTAAACTCCTATTTCCATTTATATCACTAAACAATGTAAACAAAACAAAACAGAGGATCAATTTTTCCTCGACGACATCAAAACCAGGGGAAATTTCAAATACGGACAAGAAATGGGATCCCAGAAACGGAACCAAACAGCGGATCTCGTAATCCATGGCTGTTAGTTGGAGGGTCAATCGGAAATAGTAGAAGAAGGAGAGGAATTGGAGTTTACCTGTGAGGCTGTGAGAGTGGAATTTGGGATTTGGGGGCAATGTAAATGCTGGAATTTAGGGGGGATAGAGGAAGTGTTTAAATAGAGAGAGAGATATATAGAGAGGAGAAGGGAAGAGAGAGAGGGGTTGGGTTGAGGCACTGAGACGGAGAGGTTGCTACCAACGAGAGAGAAGGGGGGAAGGAGGGCGGGGTGAGCTGGTCACGTGGCGCTGGGTAGTTAGCTCACTGTGACTTTTTTTTTTTTTTTTTTTTTTTTTTTTGTTTTTTTTTTTTTTATTTTTTTTATATCTGGTTGGTTGGCGCTGTACAAAATTTACTCCTCTTGCTTCGTTCATTATTGTATGTGACGAGGTGAGAGAGAGAGAGAGAGAGAGAGAGTGGTGGGCTGGGGGGAGGTTGGTAGATCCAGGACTAGGGTTGGCGCTTGACCACTAAAATGGACAATTTTATTTCACACGAGTTTCTTTTCTATAATTCCATTACTTATAAACTACCCTCTAAATAAGTTTAAATTGCAAACCCACCATTAACTCTTTTTCTTTTTCTTTTTATGCCAACAACTACGGCCATAAATTATTATAATGAATGAAGCTCTCTCTGCTTCGGTCCCAAGAAGAAAAGGGAAACAAGGATTTCAATACAATTTTGTTTTCCTTGTCCAAGTAATGTTATTCATAAGATTTATGTATATATTAGCAAAAATTAATGGGTTTTTTTATAATACAAGTAATATAGTAGGGGAGATCAAACCTAAGATCTCGGTTGGAGAGTTTAAGTGCTTGGCTTAGAGCATTGGCAGTAAGGGAGGGAAGGGGGGGGGTTTGGGGAGGGACGCAAAACAAGAAGTTGCCATGGCAAGCAGTGGGGCCCACATACCTGGGCTAGCCAGAGGGGGAGGCTGGCCCGAGCGCCAGCCCGCGAGCTGTGCTGACGTCACGACGACGTTAGTTGGGGTTTAATTTTTTTTAAAGTTGGCGTGTGCAATGCACACGCCAACTTTAAAAAAAATTTGACGCGACACTACAGTGACCGCCCAACGACTCTCTTCTATGTGTCTTCTGCTAGGCCATCCGATCAGCTTTTTAAACATATCCAACGGCAACCATTTTTTCGCGAATAAAAAAATTGAAAAAACAACCCCCAACGGCTCTCTGCCACGTGGAAACTCCTGGGCTCTCCGATCCTTTTTTTCCAACAATCCAACGGCAGATAATTTTTTGCCCAATAAAAAAATCAAAAAAAATCAAAAAAAATTTAAACAAATACAAAAAAAATACTGATTTTTTTTTTCTATAAATACCAACCAATACTCTTCACTTTTAACACCAACTCCTCATACATTTTCTTCTCCTTCTACTATTTTTCACTTTCTACTCAATTTTGAAATGTATCTGAAATTTGAAACCGAAAATCTGATCCGATATGAATAGTATTGACACGTATGAACCCAAAATCTTATCTGAAAATATTATCCAAATTAATTGTTTAAGTAAACAAAGTTGTGAAAAAAAACAAAAAAATGAATATTATTTGCCATGACAAGCCTTGCACTGCTGGAAACACAATTTTTTGTGTGTGCTAGGGCATGCACTATTCACGTGAATAGTAGCTGCCCTAGGGCTCCCCTTGCCATGGCAAGAGGCTAACTGGTGGAAGTGCTCTTAATCACTTGAGGTAAAAGCCCATTACATGAGTTTTAAGTATTAGAAATTTGGAAGATATTAATATGGTTTGTTGGTAGATTTCTATTGGAAAATTTTAACTCAGTCTCATAATTGGTGAGTGTAGACGGTGAGTACAAAATATCGAAATATTTCTTATTAAATAACTACATTTTGTTTATGGGAAATGAGGATTGGGGTGGGAAATAAATTGTTTTCTCATGTTTGGTAAGTCCAGATATGGTAAATGTTTGCCTGGCACATGAGGAAATAAGGGAGAAATGTAACATTCCTCCCCATTGGGTTTCATTTTCCATTCCCATGGGAAACTTTAGGAAAATGAACCAACATTAAATTTAAATGCACATTTTTCATGATCATTTTGTCTCATTTAATAATTTAGAATTACAATATAGCAATAAATGCATTATTCTTTATTTGATTTCATATGGGTATAATTGGAAAATTAAATCAATTTTGTTTTACATTCCTACACAAACCAAACATGGAAAATGAAATAAAATGATATTTCCTGATTACTTTTCTACCATTACCAAACATGAGAAATAAATCTTCCATTTCTCATCTCTTGGGAAAAGTCATGGGAAATTATTTCTCATCAAATTCTTTCCACGATCCAAACGAGTTTGTGTTGTGATTTATAAACTGCTCATTTGCAATCACCCAACTTTTTATTTAATGGTATTTTTCTTTCTAACAGCGGAAGAAATTGCAATTTATATTTCCCTGTACATAGTTTTAAAATATAGATATTGAATCAAAACGGTGTGAACCAAATGCGTCCTTATGAACAAGGTATGGAATAAGTGTAGCCACCCATAGCTGTCAAAATGGGTTTGACATTCAGCATGTGTGCAATTCATGTATTTTTCTTGATTGAGATTTTTGCTCTCCTTGTGCTCGATTAAAGTCCTGAAAGGAAAATTTCCATTGTGGTCCAAAACAATATAAAGCTCCCTGTTAGTGAGTTTCAACTTTCAAATATCAACCTCAGTCAGTGTTGGTGCTTGAATGCACATTCTACTAAGCCAATTTTTCCACATGCAATGCAATGAAGTGATCATTTATATATTTAGGCTCCGTTTGGGATTGCTTTTTTTGGTCAAAAACCTGCTTCACTTTAAAGTTAAGCAGTTTAAGGTTTTTGGTAAAAATAAAATATCCCGATTATTTTAAAAGCAGTGGCCATTTAACAGCAGCTTTTAAAAGCAGGCTCTGGGTTGCTTTTTAAGTCTGCTTTCAAAAGAAGCATATATGAACTTTTAATGAATTTTTTTAATTTCCAAGATACCATAATTCATTTTAAAAAATGACATCACCTCCACTTCCACATCCAACTCCACCATTTGCACCACCACATTCACTACCTCAACAACCACCGCCACCACCACCACCACCACCACATCCTTCTCCTCCTCATCCTCCGCCACCACCACCACAACCACCACCTCCTCCACCACCTTCACCACCACCTCCTCCACCTCCTCCTTCACCTCCACCACCTCCTCCACCTCCACCTCCACCTCCACCACCACCACCACCACCACCACCATCACCAGTACTACCACCACCACCAGCATCACTACCACCACAACCACCACCTCCTCCAAAACCTCCACATCCACTACCACCTCCACAACCAACACCACAACCACCACCATGCTGCCACAACCACCATCACCACCACCTCCACAATCGCCATCCCCACCACCACCACCATCACTACCACTACCACAACCACCAACTCCACCTTCATCACCACCACTACCTCCACTCCATCATCACTACTACCACCACATGATTAGTACATAACACTTTTAACATCATGTCTATTTTAGTCATTATTCACAGTTACAACAATTTTATATTAAAATGTACCAAACGGTTTTGACACTGCTTTTTATACAAACAACACTTTAAAAATATTGTTTACCAAACATAGGGCTGTTTTACTTTACAGCTAATTATTTTCAAAATACAGTAGAAACAACTTTTTTTAAAAGTGACAGCAATCCCAAACTGGACCTTAGAGTGCGGACAGTGGCGGACCTGTGTAGGCGCAAGGAGGTGCACCTGCACCTCCGGTCGCCGGAAAACACCATAAAACCTGCTGATGTTGCACCTCTGCTCATGCACAGAAGATGTTCGATGAAATGCGCAAGTGAATTGTGCTGCTGCGCGTAGCTCTTGAATGAAATGATGGAGGATGGGGTGGAGCCCAACGCATTTACTTACTCATCCGCTTTGAAAGCATGCGCCCACCTGGAAACCGTTCTGCACAGGAAATTGATTCACTCCTCAGCAAATAAAAGTCCTGCCATGTCTAATGTTTTTGTGGGTATGTAACAGAGGCATTTCAAGTTTTTGACAGCATGCCAGAACAGAATTTGGTTTCTTGGAAGGCTATGATAGTGGGTTATGCAAAGAATGGTCTTTGCCAGGAGGCTATGAAGCTCATGTATCGAATGCGAACAGAGGGTTTTGAGGTGGATGATTACATCCTTGCCACTGTTCTTACTGCACGTGGAGACCTTCTTTTTTAAAATAAAAAAAAGCTTGGCCAAAACGACATCATTTTGGACCAGAGTTTTAAAATAAAAAAGATATAAAAAAAAGGGGAAACTGATGAGCCATTCATGGGCTTCTAAAGGGATTTTATAATTCTTACCTAATTGGGTTTAATTTGGAACTTCTCTTTATTCAATTGGGTTTTGGAAATTCCTTAACTGAGTGGAATTGAGAATTCTTCTTCAAATAAAAAAACAAATTTAACAAATATCATGTATCCAAAGTTATGTGTGCATCAGCAAGAGTCTTGCGTTTTTTCTTCCTTTTTTTTTTTTTTTTTTTTTTTTTTTTTTTTTTTTTTTTTAGTTTAGTTTTAAGAATTGCACATCCACTGAAAAATTCCTAGATCCGCCGCTGAGTGCGGACATACCATTTAGACCTTCGTTGTTTTTAACATATTCCTCTCTCGTTCTTTACGAATTAACAACTAAGTTTAGTGTTTTTTATTTATTATTTATTATTTAAACTTAACGGTGTTAAGTTGGAGTTAATTAAATAGGTATATGTCAAAAGTTAAAAATTGATATGTCATATCTTAGTCGTTAGATTATTAGAATGGTTAAGATCTTGCAAAATACAGATAAATACATAATGACTAAAATATAGAGTCTCGAGATCCGTTTAACTTATGAGGCTATAAGTTTTTTTTTCTCTAATAAGTTAAATATTTTTAGCGAGGCTTTCAAGAGAAGGATAATGCAATTTTTTCTTTTATTTTGAAGTTTAAATAAAGTAAAACTTGAGTGAAGCATTATGCCAAGTTTGAACAAGTCTTTGCCTGCATTTAGATACTCTAAAGTCTACACGTTGAAGGATATTTAGATATTTTTTGTTGGCTTGTAAATGTTCAAAGAAAGTGGCCAAAACCCAGTTGGTCAAAATTAACAAAAAACAGTATCTCTCATCAACTCAGAGAGAATAAACGATACTCTGCAACCATTACTGTGATCAGACTCCAGTGGCAACATTAGTCAACTGCCGCTTTCTTTTTTTTTCTTTTTTCTTTTTTTCCCTTTTTTGGTCTGAGCTGCCTTGTTTTTTTTCTTTCCTCAACATGGACTTTCATATCTATGTGTATATACAATCCAATTCTATTCAGGAATTCCTCAAAATTATTTGAGGAACACTCTTTAAGATCCCCTATGATTTTTTTAACGATCAAAACCATCTATTTCTTAAGTCTACATTAATAGATTATTCTTACAAAAAATTAGACAAATTGGAAACTATTTCGACATCTAATTGTGTCTCACTAAACTTTCAATAATTCAATTGAGTGGTCAAATGATGTCGGATTCAAGTGATTTTTTTTAGAGCTGATCTTTAAATGAATATCTACAAAATAGATGGTTTGGATTAGTGAAATACAATACGAAGTGGGCCATACAAAGGTGTCCCTCAAATAAGTTTATTTGTAGAATCCCTCAACTGACGCTCTATATATATATATTCAAAATTATCAATTAGGAATTTATACCTTCATTCTTGGTTGAAATAACATATGTTTTTTTTTCTTCTTCTCAAATTTCTCTTTTTATTTTAATGATATATATACTTTTTTTTTTCAAGTGATATTGGAGAAATCAAACCTAAGACCTCGAGTGCATAATATATTAAAATACTATTGTATCAACAAATACACCACATTAACATATTATTAAGGAGAGGTTCTACAAAATAGATAACAAAAATAGACTGCCAACATAGTTAAACAACTGGTTGAAAAATTCTTCTTTGTTTACTTTTGAAACCAAATGTCAATCGAATATACATATGACCTATGACACATTTGAACATTTCTCTTTGCACTTGGTTCCGCATTTAAAATGTATACAAGTTACAACATGCGTTTGAAATTTTGTTTTCTTTGATTTGGACATAGTAAATCCTAGTCATTCTAGTCAAATTTCTCCAGCAACATCTGGCCATGTCACTCTAACCCAATTGACATTCATGCATATATGCCATTTTTCTTGGAATTTAAAATATCGGTCTACGTAACTATACCAACGTCCAAAGAAGAATTGTTACCTAACTCTCTTTTATTTTTTCTTTCTTCATTTTACAATCAGAAATCTGCTCTTCAAACTGAAAAACAAAAGAAAAGAAAAACATAAGAGACAAATAATTGAAAGTTGCGAGCCCCTGAGCGCACATATGAAATGGCAAATTATTGTAAAAAAAATCTATTGCCTTTGAAGGGGGAAACGCTCGTGTGAAATGAGGATATCAATATTTTGTTATTTTTGACCAATTACGACATGTCACACGCGATTATTTTTTTATGTAATAATATGTGATTTATCGGAAATGACAAAATAGTGCTACCTCCGTTATACAAGTTTTTCTGCTTTGAAAAGCAGCACAATCGGTTGGGGTGGGTTCTAAATGAATGGCCATGAAAATTAGCTGCGACAATACTGTTGCAGAGAAACTGATGTCACAACCAACCACGTGACGCTGCGTTTCACAATGATTGCACAACTAAACAAGTATGAAGATGAAGATGAAGATGGGTCCATTTTGACTTAAACCAAGTGTCCTTGCTTCATATTCTTCAAATTTTTTTTTTTCTGAGTTTGAATTATTCCCAGTTGGTGTTCTCAGTTGGCTTAATTACTTTTTTGGGTCAACCTCAGTTGGCTTGATGAAAATCATTATGGCCATTCCTCTACGCTAAGCCACAATTCAATTGCATGAATAATATAAACCAAATGGTTCACACTATAATATTTATATTGCAGCCCCTCATCATTGACTAGAGCATATATATGGAGTTTTGGACTGATGTTACCTATATCGTGTAGAGCATTTGATCGAGAATAGATTTATAAAAAGAATTTGAAACCCTTTAAATCCATATTGCAATGCTATTTTAATTATAAGCCACCCAATCAATGATGCTAAGTTGTTTATTTCAGCATAGTTGGTGTCGACTTGTATTTGTTTTTTTCCTTTTTCCCTTTTCTTTGCCTCCGAGTTTAGATATCGGGATATCATTTTTAATTAACCTAATTCATGAGTTTTTCAGGTATTGAATTACATATTGTAAGGTGAAATCACATATTTTTTTGTTTTCGTATGTGTTAATAAATACATAGAAAGTTACAAAACAGAATAACTTTAATATCCATGTGTTAGTAAACACACGTGAATTTAGAATCAGAATAATTTCAATACCCTTTTCAACTAAGTAAATATGTCATTAGAGACTAATTCCTACACAGTATAGAGAGTCAATCTCGATGTGTAGTGTGCAATAACATATTATTTGCAATACGGCTATGCACGTTGAAAAGGAAGGTGTAAACAGTCTACCTGCTCGAAGTGGACTGACGCAATCGACCCTACACCAATTCATTTGAGATAACAACAATTAGCCATACATAGTTGCTGATCACTATATTTTTGTTGGTTAAATGTTTTCGCATTCCTAAGCGAAAATTTAAAGGTCTTAAATTACAGATTCAAATGGTATGATTGATATCCGCCATGCATCAACCATGGCATTCAGCAATCTCTTCAGTGAGTCAGAAGCATAAACTTGTTTAGGAAAAGAAAGATTTGCAGATCACTCTATCGTTCAAAGCTAAGCCAATCCATGAAGCAGAAGCGTTGCTTTTGCTACGTTCTGTTTCTGGTGATAAGATGGCTGTGGATGCGGCAAAAGTACTTCAAGAGAGTGTTCGCAATCCCACATCGGCCACTTCAAGAAAGGAGGAGAAGGAGCTGTGTATAAAACAAACAGCACAACAGAGGATTAAGCATACCTTTCTCGGCCTTTTGGCTAAGATCAAGTGTAGTATCTGTTCTTATCAGTTTAATATCTGATACGTGGGCCAATGGCCCACACGATATTAAATTAATTTCTTTAGGGGGAGGGCCCAACACAGTAGCTTGCTACTGGGGTTCTCAAGCGTCGCCCAAGCGTTGCACTATTGCATGGGCCTGGCGCACCCCACCAAAACAAGTTTAAGCCTTTTACAGCCTAGCCGAAACTGTTGATCATGATTTATGTCATTGACTACCCCAAACACCTTAAAAATAATTATTAAATTAAAAAAATAAATAGCAAATGCACCAACATTTTCTCTCTTTTTAATTTCCCTACATCGCAATTTTTTTTTTAAAAAAATTAAATATAAATATCAGACAAAAGAAAAAAGTTTTGGTTTTCAAATGCTATATGTTTCTGTATGGGAATGGGAGACACTTGACTTATTACGAGACAATATCAAAGTGTCTTTTTTCGCTAATACTGAAGACTGACTTTACTTTGAAAATTCGAAAGGAAACTTAAAAGTGGATCCATTTGGATCACCTTGATGGTCCATTAGTAATTTTACTCAAGCTTTGGCTTTTGAACCCCTTCATTCAACCCCTCACCAAAATCCCCCTCATTATAGCATTTCCGTCCTCAGACAGTTGTTAGAAATGAAGATGAGATTCATGCACTATCAAAGTGAATGCAAAACTGCCACCTTCAGCTAGCGAGCTACTTGGTGCCTCAATGACAGAAGTTCAATACTTGTTGGAAGCATTTTGTGGCCCCGAGCAAGCCAAACCTTGAGCGGGGATTAATTCCACCATTTGGGTGTGAGGACACTTTGTGGTATTTAACCAAAAAAATGAAGGCAAAACTATATTTTTGATACAAGCGATACTGAATTGGGAATTGAACATAAAAGACCTCAGACAATATCAAAGTTTACTTTTCATCTTGACTAATACTAAAAACTGACTTTACTTTGGAAATTCGAAACAAAACGTGAAAGTGAAATCCATTTGGATCACCTTGATGATCCACTAGTAATCTTACTTGGGCTTTTGTGCCCTTGTGACCATTGTATGATTTGGTCATGGGTTTGTCATAAGCCTTTTGCCTTTGGATAATTTCTTTTGTTAATTTCCCATGTCCTCATAATCACTCAGTTTTTTCTAATATTAATTTGGTGTCAATTTGGGGGTCCATGTTGGTTATTTACATCCTTACCGGATAGATGTTAGAAATGATGATGAGATTCATGCACTATCAAAGTGAAGGCAAAACTATGTTTTTTATATAAGCGATACTGGATTGGGAATTAAGCCTAAAAGACCTCGGACACAAAGATAAATGTTTTTAACAAATCCCTTACAAAAGAAAACTGTGTTAAAACATACACAAAACTGAAACACATCTGTTTACATTTAAGCTAGATTTGTGTTGAAAAGAAGGGTAGTAATTAGAAGAGAAGAATATAGAACATACAATCAATTTACAAGACATTAAGCTACCAGATGATATATGCCTTGAATCAAGACACCTATGCTCATGAAAATTTGTCCACTTCTGTGTTTCAAAAACCATGTTAAGACATAGGAATATTATAGTTGACCATAGAAGGTATAGTGATGAGCATATTAGAATTGTTCTCTCTCTCTCTCTCTCTCTCTCTCTCTGTGAGAATCTACGAACTCACACACGTGGAAAAATTGGCATAATATAATATTTCCATGCACAATAAAATAGCCAACCAAGTCTCACACGCACTACTCACCTAATCCCAAATGTATAATGGCAATCACTCAAACCTTAGCATATTATATGTGCAGCATTCAGGGACGGATCCAGGAATTTTATGTCGTAGGGTCATAGTGTAAAAAGCGGCAATGGAGGAGTTGGGGCTTAAAGGCTTGGTGGGGAGAGGGTTAAAGGTTTGGGGGGGGTGGAGATTGGGGATTTAGGTTTGAGGGTTTAGAAAATGGGGGTTTTGGAGTTGAAAACTCGGGAGAGATGGAGGGTCTATGTATATACAATCTGTTCTCTTTTTTTTTTAAAGACCTGGACCAAAACGATGTCGTTTTGGCCAGGTCTTTTAAAAAAAATTCGGTGCTGTGCTGCTGGTCCAAAACGACGTCGTTTTGGCCAACGCAGTTTTTTTTAAAAAAAATTCGCTACCAAAACGACGCCGTTTTGGCAGTGGGTTTAAAAAAAAAAGGCGCTGGTCCAAAACGATGCCGTTTTGGCCAGCCTGTTTTTAAAAAAAAATTAGAAGCTGGGCCAAAACGACGCCGTTTTGGCCAGCTTCTTTTGAAAAAAAAACATATTTCTGTTCATCTTCTTCTTCCTCAGTACCTGCAACTCCTTCTTCAGCCTTTCATGGGGTCACACCCCAATTCAAAGGGACCTTCTACCTTACTTGCTTGGAGTCCATAGGGTCGTTTGACCCCATTGACCCCACTGTGGGTCCGTCCCTGGCAGCATTGAATATAGATCAGTTTTCAAACCCTCCTGCTTCCAAAGATGAAGAGTTTAAAATCTCTAACACTCATACTTCTCATTCAAATTGCCTTCCTTCCAATATTCCATTGCAGAATCTTATTCCCAATGGCAAGAAAACACCAAATTACGATCATTGCGAGGGTTTTCTTGATCCACCAGGTTTGTGATCTCTGACGTTCAGTCGAACGGCAGCTTGAAACCACTTAGGGCGAAGGTGCAGAAATGGGGTGCAAACAGACACAAATTCTAATTTCCTGTGTGCTCTATTTGGGCAAGTAAAAACAACCATTATGTAAAACAAAATCAAGTTGGATTTGCTTATAATCCACAATTATCCACTTAACATTTGGTGGCAGAACAATTTTTTTCTCCTTTATTTTTGGTTTGGTTTTGTTTTGTGTGTAAGACTATGAGCTCATTGGCATTACAACATTGGAACATAGCCAACAAAGTTTTCAACCCTTTGTCCTGCTTTCAAAGATGGCAGAGCAAGGCATGAATGATGCTGCCAATGAGGTTGAATATTTATCTTTAGCACCTTAGAGCCCGTTTGATAACCATTTCAATTTTAGTTTTTAGTTTTTATTTTTTGTGCTAGAGTATAGAGGAAAAAGAGAGAGAATGGAAGTGAGAATAAGAAGTGGGATTGAGAGGGAATATAAGAGGAGATGATGGGAGGGAATAGTAACAAAAGCGAAAACAAAAACTAAAAACTGAAATCTATTATGAAATTGTTTTCATTTTCAAGTTTTTGTTTTCACTTTGTTACTCCTTACTCTCGGCCTCTCATCATCTCTCTCAATCTCATCCTCCCTCTCATTTTCCTTTATACTCTAGCATAAAATATAAAAAATAAAAACTAAAATTGAGATTATTATCAAACGGGCTTTTAGCAAATCAATAAATTGGTTCAGTTTCTAAAATATTTTATAATTACCGGATGATTTATACCTATGATGATAATAAGGCTGTGGAGAGGTTTTAGATGTACTTGCATTGACGCACAAAAACAGCAAAGATTTCTTCAAGAAAGGGTATTGACAATCCCATTGTCCCACATCGACCAGTTGAAGGAAGGAGGAGAACGGAGATGTGTATAAAAAAATGAGCCCTAGACAGAGAGAAGCATACCTTTCTCGGCCTTTTGGCTAAGATCAAGTGTAGTATCTGTTCTTATCAGTTTAATATCTGATACGTGGGCCAATGGCCCACACGATATTAAATTAATTTCTTTAGGGGGAGGTCCCACAACAGTAGCTTGCTACTGGGTCTCTCAAGCGTCGCCCAAGCGTTGCACTACTGCATGGGCCTGGCGCACCCCACCAAAACAAGTTCAAATATTTCCCAGCCTACTAACAAGAATTTAGTGGAAAAATTAAAACCCACCTAAAACAGAACTTATAATGTGAAGTACTGATTTGTTATGACATTGCTATGAGGGAATTTGAAATGGGGAAAGACTTGACAGTTCCGACAATAGAAAGGGCCTCTCTAAGTGCCTGGAGGAGATGGTCTGGATAATCCTCCATACTAGCAATGCCATGCTGTGATTGCATATTACTTAGGATTCTTCCCACAATCTGAACAAAAAATATGAACCTTTGTCCGTGAAAATAGTACCATTGCCAAAACTAGAATGTGTCTCCTAGCCACAAATTTTTGGGCAAAAACTTCAAAACAGCAGTGAAAAAATGATAACTGAACGTGTTAGGAAGGATAGAGTTCAAAGTGAATAGAATAAGACTGACCTTTCGTGCATAGCCACCATAAGCAACACCTCCGATTATAGCATGCACCGAACTAGACGTTCCAGTTAATATTTCATCCCTTGAGTTTCCTGTAAAAAAATTGGAATAAAAAATTTGCAAAAGAACAGAGAGTGCTTGACCAGATGAGAGGAGGAATTCTGTTACTATGGAAGGATGTCGTTTGGAAAAGTCCGACTTTCTTCAACCCATCAACTGTGTGAGCATTGGTGCCACCCGCCAGTTGAAGAAAACCTGCCATTTTCAAGGGATCAAAAGAAAGCTCTGTAGTCTGTACCAAGGGTGAATAGCAGATCATATGTACAAACCATGAGGCCTGTCTTTTATTGCAGCCAAACGAAGAGCAAAAGCAATCGATTCTCTTGTGGCACCTCGACCAATATCTCCACTCATGGGGCGGCCATCCAACTTCAGTTTACAGGTTTTTAATGCAGGTAGAAAGCCAAAAAACTAAGTGAGGTTGTGATGATATATATATTTTGAAAATATTTTAAGCAATTATGTTGGGTTCAAATTACAGGAGGTGCACCTGCCATAGATTGAAGCAACATAGATCTGGTTCCATAACTGAGTACATATCCTTCATTGATGATACAGTTGCCTCCCCAATATCAGGTAAGCTAACCTGGAAATGGCAAAAATTATTGCAGAACTCCCAAGAAATTCTACTAGACAGACACCCAGCGAGTTTACAGCTTAATAGTCCCTGTGAATTATTAAACAGAAGAAGTAGGTGACACACTTACTGCTGCTAATCTCAAATATTTGATCGAGTCAGCCAAACCATCCCAAAGTTCTTTAAATGGAGCAATCTGCCTACAGAAATTAAGGCTTAGTACAGTGGGATTGCCTCCGCTTGAATTGATATAAACTCAATTAGATTAAGTGCACAGAACATCCATGAAATAGTAAACGTTCTTCCCTCAATCAAGAAACTGTACCTTCCAGTTGTATGAATCTCTACAGCATCAACATCATTTCTTTTGAGAAGTTCAGAGGTTGTAGCAGCCTCTCTTATATATGAGGTCACTCCTATATCAAATTCACATCAACATATAAAATAATTTTGTATCCAACACATAAATGGTAAAAGTTGATGTCTAAAAAGTATGCATCTTTTGCATATTACTTTTTCAGTAAAATGATTCATACTTATTTTATCATAAGGGCAAACTGGAATGCAACGGCCGCAGCCATAACAGCGTTCAGTTAGAACTCCACCCTGCATATTTAGTTAAAAGTTTTAGAAAGAGATTCTTGATGAAAACCATGTACAAAGATATAGAAGCCTCATAACATTAATATTGCTTTAAGAAAGGAAAAAAAACACCTTAAATGCACCAGGTGCATTGGTATGAAAAGAGAGTTGTGTTGTTGAATTTTGAGCCTCCAATGATATTGCATCAGCAGGACAAACTCTCTCACAAGGCTTTGAACAGTCAAGGGGACAATCCTCTGGATCAAATTCTGTTTTTAAGATGGTAATCAATTCGGTAAGCCTTAAAAAATTGTGGGTAACTGAGATGATCCAAGAAAGCATTGTGTTCATGACAGCTGAGGCAGCCAATCATTAAGACTCAAGATCACAAAGTTATATTGATATATTGATACATAAAATTACAAAACATGAGCAATTCAGGCTTGGAATTCTACCCAAAAACATGAAGGTATGCAAATTTCACCTAAGATAATTAATAATTAGAACTAACACAAGAATCCGTGAGCTAAAAGTTATGTTCCATAGGCACTTGAGTTCATGGCAATGTCTATGATGCTAAATAAAGTAAAGAAGAAGGCGCTTACCGGCCTTGCGAAAGTGAAGATCCTCATCATCATTAACACTGATCATGACCCAAGGCCTTCGAAGGGGGAGAATCTCAATTGCTGCATCAATCCCCTCGTTTACTGCATTCACAACTGAGACATCTGCTGCACAGTCTATGCAATCAACTGCAACCGTTCATCCAGTAACATTAATTAATTTAATTAATTTAACTTCAAAATATATGCTCACTCAGTCAATCAAAAAGAGTTAAAATAAAGCTCCTCAAAAGAGTTTTTAATTAATTACCTCCTGCAAGAGTGTAAACCAGAGAAAGATTCCTTATATCAACCACATCCTAGAGAGAGACAGAGAAAAGTTAAATTAGTGTGACAGGAGGTGATAATGAAATGGACGGCTGGTGGGGTTTTAAGGGCCTTGTTGCTGTAATTACCTCAAAGCTTGCACCACATATGAGCTTGACCCAGTTGCCATTTTGAAGAGATTTTACTGGTGAGCACGTTATTGATGGAACCCCAACAGTTTTTATGAGATTCCTCACGTCTTCAAGGCCTTCGTTGCTTTTAAAGTTCACTCTTGCTGAAATTTTTTAAGACAGAGAACTGTCAGAGATGGAAAGAGAAGCAAGAAGAAGAAACTTTGATGCTAAGGAGAAATTGAAGTACTGCAGGAAAAGCTCATAACACAAAAGCAGTCAGAAAGGGAAAGAGAAAGGAGAAACCTTGGTGCTGAGTAGAAATAGAAGCACTGCAGGTAAAGCTCAAAGCCATCTCAACGAACAAGGCACAGAGATTTTCATTAATGGATAAATGTACCAGAATTTGGCGGTGAAATATCCCAAGCACCCGTTAGTCTGTTGGGGACAATTTGGGCTTTCATCTTTTGCCAAGAGCTGTGCCAGGCCCAGTTCAATTAAACTAAAAGCAGGTAGAGCCCAATGTCAAGGGATGCAGCAGTAATTGACAAAAAAAAACAAGTACAGAGACGGCAAGAGAGAGTTGTTCAAGAAAGTGTTTTCGCATTCCCACATCGACCAGTTGAAGAAAGTAGGAGAACGGGGATTGTATAAATAGGTCAGCCCAAGACATTGAAAAGCATACCTTTCTCGGCCTTTTGGCTAAGATCAAGTGTAGTATCTGTTCTTATCAGTTTAATATCTGATACGTGGACCAATGGTTCACACGATATTAAATTAATTTCTTTTGGGGGAGGGTCCACCACAATAGCTTGCTATTGCAGCTCTCGAGCGTCGCCCAAGTATTGCACTACTGCATGGGCCTGGCGCAACCCGCTAAAACAAGTTCAATTTTTTCACAGCACAGCCAGCTCTAAGCCAATGGAAACTATCCTTTTAATGTGGAAATCAAGGATTTTTTATGATCCAGTGCCTATTTAACAATTTTTCATTCTGATTCCAAACTGCTGGTGCTAAGCCACCATCTCCGCTTTCAGCTTTTGAACACATAGCAGTGATATAAGTTACCATTGAACCATTTAATCATTATTTCCATTTACTCCAACTTGCTTGTAAGGTGCTAAGGTTGTCAAAACAATAGTACCATTTACCAGTACTTGTACAGTATTCAGATTATATGAACTTTCACGGAGTCCAATTATTCATGTACCTTGAATGCGGAGGTTGACAGAAAGTTGCCCATTTTTTTACCGCCTTATTCTATATGAAATTTGATGTTTTTCTTCTTCTAATAAGCGGAATCAAGTTTCATTAATATAAAAAGCTAAAGCTAGTTACATAAAAGAAAACTGAAAACAACAAAAGCAACACAAAAGACATCAAGCCCACATAAAACTCACTACGCCAATAACGCCAATCAAAGGCATAAAACCCACTTAAGACATTACATTGGCAAAAAACCTAAACACAAAATAATAAAAAAAAATAAATCCCATTTTAAAAACAAACCATAAAAAAACAAAGTTGAGGCCCAAAAACAATGATCCCGCAAAAAATTAAACAAACAAAAAAAACCATAAACCTAAGAACATGAAACTAATACACCACCAATGTCTACAACCATAGAGGAGTAACCGTTAAATAAAACCAAAGCTTCCAACAGAGAATGGTGGTGGACAAGCCACCAAAGTTTCAAAGAGCACTACTACAATCCAAAAAATAAGTGCAAAATGTACTTTAAATACATTGACATACTAGAAAGTGCCACCGAGGAAGAATGACGGAAGAGGCACCCATGGAGTTGAAGAGCAAAGGATGGTGGTGGAGATCTGACGGTGAGATGCAACCGCATTCGATGGGTAGAGAACAATATAATATATAGGGGGAAAGTGGTGGAGATCTTAGTCCACTATTAAAGAATGCAAACGGATATGTTCTCGACTATAATAAAGGAAAATTTTGAATCCAACGGAAACTGAAGAAATATAGTTTTCTATTACTCTCTCCACCATGACATTATGTGTCCATTAAAAATAATTGATGTTGTTAAGTCAAATTGTTGAGATTAAATGTGTTTATGATGAGTGGAGAGAAAGCTTCTGATGAGCTGCAACTAAATCACACTCAGAAAACCATTCATTGTGAAATTTAATTGAGCTTTCAAAGTACAACTTATGTTGTTGCTGTATTGGTCAATTATATTGTAGCTGCACATCTAATTCTACAAAACCCCTAGTCTATGAGACTATATATGACCAATTTCCTTTCATATTTCCTTTATTATTTTGTGTCAGACTTGGAGGAGAAAACATGCAACTTTTCACTGCTAAGGTTTTACTTTTCATATGTGCTCCTTAATATTTTACTTATAATAAATATTTTAATTATAAGTGTTTCTCTAGTTTAATCAATCTTGTCAAATCGCATGTGTCTTTGGCACTTTTCCTATAATTTTAGCATGTGATTATATCTAGCTTCAAGTACCACATCGGAAATGCACAAGAAGTAGAAAGTGAGACTCATGTATTAAAAAGGAATTAGAGGCATTGTGAAACATACTTACCTGGACGGGGTCAATGGGCGATCAAGAAGGCTCATGGCCTAGGTTGGTGACCTCCATTGCACTTAGGAGGGGTGCCTGCCTATGGTCTCCTCAACGTAGGAGAGCTAACGTCATAATTTGTTGCAGTGGGGGCATGCGTTCGCGCAGCCCCTACCTTAATTAAATATCAACTTTATTCTAATGGCTAGCAAAATAGGCTTAATTTCTCAATCTTTTTGGTATAATTGTTTAATATATCCATTGTTTAATTCAAAGAATTGATTCTAAATCAGCATGTTGAATATGTTTCATACTTACCTACTATCGTGCTCACAAAGTTTCTGTGTTCTGCCTTGCCTACTGCCATGCTCACAGGTTTTTTGTGTTCTTCTATGTGCCCTATTTGTTCGGGTTTGTCAATTGTTTCACTCGTGGTTTATGACAAGGCCTTCTCTACAGCTGTTCGATTGGTCAATGTCGAGTATGGTGTTCTATGACTCGCTTGTTAAGTTAGGCATGCGAAATATCTTTGCCCTAACTTGAGGAGGAGTGTTGGCGAGTCCCAAAAACAAAGATCCCTCCCAAAATAACACAAACAAAGAAAACCCTAAACCTAAGAACATGAAACTACTGTACCACCAAAGCACGTCTAGAACTGCAAAGGAGTAACAGTTACATAAAACCAAAGTTTCCAATCGAGAATGGTGGTGGGCAAGCCACCAAAGCTTTAAAGAGCGTTACTACAATCCAGAAAAATAAGTGCAAAATGCACTTTAAATACATTCACATACCAGAAAGTGCCATTGAGGAAGAACAACGGAAGAGGTACTTGTGGAGTTGAGGAGCAAATGACGGTGGTGGAGATCTGATGTAAGATGCAGTGGCATGCAATGGGTAGAGAACAATATAACATATAGGGGGAAAATGTTGGATGAAAGTGAGAAGTGTATGGTGAAAACCAAAGGTGGTGGGTGGGGAGTAAGATTAGGGACAAGTTGTAGATCTAGGGTTTCCTTATTCACTCAAATTTTAGGGTAAAAAAGGTGAGGGTAGAGAGAAGAAGGTGAACAAAAAAAAGGTTGAGAAAAGAAGAGGGAAGAAAGGAGAGATGATAGGGTAGTGGGGGGAGGTGCACCCTTTGGTACGATGTTGAAGGGCTTATAAGGATATGCTAGTGTTGAGAGCTCTTTTAATGTAGAAATTTTTCTCTTTGAAAATTTGATGTTCTTAATTGGCAAGGGCATGTCAATCATATTTTGGTATAACATACTCATAGAGTTGGTAAAAATTGACATACTCACCAAACAAACAAATCCTCAATTTACAAAGTTGAATTTTAAAGTACACCTTCTCCTCACATTTAGACACTTCAATTCAAGTTACTTATTGTTGAAACGTTTATGGTTTTCAATGAGTTTGTATACGAAACCTTCAAGTACAAACACGTGAACTGATGTTGTTATGGGAACATGATATATATGTGCCTGCCTAGAGCATTTCCACCCATTGTCCCATGACAAAGGGCAAGGGCAAGTAAGGGTAGACACTATTCACCTACCCCTTTTAATTTTGCTTTTCCACCCATTGCCATGGAAAGTAAAAGCAAATACTATGCACATGAGATATAAGAAAAGGAATTTAGATGGAGTTTTGGTTTGGGAAGTGAAAAATAAGGCTATGTATTTTTTCTTAAATTTTGCTGGGTATTTAAATTGGTTGTTGATGTCACGTTGACATTAGCAAACCCAGGCAGCAACCCATGCAATTCTTGCCTTTGGGCTGTCGTGGGTAAATATGGCCCATTCTTACCTAATCAAACTTTTGCTGTTGTGGGCATTAATTCAAGACTGGGCTTCCTTTTGCCAGACCAAAAGGCAACCAGTGGAAGTGCTCTAACTACATGCCTTTGGCTGCCCACAATTATTTTTGGTGGGATTCAAGAGAGTGTGTTCACAATCCCACATCAACAAGTTGAAGAAAGGAAATGAATAAAGGTGTACGTATAAAAGAATCAGCCCAAGATAATAATAAGCATACCTTTCTCGGTCTTTTGGCTAAGATCAAGTATAGTATCTGTTCTTTAAGGTTTAGGGTTATTTGATACGTGGGGTCAATGGTTCACATGATATTAAATTAATTTCTTTAGGGGGAAGGTCGCTACTGTGGCTCTCGCATGTTGCCCAAAAGCCATAAATTTATACACACATTTTCAACCTTTCGATTAAAGTAGTTTTAAACTTTTAATGGTTGAGATTGCATTCGAAAAGAAATCAATATCATCTCAACTATACATGATTAATATGCCTTGAGCTAACCCATTTTCTCTCTCCTCCCTCCTCATAAATTCAAACTAGAAACTTATGACTCAGAAAACCATTCATTGTGAAATTCAATCGAGCTCTCAAAGTACAACTTATGCAGCTGCTGTATTTGTCAATTATACTATAGCTGCGCATCTAATTCTACAAAACCCCTAGTCTATGAGACTATATATGACCAATTTCCTTTATTATTTTGTGTCGGAAGAGGAGAAAACGTGTAACTTTTCACTGCTAAGGTTTTACTTTTGGTATATGCCCCTTAATATTTTACTTATAATAAATACTTTAATTATAAGTGTTTCTCTAGTTTAATCAATCTGGTCAAATCGCATGTGTCTTTGGCATTTTTCCCATCATTTTAGCTTGTGATTATATCTAGCTTCAAGTACCACATCGGAAATGCACAAGAAGTGGAAAGCGAGACTCGTGTATTAAAGAGGAACTAGAAACATTTTGAAACATACTTACCTGGACGGGGTCTATGGGTGGTCAAGAAGGCTCATGGCCTAGGTTGGTGACCTTCATTGCACTTAGGAGGGGTGCCTGCCTATGGTCTCCTCAACGTAGGAGAGCTAACGTCATAATTTGTTGCAGTGGGGGC